TTCTTGCGTATTCTTGTGCTGATTTTTGTTTGTTAGACTTCATGTGGGATTAACTGATCTTTTGCTATTTTGTATAGAGGGGACAGGGCGACAATGTACTACTATGGAACTGAAGTTACAAAGTATTTGGAGTTTGCAGGGGAATCTGAAGCTCGACTTCCTCTCATTACCACAGTTACTGCTGTTACAAGGTTGCCAATTACAGATGCCACTGGAGATGCATATGTATTTCAATCTTCACCTGGAAGTCGTCTGATCATTGCTTCTTACAATCACCATTATGAGAAAATCATAAATAGGTATTATTATATTCGAATTCTATGTTTATATATTGACAGACCTGCTATGTTGGATGCTAGAAAAACAATACGTACATTCTTTTTGTTGTTTAGGTTCATAGGTGATCGAATGCCAGTGAATTACATCAATAGTACTTCTCGCTGCTCTATTGGTTCTCTTCGTGGTCTTCTTCCTCCCAAAAGAACCCTCAAGCAGCTAAAGGATGATATAATGTTCCATGCACAGACCTATCAGGTATATGTATGATTTTTGTTGTTTTGATTGTATTGGATAACACATATCCCAAATATATAGTCATATCTTTTACCTATTATAACACAAATTCCTTCCTTCAGGCTCTCTATCGTTGTATGCTGGAAATGACAAGATTTACATACGGTCCAGAAGTCTTTAAATCATGTTCAGGTTTTCCAAGGTATGATTCAATTTTATGTTTTGCTAATAATCTTTTGTCCATTGCATTTCAGAAAGATCAAAACGTTCCTTTTATTGTTTAATTCAGGGTACGATATGAATTACAAGCAACATGTGAGTGTGAGGGAGAATATGTTGATGTTGTGTTTGATCATGAAGCTGTGTTGGGCTTGGTTTGGGTTTCACCCGAGGAACTTTTCAGTTTAACCTATGAAGAAGGTTATCAGTACATTCAAGACAGGTGTTATGTGCCTTTTATGGCTGAAGCTTATGTTGCTCCTGGGACTTCAGAAAATCCTCCTGCAATCTGAATTGCTTCAATCTGGAACCCTAATGCTTTCGTGTGATTGGAAACTGTTCTACTTGGAACTTAGTTTGTCGGGACGGCTTATTTATAATTATGTATGTTATCTATTCAGGACATGTTGCTCTGTTTTCTGTCAAAAAAAACTTAATGTTTTCCCCTAACTACTCTGGTATTTTGGAAATTCACCAATGTACTCACTTCGACAATTTGCTAGCCGCTGGTTATTCTGTTCGGTCCATATGGAAGTCCCTGATGTTTGTACCTCAATAGTTTAGAGAGGTAAATGTTTTGTTTTGATCATGAAGTCCCTGACTGGGCACATGGAGAAACTACTTTCCGCCTTTAATATTGTATCTACCAAAAAAATTAGCAGGAGACATTGTTTGCGTTTTGAATTCTGGGCAGGTTCTTCATGTTCTTCATGTTCTTGCAAAATGACACAATAGAATATTTTATCATGATCCTTTGATCGAAATTAGCAGGAGACATTGTTTGTGTTTTGAATTCTTGGGCCTTAAACGCTTACTAAAACCGAGGCCACGTTTTCTTACGTTTTGATAGTAATGGAATGGTATTGAGCCCAACCTGAACATGCTTTAGGATTGCAGACAGAAGTCCATGGGAAACTGGCCCAAAATCTTAGCTTCCTTTATAAACCCTAACTGTCTTCATCAACCAGATCCGCCGTCCACATTTCCATACACTTTGCTCCGCCGCGGAAGCCCCACCACCGAACTACACGACAGCCTTTAAAACAAAGGTAACTCCACGTCCTCCTATTCCTCACCGTCTTCACACTTGGGAATTAACTTCTGATCATCATCCACGTTGTTTGCGTAAAGACCCCACAAGACATGGAGGGTTTGGCCAAAAACCAGCAGTCAATAGAGGACGCTCACATGGTCCCCACCGACAACAAATGTGAATGCTTTCCATTTTTGTTAAAGAATACTACCAGGTATCTCGAATCCTCTGCTACAAAGATAAAATATGTATTTCATTTCCCTATACTGTCTTATTATAGATCCGATCGAAACTTGCATGCCATTTCGAGGGCTGCGTCTGGGCACCAACGTCCGCATAGTAATTGCTAGGCCTGTGATGGCATGGCTCGAGTATCGAGAGGCGCTTAAGCTTAAAGATCTTAGCATGCACATGATCTGGATAGATAAAAAGGTTTTTTTCCATTTCAGTTACAGAATTAGATAATCTCTTCATCAACAATTTTAAACTACTATAATACATAATTTGGAACCGTTTAACTGCTTATCTTATAGGCACGACTAATCGAGTCAATGGTTGATGAAAAAGACATCGCCGAGATTTCTCGCAAGATAAAAGTCGGGAACCTTTATCGGTTTGATTCGGTTGAAGCAATACCAGCAAGAGAGAATCCAAAGATCGTTGCAGGAGAGTTAAGAGTGCACATAACCGCTGATCAAAAAATTACCAGGATTGAGGAGGACCCAGATGAGCCACGCTTGCCCGCTGGCTGGGACATTGGGATGGCTTTTTCGATGGTACCACTTCAGACAAACACCATCTACTATCATACAGGTACATTAACTATATCTATTTGATATAATAAAATGAACTTAAGCTTTTAAATGACAAACTCTTATGTTGCTTATAGACATCATCGTATGCATTAGGCGTCTCAGTGTTCCCACAACAATTCGCAGTAGACTCAAAGAATTTCACATGGTCGTTCAGGATGTGAGGTACATTTTGTAGAATAGAATCTCGATCTGCGAATTGTATGAATAAACAACCTCACATATTAATGTCATTGACAGTGGCGCTAAGGCAACTGTTCGGTATCGTGGATATGATATACCGAACTTCTTAGAGAACGCCCCGACAGCTGAGGCTCATCTGCCTCTGATTGTTACAATCAAGTCTGTCATTCGGGTGGCACCTCTATCCGACCAGAAATACAAGTATCGGTTCGAATCCACTCCTGCCAGTGCACTCATGATCAGATCTTATACAGTCCCAGTCCAGGAGATAATGCACATGTACATTTAGTTTGACAGAATCCTTTCCATTTTTTGAATCATATTTGTTGCCAGTCGGCCAAAACCAATTACATTGACACTTTTGTCTCTTTTATGCTACAACCAGTTTCCTTTACAGTCGCAGGCAAGTTTATTTCATGGATGCCAATACCAGTAAGAAGACAGGCTGCCTTCGATTAGGAATCGAAAAGAAGACACTCTCTGACATGGAAACAATGCTTGCATCTGATCAAACTGTCCACAAGGTTAGTGAGGGACAGAACATAAACCAAACTCCTATACTGTGTACCTACATTTTTCGTAGACCTATGTCTTATCAATATCTGATGTTCATGCTAGGTACTCTATCGTGTTAAGTTCTTCATCTCACAAATGAAATTTCGCAAAGCCATATGTCAAGCGACTGAGGACTGGCCAGAGTAAGTTTTCTATTTCAAAACGACAATTACATCTCATGTGAATCAATCTATCTACGAATAAGCCAACAAGTTTCTGAACTTATACTTATGACTAGGCTGCACTATGAGTTGGAAGTCAAATGCAAGCAAGGAGATGATAGTGTTGATGCCATACTGGACCACGAGGCTACACTATCAATAATAGGAATGTCACCCAGCAAATACAAAAAACTCGATGCAGAATCGGCCAAGGCGTTGCTGGTCAAAAGATGTAGCAGAATGTTTGCAGGAGAGCTCTACATCGGTTCCTCAGATCTGAAGAACATAATCAGAACAGTCGTATCCCACATAAGAGTTGCGACACTTTGGCACACCTCAAGGATAGATAAGTGACCATCAGCACTACTGACAGAAAGACCAACCGAAGTATCCCATCCACCCCTAGAATTCTCCATTTTAAACTGAAGTTTCTATTCCCTATTTTCAGTGAAGACAAAACTATGACAGATGTGTTTGTGTTTTTTAATTTCGTCGAGGGCATCAGATACTAAAGATTTTATTCCCTATTTTCAATGAAGACAAAACTATGGCAGATGTATATGTGTGGTGTGCACAAAGTTTGTTAATATGTTTGTTAATTTCTGCGCTCTCTGGCGCAATGAATCTAAACTATTTGCGAATGGTATAGCAGAAAGAACATGACAAAATCCACAAAACAACTGGAGTCAGACTTATCCCGCCGCGGAGCGCGGGCCGAGTACTAGTTACAATATAAAGTTTCTCACATCCCATAACCTAAATTCCTCGAGGCATTTTACATTCCACCAATTAAAATCACATCATTGTAACTCTAAAATTAAAAACTTTAATAATTTCTATTCATAAATCTAATATTTTCAACGTACAATCAAATGTCACAGAAGTTAGAAGTGGGTAGGCATTTGGACAAGACCATTCATTTGACACTATTTAGTGATAAAGTGGGCCTTGATTGATTGTTTTGGAGTGGCAAATTTCTGATATTTATTTTTAGTGCTGAAAAAGGCTGGATCGTTAGACTTTGGCCTTCTGTTTCGCTTTCAATTTAACCTCTCCTGTTACTTGAGTTGAGAGGTGGTTGGTTGATCATTCACTAGTGAAACGGGGAGACATTTAGAAAGGGAAAATAAATTATAGAGAGGACAGAGCCCAGAGGTGGTGGTGGGTATGTTAATGAGCTGTTCAGGAGTGGCTCGACGTTTGACTCTATAAAACTCGTTCAATTAAAGTAAAAATTCAACTTTTTATTAATGAGTTGAGTTTTAGCTAAGTCTACTAAGCTCGTAAGGCTTGTGAGCTAACTCGGCTAGGTGGCTTGTTGAGTTCAACTCGTGGACTCTCTTGTTTTGAGCTCATGAGATGTATGAACAATATGATTAGTGACCCCAACTCGACTATTGACTTAGAGAAAATCAATTTATATCTTATGAGTTGGTTTGTTGATAATACATAAATTTTATTAAATTATATCTCGCATGTTTAAAATTTTGTATATAAATCAGTCAAACTCAAACTCAGCTGGATATTAATGAGCCAAACTTAAATTAGATAAAACTCGACTAAACTTATTAGCCACCATAATGGTGGGTGAATAATTGATGACCCATGCATACAAAAGGCACTTTCGAATTTCGATTGACTAGAAAATAAAAGATATGCCAACAAGGAGAAAGAAGGGGATTGACTACGAGGAGGGACATAGCAGAAATTAAGATGGACCATTCAAAATGCTCTCTTGGGTAGCCCAAGATGCATTCAGAAAACTTAGATGGATCTACCAGCAATTGTATTTTCTGGGGCGGCCCAACCATGATGCCATCTCGCAGGCCGGACGAAATGAATGACGTGCGTGACTTATGGGCTATGGGAAACCGCATTAGCCTTGTGACAAGCAAACAGTTGTAGATTGTGATGAAGTTGCAGTCATAATCAATTCAGTTAATTATGATTAAGTCAGGAGCTTCAGTTCTTGATTCCGCACAACAGATTCGTTAGCTAGATGAGTTAGATGACGAGATTGACAGACTCTTGTACATGAAAGGAGAAGATCTGATCATTGGCCACTTTCCTCTCTGTTATTAATGTTTCTGCAAGTTCCAATCTAACAGCTCTCTCTCTCTCTCTCAATCCTGTTTTCCAACATCACGTCACAATTCTACTCCATGCACAATTAATTCCAGCTCTTGTCATATGCACAATTAATTCCAAGAGTGGGAAATTAAGTCTCAAGAGGAGGGCACTATCGTCGTGAGTGAAGCAATTAAAGAGAGTAACGGTCACTCCAAATAAGCAGAACGGTTTTTAAAGGCAGTTACTTCTTGTGGGTTGTAGCTATAAATACGAGGTGAAGATAACAAAGAGAGGGTTCGCCAAAACCACACTAAATAATACAATGCCAACTTTTATCTCTTTATCTTCTCCTCTACAAATTTAGCCATAGACCATACTAGTAGATCTGGAACTCTCGATGGACCTTCATAGGAGTAGAGTTAATATAATTTAGTTTTGTCTCGTAGTTCATCATAAACATCACACACCCTTATTTGAAATTTATTCAAAGAGACATAAACCGTGTTTGTTTAATAGTTTGTTTAAAAGTCAAAGTGCAAATCGATTCCGTTCCACTCTAGTTTTCTGGCGAGAAAACAATAGTGGTGCCTGTATGCAATAAAATAACTGGAACCGTCATCGTATCAACGTTGGTGTCGATGACGATCCATGCATTAGATTTAGCCCCGTCGACCGTTTCCTATGTATGGAATTTAAGTACAAGTGCCGGAAGGAAGAGTAGGTACTACATATATAATATCCACGAATAGTAATGAACAAACACAGCACAACACAGCACAGAGCACACCCACCATTGTACTTTGCATTGGTATACTCTGCTTTCATCCTTTATTATATATCAAAAGAAGAAGAAAAAAAGAATTGCACATGTGGCGGTTGCTTGCCGCCCCACCTCCAGTATTTATAACTTAATCGCTCTTTTCCTCCTTCCACAACAGAACCAGTATAGTAGCTAGCAGCAACAACGTAAATCTCTAAGCTAATAATGGCGGCTTCTTCTTCTTGGGTGTCGGCAACTTTTCCAGTTCCCATGAAACATGGTAATCAGAGGTCAGGTCGGATTAACAGTCAAGGTTGGGTCAGGGCGCCGATCAACCGGAACAGGGGAAAACAGAGCAACAGCAGCATCAGGTTGCGTGATTTGTCGGCGGCAGCGGCAATTAACGAAACTAGTTCGAATATTACTAGTAAAAGATCATCATCATCTTCATCTTCTTCTTCTTCATCTTCGTCCAAGGAAGGCAGATTAGCGAGGAAGGAAACAGAGAGGTTGGCTTACCTGGTGGCTGCCATGTTGTCCAGCGTTGGCATCACTTCGATGGCCGCCATAGCTGTCTTCTCCAGATTCTCTTGGCAATTGGAGGTTAATTTACTTACTTAATTAATCGCAATGCTAGTTAGTGGGGAAAAATTAAGTCAATTGATTAATTAGTGTTTTACAAGGTAAAAATCAGTTGGGTAATGAATGGATGGATGCAGGGTGGGGAGTTTCCAGTGGTGGAAATGTTTGGGACCTTCGCCTTGTCCGTCGGAGCCGCTGTAAGTGAACCATAATTAAAATACCCACACTTTATTAGAAATCGCCTCCTCAACCATTGTTGGATTAATCCAAGTATTGAACAGGTGGGGATGGAGTTTTGGGCACGGTGGGCACACAGAGCATTATGGCACGATTCTTGGTGGGACATCCACGAGGTTATTAATTTAGTTACCTTCGAGTTTCTTTGGTTTCCATGTTGTACTAAAAAGTACAGATGACAGAGAAGCGGTGTCGTTTTTTGGATCAGTCGCATCACAGGGCCAGAAGAGGAGCATTCGAGGCGAATGATGTGTTTGCAATAACGAATGCGGTGCCTGCCATTGCCTTGCTCTCCTATGGTTTCTTCAACAAAGGCATTTTCCCTGGCCTCTGTTTCGGCGCCGTAAGTGTAAACTAAATCGCCTTCCTTTTAAAAAAAAATAATTTAAAGACGCACGGTGGTAGGATGACAAAAAGGCGAAATTTGAGGTGAACACTCTGTTGTGGCTGCCACGTGTGTCGGTGGATGTGGTATCCACTGGGCCCGACTGACGTGGCCTCACGATAGCAACTAGAATCTTTTATCTTGTTTTCTGGAATAAAAAAAAAATAATCTTTGGCCTGGGCCGTGATCTTTGTTGGGTTTGGCGGGATGCAGGGATTGGGGATAACGGTGTTTGGGATGGCGTACATGTTTGTGCACGATGGGCTGGTCCATCGGCGCTTCCCCGTTGGGCCCATTGCCAACGTCCATTACCTCCAAACAGTTGCAGCAGCTCACCAGGTAATTAAAAATTCCCCACCAAAAAACAAAAAAATCTTTGTCATATCCTCTTGTTGTTTTAGTTTTTAGTTTTTACCATGGTCCATGAAACCGTATCGGAGGTCGTATCGGAAAAGTCAGTGATAGGGTATTTTATGGCAAAATCATGGTTTAATCGTAGTTCAACCATTAGTACAGTTAAATACCGCCTATTGGTTTAGCCTCCTATACCAATATTTTGTGGTTGAACCATCGATACGGTACGGTTTCATGGAAGCTGCCTAGTGCGTCTGCTAAACTTACTCACTCTGATTTTGGCCCATTAATTATTTTTCCGAACAGCTTCACCATGCGGACAAATTCGATGGCGTTCCTTATGGGTTGTTCTTAGGGCCTCAGGTCAGCCCAACACCCTTCGCTCGACCTGAATTACTCATTTCCTTGCTTTTAAGTTTTAACCCACAGAGAGGCTAGAGCTTTCTTGGTTTTAGGTCTAACCGGATCTGGTTATACGCAGGAAGTAGCTGAGGTTGGAGGCACGGATGAGTTGGAGAAGGAAGTCCAAAGAAGAATTAACCGCTCCATTTGATTCATTTCTTCTCCATTGAAATTACACTTTCTATCTCCCCTTTTCGGTTTTTCCTTCCATTCATTCTTTCGTTTACTTTGAGTTAAATTCTGCTAAATTTTTACTTTTTTAGGCTTGGTGATTCGTTCAATCTCAATATAAAGCTAGCCAGAGAAGGAAATTGTAAATAGAAGTGTATTCTTCCTCGCATCTGGAAGTATATGGGGATTATAAATGGGGCTTAGCTAGGATTCTAGTTTAGTGAGATACGAAAAATCTTATAATATTGTATTCAATTGTCAAGTAAATTATTTTAGAAATATTCAATCAATTAGTCATTTATCAAACCATTAATTATCAGATTTGTACCTTATATTTTGAGTAACTCATAATTGAAAAGTGACATTTCAATAACTAGCTAAAATAAATAGTTCCCAAGCAAAATCTAATACACACAAACGTTTGTAAAACACATTTGACGACAAAGAAATTGTATATTGATAAGAAAAAAATTGTTGAACTAAGACCTTTTTAGATATAGCTGGAGGTTTTTGTACACATATTTAATAGAATTAGAAATTTTTAGAATTAAGAACTATAAAATTATGGATTTTCAATGATATATGACCAATATAGTTTAATTTATTTGTGTGTTTCATAATACTAGGGCAATTAAATTCAATATGAATAGAGTCCTGAATTCTAAATCTAAATCTAAATCTAAATCTAGTCAAATTAAACAAGTATGTACATACATATAACCATTTTAATTTATCAAGTGGGGTACCAGGACTAGGACCCCATTCCCTTCCACCTCCCTCCGCCACTGGGCACATGGGGAAGGATACGAGGAATCCAATTCGAATGCAATAGAGGTGCAGACCGACCATTCTCAATTTGGCAAAGAAATCCTTTGACAAATAACTGGCGTACATATAGGATGCTCTGCCAACCCCAAGAGGGTCGGGTGAGAACCGATGTTGTAAGGGACGGTCCATTCAGAGAATATTTGTAATTATAAACGTGAGCGAGAAGAGAGTATCAGGAGTGGGACATCTCTATTTTTTTAATTGAGTTTTTAAACGTTTTATAGAAACTGTCGCGATCATGAATAAGATGCAATTAAGAACTAAGAAGTGGACTAAAAATTAAGACCTACTTGTTTTGTTGATGACCAATACAAATATATACTTCAAAATTTTCTCTTTTTCATATTAGCACGTAAAAAAAATCTGGAATTGGAACGTCAATGGTGTGTGAGTGGAGAAATTTTTGCAGGTGGATACAACATGTGAATGTGGGTGTATGAGCTGGGTTCATGATTAATGACATGCAACTGTCGAATGATTATCAAAGCATTACCCATTTATATCACATGGCCCCTTTCGTTACAGCAGATTGATTTTGGTATAAAACAAACAGATACACGTGAGGGCTGCAAATGAGCCGAGCTGCTCGCCAGCGGCTCGACGTTCGACTCGTTAATAAACGAGCCGAACACTAGCTCACCTTTGTTCAGCTCGTGAAGCTCGCGAGCTAGCTCGACTCGGTGGCTTGTCGAGCTAAACTCGTGAGCTGGCTCGTTTAGAGCTCATGATATGTCTCAACATGTGGCTAGAGAGCCAACTAAATTACCAACTTATGGACGAATCAATCCATATCTTATGATTTTAATGCATATAGTTGTTAAATTATATATCTTATCATATATAAAGTTTAACACATTAAGTATGTGAGCAAATATATCTTATTCTATACTTTAAAAAGAATTATGTATCATAGATTTGCTTCGATACTATGAAATAACATGATTTGAAGTAGTTAAAATTTATCAACTAAATGATATATGATACCAACAAAGTATAATATGAGATTAGCTAACAAAATAAATCATATGTATCATGATATAGAAAATGAAATACCAAATAAAAGTCAAGATTTTAGTAAACAAGCTAGCTCGAGCTCGACTCGGCTCATTTGCAGCCCTACGTACAAGACACGGGTCTGGTCTTGATTTGGTACGTGTGTTCTTCTTTATCAATCATTGAACTAAAGACCTAACTTTTATGTATATCACGTACAAATTAATTGGTCCCAAAAATGGCATGCACATATATGAAGTGTACAGTACTTTTGTGGTATTTACTAGTTTGTGTAAGAAAGTGGTTAAATATCATACATGGACCTGTATAAGATCCAGCATAACCTTCTCCTAACAATTCGAGTTATTGGGACCAACTGGTTTATGACATGGTATCAGAGCTGGTTTGTCCTTGAGGTCACGTGTTCGAGTCCGCACGACCCCCAATATTAACCGTTGTCTTTCAAGCACATGGTATGGCGGGTCTGTGCAAACTTCAAGCCCATGAGTCGGCTTTCGATTTAGGGGGCGTGTAAGGAAGTGGTTAAGTGAGCTTAAAAAGATTTTAGCTCTTTCACTTAGATTCTGACTCCACTAGTGAAATTAATTATACTCTTTTCTTTTATTTTTGTTTATAACAAAAAATTCATTTCTATTGTTCCAAGTGCCGAACACAACAAACCAAAGTTATAATTTGTATAAAGAAAATAAGAATATGAGCCTAGCTATGTTTGGAACTTTGGATAAATGCCATTAGAAAGGGGATGAGGATATGGTGCAAAGATATAAAATGTGAATCTGGGTTGGGCCCAGGTCCAGCCCGTAAATTGAGTCCAGAAATCCCAGGCTTCCCAAATCCAGCCGGCCTGCTTGCTTTACCACCCAAGCAAACGCCTGCCCTCCGCCGTGCCGTTTCCTCTTTCCGATTCATCCACAACAAACACCAAATCGCCTTCTTCCTTCTCGTTCTCAAGCTCTGGGTTCCTTCGTACTGCTTTGGAGGTGCATAAATGTCTCTATTCCAGTCTTGACTCTTGAGTTCAATTCTTTTTGGTAGCCGAAAATAATCAGCAGGCGGCATATGAAGAAAGAGACCGTACCAACACCGCCGGAGCCACCAACGACGAGAACGAGCTTGGAGGAAGAAGGATATGTGTTTGCGGAATCAGTAGAAGTTTTCCGAATTCAACCCTTCGATCAATTCTTCCTTCAAAGCACGAACTTTCGCTGCTGCTGCTGCTGAGCCCCAGCCTGCTTTGAGATAAAAGAGTTGTGAGTTGATATAAAGAAGATGTCCGTCAAGCTTAACCTATCTCCTTTCAAGCTCGACATTGATGAGCTCATCAACGAGTTTGTGGAGGTATATTTCTGACATGATTTGGCTTTTCTTAGTTTCCTTTGATCACTGATTGAGACTTACTCAACGATGGAACCTTGCAGCATCAATCGACAAGCTTTCCGGACTGGAAGAAAATATGGCGTTTGAGGAAATTTTCATACATCTACGAGGCTGCTCCTACTACACATTTGGGTTACTTCATGCAGTCATTATATGCCCATACAATTGGTGAGCTAAGTTTTCCCTTTGTCTTTCCTTTGTCGGGAAAGGCTTTCTTTTGTTTCTGTTTCATAGTGCAGGACTCTTGATAGATATACTAGAGAACCTATTTTCAGTCCCTGAACCCAAAACATCCAAAGGTTTCCAGTCATTATAAAGCACCCTGCTGTCACCTGAAGTCTTTGTATTGAACCTCAAGACTTGACAGTCTATAGTTTTTCCAAAGCGTCCATGGATGTTTTGCCCTTGAGAACGACATATGTGAACTGAATTAAGGCTACTTACCCTCTTCGCAGAAGCTTTCTTAACTGGGTTTCAGTTTTCTGTTTGTCCTTGTAGTTTGGCTCCGTGGCCACTAGATCCAGCCTCAACGCTTATTTCTGTCGACTTCTTCAGTATTTGCAAGGGGTATTGACATTTCTGTTTTTTCAAGCAGGGCATATGAATGACAGCGCCTCCTTTCCAAGAAAACTAGGAGGCTTGTATTGCTTATACTGTCTATACGAGACTCAACCATTTAAGCCTCCTTTCAAGATCTATCTCTCCCTTGGTATGACTATACTGTCAAAGCAAAACTCTTTTTCATCTTTATTTTCCTTTCTATACCTTTCTCAGTTTGAATAATCCCACAGCAAATATGGTTTGTTTAGTATACTTTCCTTTTTTTTCCTTCCTTCCGAAGGGGAACTAAAAAATTTGAAGAACCTCGTCGCTGAAGCCAAAGGGAACACTGTCAAAGCAGCGCCCGCTTTGATGCAAAGAATGCTGGAAAAGGATGTGTTCCTATTTGGGTTTTTGGATTTAGAAGAAGCTGCTAAAACAGTAGAAAAACTCGCGGAGCAGGATAATGAGATAGTGAAGTGTGCTGCTAAGAAGTAAAGCTTTCTGCTGCATCATAACCCTTTCCTTATACGAGTTTCATATTCATCTTCAGGGTCTGTTTTCTGTATATACCTGATTTTATAGTATTACTCTTTTCTGATTCACAGGTTATTTAAGGATACCAGGATGGAGCACTTCCTCCACTTAGACATGGTAATCAATGAAAACACTCACAAGGAATGCAACGTACAAAGGAATATATGGTGTTAAGAAAAAACAGTTGTCCTTTCAATTGCAACTTGATTTTGAATCTCTTTTTCCCGGTGTTGCCGCACACTCAGGGAAGGGAACTGGGTCTAGAGGAATTGAAGAAATTATCCACAGAATATGCAGAGTCGAAGCAGCGTGCAATTGAAGGTGGTTTACATATATTATATATGTTCTCTTTAGCTCTGTTACTTCTTTATGCAAGCGAGATGCTGAAAGCTCACCCGTATGTGTTCGTATCTGATGTATCTCTTCTTTAGAAGCCCGGAAGGTGGTAAACATGCAAGACGTGGAGCATCTTGCAAATGCCAAGGAGCTGGTTGGTGACAAAGTGGAGAAGGCGGTAGAGAGCTGGGATGCCCAGAAGGATGAGTTCTACCATAAAACAGGAGTAAGACCCACTCAGGAACAGGCTCAACAAGAAGATGATTCTGACAATAGTGATGCTGAATATACTCACGAGCTTGAGCGAGAATTGCAGCTGTTTGACGAAAATATGGATGAGCAGCAATGACAGTAATCAACAGGACTACAGGAGTGAGACCCACTCAGGAACAGGCTCAACAAGAAGATGATCATGACGATAATGATATTGAATATACTTGCGAGCTTGAGTGGGAAGGTGTTCGACGAAGATTTGGAGGAGAAATGAAGCAATGGCGGAACAAGGTTTTAACCATCGAAACTCAATGTCTCAGTTTTATCTAATTCTTACATTGCACAGACTATCCCATATAGAGAAGTTTTATTCTGACATTGATGTCTCTCTAAGCTATAGATCTCCAAATGTATAGATCCCACAATTTACTAGTAGACCATACCCGCCATTTCAACGCTAAGTAGTTGTATATCTAGGCTATAGCACATGTTCAACGATAAATAAGATGATAAATAGATATCTTCCATAAGTTTATAGCTCCACTTCGACCTCATGAAATTTCCCCTCTTCAGGCAAGTTGTCCAGGGTGAAAGCAATCAACCCAGAAGACGTCTCATACTCGAAAGCAACTGCATTCGAATCCACGCTGCACTTCTTAGGCTTTGTCGAAGAGAAAGCTCCGAACTTTCCACACCCCTTCACTTCCATCCTCACTTTTCCAACTTCATAGTACTTCAGCCCCTGGATGGCTCCACCACCATTGTACATTTCAATCAGCCCCAATGGCGCGAAGCTTACTTCTTGAGCCAAGACCTCGATAGGTGCAACGGTGAAGATCCGGAACTCGAGCACCTTAAGCGACACAGGGAGGGATGCATTGTACGGAAGGGTGGTGAGTTCGCCAGAGCCGTGACAGTAGACTGCACAGTCGCCACTCCATTTCGAGCCCACTGATGCTTCTCTGATGAGATGAACATCTCGGCCTCGAATGGAGCCCGTAAGTGCATCGTTCCTCGTTTGGTGGAACGTGTTCTTCCTCTCGGATGTGTTCCATGCTGCTCCTTGGCAGTTGTAAACACCTAGCACGCCTGAGAACTTGTTCATGTTCCATATCTTTAGCAAACTGACACCGTCGCGAGCTGGATCGGAGAACAAACAGTCCCTGGTGGGTCTGCCTGGCAGCAGAGCTCTGAGGATCGTCCCGTCAGGTAGAACCAGCTTCCTCAGCAGCTCGAAGTTGTGCTTTCCCGGCGCATCACTGAATCAGGAAGAACAGAGTAAACAAATCAACAAACAAGCTTGAAATTTCCATTGCTGAATTGGGGAGAAAGAAAGCTTTCAACTTACCTGACATAGACCGGACCGCCGCTGATAGCCCGAGCAGAGGCATGATACTCCGCCGCGGGATGGAGGGAATGGAACATATCCCAATCCGGTTGCATAATTTCACCCAAGAACACGCTGTTGTACGCCACCGCCGCTATGTGAATCGTGTGCGACACCGGATCCCGTGGGTAGAAATCGTCCGAGGCCCTCACCACCGCCGTCTGCTTCGAACTGATGAAACCCAAAGAAACAAAATCAAATTCAAACCCAAATTCCAACACAAGAACGAAAAACAGCTCTCTCTCGCTCTGAATTTGGAACTTACCAATACAATGCGTCCGTATTATGGCTCATACAAGCGATGCAGCCATTGTCAGGGAAATTCCTCGCTACCGAGGCATCAAGAGCTTGATGATACTGCCTTGTAAGCTCCACTCTTCCACCCAAACCTCCGCCGAGAGTTTCCAGTATGCACTGAACATCCACCTTCACACCGTCGATTCCTGCTGCCGCCAAATAGCTGTGGAGCTCGTTGTAGAACTTGTGCACACTCTTCGGATTCACGAGCCCTAACCCCTGAACCGCCATCACATCAGTCTTCCACGTCGGCTCATTCTCCACGACTCCCTTCGACACCATCGGATACTTCATCGCCGATTCGTACCCCTCCATCTCCTTCACCCCCGGCCGGACGCCGCCCCAGTATCCGGTGATTGCGTGCCAGACGTAGACGAATTTCAATCCGTGCCTCTGTTTGGCGATGTTGACGATGCTCTTGATCCCCGCCGCCGGATCTTCATGGTTCTGAAATTTAGGGTTTTCCTTGATTCCGGTCAATCTCATCAACGGCTGTTGTTGCTGCGAATTGGAGGTCTCTTTCTCCGGATCTCCGCCGACGGACTGCCATCCGTCGTCGATTATCACGAACTTCGGCGGCGTCCCGCCGCCGGCGAGGCTCTGGAGCCCGGCCTCGACGCCTTCCTGCGTCACGTCCTGGTAAAACGCGTCCCACGTGCACCACCCGAAGTAATCGACGATTCCGGGGAGCTTCTTCTCGTGACGGAGGCGGAACGTCTGGAGATGCGACCTAACGGCCGTCATCGCCTCCGTTATCGTGGCGAACGGATCCGTGCCGGCGTGAACGAACAGGGAGTGAGTAAACGACGACGCTTTGATGCCCTCATCGCCGCTCTCCAAAACGAGCTCCAGCTCGTCGTTTTGGTTCCCCTGAAGGCAGGCGCGGAAAGAGACCTCGATCAGAGGGAGGAAGACGGTGTAGACGATCTGATTGACTCCATCTCCGCCGTCGGATGCGAGGTGGGACCCGCTCTTGGTCTCGACGAGCAAGAACTGCGTCTCTAACGGAATATCCCTCCCTCGCTCCCCCATTCTTTGAGCCATCCACCATAGCTTGAACCGGAAGCAGGACATGAACCGGACGTCACGGAGACGGCCTAACGGAACCACGTGGCGGCTGCTTTCTTCGTCGAGCATCGCTCCGACGAAGACTCCCGCCGCCGGGCCCGAGTCGGAGCTCGACGTCGCCACCACATTGTCCGGCACTCCGGCGAGAATGGCCCGGTCTTTGACGATTAGCTTCTTGTCGGAGATCCGAACCGCCGGTTTAATCGTCATTGTTTCGGATCTCGGTTTGTTATAATCGTTAGAGATACTGCGAGTTCCGAGATATGGAGGAAGGACCCAGAAATAGAAAAGCCGTTAGTCCCTAGGAGAAAACAAAAACGAACGAATACCCTTTTCTCGGGAAGGAAAGGGAAAAACAGAGGAAGTAAAGTACCAGAAGAAGAAACAGAGAGCTTGGTGGTGGTGCGGAGAAGCAGATTGCAGAAACGAATTGAGCGGGCAAACGGTGATCGGATTGAGATTGGACGGACGATTTGGGAGGTATTTATACTGAGAGATTTGAAGTTACCACTGTAACGAGAAATTGACAGGGGCGCCATTTTTTCCCCTCTGGCCTTGCGGTTAATCTGAGTTGATCTGTTCTTATTCTCTCTTTCTCGTTGTGTTGTGTCTTTCTCTGCTTATCTGGTCTGCAGCTTTCAATTCTTCCAGTGGAGAAGTTGCGGTAGTCTTATCCAATGATGAATATCCACGTTGGATCCACGTTGCACTAAACTAATCCATTATTATAGAATCGTTCAAATAAAATAATTATGTTTGACTACCAACAAACGAAAAAGAAAATGCTGATTCCGATCCGACCTGATATGCTCACATGTATTTCGGTGTAAAAACGTTGAATATTATCTGCATACAGCTTTGATGATGTGGTGTTCCAAGCTAAACTATTTGGGAATTTAATTTAAGGCTATCCAAGTATCAATCGTAAAATCTTTCCGGCATGATTTAGTCTCTGATCCAGGGGCGGACCCAGGGGGTTTTAGGGTGTCCCCGGACACCCCTAAATTTCGGGAAAATGATTATCCAACTCTCGGTGGTAATTTACGTATAGACAAAAAAATATAATTGATAGTGAGGGACACCCCTGAAATTTGAAAAAATGATTATCCTACTGTCATTTGTGTATAAAAATATAAATGGTAGGTTGGGTAATTCAAATCTAGAACACTATAATTATTAATAAACTTAATTTTCGTTGAGCTACAACTCATTTGGTGTTCGATTTTGAACAATGTGTAATAGTAAAAGTCATTCCCTATCTCTAATTATTTCAATCTAAACTAATTTCAATCTACCCTTAATTTGTATTGATTTTATGATTGTACGAAAAGTGTTGAAGAGTCTTTCAGCTTTAGGTTACATCAAGAACAAGTTTACAAATCGAATATGCGATAAGTTCCTGAATGATTGTCTAGTAGGGTATATAGAGAATTTTTTTTAACACTATAAACACAAAGTGTATTCTACAATTATTTTCGAATATGAAAACACATCGACTTTTTTAATCTGTACGAGTAAGGTATTTTCATATTTACGATTTTATTTTTATTTAATTTATTTTTTAAAAGAGGACACCCCTATAAAAAATTTCTGGGTCCGCCACTGCTCTGATCCTAACTAAAAAGTGAAAAGTCTATAATTAAACATGTCACCCGTACTAATTTCATTTGTTTGTAGCACCACATTAGCCAATGAAATCGAATAGTCTTGTTTTTTAGAAGAAAAAAAAGTCTCCCTTTGAATACATGTAATACTTAACTTCACTCATCTATACTTCTTAAAGGATAGGCCTAGTGGTAACATGGAGATGAAAAACATTCACCATGCCCTAGTTCGAATTTTGAGGCCAACGGCCAATGAGAAAAAGAATATATATTCAATTATATACATTCCTGCATAAAATAGCACAAGTGTAAAACGAAAATCTTAGGCAATGATATATAAAGGGAAAAAAAAATAATTGGTCGAGAAAGTTAGAATTAAGATCTAGGGGGTGTTCCTTATGAAACTATAATACGAGTTTGTTTGAAGTTTGGGTATATGAATTGTGCACGACACTTTGTTTCACGAGTTGAAGATTATCTGTTTCCAGTCCACCCAGTTATTTACTCGATTAAGGGATCAAGTATTTGCTCCCCTCCAGAGCACAAACAAAAGCATCTCTACTCAAAAGTTTGGTTGTATTTGTATAAGAAAACCATTAAAATTTATCCATAATAATTCGAGTTTGCAATTCTAAAATGTTGAGTTTGAGATTGCATGAAGTTATTTTTATACTACCAATCTTAATTCGAACATCAGTGTCAACTATTGTCAATTAATTCAAGTTAAATCGGAGAAGAATATTAGTAATAGTATCATGGTTATTCAACAAGGTTTATGATGTTGTCACGAAAAGCCAACTAGGCACGAGTTGATCCTATTTAATCAAGGTTTCTGTTTGTTTTTTTTTTTTTTGCCCCCTTCAACGTCTAGAAAGTGGGATTCGATTGGGAATGGGAATTCAAATGTTACAAGTAAACAGAGTCTGAATTATTGAGAGATGAGGTAATTAAGTGGGTGATTGCGATCTTTGTACCTACCTGGCTACATATTTTAATGCTCAATGATTGCCTAACGCCAAAGCAAAACTTGTCCAACTTGCCAAATTATAAGTTGCATCCATCTTGCAACAATGTGCTGCACATAACATGTACAAGTCCACGTCACACGAAACAGAAAATTAATCATACCTATGACAATCAACACAGTAATGCCCATGAAAATGATAAAATAAATAAATTCTACTTACATGCTAAAATGTTGGCTCCTAAACGGTAACATATGAATAATTAAATATATATATATGGTGACTACTTCGATGCACTCACAAAAATGAGTGCGTTCAATGCACCTAACTCAAAAACTAGTCTTAAGGTGTCGGATTTTGAATTTTAATTTGTAGAATTACTGTAATATGATGATATAACACATGATAACAACTAATTAGCAGATTACCCTAAGCCGTAGATCTCCAATTTTGATACCTATCCCTAAACCCCAAATTGTAAACCCTAATCCTAACCCTAAATCTCTAAGGGGTCATTTGGATGCAGGTTTTGGGTGTGGGATTTGGGCACAATCCCACATAGTGTGAGATTTTAATTAAAATCACTCGTTTGGAAAGCAATTATAAGATAAGAGATTTTAAATATTAGAGATTTCAGAAACCCACAATTGTGGGATTATGAAATAGCTGATGGTCATCAGCTATTTTAAAATTCCACACAAATTCCACAATCAGTGATTTGAGCCAAAATCCCACAAATTAAAAACCTGGATCCAAATGACCCCTAAACTCTAAATCCTTCAAATTAAAGTAAATCTTCAATGGGTTTTGTGCAAATTCATGTGCATTATTGTTCATCACATCATAAGTGATGATTGACATCATTTTGACATAAATCGCATGTTTATAATGACGGTTATGAAGCGGGTGCACTGAATGCACCAAAAAAAGTGAGTGCACCGAAAATGGCAATATATATATATATATATATATATATATATATATATATATATGTTATTAAAACTCGACATGGACAGATATAATCATATATATGATTAAACTGCTGGCAACATTCACCGTTTGTAACACCAATGATTTGGCTCATTGATAAATTATGAGAAGATGAAATTGACTGAAATTCTATTTTTAAAATTTAAACCCAGCAATCATCCCCCCAAAAAAATCACTAATTACTAATTAGTGTAAGGATTTTTTTTTTTTAAGAATTAAATGGGAGGGAGATCTATCAATTTTGGTCCCAACAGCAACAGGAGGGTGGGGATAACTAATCCTCTGTGGATATGTGTTTACGGCATGCATGGATGGATCATGGATGTCCAGCAGCTTTTTATTCTAGTTGGCAACTTGCAGGCAGTAGTGTCGAAATCGCCACTCGCCCTTGCCTCGAAGCAATATCATTTCTCCACCATGTGGCGATCTCAGTCAGACCTCTATGCACTAGCGTGACCATACTGTGTATTTTTTAAAATCAATTTTGAATTGGAAATTTTCGAGAAGATTTTTTTAGTGTGGAGAGTAAGATCGGTAAACTACGGGAACAACTTTAATCTAAGAGTTCAAGCAAAATTAATAAAATAAATTTCGAATATAAAACGTGGATAAAAAATTAAAAATGGTTAAATAAATTTTTTTAGATTTATTTCAAATATTTTTTTTAGATTCATCTTATATTATTTTTCTAGATTATTTTTTAATTTAACATAATATGAATGAAAGAAACTTATGCTTTCTGAAAATACATATCATGGTAAAATTAATTATGTATTTTCAAATTATTTTGTAAAACTATTACAACTTTTTGAAAATCATACTTAATTTGGTTTGGTTTCAATTTTTTTTAACATTTTTAACAAATCGAGCCAAATATAGGCTATATATAAGAAAATAAATTATATATTTGTTAACCCTTTATTTTTTGTAGAAAATTTAATCTTCCTTTTCCCCTTCTCTTACCTCCCTCCCGTATGGTTGGTAACATTTTCTGGGTAATTATTATAAATTGTAACAAAACTATTCACTTTATACAAAACGATCACAATTCTTTAATTTTACACGTTTCAATAACACAAGTTTGAGTGAATAACGAATTAGTCAGTCCGTCCACTTTCGTCCAATGATCCGTTACTTTTTCTCAATCAGCATGACATGTTATTAAAAATATTAATAAAAAATTAATTACTCACCCAATTAACCCACACAACCCAACCGGTTGTATCCTAATACCCACCCCCTTCCATCCGCGTGAAGAAGTCGAAGCAAAACCCTATAGTCTCCGTCTCTCCGATGTCGTCTCCCACCTAGCGCACCACTGTTTCAAATCCCGGTGGAGCCATCCCCCATCCCTCCTCTCTTCTAGCCAGGACCGGCTCTCTTCTCCTCACTTCTCCCAAATTTCCCTCCTGTTCAAATCGAATCCTCACCTTGCCCTCAGTTTCTTTGATTTTAGCCGCCGGAATTCCTTCCTCTGCCTTCACAACGTGTACTCTTTCGAGGTAAGGCGACACAACATAACCTTGCAAGTCACTCCATTGATCTCCACAACTCTCATGGATCCTGTCATAACCTCCGTCCACCAGATCTGCCTCTTCTCCGACTTGTACTGACTGGCATAGTTAGTAAATACTCCGTTTAATACACGTATATGTACCCGTACGCAATGTAGTTAAACTATAGTTTTTATGTATAAGCGGAATGATGGGTACAAACTTAAGCGTAAAAGCGGAGCGTAAGAACGTAAGTTTATATGAACCATTGAAATTGTGAAAAATCAACTTAAAAGACTAATATGATGCACACACAGAAAATTGGAAAAGATTTTGAACTAGAGTACATTCTAACTCAGAACAGGTTCATAAACATAGAAAAAGAGTTGAATCATACGCTAATATGAATCATAACTCAGAAATATTCATATTATGGACATCACAAGCCCTCCAAAAAAATTGATCATGATTTATGCTACATTTGGGCAGCAACGTCCACATTTCCATCCAAATCATATCATCTTAATTACCGCCATCGTCATAGTTGTTATTGTCACTAACATCATGCTCCTCATAAATACATCAATCCTCATTCATGTTAAAAGAATCACTTTGAAGCCAGCGGCATGATCACTTTAGTTTTTTCATCTATAAAAAATCATTTGACCATCCCATGACATGCCAAATCGCTCCATAAACATTATCGTTAAAAGCTCTTATAAGCGTCCTAAAAGCTAGCTTTTAAGGATTTTTATGCACATATTGTGGTTTTGAAGAGTTTATATTAAGCTTATGATGCCAAAAGATTTTTCAAAGAAAAATACTATATTGGAGGAGGTAAGAACTTAAAAGCGTAAGCTTTTAGGCTTAAACTATAGCTTTTAACTACATTGCCCGTACGTACTTTATCTGTTTAAAACTTCCGTATCCGTATTATTGTCAAGTCGTTCAATTTTTTTTTCGTTCATTTGATGTCTCCCGTACTAAACACATGTAAAATCCGTATAACACGTTTAATATCCGTATTTAATGACTTAAATTGTTAACTTTATAATTATTTATATATTTTATTATTTTTAAAATAATTAATATTATATATTTATGACTATTAATGTACTATTACACGTAACATTATATTAGAGACGAAATAAATACCCGTACGTATTTTATACGTAACATTCTCATACCGTATTTTACTAACTATGGTGACTGGTAGCCGTCCCTTTATCTTCCACCTCCCTGCATACGCACAGAACACACCATCATTAAATTTTAATAGAAGTTAAAGGAAGATGGTTCTTGAAAATGAAGGCAAAAATTAATTACCTCAAGAAGAACTTCTCCCAGCAGCTGTAACCTTTGAGCGAGGAGATTAATGGCAGAAGCACTGGAAGAAAGATCAGTAAAGTGGCGTTTGCTTCGGCTACTGCACACAGATGGAAGGGGTGGGTATTAGGGTAAAACCGGTTGGGTTGTGCGGGTTAATTGGTTGAGTAATTAATTTTTTTATTAATATTTTTAGTGACATGTCATGCTGACCGGGCAAGAGTAACGAAATTTGGGACGGAAGTGGACGGATTGACCAATTCGTTATTCACTCAAACTTGTGTTATTAAAACGTATAAAATTAAAGAATTGTAACCATTTTGTACAGAGTGAATAGTTTTGTTACCATTTATGATAACTACCCAACATTTCCTCACCTACTGCTTAACTCGATCGGGAGTGCTTTGAAAATTTTGGACGGGGTGAATGCAGTGGACTGGTATCATGGATGAATCTGGAAATCTAATTATTTCTACCAACCTCCAGAATGTGCTACATCGATCGATCTATCAATGGTTGGGAGACCAATCATCTGGGAAGGGGCGAGAAGCAGAATTCAAAAGTCGATCCGAGTCATTTGAATGGAGTCAGAGACATGTAATATGTAAATGATTGATTCTCAGATTTTGTGGGGTGTGTTGGATGGCAATGGCATGGTGATGGTGAAGGACTAATGGTGGCTGAGGCCTGAGGGTTACATGACAAAAGGAAATATTTATTTGACCTATTCGCCACCTGATTTATGTAAATATCATTGTTATAACAACCAAACTGATCAACGGTTGAACCAGTAGAAACGCCAAATCAGTTACGATAGCGGTACAGTTCATTGTTTGGACGGTTATTGATGAACCAAATAGTTTTTCACGGTTCAACATAAAATCAGATAAACCACCACGATTTAATTGGTCCGCTGGTTCACTGTTTTAACCACAAATTAAAACAAAATATATCGAAAAAAAAAACAAATAGAGATAGAATCAGACAAATTCCCTAAATGTCCCGGCGATTCACGGAAGGTGAGAATGAGATGAATAATTCTCTCCTTCTGAAAGAAATTCAACGTAAACCTAAAACCATCAAACTAAAATTATTAATTTTATTTCTACTTCCCTTCTCATTTTCACACCCTACTCCTAGTATTAATACATTCAAGTAAATAACAAAGACATGAAGTTGTGTGATCTTAATACCCTAGATCCAATAAAATAACAAAGACCGCAAAAGTAAGAGCAACCCAACTTCCATCATGACATTATAAACATAATGTCATATAGAGACTTGTATCCCTCTATGATCTTAATGTACTGTGTTTGAGTGGGGATCGTTTTGACTTCAGTAGGGGAAAGGGTGAGATGCATATATGCTTATTGAATGTCATACAATCCTCTCCCATGTTGCTTTATTTTTGCTCTGTACCTATGCTATCTTTTTAAATTTCTAATACAATAAGTTCATCGTTACTAAAAAAAATGTCACATAAATACATGATCGTTTCTATTCTCCATTGAATTGTGATATGTGGAGAGTAGAGTAGAGAAAGTGGCGGAGTGGTTGCTAACATGCATTGGGGAAGTGACCTACGTCCACCCACAGTCTCGTATGCTAAACAGCTAAACCGCAATCTAGACTATAACAGACCAAGAGATCAAAACAATCTTGTTTCGTTGTAAAAGTTTGACGATATGAATATTCCTGTCTATGAACGATGGTGATGGCGATGGCGTGTTTTCCCGTCCTAAGCAACCACCAACAAAAAGGGAGAACATCGAAAGCGTATGACTAGGACGAGTCAGCCCATTAACACACAACATAAGCAGGCCTTTGCATCGTCCAATGAATTCAGGAAGTCCAATTGAACTTCCTTTCCCCACGTTTCCGTGTCCCGCGTGGACAAGGAACTGAGCTGGAGCCGTTCGTGTCCTCCGTCAAATTCATCGACCCCTCCCCTGGCCTTTTTCTATTTCTAACCTTTACTTTTGGACAGTAGCCATTTTGGCTCCTAACATATATACTTTTTACTCCCCTGTACATTATCTATTAACGAGAAAGCTCCTAAATTTGGTAAGTTTCATATACCAACTCTTTCCGTCGGAGTTCACATTTTCCTTGGTTTGTATTAGGGATGGATTTTCGGTTTTTTCGGTTATAACCGGTAACCGAACGATCGGTTATCGATTAACCGAAAGGCCGATCCCCCCCAACCGACAACCGACCAAAATAGGTTTTGGTTATCTCGGTTATCGGTTAACCACCTCTCCTCCAGGACCGAAACCATCTCGTCCAACTTCAGATAACAGACCAAATTCCAGTTATACCGGTTAGTGGATAACTGACCGATTATCGATTTAACCTACCGGTTAACCGGTTGCCGACCTCCACCCCTATTTGTATTTGGTTGTGGCTCATGGGTGGGTTTTGATTAAGTTATCGTGCAAATTAGTGGGGTAAAACTTAATGCCAACATTTTTTGTCAGAGTTAACATTTCCATGATTTGTGTTTGATCGTGGCTATTGGCTCGTGGGCTTTGATTAAGTTACCGTACAAACGAGTGACTTAAAACTTAAAGGTAAGGTAATAACTAACTTCAAAAAAAGGTATACATACAATGACCCGTTTCACTCTTTTCAATTGAGGTCCTATACTCTATCATCTATTTGGTAGTCAAATCACAACAGCAATTTACTACAAGCCATATCAATATGATAAACTATACACAAAAATTTATACTAATAAGTAATTAAACAATAATTGTACCATCCTATATCATTTAACTTGTGCTGCACGATCTCAGATAATACGATTTCACAAATCATGTTATACTTTCTCATCCCATCGACCCATCCCATTTCCCATCATGACAAATTTCTCCCACTTTTAGCACCGGTGAGCTCGTTAGTTTACTTGTCATCTCTAGGACCAGCTGGTTGAATACAATATGCATAACAAGTAGGTCCACGGTTTGATGGTTGGCATTGGCATGAAAGACAAAGGAAGAGAGCTAGCAAAGGGAGCTCGGTAGTTTTGGCGTGATTCGGGCAGATTTGGGAGAAGTTATAATGTTCAAGGACTAGATTGAGAGGAGTAAAAAGTTATGGGCTCGATTCGAGAACAATGCCGAAGTTCAAGGGCAAAATTCGTCATTAGTTCTTTCCTTTTTCGAAAATTCGGTCCACTCCCCCGCCTCAGCCTATCTTCTATCTTTCAATCCAGTCCTCCAACTCCAAATCCCTAATCTTCATCGTCTAATCTCAACGTCCTCTTCCTCACCTCTCTTTCTTTTGGTCGTCTTCCTCAGACCAACTAAGGTACTGTGATTCTCTCGCTCTTTCATGGCTTCCCATTTAAGTTTCGGTTAAACTGCAGCTATGAGGTTTTACCGGGAAAGTAGCGTAAAATTGGAGAAGATTCGGTCAAAATTGGCGACGTGCTAAAATATCAACAGCCAAGCTCCAATCAATTCGGACAGATTATTCGCTGACCTTCTGTCTCCCCATATTCCTAGGGTTTCGTATTCCATCTCTTTCCCTCTATCAAAAATCCACATTGTCGCTTCCCTCCCTCTCTCCCCTCTCGCCGGTCGGTGAATTTTCCCGGAAAATTTAGTATTTTCCGAAAATAATCCCGACCCGCGACTGATCCCCCCTCCCCTTCCCCTGAATTCCTCTTCCCCCAATTTTGAATCATCTTCCTCGTGAAGATTTTGATTAATCGGAATATCTATTTGCTTTGGGTTGACATTGCTTTGGCGATCGTCAAACTTTTCAGGTTTTGCTTTTGGAGATCTTTGTCGATGTTCTTTTCCTTCATTGTCGTCCGCTTTCTCTGTTACGGTGCCTTGAAATTTGGGAAATGAATAAGCTATAAGGTTTGATTTTGTTGCAGGGAGCTTGAAGGAAAAGAGAAGGGAGAATCGCCGCCAATTTGTTATTTACATGGCGAGTCAAGGCGGTTCTTCGAGGAAAAGTTTGACGTTCTCCAGCTCCTCTGTGAATGGCCGGAGGAAATCCGCCGCTGACATTGGAGCTACTGGTGACCCGCCGCGCAAATCAATCGTCATTTCTCGTCCTGTGTAAGTTCTGATTTCGTCTAACAGGGTTCCGAGATTGTTTCGTGGGCGATCAGATTTGAGCTTGACGCTTTCCTTAGCCGATTGGTTTCTGAGATTATTTCCGATTCTATCTCCTTAAGTTTGTTTTATGTTGATGTTCATGGTCGTAATATTTCATCATCGAAGCCTGACTAATGATTTAGTCTCATGCCAATTTGTAATTCAAGAGATAATTTACTGGATGGGTACTGGAAAGAACATCGCTCTTTTCTGTAGCAATCACGGTGTAAGAAATGTCTGAAATCAAATCAACAAATATTTCGAATTGTCCTGATGAGCTTGAGCTTCATGATGATACACTATGTATTTCAATTTATCGGAAATTTGGAGCATTTGTAGAAAATGTGACAGGACCCTTGTCCTGTTTGCTTTTAGACAGTCAGCTGCACGTATGCATTCTTGTTGTTAATATGATCGAAAATTCAAAAGTTGCATGTTACTATAGTTGTTTCGCTCTCACATCAGAATAGAAGTAGTGATTTGTTTGTCCCTGCTAACACAACATGGCTCTCAAACGAACTCCTTTGTTTTATGGCAGAGGTTTAACCGGAGAGCGTACTGTTAAGCGATTGCGTTTGTCAAAGGCTTTAACGGTACCTGAAACTACAAGTATATATGATGCCTGCCGACGTATGGCTGCCCGAAGAGTTGATGCATTATTGCTGACCGATTCAAATGCACTGCTCTGTGGAATCCTTACGGACAAGGTTTGAAACATTATCATAATTACCAGCTTGCTGGAAGGGAAGTTTCTTCAATGAACGTCACTTACTTGCCGCCTTTAACCTTTTTTCTTCTGATGTATTTCGTGTTAGGACATAGCGACCCGGGTCATTGCTCGGGAGATCAATCTCGAGGAGACTCCAGTTTCTAAAGTAATGACGAGGAACCCGGTTTTTGTTCTCTCTGACACTCTGGCTGTGGAAGCTTTGCAGAAAATGGTGCAAGGTTTGTAATTAGGTAGCAAGTTGCAGGTTGTTTCTCGCCCACTCACCTTAGCATACTGATCCTGATAGTTTTTATATACAGGGAAATTCAGACATTTGCCTGTTGTAGAAAACGGGGAGGTTGTCGCTTTACTTGATATAGCCAAGTGTTTATATGATGCTATTGCCCGTATGGAAAGGGCTGCTGAAAAGGGGAAGGCGATTGCTGCGGCTGTTGAAGGTGTTGAGAAAAATTGGGGTGCTTCTGTTTCTGGTTTGTCCATGTCTCCCTATGTAACTTCTAGGCAGACATCTTCTTAAATCAGTTGTTGGATATGTTACAGTTGTCGGTTTGGTTTACGTTTACTTAATATGTTATTATGATTGGCTTGCAGGACAAAATTCTTTTATCGAGACACTTCGGGAACGGATGTTCAGGCCTTCCTTATCAACAATAGTTCCAGAGAATTCAAAGTAGGTAATATTTTGGTTCCTTTCATTTTCATGCAGAGTGTACCCTAATTTCAAGTTTTTGCAGGTTGATTATTGTGATTCTATTGTGATATCTTTCAGGGTTGTAACAGTTTCACCGACTGAAACAGTTTTGGCAGTGACAAAGAAGATGCTTGAATCTCGGTCAAGCTGTGCTGTGGTGATAGTTGATAATAAACCACGCGGAATTCTTACGTGAGTCCTTGTACCCTTCATTTAAATGTGGACCTGGAGCCAATGGAAAGTACTTAAAATATATTCTGTTTCTCATATGACCAAATTGTAATGTAAGAGTTATTCCAATTCCTGGGGTAAAGAATGGTGAGAGAAGGAAACTTATGTTTTAATTAGAAATTTTTGCTTTCTTCCTGGCGGAAAGCCTTAAAATCAGGTAATTTGTGCTTTTGATTTTCAGTTCAAAAGACATCTTGATGAGGGTGATTGCACAAAATCATGCCCCAGATTCCACCCTTGTTGAAAAGGTATCCTTCTTTTGTTAGTTGCATCATTGGCTCTGTGTTTTCCTGAAAAGACATCAGTGTTCATGTGTTTGGCGTGTTTCTAAATGTCCCATAGGCATATTACCTAGTGCTTGTAGCTACGGGAACATGTTGAATATCATCACTTCTCTTTTTCAACGTAAAAGAGACAATCTTGATTGAGGTTGTTTCCTTTGTTTGCACCTGCAGGTCATGACTCCTAATCCTGAGTGTGCAACGACTGATACACCAATTGTTGATGCCTTGCATACGATGCACGATGGAAAGTTTTTGCATCTTCCTGTTGTGGATAAGGGTAATGTGTTTGTCACAAACCAACAGAAAGAAGTTTATTTTATCCATCCCTTTGTTCTTTTATTGATGAATACGTGGATGGGTACAGATGGTGTTGTAGTTGCTGTTATAGATGTGATTCACATAACTCATGCTGCTGTGGCCACGGTAAGTAGAGCTGTTCCTTTTATGCACTGTAACTTAAGTTGTGTACTATGAGTCAAACATCTCCAAGGAGATTAATTAGATATGCTGCCCACTAGTCACTACTGTGTATTCACATTCTTCCTGTGTTAAAACAGGCTGGGAATGCCGGGGCAGTAAGTAATGAGGCCACGAGCACAATGATGCAGAAGTTTTGGGATTCTGCAATGGCATTAAGTCCTCATGATGACGATGATGAGTCTCGGAGGTTTCATTCTTCTTTCTCATACTTCTCATCAGACTAGGATTTCTGATTAGTTGTTTTGTCTTCTTATGTGGTATTGTTTGTAATTCAGCGAGGGATCATTGAAACTGAATTCTGAAGGAACAGAGTCTGGGAGAACCCTTCCCTATCCATCATCGTCAGTGCCAAATACATTTTCTTTCAAGATTGAAGATAAACGAGGAAGGATGCACAGATTTACATGTGGTATGATTTTCTTGTCAGCCATTGTTTGGTCGCTCGGTATTTAGTTTGTGAAGTTCTGCATTTGCATGATACGGGTGCTTGAATTTGACTCAACTATCCTAAACTTAGGGTTTTATAGTGCGGCAGCTTGATAGACTAGAAGAATAATCAAAAGCCTCAGTTCATCTTGTCGTGGTGGGTTTAGAATCTTATGCTAATGAAATGAGTCGTTGACATTGTCATTTATCTTTTTTACACAAATAGAAACTCGAAGTTTGACGGATCTAATAACAGCTATTCTTCAACGGATTGGGAATGATATCGACCGCAGTAACTTGCCTCAAATTTTGGTACGTCAGCCTTCGTTTGTCATGGCTCTTAGCTTCCTAATTTTGCTCTCTCTTGGAACACAATATGCTAATGCGTGGCCATGTTCAAAAAGTATGAAGATGAAGACCATGACAAAGTTGTTATCGAGTGCGACAATGATCTATCAACTGCCGTAGAGCATGCGAGAGTAACCGGTTTAAAGGTAACCCATTGTGCAGAACATCCTTGTCTTTGTCATAGTAGGAAATCCGAATTCCCGACGGGATGTTGGATTGAAGCGTTCTATGGATTTTGGTGTGCAGGGTTTAAAATTGCATTTAGACTATTCGGGAGTGAAGGGTCATAGAAGAGGGAGGGGGATGCAGCAGTCTAGTTCAGGAAGTTTAGATTACGCACAAGGAGATGCGTGGGCAACTGCTTATAGTACAGTGGCAGCAGGTGCAGCATTGGTTGCTGGGTTAGGGTTTTTTGCTTATTTGAAGAGATCTGGTAATTAATACACACGCATAAACTTACCAGCTAAATGGTTTTTTGTTTAGTTGATAGCCAGTTTGTTGTACTCTGAATCTTGAACTATCCTGTAAACAGAGGGAAACCGGGAGTGTTGGAGGGGCAATACCTCTCGAATGGTTTTTTTTTGTAAACATATTGGCCAATGAAATAGTGATTTGGGTGCTTGCTAACAGTCTTTTTCTTTGCTACTGTGTAAGCACTGATCGTTTTGAAAGAAATATATAATGTTCAATGAAGCTAAATCAATTTTGCAAGGAAGCTAAATAAGAATGGACCATAATATTAAAACCAAGCGTTGAGACTAAATCACATGTATGATGCACCTGAAATTCTGGATCATAGCATTTACACTACCATATATAATTGAACATTAACCACGAAATTCCTAATTTATCAAGGTGATAAGTAGCAGGGAAAAAGCAGTTTAAGGAAAGCAGTTTCAGGACCCAGATCGGCGAGTGTCTTCAACGACTCACTGCCACTGATCGTTTGCTTTGTTGCAGTGACTATTGAGGGAAAGTTTGTGTACAGACGATAAAAACGATGGGCTTGGTGGTCTGGTGGTAGTGAGTTGGGCATTCCCAAATTTTGTATGGTTTTGTTTTGTTTTGTCTACTCATTATGTGAAGAGGACAGTCCAGCTGCGACACTGACAAATTGGTGGCAAAGGTGACCGCTTGTTACTTGTGAGTTGTGACTTATACCCTTCTAATAGAGAATCACTGCAATAAACATCTAATAAAAATACATCTATATTAACCTTTACGACGATAATAACAATTACATTGGTTTTAATTTTTTTTTAATTAAAACTATGCACGGAAATGAAACTAACCAGAAAAACGATTTCAACATAAAAAACAACAAAAACTAAAGCACTACAACTAATGAATCCAATAATTTAATATAACTGACTGGTTTTCATTCTACATACAAAAAACGCAATGTGCATCATATACAGTGGCAGAGCCAGAAAATTGGTCAAGGATTGTCTTTATCATATCATAAAAAATCACCTATACAATAGAAAAATCAACTTTAAATGAAACAAAAAGTCAACAACGCAATACTCTAAATTCATACAATTACATTAAAATAGTTTCACGTACACCGGTTACAACGTCAAACAAATAAGTTCAGTACATACAAGTCAAGACTTCCATTCATCAAATATTACAAATTAGAACTCAGAAGTACCTTGGAATTGATTTTGTGAAACAAACAAGTGAACTTCAATTGGTACTTATTCACTTTCAGTCTTGTTTAAACAAAAGACAAGAAATTTCTCTGTTATAAAGCTACAAAAGAAATGAGCGAGTTTAAACAAAAGACAATAATTTATTACTATAAATAAAGACGAAAGTGCATTGCATAACAAAACTCACTCAATCAAGATGGTAAGAAATTCTTCTTGCAACTGAATAGTCACTTATTCGAATTTGTATATACCCCTACTCGAGAATTTTTTCTCCAAACCCAAGGTAGGTGCTTGTGGCTCCGCCACTGATCATATAAGTTCGGAAATTGGCCCAACCCGTCAACCCGAGCCGACCCAACAGTAAAATTGGAGGTTTACAAATAATAATAACTTATTTATTTATCAAATCTCATAAAAAAATTATATATTTTTTAAAGAGAGCACATGCAATTTTCAATTCTGACTCCGCCACTATGCATGGGATTGCCATCATGAACCACTATGCATGGCGTGCTCCAATGTGTACCCATCATGGTCCCGACACACATAAACAACTGCTTGCATGCACAACAGACAAAAAATGTGTAATTGGTTAAAAATGATAAAACTTAAAGAAATACGTCACCATTATGGTCTGTTAGTTCTAGATTAGCTTGTTACCTATGAGATGGAGCCCAGAAAACCACGATGGCAGGCCAGGGAGATTTCCGCTATGTATATAGGCCCGATTGCGCGCCCAACACCGAGGCCCACACCCATGAGGCCTCGTTTGGCTTTGCAGGTCTTGAACGTTTGCTCGACGTAGAGCATCGCATCACCGACGGTGTACGCAACTGCTCCGAGGGTGTTGATGGCCATCTCGGGCGTGGTGACCTTCTGGATGATGCAACTCATAGGGGTGGGCAACGGGAAACGAGTATTTGGGTATACCCATACCCGTCCCGTCTTTTAAGGGTTACGGGTACTCATATTACCCGTAATATTATGAACGGATGGGACTTGGGATTGTACATTCCTAATATGGGTACCCGCGGGTTACCCGCAATTACCCGTTTGGGTAATGTGGGTACCCGTTTTACCCATTTGCGAACTCTAATCCATAGAAAGGGAATGTCCACTTCGCCACAAAGATGAAACTTTTCTTAGCAAAGAAACAAAGAACGCTATGTGAACATAATACTTGTAGACTCCCTTTTGTTAAATGAAACTTCTTATTTGATAATTTGGTGCTTACAATGATTTATTTCTATGCGTTGTGATTGTTCATGATTTGTGTTGAATGAAACTTCTTATTTGATAATTTGGTGCTTAGAATGATTTTTTCTATGCGTTGTGATTGTTCTTGATTTGTGTCTTGTGATTGTTAAGCAAGTACAAGTTAAGTTTAAACTTTTGTTAAAATTTGAGTGGTTTAAACTTTGGGTATTTATGGATAGTATGGGTACCCGTTATCCGTCCCGTACGGGTAATGGGTACCCGTTTCCCATATAGGTTTGGGATATGGGATGGACTTTGGCCTCCAAATGGGACTGAGTACCCGTTTAAAACGGGACGGGTATCCCGTCCCGTCCCGTTGCCCACCCCTAGATGCAAGGACGCAATGCAAGAGAATATGGGGTCCACTAGAGCTGAAGCTGAAGAACGAATCCAGTAGCTGAAGTTGGTGGCGCACAACCTGGACGATATCAACGAAACACGACAGATTTCTATCGGTCAACGGCATCCTGCTGGCGTCCTTTAGGAAGATGAAGACTGCTCAGCGAGACGTTCATTGTACTTACCTACACTGAGCCAGTCCTCATGGGACTCAGAGGCCACCTCTTCCGATGAGTGGTTGATCCGGGGAGCAGTGGCGCTTACGGGAGCAGAGTATGTGCTCGACGCAAAGCAGTGTCGCGCCGACGGTGTACGCAACTGCTCTGACAAGGAATGTCCGCTACCGGTCGACAATACTCATGACTAAACCCATCAAGAGAGCACTAAATAAGATTAAGCCCCTGATATAGTCCTTGAATTCATCTATGCTTTCATCGAAGCTCTCTTAAATCTTGTTAATCCCATACATCACTGCCAAATTTGAGAGGGGAAATGAACGAGAGAAAAACTAATTAAACAAGCCATCGTCGTGATTACCATAATTCAGCAGGAAAGCTAACACATACTGTACATATAGATAGTGTTAATTAGTAATGTACATACCATAACCGAGAAGAAAGAAAGGGAAGTAAGCGATGACGACTGAGAAAATGGTGAACCCATTTGGCACCATATAACAATACTTTAGTTTTCTCAAAATCTACTTACAGAAAAGCAAAAGAAGACAACTTTTCTTTTGAAGCCGGTGCATATGTTATATAACAAAGATTTTCCTCATATCATCTTATGCATTGTAATATATGCTATGGATGTATAGTAAACTATATATTTTATAGTTAGTTATGATTCTATCTAATAATTGGTGGAAAAAGAATATGAGTTGGTTTATGGATAAATTCACAAATAATCCAGAAATATTGGAACAGTGAGTTAGTATATACATAAACTAACCTTGGCACGTAGAGCCAAGGGACTGGCCCACCATGGCTAGGGTCACTCCCACGACTCTAGTAGGAAGCATCAACGCTTTCGGTCCATAGAGCCAAGGGACTTGCCCAAGACCTAACCCCGTACCGTCCTCGAGCCCCACAACCCCCGCCATGTAGTGCTTGAATGTGGTGCCACGAATGATTTGATCGCGTTGGCCTGCCAACATCGCTCCACCCAAAATCGTTGTGGCCATCATTACCATCGATGTACTAAACAACATCGGTGATATACGGTTGTGACCAAAACATCACTCCAATAGGAACGAGGAAAGCAGAGAGCCTAGAAACTCCACGCCGATAAGCATTTGGACAGAAACCAGGTAAATTTATCGGGAGTCTTCGCCATTTTGGGCAAGCATCTTGATATAGTGCAGGACAACGTACTCCCCGAACACCCGCTGGAGGGCTTGTACACTGCTGCGACCAAGATGATCCCCCAAGTCCCTCTGCAAGAAAGCTGGGTCCACATCCCTGGTATCCCACTGAGGGTCGTCTCGTAGTATGGTCACTAGTCGACGCTGAGAGAATAGTGTAAAGAAACTAGAAAGAGAAGCTTAATGATAACATCAATGTTGGGTTTGGCCCTTAAACGAATGGTGCATCATCTTATTTATAGCGCAAGTAGCTGGAGCACATTGTAAGAGATCAAAACTTAACAAATCATTTTCCAATAACTCTAGTTATTGGGACCAAGTGGTTTATTCGTTAACATTGTAGCAAATCCTTGAACCGAGAGGTCTTCATTTCGAATCCTTTTGATGACCCACAATTTAACAAATAATTTGGCATAAGGGATGTAATGGCCAACTTAGGCAACTAAAATCCTAATGGTTTAGCATTACAAGAGATTATATATTCAACCAAATGGTTTGTTTAATAACAAAACTGCAAGTAGACTAACTTTAAGGTTAAAGTGAGAGAATTAATTCCTTTTTTTAGTTTTTCAATGAGAGGTGTCATGACCTTACTCTTGGTTGTGCGACCTTAGCTCTCCATTCTGTTAGAGATGCTAGGAAGTCTTCTCTCACACTCACAAGCTCACAAAAAAGACAAAGGAAGTGGGAGAACTATCTAGGTGTATTACTCTGAAAAATAAGGAACGAGTTACAAGTGAGGGAAATGGCTCCTCATATCAGTTCCTCTTCATAATGGTCTCTCTCATTACTACACCTATTAAGTCCCCTCCAGTAATGCACTCTCATAATGCCACTCATAATATGGCTCATAAGTGCGCCACTAAGCTCATAAAGGTGGAAGAATCCTAGAGGCATCTCTATGCTTCTAGTCTTCCATACACGCCACATGTGCAGAGCGCTATGTCGTTGCCATGTTGTCGTCATGTCATCTGCCACATGTGACATTCTCCCCACCTATGCTTGCGGCGTCCTCGTCGCGTCCTCTTGATGGAAAGTCTCGATCAAGTCCTTGTTCTTCCATAGCGTGAGCTCATTCTCCCAACTCGCCTCGCTCTGCGGAAAGTTTCGCTACTTGACCAAGTACCCCACATGACTTGGATGAATGCCACAACGAGGAATGACGCGATGGACCATGATTTTTTTGACTTCGTGTTCATATGTATTGGTGACCAGTATGGTGCTCGATGCGACTCCTTCCGCTGTTCATCCTCTTTGTCTTCATTGAAAGTCTTGAGTTGGCTCATATGAAAGACAGGGTGGATCTCCGAATGCGTCAACACCTCCACCTTGTACCTTACCTTCCCAATCCTCTTTAGAATAGGGAATGACCCTTCATAGCGGCGAAACAGTCTCCTGTGATCATTCTTGAGATGTGGATTTGAAATTTTACCCAAGCATCACCCATCGGCTCTATACCCGTTTCATAACTAGAAAGATCTGTTGACGGGAGAGGGTGAGGTCTGAGTCCTAAGACCACCGAACTTCAAGATTTCTTTATCAGGTTGACTCATTTGATAGTTCCTTGCCAAGATTCACAAAGGTTGTAATAGGTAGCCGTTTGCGGTTTTGATTTAAACCGATCGCAACCGTGAATTACTTAAAAAGCAGATCGCATGTAAAACCGTTAGCTTTATGATGCGGTAAGGAGCGACCGCAAATGCGATTCGGTACGATTTGGTGTAGTCCAACTGTTATAAACGCGCTGCTACGGATCGGGAAATCGTTGGAATCGATAAAGCAAGAATATGAAAGCGAGAATCGAAAAACACAGACACACGATTTACGTGGTTCACTAACACGATGTGTGTTAGCTACGTCCACGGGCGAGAGAGAGCCAGTTTCACTATATCGAGGAGATTACAGAGGAGTATGAGAAGTATTTAATATTTATAGTACTTCTCCATGTTGGTCTAAACCTAATCCAATCTGGCAAAGAAAATGATTACAGACCAGGCCCAGAACCCGAACCCAAATAACATTGAGCCCATACCGATCCACCCCTACTGGCGAGTCCCTTTTTGACTCAATTTGTTTAATTTTCATATTTGCATTGAACGAATGTTAAAAGCTCACTCAGTCGCTATCAAACAATCGAGACTAGAAAAATAACAATTAAAGAAATTTAGAGTCTATGAACCGAACACATCTCTATAAACTAACTTGTTATTCAACTTTTCTTTTCCTTTCACTAGCTAGATTACCTTCAAAATTTAATAAAAATTTTCGACGATGAAGAAACTAAGAACATGCATTTGGATCTTGGTTGATTTGTGAAGCAGGAAACTCTGGTACCATATGAGATTTACTTGAATTATTGTACTCATCAGACTTCAGAGTACCCCTCAATTGACCATGCAAGCCGTGAAACATTTGCAAACTATTCCATCACTATACCCATTGGGAATCCGCCCGAAAACGGAATCTCCAAACTTACGCCGGCATGCCTCGTCACATATATTGCGAAAAGGATTACATTTCCGTATGTAATCCCCTGGGAATCCCTTTATTTGGATTGTATCAAACTCACAAAAGGATGGATGAGGGTGTGGAAGAGGAAGTTTTACGGCCTCATTCCCTATTTCATCACAAACAATCACAAAAAAAGTCAGTTTAGTTCACTTACATAATGTATGAATTTATAAAGGAAAGCAAATTATGTAACATTAAGAGGCATGAAAATTGACATGAATCCATAAAAAAAGACAGAGAAATAACTAATCACCATGAACGAGACTAATTGTCATCAAAACAAAGACGCATATCGATAAATTTTGGGGTTTCATTGTTGCGTTCTCTCCTTTTGGTTACTGTGGGTGTATGGGTTATTGGTAACGAGGGGAATTTTCAAACTGCACAATCATTTTTAGCTGCATATATAAGGACTCCTCCTTGATTTTTGTAGATCCTAACTTCTTCGGAATAATAGGTCAGGTGAGAATAAACTTCGGCGAATTCATGAAAGAGAGACCCTTTCACTATTATTTTTCAATTGATAAATTTTCGAGCTCATGCTTAAATCATAAATGTAGGCCAATCTTTGATGATCTCGATTGTTATAGCAAAATCTATTCAAAATATATAAAAATAGTCAATTTTTTTATGCCCCTTCACAAATATAACCACTTTATTCCTACCCAAATATATATATATATATATATATATATATATATATATATATATATATAAATATAACCACATTATTGACTTAATAGAAATGTGATGTCCTTAACTTAGTAAAGTTTTTCCTTACTAGTAAGTATTCAACATATTAGTACTTATCAAGATTCAAGACAATTAAAATTATTACTCTTATTTTTAAAATATTGTACATTTTGAAGTAGGTAGAGTACTTAAGACATATATCCCACTACATATACAATCCCGTCAATATGACATACCATATGTCACTACGTATCTTTAATACTAGTAACGAAAACACGAGCACATACTACTCCGCAATGCTGCCCACAATCACGAACGGTGATCGGACCTTGAACCGAGGGTTGGTCCAAGTGATCCACCCGAACACAACCCGATCCACATCGATGGGACCCGTTGACGTAAACGTCACATTGAACAAATGCCTCTCCCCCTTGTTCGCAAAACACAACTTCTCAGGGGACACCTGGACACCTACCTCCGATCTTAGCCCCTGATCATTCCCACCGCCGAACCTAATCGTGGCCGTGTAGCTCCAATTCCCATCAGATGCCACATTGGTCAGCCCCCTCGTGATGGTTCTCGTCTGGTTCGGAGCTAAGCGGACAGCCATGGAAGGATAGTTGAGATTGGAGACGAGGTCCGGGTTGGAGTTCAGGGGACACGAGAAGTTCAACGAACGAGCCGCTCTCGAGATCAAACGGACGGTGGATGTGTCGTAGCCGTAATAACACAGGAACAACAAGTAGTCCCTCGTCGTAGCCTCGTACACCAGTCCCGGGTTCAGCGAACCTGTGGGATTCAACTCCCCTGCACCCAAGTCGTACGGCGTGGCTTCTTCACCGGCGTCGGTTGTGATCTGGGATCCCACATTGTTTGTCACAAAAGCTAGACACACAACGAAGATTAGGTTATTAGTTACATAACAAGTTTTAATTTCCCTATGGATGATGAAGTAGCGGTTGAATTGAACCACCTGTGGTCATGATGGCTGATTTGATGGCAAAGGGGCTGAATGAAGGTTGGGCAGCCCTAATGGCGGCGACAGCCCCTGCTACGTGGGGACAAGACACCGATGTCCCAGATATTATGTTGAACGATGGCGGCTTTCTGCCTTTTGGGGTGGATTCTGAGTCATCCCCGATCCACGCCGCCAGAATCGACACACCAGGAGCCATAACATCAGGCTGCACAACATCAAATTAAATAAGTGGAGAGCTAGAAGCTACAATCACGATGATAATAAGATTTGAATAACGTAGAGGGTTGGGTTGGGTTGCCTTGCCTTGATTACGTTGGGCAAATTGACAGAGGGTCCCCTGGAGGAGAAGTATGACACTTGTGGCGCTGGTCGATAGTTCCCCACCGTTACCGTTGGGAGTATGGTAGCCAGCGGTTCCCTACTTAGGTTGAGGGATGAATTAGCAAAGTGTTGATATGAATGAAATTGACAAAATTAAAGTAGGTAGTTTTGTTATGCTTTAATTTTTACCGGGTGGTGTTGAGATAAGACTTGAGCTTAACAGCTTCCCGTGAGCTGACCACTGTAACGGGGAAGTCGCCAGAGTACTCGGCTACCATTCTGGTCACGTCGTCGACGAGTATCATCCCCAAACCACCTTTACCCTGCACCTCGTTCGCTTGAGTCAAGAGGTTGATTGTCGGATCTTTCCCTTTCACCTCACAGATGACGATTTTCCCTTCTGTTTTCTCCCTTTTCAGTGAATCCTGTTGGCAGTCGCTGTAATTGACCAAACCACGAAACAGAGATGGTTGGTATTTGATCAAATGAACCATCTAGCAGAATTAATTAATGGATTAAACGGAGTACTCCACCTTGCTGCAAGATAGGATGCATTCCCGTCCTTGGCTGTGCGGCCGTCCGTCAACGGATATATCGGCGATCGATCAAGATTCGGGAAGGTTAGCCATTCACCCTGTTTGTTAAGAAAACAGAGGTTACAGCTAGCAGAAAATAAAATTCTCTGTTTTCGGAAAAAATGAAGGCTTTCTATTTATTTAGTTAGGTACCTTGACTACTCCAGCTCCACCTCCCAAAGTGACATCAGCTTGGAAAACTCGGTCGATGGTGGAGGCGCCGACGGTTATGATCCACGGCGCGTCGTTGAAGATAGTCGCCGATTTGGGTCCTGAATTGCCGGCGCCGCCAACTACGGTGATCCCTCTCTCGACGGCGGCGTGGAAGGCGCCGATCGCCCCCGGGTCCATCAGGAAGTAAGGGGAACGCCGCACTTTATAGGGGACGCTGGAGACGGAGATGATGTGGACTCCATCGCGGATGGCGTCGTCGAACGCGCTGAGCATGTGAGAGCCTTTACAGAACAGGCTGTCGTCGCAAGCTTTGTAGACAGCAATTCTGGCGCGCTCCGAACCTCCCCTGCAACTCCCTGAAGCCAGGCCGTAGTACGAGGCCTTCTCCACCGCTGCTCCGGCCGCCGTCGATGCCACGTGGGTCCCATGGCCTGATCGGTCCCTCGCCGTGCCGGTCACATAGTGTCTCGCACCTATGATTTTGCTGCGCCAACACAAACAGACAAATACCAAATTTTAATTAATTTAATAGAAAAGGCCACGTCGATTTCTGTCGGTGTTTTTTATTTTTAATTTTACCCGTTGCAGGCAGTGATGTTGAAGTCGTCTCCCGCCATACACGTCCCGTTCCTGCCACGTGGAGGGTTTGAATTGGCTTTTTCCGATTTGAAACTCTCCGATTCGGGCCAAATCCCCGTGTCGATGAACCCAATCACGAGCCCACTACTTGAGCTAGAGGTACAAAACTGGGCCCAATGGGCCCGGAAAGTGGAACGACGTCGTTGGACTCGGTCAGCTCTTGTAAGAAGTCCCATGATCGACTGGTTAGCAGCTTGTAGGACTGGTCCGGGAAAACGGAGATGACATTGGGATGATCAGCGATGGCGGCCGCCTCTTCGGGAGAAAGACGAGCAGTGAAGCCTGATAGGCCGTGGCGGTAGGTTCGGAGTGGATCGATGGCCCTGCCGCCGTCTCTGCCGAAACAGACATGTATGTCATTGTCAGTTAAATATAGTCCACTTTCGTCAACAAAAACAGATTACGAACGTGCAGAGCTGGAGCATAACCAAGTCATGAATCAATTGCAACAAGAAGAATAACAGAGATATTAAATATTACCTTTTAAGCATGGAGTTTATCGCGCTTTCCTTGGCTGGGTGCGCCTAACCCATGTACACGATGTATACTTTATCGGCGCCGGAGGAAGCTGATGATTGTGTTATTAATATTGATGGGTTCATCATCAATGTGATAAGTAGCAGGGAAAGGCAGTTTAAGGCCATGATGGATATATGGTAAGGATTATAGCACAAGGTTTGGAAGGTAAGTTGAGTGTGATAATTAAGTAAGGCGGGCAGCAGCTAGCCTAGTTATTTATAAGATGATTTTGAGGTACGTGTACGGGCTGGTTGTTGGACTTTACGTACTCGATCGGCTTTCTTTCATAACACACCACTTTCGCATGCCCACAAAATGACGCATAGCTAGAACGTAACAATAACCGTTTACTACCATACAAAACACCTTAATGCACTAAGGGTTTTGATTGTTACTAGCTAGCTAGTACCCGCTTTGTTGGGTTTTGCATATCGTTCATTCGTTTGTGTGCAGCTGCGATAGTGCATCATCAGTGACAATAACGTGTAACAGACGATGGACCATGCATGCGTATCTGGCAGTGGAGAGTAGTGACAACATCCAACACACCTACAAGCAGTGGGCAGAGGCAACATTTCGAACCACCTCTGTCCTTTTTTCATAACTTAAATTACGGGTGGCCGTTCGGTTATCGGTTACCGGTTAACTGGTAACCAAACTTCTGTCGGTTATCGGAAGCTGGACACAATGATTTTTGGTCTTACAAGTGGTTCGGTTAATTGATAACCGAGATAACCGAGAAATCGAAGCCTATTTCGGTCGACTTTAGATATGAGGGGTGGTTACTTCGATTAACCGATAATCGGCCGATCGGTTACCGGTTGTAATCGAAATAACCGAACTGCCACCCCTAACTTAAATATATAAGTATCTAATAAAACAATTATTTAGTAAAAAATAATTAAAAATAATTAAATCCGAATAATTCATTCATAAATTAAAAATAACCGATTATACAATCATACTTTTCAGAAACGATTACAAAGAAATTTCATATAGTGAAAGAAACGCCAAAACATTCATCGTCTACACTATTATATAAGTCTCTTTCAATGTATCTTACTAAATAAGTATTAGCAAACTAATCGCCAAATCGACTTGAAAACTTGTTCTTAATATAACTCAAACCTGAAAATGCTCTTTTTACACTTGCAGTTGTAATTGGTAGATAAAAAATAGTGGGATTGTTGTTGTCGCTAGATAATTTCAGGGTTGTTGGGGAAAAAATCGAATAGGCATAAGGAGGAAAGAGACCCGATTAGGTCTTTATTGCAATTGGAATTTCGTTTATAGTATAATAAATTAATTTTATATCAATTTTGGACAAGTAATGAGTTGTGTTGTAGTGACAAAGTACTCTAATACTACCTATATGTGTTGTGTTCCATCACCAATATAAATAAATATGACGTATTTTTGTTCCACCGAAATTTACCCCTGTCCCGGGACAAGACCCAAAGGGCCTGCCTCCGCCACTACCTACAAGATGGTAGGGTAATAGTAATTTCGTCGTTGTTAATATTCAATTGTGGTAGTGTTAATGGAGTGATCTATCATTTAATTAGTCTGAACGTTTGGTTTTTAATTAAGGTTCAAAAAGGCGTTAGGCATAAGGTGTACGTTGGGGCCTTACTTAGCGTCTTGCTAGCCTTAGTGCTCTACACTTGTGATAAGCATCCCTCTCCCCCACTTTTCATTCATCCAGAAATTGAGAGTTTCCATCTTTAGAGTTTTCTCTACACTTGTGAGTTTGAGTGAATGCGAGCTCGGCTGACCTAGTGCTTTAACGAGACTTGAGTACTAAGTGCCGCACAGCGAAGAGTTGATCCGTGACAATTCCCTGACAGTGGCGAGTAGGGGTGGAGTGAGACGGAGAGAGCCGGAAAGAGGAGGGGAAGAGAAAGAATCATTTGGGTTGCATTCAATCACTAGGGTAGTTTTGAAAGAATTTTTGAGCGGTTACTGTAAGGCTTTTACCCTTTTTCGTTTTTCTCAATTAATAAAACATTTATCACCATTACGCAAAAAATTAAATGGACAACAAGTAACTGGCCATTAATTGATGTTGTCGATAAATACTCTAGTTTCTCGTCTGGCCTTGTAATGCGAGGGGTGGATGTGCAATATCTATGGCCTTGGGCTCCCGATTATGGTGAGTGTCCGACCCCTATCTCGCAGAGTTGCTAGCTGTAAGAGATGCCAACTTATTTGCGGTCTCAAGAAATTTGCTCGTCTTTTTGTGGAAGGTGATGCTGAAATGGTGATCTGGCAACTTGTCAAAGGTGGTGGAAGATTTGTTGGGCGGTTGCTTGTTTCGTGAGTGCGGATAGTTTGAGGGTTGTTATTTGTCGTCCGAGTAATTACTATTTGTCGCCCACAGTTTTGGAGTAAATGACAATTTGCCCCTTATTCGTAGGAAACCTTCCCACCCTCCACCGCTTTCTTCCCTACCGGGAAATTGCCTCCCAGTGCCAACACAATTGCCTTCTTCCTCCAACCCTTACCTCTCTCTCTTTCCTCCAAGCCAATGCTCCCCCGACATAGCTTCCTTCTCATGTCCCTACCGTCATCATCATATTCGAGAGAAGCGCCGGCGACGACCACAAACCAAACCCCAAAATCCATCTCCGACGACGATCAAAACCCCAGGATGCTTCCAGATCGAAGCTCCGGGCCTTCTTCCCGACATCGTCATCGTCTTCCCGGGACTGTCGTCTCCATCGTCCGTCGGAGATTAGCAGTCAGACGTCGGAAGTTCGGACAGAGAGCGCGGTCAGACGTCGGAGTTCGGACCGCGTCCGATCGCGGGAGTCGGACCCCGTCCGATCTCCACAGTCGGACCACGTCCGAAAGTGAGCTTCTGACCACGTCCGATCTCCAGCGTCGGACGGCCGCCGATGACTTTTTTTTTATGGTTTGCCGATGACTTTTCTTGTGGAGAATGTAGCGATTTTTTTGTTATAATTGTGGTTAAATAATTATATTATTATAAATAATTATAATAAATCTGATAATTAGGCAAATAACAACCCCGTTAAAGGGAGTTTTTTTTAAGTAAGATTGATTTTTCCGTTGATATATTATCGGTAGAATATTAATAGAAGAGTTTTTTTAGGTCAAATATAAAAGTTTACATTTATGAAATATTTAATTACCGCAAAAAAAATAAAAAAAAACTTAGCAAGATTTACATAAACGGAAACATTCCTATAATTATGGGGGTGAGAGTTAGATCTTCCATCGATCTCGTTCAATTTTTCCAATAACTAGCTTGTAACCCGACCCGTTGGTCGGAGGAGCTGAGCCGAATATTGAATTATTGGGATAACCCGTAGATTCAACCATTAAGCTAAATTGGTCTAATGGTGAGTACCGCCTAGCATATCCCTAATAATCATACCAAAGTGAATATATTGGAACATAAACAGTACATCAAAAGTTGGTACAACCATGAAGTTAGACCATTAAAAACATACCAATGAAATTGAATAGCATCGAAAAACTTCAACTTCATTATATAATTACATGAGATCAGAAAGAGAACACCATTAATTTGATTTATAAAACTTTCATCTTGTCGTCATTGTGCTTTCTGGTTTTTGTCAGGCCATGATAAAATCTAAGGAAATCAAGAACGAACAACACGATTTGGGATAGGAACCGCCATTGTCGTGTTCCTAAAGAATGGTGGTAAACACGGACTCACCTGCCAAACTGGTTTGGATTGAGATTTTTATCGGGTATCAGGGAACCATGTGATTATAAATTAGACTTGATCAAAACGGGCCAAAACTTAAAATTCAGCCAGTTTGACCGACCCATGCAAAATTCTAATTATTCGTTACTTTTAAACTTTCTATTTGAAAATAAAAAATAGTGAAAGAAAATAGATTACTGCAATTCGCCATTTGCACATCACTTATTCGGGAATAAAACCATAGAAATTCAAAAGAAACTGAAAATGTTTAGGATCGTTTTAATGTTTAAAATAACCAAATAGATCTTTCTGTTTAGTTTTTTACTAACAAATACCAAACGATTCACTACAAGAAAAATGGATTATAGAGACAATGAAAATGTGTCTCTATTGAATACTCATTTGTCTCTATACTTCTTTAGATGCAAATACCATATTTGTCTCCTCTAGAGCAGTTGCAGTAGCCTTATAGAGACAAATATAGAGACAAATATTATTAGGAAAATTTTGGTATTCCACAATTTTGGTATTGTCACATTTATAACTAGTATAAATATTAAATAACCACAAATGCGATACTAATCATAATTAGAATAGGTAAATAATTTTTAATTTATGATCAGGTAGCAATCAAAATAAGGGAAAAATTAAAAATCCACAAAAAATTATCTAATGTACGAGATAACTAGTAGGGGCTCAAAATAGGGTGAGTAACCTTAGGGTGAGTAACAATGAGTAACCAAATCTGGATCCTTCTTTTAAGTGGCTGCAGATCTAAAGGTGGAGAATTAAAAGAATTTATTTTCCCTAGTTTCTTAATTGGATCATATCTTCTTATTTCTAACTCGGATTTCAATTTTTTTTGCATAGATGGAACGAGTTCGTTGTGCTCTACAAAATGATATCCATTTTCAATATTTTTTTAGAAAAAAAAAATTTCATCCCTCTCATTACCAACTCCATACCATATGGTATCTCCTTCGTTGTTTAGTCATTTTTTGGAAATTTTTGCACAAAAGGAACGATTTAATCATGATCTATTGGATTCCAAAATTTTATGGGGAAAAAATTCCATACCTCTCGTTACCAACTCCATACCATACTATACCACCCTGGTATGAGGTGGTATTTTTCATACCATATGGTATGCTGTTATTTAATACTAGTCAATACCATATGGTATTGACTGGTAATAACTGGCAAATTTTTTTTTTTGTTCCAAAAAATATCAAAATGGATATCATTTTGAATTGTTACCAACTCCATACCATACTATACCACCCTGGTATGAGGTGGTATTTTTCATACCATATGGTATGTTGTTATTTAATACCAGTCTATACCATATGGTATTGACTGGTAATAACTGGCAAAAAGATTTTTGTTCCAAAAAGTATCAAAGTGGATATCATTTTGAAGAGCACAATTAATCTGATCTGACTGTGCAAAAAAAATAATAATTAAATTCTGAGTTAAAACGAGTGAGAAATCGTCCGTTAAAGATTAATGGAAAGAAAATTAATGATTTTTCCAGGAGAGAGAAGGAGGCGCTGATGTGGCAGATTCTTATTGGGTTATGCATGAGGTTACTCACCACAAGGTTACTCACCGGATCTGCTCCCACTAGTAGGAGCTTATGGTATGAAATAAATTGGAAAGTAATAATAAAAAATAAATTTAATTGCGTGTTTCTGAGGATTATTACTAGTACGAAAATTATGAAGGAAAAATATCGCAAATTCCAATATGGTGCGAGAGAAGTGGGGTTAATTCATTATTTAATAAATAAACGGTTACAAACATAATTAGTTTCCCTTCCTTAATTAACGTTATTCAAAAATAATTTGTCAATAATTATTTATTAATTAATTAAATTCCTTATAAACCTCAATCTTCCCTCCAAATAATATATGGAGATTCTATTTCAGCACCCACCCAAATCAAATTTTCCTGTTCAATGCGCATAGTACGGAAGGGTTGATTAGTCTTTTAGGTTAGGGTTTTTTATTATGTTTTGCAGCGGGCTTATTTCATTTGAGCTTCCACGAAAAGTCTTTCAGTTTTTTTGTCCTTTAATTGTTCATGTTGTTATTATGTATTATTATAAGTAGCCGAGTTCAATTTGTATTAGGATTATAATTTAGATTATTGTTGGTTTACAATCAGATTATTATATCTCTAATAATTCTAAGCATGTAATCCGTCTCTTATTACTTTTCAAGGTATTATATCTCATTTATTTAACATCGATGATATAATTTTTCAATAAAGTTCAATTAATTATTTATGTAGTTTAAAATAGAAATCTTATATAATGTCATATAGCATGATGTTCGTTCTACAAGCATTCCCAATAAAATAATTTGTCAAAACTTTCATATTCCAATTTATTGCGGTTCGTACTTGAGCTATGCATACCTAAATGTGAATTGCAAACTCCTCTAAAGAATGATTTCTTGATATATCCAAATATCGTCTGACGACCTGAGACTGAGTATCAAGTTATCTCTAAAAGTCTAGAAACTCACCAATTCATTTGTCTGATATGACAGTGAACGAACTCCTAGAGATCTTATTCTCCGAAATCTCAATGTAAATCCTCTGTGTTCCACTTTGTCGGAGTAATCTTGATCCCAAGATTGAATAGTTTGCTCTTCAAATGGTATTGACTCTTGAGATTGGATTGCAAGAATTGAAGAGCTTAGATCTGTCATTGATGAGTACCATTTTTACCTTGAGTTTGAGATTTATTTTTGTGAAATTGTTGGTTGTTGTACATGGTAGTTTATATGTTTACTATACATTGAATGGGGTATTAAGGTTACTTTGAGTTGATTTCAGGATGATGGGACTTAACCACGAGTTAATAAGCAATAAGCATTCCTAATAAAAGAATTTTTCATAAGTTTCTGCACACAATTTGTTGCGACTCATATTTGAACTATGAGGACTTGAAAACTAAACTGCAAATTCTTCTAAAGATGGAATTTTTCGATGTATCCAAATATTGTTTGATGATCTGAGTTGTCCCTGAAATCCCAAAAGGAAAAAAAATATACCAATTAGTTTTTCTAATATTACAACAGACTTGAGCTTATATAAATCTTATTATAAATCTAAAGTTTCCAAAAATACATTATAATTTTAAAATAATTATTTTTGTGATAAAAGTGATGGAGATGCACCCACCTCCACGAGAGTCAAAGATCAAACCCAACCATTAATCCTACCATAAAAATAAATAATACTCAATAATGGCGCTAAGGTAAATTTCTAAAACAACCACAAATATTACAATGTCAAATTCATCATGAAATCCAACAAGAAGACGATGGTTTGTACCAAAAACCAAATGGGGCAGTTCCATCATATATTCATGATTTTGTAAAATCCAGGTTTTTACCAAAACCTTCATTTCTCAAATCCATGAAACAAACACTACATTTTGGTGCATAACCCCTAGATATTTTGGACTGGCTAATATGAAGCTATTCGATGATAGTGGCAGAACCAAAGGGCCTCCACCACTTAATCTCCTATGACTTGAGAGGAATTATAAGTTTAACATCAAACTCATAGATTATAATATGTTGAACTCAATAAGTGAATACACAGTTTTCAAGGTAAGGAACGATGAAGAAGAGTAATCTTAGACGATGTTGATAACCTGGACGAGGTAAATTTAACATATTAAAAACAGTGTTTCATAATTGCAAATATTTTATCATTGTATTTTTTTCCTTAGGATTTAGCAGATTTGGTGATGGAGATAATTACGATTTGAGTAAAATGAAGAGAGTGTTGATGATGGAGATAATTCCAATGATAGGGAGCACATCTCCTAAACAATTTTAATTGATGGATCTCTATGAATTAGTGCATCATTATTGATGACTAACACATTCAAACATTGTTTCATTCAGGGATAGCTTCTCTATTAGCAAAGATGAAATAATTCAGTAATTGGCGAAGTTACCTAGAAATTAAAGTGGAGTGCACTACATTAGATGTCCAACACATCTTCATGAAAATATTATTATTGTCCAACCTTAGTTGCTGATCCTATATATTGGAAATTAGTGATGATCATAATGTAATTGTGGATTAGTTAATAGACGTGGCATTCCATAGTTTTGTTTATGTTTTAAATAAGAGAATGTCAAAGTTTCTTCTTTTGACTTCTCACAACTTCTTGAAGATGTCCATGTTTTTTAAAATGTTTTCAAATTCATGTTCGAAATTGGAAAATATTCATACACCATCTATATTAATTGAGGTTTATTATAGATTCATCGATTTCAAATAAAACTGAATCCATATACAACAAAATAAAATTCAATTTTATATCAAGAATGATGACTTTCGAGAAGGAGCGAAACTCCTACAAAATTCATGGTTGGGATGAGATAAATTATACTAAGTGGAAATTTTATTTCATATGAACTTCCGATTTTCTAATAATTGTGTAGTTTGGACTCTTTTCTGATACCTAATAAATTGCCATTGGATCAAACAATTATTGTTCTTTATGAAATGCATCCGGCCATCGGGCCGAGCCCTTATCTAGTTCTCCTTTCCCACGTTTGACTATAGACTTTCTTCCCTCCCTCTCTCATCTCCATCAAAACAATTTGTATAATTAATTGTTTATAAAATAAAAACAGGTGTGCGATTGATGATCGTGATTGATATGAGAATTAGGGATTTGGAATGAGGTAGAATTTGGGAATTAGGGTTGAGAAAAGAGAATTCCGGGCACCGGGATGGTGGCCGACGGGTTGGAGAGGGGAAGAGAGGGTTCGGGTATGAGAGAGGGAGAGAGAGAGCTTTAGGGAATAATTCTGTTGTTATTGCTTAACCTTAACCTAAGCCTAACACAAAATATATATAAACCGACTAATTCCCTATAACTACCCAAAGACTTAACCTAACCGAATTAACCCCAATAATTCCCGAAATAGCCGACATAACATAAAACGTCCAAATACAAATAAACCCTCAATTAATGACTATCTAACACTTCATCATCCATAGGGAAATTTAATTAAACTTGTTATGTAACTAATAACCTAATCTTCGTTTCGTTGTGTGTCTAGCTTTTGTGACAAACAATGTGGGATCCCAGATCACAACCGACGCCGGTGAAGAAGCCACGCCGTACGACTTGGGTGCAGGGGAGTTGAACCCCACAGGTTCGCTGAACCCGGGACTGGTGTACGAGGCTACGACGAGGGACTACTTGTTGTTCCTGTGTTATTACGGCTACGACACATCCACCGTCCGTTTGATCTCGAGAGCGGCTCGTTCGTTGAACTTCTCCTGTCCCCTGAACTCCAACCCGGACCTCGTCTCCGATCTCAACTATCCTTCCATGGCTGTCCGCTTAGCTCCGAACCAGACGAGAACCATCACGAGGGTGCTGACCAATGTGGCATCTGATGGGAATTGGAGCTACACGGCCACGATTAGGTTCGGCGGTGGGAACGATCAGGGGCTAAGATCGGAGGTAGGTGTCCAGGTGTCCCCTGAGAAGTTGTGTTTTGCGAAGAAGGGGGAGAGGCATTTGTTCAATGTGACGTTTACGTCAACGGGTTCCATCGATGTGGATCGGGTTGTGTTCGGGTGGATCACTTGGACCAACCCTCGGTTCAAGGTCCGATCACCGTTCGTGATTGTGGGCAGCATTGCGTAGTGCTTAAATGTGTAGTGACATATCGATGGGATTGTATGATTCCCATTTATGTAGCAGGATATGTCTCTCAACTCTCAAGTACTCTGCCTATTTCAAAGTGTTTAAAATCTAAAAAATAATTAAAAAGTAATGTGTTTAGATGTTTTGATATACCTACAATAGATTGTCAATCACCTCGTCTTGACTCTATTAATGAAAAACGTAAATCTATTAATGAAAAATGTAACTAAGTTAACGACATTACATTTCTATTAAGGTAGTACAATTGGTTATATTGGTAAAGGAGCACGGAATCTTTTGCTATTTTTACATATTTTGAATACATGTTGCTATAACGATCAAGATCGTCAAAGATTTGCCTACTTTTTCTCAAAAAATTATCACTTAGAAAATAATTGTGAAGGGGACAAAGGATCTCTTTTTTATGAATTCACAGAAGTTTATTTTCACCTGACCTATTATTCAGGAGAAGTTAGGATCTACAAAAATAAAGGAGTCTTGTTGCCAAATTTCCTTATATATGCAGCCGAAAGTGATTGTCTGGTTTGAAAATTCCCCTCACTACCAATAATCCATACACACAGTAATCAAAAGGAGAGAAAGCAATCATGAAAACCCAAAATTTATCGATATGTGTCTTTGTTTTGTTGACGATTTGTCTCGTTCATGGTGATTAATTAATTCTCCATTTTTTATGGATTCATGTCATTTTCATGTCACTAAATGTTACATTCTTTCCCCCGCTAATTAATGTTACATAATTTGCTTTTCGTTAGCAATTCATATAATATGTAAGTTTGTGATGAAATAGGGAATAGGGTCGCATCACACTCTCTTCCACATCCACACCCTCATCCATCCTTTTGTGAGTTTGATACAATTAAAATAAGAGGATTCCCAGGGACGTTTCAAAGGAAATGTAATCCTTTCTGCAGTGTATGCGACGAGGCATGTCGACGTAAGTTTGGAGATTCTGTTTTTGGACGGCTTCCCGGTGAGTATGGTGATGGAATAGTTTGCTCGTGTTTCACGGCTTGTCTTGTCAATTGAGAGGGTGGGGGGACTCTGATGTGTACAATAAGTCAAGCAAGCTCCGATGGTGTCTCAATCGGCAGTTGATTATTTGATAATTTTGTTAGTATCATTAGACTAATAACAATATACTTATGAGTATTTAGAAGTATAAGGGAATTGTATCATGTACTCTATATAAACTAGCATCATGCCCGACCCATTGGGCCGATGGGATTCGCTGTTGTTGTTGAGATAAAATTCTGTTTAAACACCATAAAATGAAGAAACTACCCGATGACCCTGGGGAGGAAGAAATCTTCCATCACGTTCAAGCCCCATGACATTTTGTCCTCTCCAAGCTCTGGTTTAGGTGGTTCTGCACCTACAATCAGAGATAACAGTTCATCAGGGAGGAGAGGTTGCAGGCGCTCCCAGTTCCACTCACCTGTTTGGGTGACCTAATTGGAGACTGGTGACTCTCTTTCCTTAGTGGTGATGTCTAGAGAGAGGTAGTCTTCCAGAATAACCCCGCAATCAAGCCAGGGATGCTTCCAAAAGCTAGTTGTCTCCCCATCACGAATGCTCCAGCAGGAGGCTTCCTTCATAAGAGTCATTGCCTGAACAATAGCTTTCCACAAATGGGAGTGATTAGATTTTTTCATTGAAATAATCTCCCCATTCCTATGCTTGTAATACTTCCCTTATGGGACTTTAACCCAGAGGTCATTCTCATTTTTGAAATATGCCAAGCAAGTTTTATCATATAAGCTTTGTTTAAGCAGTGGGCAGATCTAAGCCCCAAACCCCCTAGCTTCTTAGGTTTACAAATTTGCTCCCAAGACACAAAGTGAGGTTTTCTTTTCCCCTCTTGAGATCCCCAAACAAACCCTTGAATTTTCTTATCAATAACGTCACACACAGTCAAAGGGATAGGTGTTGTTTTCATAGCATAAATAGGAATGACATTCAAAACTGAAGTAACAAGTGTTACCCTGCTAGCAAGGGAAATGGTTCTAGCCTTAGCTTCTATAAATTCTATCAAGAATGTATTTGTAGGCATTCCTAGTGATCCTCCCATGAATAACAGGTACACCAAGATATCTAATAAGATCATTCGTTTCCTGTATTCCCAGCTTCGTACAAATGTTCTGCCTAGTGTTGGTTCTAACATTCTTAGAGAAGAAAACACGAGATTTTTCTTTACTAACAAGTTCACCAGAAACTAAGCAGAAAGAACTAAGGCAATCAAGGACAACATTAGCTTGTTCAGGGCATGCATGGAAGAAAAGCACAAGGTCATTAGCAAAGAAAAGATGGGTTAAGGCAAGACCATTAGGAGATAAACAAACCGGTTTCTAGTTCCCTTCCCTGTACTCTTTCATAATGCAGTGGCTCAGGCGTTCAATGCATAAAGTAAAGAGGTAGGGTGAGAGAGGGCATCCCTGTCTTAAACCTCTTGATGGCTTGAAGCTTTCAGTTTCTCCACCATTCCAGAGGACCTAAAAGGAAGTTGTGGTTAGGGATGACAACAAAACCTGAACCACGAGTACCATACCCGACCCAACCCGGTCAATGCGGGTAAAATTCGTGTTGATGGGTTTTGGGCCGGGTTCGGGTTTAAACTCGTGCGCTATTCTTCGGGTTGGGTTTGGGTTTAGGTAAACCCGCCCCATGGGTACCCGTCCACACCCATATAATTAATTTTTCCGGGATATTTAATATTCTAAACAACTATTTTTTTTTTATATTTGTGGAGACATGTCTAATTTTTTCTTTCTAATTGTGTATAATGAAATTGATATTATCGAATGGGGAGTGAAGAAGCTTAATTGACAAAGAGGAAAAAAAATTTCAATTAATCATGTTGTTTATGGATAATTTGGGATTTGCTTCAATTTTATTTAGTTTTCTAGATTGGTGTTGAACAATTTGTATGGTTAATTTGTGATTTGCTTGAATTTTCTAGAATGATGTTTTATATATGGATAATTTGTATTGAGCAATTGATATTTGAATTTTATTTTGATAGGAACTTGTTATTGTAAATTTTTTACGACAAAAACCCATGGGTACCCATCAACCAGCGGATACCCAGCGGGTTGGATTGGGTTTGAGTTTTTCAAACCCAGTGGGTTTTACCCCAAGTTTTTTTCACGGATAAACCCATTGGTTTGGGTTTGGTTTTGACAAAATCCTACCCATTGCCATCCCTAGTTGTGGTGACACAGGCCATGATGAGTCTGACAAAATCAAGTGGAAAACGAACAGCAAGGAAGGTTTCCTCCATGAACTTCCAGTCGATCCTATCATAGGCTTTGGTAAGATCGACTTTCAGTAGCATGTAGCCTTTCTTCCCTGTTTTCCTTGACATGGAGTGCACTGTTTCCTGCAAGATGAAGATATTATCAGTTATGTGCCTCTTAGGAACAAAACAAGATTGGTTCTGATGCACCAGACGAGGATGGGGGCTTCTAAATTCTGAAAAGTTATGAAAGAGTGAGGAATAACCAAAAGTGTGTACTATATTTCATTAATTTTTATTTTTTGGTATTTCAATATATATCGATCCCAATCCCGTAATCCCGGACAACACTCCAAAATGAATATCAATCCCTAAAAAATAAGCTGGTTGACACGCACGAAACTATACCACAAATTAATCCCGACTAGAGTCCATGTTTTTAAACTCTAGACGGGTGCACTATAGAGCAAGTATTGAATGGAGTCTTGTGGCTTAGGTGGTTGTGAACCGCGGGGGTGAGCAACTAGTGATCGATTTGTCACGGAATCAAATCACTAGAGAACGATTTGTCACGGGATCGATACACTCACCAATTCTAGGGGAGCCGCTAGGAGGATCAGCTAGTGATCCATTTGTCACGAGATGGATTCACTAGAGATCTATTTTGTCACGGAATCGATCCTCTCACTCAATCTCTAGTGGTTGCCTATGTCTCTCCCTCAAACCGGAGTTTGAGCGGTTTAATCACAACCAAACTAGATGCAAACTTGAGTCAATGGTCTCTAATCCAATATTGAGGTTCGCCCTAAATTAACCTAGTTAGGAGACTTAAAAAGCCCTAGGGATACCACTCGATTGAGACTCCCTTGGAGGGAGGGGGGGGGGGGTTCCCTTCCTAATCTAGGTTAAGTGCCTAATTAGATCGTTAAGCATAAACATGCACAATCCTTAGGTTGCTAAGCACAAGCATGCACAATCCTTAGATTTCTAAGCACCAATCATGCACAACCCTTAGATGCTAAGCACAAACATGCACAATCAACATGAATAATACCTCGATCTTTGAATTAAACAACACCCATAAACAATCATTCAATATAAACAAGTAACTGCAAAGTATTAGTTAGGGATCTACAACACCCAAGAGAAAAGAGTGAGTTTCTAGAGAGAGAGAGAGGGGAGATTATAAAGAAACCTCCAGATCTTCTTCCTCTTCTTCTTCTTCTTCTTCTTCTAGGCTTGATTCCTAGCTTCCAAGCTTGATCAATGCCTCCAATTAAGCTCCAAGATCACTCCATCTCTCACTAGAACTCCCCTTTGATGTTTTGGGTTGAAACCCTAGAGAAACAAAGTGTTCCTTCTCCCAAAAGCCAGCTCCCCTTTTGTTCTCTCCGCTGTTGTCTTCATATTTGCCCGAAAACGATCAGTTCACGGACGCGTTGACCAGTTCACGGCTGTGAACACCTAAACACGTTCGTGAACTCAGTCGTCTCCCAAACGCACCGCTTTGCTTCCTGGGTTCACAGTCAATGGCCACAGTTCACGGTCTTAAAGACCGTGAACTGCTTTGTCGTCAGTAACTTCAGGAACCTCCCTGGACGGCTCAGTGTTCACGCTTTGTGGCCGAAGTTCACTGTCTTAGGAGACCGTGAACTACCTCGTCCGGCCGTGAACTGCGTTGTTTCCTCGACGCCTGCACTTCACTTTTACGGGGCAATTGTCACGGTCTTCGGACTTTTCTTTGGTTTTTTGCACATTTTGACCTCCAATTATCCCAAAATTCAACCTCGACCCTTCCACACGTGCTAGGACCTGAAATGTATCAAACCAAGCAACCTAGCGTGAAATATGTCGAGTAACGATGAAATACTAAGCTAAACGAATAAGAAATGAGGGGTAAAATGTGTACATTTGAGCACGAATCACTAGTATTCGCTAATACCAAATAACGATAAATTCAGTACGGTATTCAGTATATCCCAAATATCAGTACCCAACTTCGAGCTCCAGAAAGAATTAGCAATGCATATTGAATCAAGTTGTTACCGTAACAAATTTTAATAGTTTGTCATGCCCAGTTTTTACTCTTTGTTTGTCTCTGCTGGTTTGCCGGGGATTTGTATTCTTTAGGGGCAATTACTGAAAGGCTTTTACCTTTTTTCTTTTTCTTAATTAATAAAATGTTTATTACCATTACACAAAAAAAAAAAAAACAAACAAACAAGGGACCAACCTTTGATAAACTTGATGTTATCATTGAAGACTCTGTTTGCTCGTCTGGCCGTGTAGTGTGAGGGGCGGATAAGTTCTATTGGTCTTGGGTTCCTGCCTTCTGGCACGAGTAAATTCCCAATTGCTATCTCGCAGAGTTGCTAGCGGCTAAAGACGCCATCTCATTTGCGATCTCATGCAATCTATCTCGTCTTTTCATAGAATGCGATGTTGAAATGGTGATTAAAAAACTTGTCCTGAAGGTGGTTAAAAATTTGCTGGTCAATTCCATGATTTGTGAGTGTCATCCGTCTTTCGAAATCGAATTCTCATTGTATAATTTTTAGAACGGTTTTGCAAATTGCCAACCGAACAGTCCATAAAATTGCACATAAAACTCTGTTACCGTCTTCTTATCATTAGTTGAAAGAAGAAAGAAATAACAAGTGACCGACATTTTCCACTTGCCCACTGGCCACTACATTCATTCTTGGCTTAGCCCTAAATCTCAATTATGAATTATTTAACTTTCCAGCCACCCCATGAGGCCTTCCTTTCACACAGTCACACTTGTCTTTTTGTCTTCCACCACTGCTTATATTAAAAAAGAACCCAAAACCATCTCCTTTTTCATCAGAAAACAGGGGACAAAAGAAGCAAAACTGAGAGCAATCCAGCTACTCTCTCTAGCCGTCGACAGTGCTTCTTCACCGCCGAATAGATAGATAGGCGCCAGGAAATAGAGAAAGTTACCAAAACACCCTTAGATTAACCAGAGTCTTTGTATTTCCTCCGATCTAAGTAAATCTAACAGCTCAGAATCAACTGCCTGCAAATCCGTCTACCCATTCCAATGCACGGGATCCCTTCCCGCTAGAGCTGGCTGGCAGAGTGGCAGTCACTTAAAGCCAGAAGCTTCTCACTTAAATTTTTTTTTTTTGTTTAATTTTGTACCATATCTCTTCGTCGTCAAGCTCAGTAAAAGACTGAAACAATCAATTCCGCACCATACTCCAGGCAGCCATGGCTACCACAACAAGCCTCTCCTTCCTCTTCTTCTCCTTCCTCCTCCTTTCAGCCGACATTTCGTCGGCCCAACAGACTAATGGGTCAAGCAAGATCAAGACCATCGTAGTCCTGGTAATGGAGAACAGATCCTTCGACCACATGCTGGGCTGGATGAAGAAATCCATCAACCCTCTAATCAACGGCGTCACCGGATCCGAATGCAACCCTCTCAACGCCACCGCTTCCCCCTCCACAATCTGCTTCACCGACGACGCCCAATTCGTGGATCCTGATCCGGGTCACTCCTTCGAGGAAGTCCTCCAGCAGGTCTTCGGATCCGGGTCGATCCCTTCCATGTCCGGGTTCGTCCAGCAAGCCCTCTCCCTTTCCCCAAATCTCTCCCAAGCCGTGATGAAAGGGTTCAGCCCCGATTCCCTGCCGGTCTACTCAACCCTCGTCGACGAATTCGCCGTATTCGACCGGTGGTTCTCTTCGATCCCGGGCCCGACCCAGCCCAACCGGCTCTTCGTCTACTCGGCCACCTCCCACGGTTCGACCAGCCACGTGGCCAAGCAGCTCGCCCTGGGCTACCCGCAGAAGACCATCTTCGATTCGCTCCACGACGACGGCAGGAGCTTCGGCGTCTACTTTCAGAACATCCCCACCACGCTATTTTTCCGGAACTTGAGGAGATTGAAGTACGTTTTCAATTTCCACCCGTTCGATTCGGCGTTTAAGAGAGATGCCAAGGCCGGGAAGCTCCCGAATCTGGCCGTGATTGAGCCCAGGTACTTCGATTTCCCCGGGTTCCCTGGGAACGACGACCACCCTTCCCACGACGTCGCCGACGGGCAGAAGCTGGTGAAGGAAGTCTACGAGAGCTTGAGGAGCAGCCCGCAGTGGAACGAGACGCTGCTGTTGATTACCTACGATGAGCACGGCGGGTTCTACGACCATGTTCGGACCCCTTTTGTCGGCGTGCCTAACCCGGATGGGAATACGGGTCCTGCACCGTTTTTCTTTAACTTCGACCGGCTTGGGGTTCGGGTGCCCACCATTATGGTCTCGCCTTGGATCAAGAAACGAACCGGTCAGCCCCCTTCACCTCTACTTTCTCTCTCTCTCTCTCTCTCTTTGATGATTTTACTTATATCATAGTTAAGTTCATAATTTTTTTTGATAATTCATTAATTACAGAAAATTTGAATTCTAAAAGTAGGATTTTTTTTAAAGACAGTAGATAAATTGGAAGCTAAAAAAAATTAGATTAAAAACGGTAATATTGCCATACAAATTTGGTAATCCGTCCGTAGTTTAACCCCGTTTGTACACTATGCTATTACATAGCATTTTAGTAATATGTAAGAAAGTACGACATACTTTTTAGTTCAACGAAATTAGGATAGTAGCACAATTCAATGATCGAAAGTGTTCGAGTTTGCTAGATAATGAATCCCTCAAAAAGATTTATTTTCCCCATCCTTTTTTGAGAAATTGATCCCAGGTTCCAAGTTTGATCCAAACGTCGGGAAAATCCAAGCCTTCTTCACCTATCTGAAGTTGGAATTTTTTTGTTATACACCACTTATAGTGACATAGAATTTCATTATTGGTCAATAATTCTTCTTTTTGCATTTGTGAGGGTGGTTACTAAATTAGCTATAACTTATCTTTGTCACTTTGGGCCTTTTTGCAGTGATGAGCCGGCCCAACGGGCCAGAGCCCAGCTCGGAGTTCGAGCACTCTTCGATTCCGGCAACCATAAAGAAATTGTTCAATCTGTCATCCAACTTCTTAACACACAGGGATGCGTGGGCCGGCACATTTGAAGGCCTCTTTGACGAGTTAACCTCTCCTAGAACTGATTGCCCCGGTAATTACTTGAAAAATGAATACTGAACAGTAAAAAAGAGAGCATTACACAGTTGGGTTTGGGTAAGTTCGTTTCTTTTAATTTATTATATTTTATGTTTTGCAGAGACATTGCCAGATGTGGGTCCGGTGAGAAGGACGGCGGTGAAAGAGAGGGAAATGGGGAAGAAGCTGTCACAATTCCAGAGCGAGGTGGTTCAGCTGGCGGCGGTGCTTAACGGCGATCACTTCTTGAGCAGCTTTCCGGGTGAAATGAGCAAGAAAATGAACGTCGAGGAAGCTCATGAATACGTGAAAGGTGCAGTGACTAGGTTTATAAGAGCGAGCAAAGAAGCGATTAAGTTGGGAGCACATGAATCTGCCATTGTAGATATGAGGTCCTCCCTCACAACTAGATCTTTTGGTCGCAATTAATAAACAAACCAAAGCGTAAAAAGAAAAGAAGTTACCGTTTCAAAATTTTGGTACTAAAGATGGGAAATAGGTTTCCCAATGTTTTGAGAAATTGATCCAAGAACAACGAGATGGGTTTTAACCAAGGGCATCAGACTTGATTTTCCCGACTGACTCTATTTTTTAATAGAGTCGAGAGTTAATTGGTCGAATCCACGGCTCAGTCACAACATAAAGCAGCAAATTGTAGCTACAATCACAATGGGTCAATGTCTCATCCACTGCTTACTAGTATAAAAATTTTTTGTCACTAATCACAGTTACACGTATTAGACTAATCAAATCCAACAACTTCTGCTTAGCTACTGCTTCTACTAAAAAACTTATTTTTTATCGTCATAAAAGAAAATGATTATTTTCTATCTATCTTTCTCATTTATACGTAAATTGGATATTACATAGATATAGAATTATACATGGCACTTTTTTTAGATAAAACATCGTACTGTTAGTTCATAATATTATTTCATATATGAATGTTGATCTATGTAGCAGTATGAAATACAACATGGTTTAAACTTCATTTAACTTACACAAATACTATACTAAGAATGGGAGAGCACATATGTTTACGCATACAACACACATCTGCGGTACTCTCCTAGAGCCCAAATGGGGAAGATGTTTCTGTACGAGGAGTAATTCAACGTACAATTCCTCATAAAAACTCCAGTAATTTCCTGTTCGACAAATCCAAAATCAACACAATGATTAACAAATCTATTTAATTAACAGCAAAACAAGCTTTACGCATTTGCTTAATCGTTTCACTCAATTAGTACTGTAATTATAATGAGATTACTTGCTGGGGGAAGTCACCGTCCTCCATTTGATAATTGATCAGCAGCCTTATCCCCTCATGGATTGGTGTGGGATCCACATTAGCCTGTTTATTATTAATTAAAACCCGTTGTTAACAATTAGTAACCCCACTAATCAACATTATAATTCAAATAGAAACATTAACGGCTAACTAATTAACTAACCTGTCCAGCATCAATTAGGGAGAGCAAGGCCCATGCAGTTTGAACCAAATTTGGGCGGCCTCCTTCCAAATTCGTGTACACCTGAAACGCTCTTACTTGTTAAAGAAGTCTTCTTCCCTTTCCATGAGAATTATTATTACTATTGGTATATGATCTAGTTTCTACGTAGCATGATGATAACTAAAATTGACCTTGTTTTGACTTGAAAGATAGCTCTCCCCCCATCCACCACAAGGGAGTTGCTTGGACAGCAAGAATTGACAGGCTTTTCGTAACGCCGGGCTATTGGTGTAACTTCTACCACAAGAAACCAGCCCCTCCACGGCAAACCATGTCCCATACGTGTAGCAAATACCCCAGCATCCGTACCTTTTTAGGCACATTGGTACATTTGGTGTCACATTAGTTAGAAGAATGAATGCATGGTTCCTCAACTAGAATAGAAGCATCACATCATGTATAAGATGATACAACATGTAGTGTACATACCACGAACCATCGGGATTTTGTGTTTGTTCAATGTAATGGACCCCTCTTGCGATGGCAAGATCGATTTCCTTCCTTCTATGTGTAGGGTAGTGTTTCCCAAACATCGCAAGGCTTTGAATTGCTGATCCACTGCATTCTATGTACCTGATCACAAAAGAAAATTTTAAAGTGATAAAATATTAGCTGTTAGTTCTCCCTTCGCAATGCCAATGTACGTAGGAAATGTGCATATATCTTACTCTCTCTCAATCAAAGTATCTTCGAAAAACTCGGTTGGATTAAACTTCTGCAAAATAGAATAAGATTTGACGAGTATAAGGGTATAATACGAGTTATTAGGATGGACTCATTCGTTGATAATAAAGAAGGGATGAAAACCATTAATGTGCAAGCTGGACTTACCTCCAACCATTGAAACGCTCTTTGTTGCTCCCAAGCTGGGAATCCACCATTGTTGCTCTGCATTTTGTTGAATACAAATTGAAAGCCATTAACACTTTCTGAAGGAGAAAAAACATCACTTCATTAATCTAGTCAGGTTGCTTGTTGCTCACTTGAAGGGAAAGAATGACATTAACAGCATCAAACAACTGCTCTTTCCCCATCGGCTCCCCCACAAGTTCTACGGGCATTTGAGAGAACAAAAGTGCACACTGCGTGCAGAAAACAAATGAAGTTAATTACATTTTTACCTTTACAGTAAAAAAAGTGGTACAATCTGTAGGTGGTAAATGAAAACTAACCTTGAGTCCCTCAGCAGTGCAATCAGAAACTTGCCAACCATGATCTTGAGCTGAGAAGGTCCAAGCCCCTTTGGATATGTGCCTATACATGGCCTTGAAGTCGCCACTCGGATTCTCTCTCACCTTGCAATGGATGAAATTGCCACATTAATTAAGGTCGATCTTGTGTTCTTCTGTCACAAAGGATGATGTCTGAAAATCTAACCTGTGAAGCTTTCAAGAAATCGTGTGCTTTTCGGAGAGTCGACCCATACTCATTGCTCAAGTTGCTAGACATGATTGCCTGGATTGCAAAAACAGCATCCCACGTTTGGCACCCAAATGTCTGCAATCAATCGAAGATCAAACTCTGTTCATCTGGGTTCTGTTTAGAAACAACTGAATCATAGGTTAGTACCTGCATCTTGAGGCCATCTTCAGCAACCCAGTAGTAATCAGGAAGCCTAGTCAGATGGCGCTGGTAGGCTTCTGAGTTGGGATTCTCAACCCAACAAGCCATGAGACACAGAACCTTTTCGACGCATCCGATGCAGAGGTATCTGCTGTTCTCATCCTCGTAGTGAACATGTTCCATGGCCACTCGCAATGCCTTCTCCCTCACCTTAGAGAATGGCCAGCGTGTCAGCAGAGGCTCTGCAAAGTGGTGAAGAAATCCCCACGTCAAGTCCTGTACTAAAGGATGTGGGTAGTAGAGGTCCTCCTGAAATCATAACACTACTTTAAGCACAGGAAAGGTACTTAATCTAAGCATATTTGACTAATCATTGCTCATTCAAGTTACCTTTGCGACTGTGTTTCTGGCCGCATTCCAGTTGATCTTATGGTATGACTCATTGTAGAGTTCTCCCCTAAGGGTTTGAATCAACGCAGTGATCGGTCCAACGAATCTCTTCCCATAGAGGTATGACATTGGCATGTAAACCAGTCGACAATAACACAACATTTTGCCTGATGCATAATAAGACCACATCAATATTAGTTCTAACTAAAACAATTTCAAGTCCTAAAAGAGGTTAATAGATTTTGATGAACTCATGCTGCAATATGAACCAACCTGGATGGACAGGGGAGCTTGGTGGAACCAGCCAGAACTCTGGTGGAAACGGGTTGCAGCCTGACCATTCATACAGTCCAAGTACCTGCAGTTGTGGTACAGGCAGCAATATAATGCAACCACCACAATTAAGTAAAGTTTCTAGAGTTTATGGAAATTCCTTACAGAGACCCAAAACTTTCCCCAAGAAGGTATGCCAACTAAACCGCCATGACTCAGAATCCATTTTCGACCTCTGGAAACAGCCTTGTCTTCCCCACCTTCAGGGCCCTCTCCAAGCAGCCTTAAGCATATGTAGCTTAGTGCAGATCCAAACATGGTGCTGTGCCCTTCAATGTGCAATCCCCATCCTCCATCTTCATTCTGGTTCATTGACATGCCCACCCAAATGTTACTTAGCAGCGCCATTAAGCCATGTGTGATTATAAATGAGTAAAACAACTGAGTGTTAAGTTGTGAATGTTGCCTGGTGATTGTAAATGTAACGCTTGATTTCCTTTTGGTGCTCCAATGACAGGGCCGTGTGGAGTGATCCAGTCACATACAGTGCCATTACCTGTAATTGTAGATTTGTAACAAATTTGAGATTATAAAGACGAGCCTGTATCTGGTGGATAATGGGCCTGATCCATTAGAGAGAAAAGTGTAGTAGTGGTTTTACCAAAGGGGGCATGAAAAAGAGTGGCCCAGCAGATTCAGCAGGCCAGTGGCCGTCATGGGCTTGAATGGAGGAGTAGAAGCTGATGGACCTCGTCAATGTGGTTTTCACAGCTTCCTCTGTTATCTCTTCACTTACCTTCAATTTCACTGCTGATGGAATCATCCCAGTTGGGTTCTCTTTCGTCAGCTGCTTACCGGAGGGAGAAACCGCGAATCAGAAGAAGAATTTCACTAAGATGACGGTAATAATTTTGACTAATATACATGAGATAATCTCTAGGAATGATCACCTGCATCCTCATCAAGAGATCAGCACTCTGCTTCACTCTGAATCGATTGAGCTTGAACTCTTCACGAACCCTTTCCACGGCTTTCCTTTCTTCAGCGGTTCCGGCATTCGGGTCGAACTCCCAGTGTTGCCTCCCGATGTGGCCGTTGGTTGTGGTCAGAAAATCGCCGTCTTCCGCTATCTTTAGCTTCCACATCTTCACTAGCTATATGTATCCACTTACTTAAGTATAATTATACCACTATTGCTAGCTGTTTATATTTTTATATATCTCTCTGCAATAACACGGGAACGTATCATCACGGATTGAGTAAAACAAATACAGTAGACGAGGAGGAAGAAACGCTGATTTGGGTTTCAATATGTTTATACCTTGATTTGGAGAAATGCAGAATTCGAACTTTGGGGTTGCAGAGAAATGGAGGAGGAAGAAAAAAGAAGAAGAGGACAAAGGTGTGGAGTGGTGGATGTGGGCTTGTGTTTGTCAAGCCATTTTATACATTAATAATGCAACAGCCACCTTTCTTTCGATTATATATGACGAAGATATATATCCATGGCATATTTCTTCCACGCCCATGGAACCCTGTTTCATTTGTGCATTATATATGGTTCTCCTTTGACACCTAGCTGGCTAATCACCTAATAAGATTTTAGTACTTAGTACAAGTAAACATGGAACTTTTAATTTGTATATGTTTCGCTGCAGATGGTGGGTAGATTTGGCAAGACTGAGGTGAAAAAAGGTTCAAAAGTGAGAAGGATGAGACGTAATTAGATGGGTTGATTGTTTTGTCTAAAAGTAAGACTTGCAAAGAAGCAGAGTATAGAATGTTATAAACTTGACAGTCAAATCGACTACTAATGGGATTAGAGAGAAGATAAGGGGGTTACTAGCTTAAAATCCATAATCATGCATGCTCGTGTGAGGATAATGGGGTATTTATAAGTCATGAGCCAGTGGTCAATTAGGGTTTTGCCTAGCATTTGACCCCTCTCATCCAACTACGTCTGAAAGATCTTGACTATTTAGACAAATGGCATATTAATTGTCGTTACTCCACATATTTTCGACTTCACTTTGATATTCTTTGTCAAATTTGTTATATCGAAGTGTATAGTAGATGCACCCATGTGTGTGGAGTCGCATGATCGTTTTTTATGGCACATAATTTTAATCGCTACGATATCTTCCTAGTTAAACTAATTAGGACGCGATAGAACACCTTCATACATAGGCATGAATTCTCTAAAATCCTAAAAGTTTTGAGTGCAAATTGTATTAATCCCCCACGCTAGCTTAGGAGCTTTATTCCTCTCTATGAATGTAAACTTGAGAAGGACGATGCAGTATGGTGGATCTCCTTTGGTTTGGTTGTGAAGGGGATACGCACGTAGCTAGGTAGTGGAATGGTAGATGTGCAAAATCTTTTGGAAAGTCACATCCGTCATTTGAGAGAAAGGACGCCAATATGGTCGATGCATGTCCTTGCGGAGTGGAGAAGAAGAAGCACAATTGGACGGTAGATGTGCAAATCGTCGGAAAGTCACAATTGTCAAGCTATAACTTTGCGTGTCAGTTCATGCCGGGGTCCAAAACAAGATACTCATAATGGTGAAAGGGCTATGTCGGAGGAAATGAGAGTAACCATCGATGTATGTATGGGGCACAACTACAAGATTCACACTTATGGCTCGATTGCACCAATTGAGTCAGCAGGCGCTAAACAACATTTTAGGTAGGCGGATCTTGAGCCTACTTGTAGATCTATGGATCAAAATAAGGGATCTATCAATAGTCAAAATCCAGTTCCGGAAACTTGAATTGGTCGAACAGATCTCGAGTTGCACTGAATCGAAATAGACAAGGCCACAATTCAGAAGTCGGGAAGCTGGATTTTGGTTGTCGGTTCGGGACATATTCAATATTCCGACCCGATGAACCGAGATGTCAAAGTACAACCCAAATAATATCTAATAATATCACCTAGCCCACTACGAAGTACGAACTCAGCTAGAATCGACCCTGCCCAAGCCCTTTATTTTCTACAATTTTCCTCCTGACTCTGACCCTGTCCTCTAAATCTCTCCTCTCTAGTCCTGCCTCTGGTCTGGCTTCCCCAACCATCCATCGACTATCAAAACTCTCCAGAGTTGTAAAAGCAACACCTGCCCAAGCCCTTTATTTTCTACAATTTTCCTCCTGACTCTGACCCTGTCCTCTAAATCTCTCCTCTCTAGTCCCTCACTACCATAACACTAGAGTTGTAAAAATAAGTCATCTCGATTAGGATATGGTCACAAAATTAAAGTTAGTTGTTCGATAACTAATCTGATCGAGACATCTAAACCACCGAATAAATTCCGAATATTTGTTGAGGCTGATGCAGGTGATCAATATGATAGGTTAAATTACCCATCAATGAGTTCCTTTAGACAAGGAACTTGTTGTCATTGATGTAATGATGGTTATAGTCCAAACTCTATCATTAAGGGGACGAAGAAACGGCCTTGATGCCTAAAGGGAGGCTGCAAGGAAATATGAATTCTTTCTTTGCAAGTAGTATGGAGTCATGGACAGTGGAAGCGCAAATGGAGCTTACACATCTGACGGCAAGGAAGCAAGGTGTTACTCATTCAACACTGTTGTTTTTGTTGTGGAAATCAATCAATCTAACTATCTTAAATTGGGTCTTGGGAAATTGACATATTCGTCCAACTATCAAGGGCTAAATGGAAGCAGAAAGCTAGCAAATGACAAAGTGTACCTATGTCTGCAAAATAGAGCAAGAGTTACTACTTTTTTTTATAAGAGTTACTACTTTGGGGATACCAATACGATAGTAATTTTTTTCCGTCTCATAGTTCACCATTTCAATTTTTATTTTTTTGGAAATGTATAGTTTTCTTATGAACCATTCATGTGTAAGAATTTCATTTCTATACGTTGTTCTGAAAGACATGTTAAATTTTTTGACAATGATTAAGAAAATTGTTCTTTTCACTAAGATGTTAGATGAGTTTGAATCAAATTAACCTAGCTACATGCAACACTTAAAAGACTAAGAACATCAAATTGTCCATATATGCAACACTTTCAACTTGACCATGTAAGTGACAACTGCATATTTTGATACGATTCCATAAAAGTATTTTTTTAATAAGGGTGAAATGAATTTATTAAAAAGAAAAAGATTGTACAAAAGCCAACACAGCACAAGATCAAAAGAATTGATCCTAAATGTTGAAATCCAGGATTTGTTTGATATGAATTTAGAATAATGGATATGGAAATTTTTTTGCGCCTAAAAAGAAAAGGGAGTTCATTTACTTGAAGTTAAGGGTAAAATAAGCCGAAGGATTTACTAAAGCTCCTACCTTCTGATATACGTAGCCCTCACATATCAAGCTATAGTAGATGGGTCATCAGTAAGGAATAAGCCTAAGTCCTCCTAAACGTTGAAGTAAATAAAGAATGAAGTTCCACAGATTCCAGTAAAAATAAATAAATAAATAAATAAAGAATGGATGAAGTTAAGGAATCAGCTAAGCAAAAAATATTTAGTTTCATAATTTGCCTCCATCGATTCTAAAATGGTAACCCGAGATGTTATGTCAGGAGTTCTTCACATTCGAGAGCAGCGGACGGGAAATCCACTTGCTTTTCTCATTTTTCACGTTATTTTCGTATAATTTTGCTCGACCATGCCTTTGAGTGGTCGTTTGGATGAGGAATTGTAACGGATCAATTTGATACAATTGTCTCGTTTTGAGATAATTGTACTAAATTGCCTCGTTTGCCAACAAAAAATTTGGATGGATCAATCTGAGATATTTTGAATTGATCCGATTTGAGTCAATTTCAATTACCTGGGGTGGGGGCAGGTAATTCGAATTGACTCGTTTTAATTGTTTCGTTTATAAAACGAGACAATTGATCAAACTGACTCATTTCTAAATAGATCCATCCAAACGACCACTGAAACTTATGTTGAATAAAAAAAATATTTAAATTTTTCGGAACTAGATTAGTCACATCTCCATCTCAATATCTTTTTGTTTACACTCATTACGTTGTAAACAAAATAACCTTAAAATTACATTAATTAATTAATTAGCACCAACCACGTTCTCGTCACCTTAAAAAAAACCAAATTCCAAATTATACACCCTCAACCTCAATTCATCAAACTTTCATTTGCCTATAAATTGGCACAAAACCCTCCTCCTCTTCATCAACACAACCAGTAGCAGTGTCCCAAAAACAAAGTTATAACAACACTTCCCATACAAAATGGGGAAACGAGTGTGACACCACAAACCAAACACGAGCACAAAAACGCCAGAGCTACTGCTTTTTTTTCTTTTTCTTCTTCCTTCTCTTTGGTGCAAAAAAATGGAGCATTTCTACCTCAGCCTCCTCCTTCTCTTCGTATCCTTCGTCACCCTCTCGCTGTTCCTCGTCTTCTACAACCACCGCTCTCAGTACAACTTCCAAAACCTCCCGCCGGGGAAACCCGGCCTGCCTTACGTCGGCGAGACGCTCGACTTCCTCTCCACCGGGTGGCAAGGCCGCCCTGAAAAGTTCGTGTTCGACCGCATCGCAAAGTTCTCGTCCGAGGTGTTCAAGACCAACATCGTCGGCAAGCCCGCCGTGGTCCTCGCCGGAGCCGCCGGGAACAAGTTCCTCTTCTCCAACGAGAACAAGCTGGTGGTCGCCTGGTGGCCGGACTCCGTCAACAAGATCTTCCCCTTCACCCAGAACAGCTCCTCGGTCGACGAGTCCCGCCGCATGCGCAAGCTCCTCCCCCAGTTCCTCAAAGCCGAAGCCCTCCATAGGTACGCACCTCAATAATACTCCATTTAGTACGTATATATATATATATATATATATGGCGAGTTCTACGGTACCCTGGGTGAAATCCGGGGTACCGCATACCTTGAGTATGAAAACACTATCTAGACCTTGAATTGACCGATCTTTCGGACATGATACTATACTCTAACACTTAAAGATCAAAATCTAGGTGTTAACTCTCCCAATATTATACTCCAAGATCAATTTAATTAGAAATAATAATCGACGGTTATGATTCATCCAAATATAGGTACAAAAAGGAATGCACCATCTTAGGGTTTATAGATTATGATTTAGATAATTATGACCTAGGGTTCACTCATTAAGGGTTAGGTTATAATATCAGACACAAAAATCCCGGTAATTCGAGGTCTAGATAGAGTTTCCATACTCAAGGTATGCGGTACCCCGGATTTCACCCGGGGTACCATAGAAGCCACCATATATATATATATATATATATATATATATGAACCTGGCTATAAGTGTTCTATGTGTTCAAAACTCTCGTTTTGGTACTATTCCCAAATCGTTTTATTTTTTCGTCCATTTGATTGGTCCTATACATAACACGTATGAAACAAGTACAACACTTTTAATATACGTATTTAATGAATTAATTAATGATTTAAATATTACTTAATTTAAAAAATAGTCAGTTTGATATATTATATAGTTATTGATATTCTATTATATGCACCATTAGTTTAGATACAAGTTGTGCAATGGTTTGGACCGTATCAGACTATAATGGAGTTTGGATCGAATCGAACCAAATTAAACTGTGTATAATACGGTCCGATTCTTGATCCTCATAAATTTTATAATTTTTGAAGAAATTATAGATCAAACTGATATTTGGATCAGATCAAACCGGACCGAATATAATGATGGTCCGATTCTTAATTTCAAGATTTCTTTCACTAATGGACGCGATTGTCTTGAGTCTGGTCCGATCCGACCAAACTGTTACCTGTAACTTATTTGTACACCTAATGAACAATTGATTTGAATGTATTAGGTACATTGGGATAATGGATTCGATCGCCGAACGCCACTTCGCGTCCGGCTGGGAGAAGAAGCAAGAAGTACTGGTGTTCCCTCTAGCCAAAAACTACACCTTCTGGCTGGCGTGTCGCCTGTTCGTGAGCGTAGAGGATCCGAGCCACATCGCCAAGTTCGCGGCGCCGTTCAACCTGGTGGCCTCCGGGATCTTCTCCGTGCCGTTGGATCTGCCGGGGACGCCGTTCAGGAAGGCCATCCGTGCGTCCAATTTCATCAGGGCCGAGTTGCTCAACATCATACGTCAGCGGAAGGTGGATTTGGGAACGGGGAAGGCCTCCGTGACGCAGGACATCCTGTCCCACATGCTCACTATCAGCGACGAGGCCGGCCGGTTCATGACCGAGCTGGACATCGCCGACAAGATCCTCGGCCTCCTCATCGGCGGCCACGACACGGCGAGCGCGGCTTGTACGTTCATCGTCAAGTTTCTGTCCGAGCTGCCACACGTTTATGATGGAGTTTACAAAGGTATGTTAGTTGGTATGTACTGTTTTTCTCCAACTTTGTCGTCTTTCCAATTTCCATATGTAGAAATCACAGAATCTCGAGTACTGTGCATGATAATTTAAGGTGCGACAATTGCAAGAGGGGTTCAGTAAATTTGAATTCCGCGGAAAGTGGCTGGTTAATATCAAGGAAAATACTTGTGAAAAATGAGGGTAACTAATTAATCATTTTTTTACTAACTAGAGGTTAGGTTACATATTAATTTATATGTAAAATATGCAACAAATTTGAAAAATAGATTAACCGGTAAGACTCTAATCCCCTTTCAATGACAATGGTTCAAATCCTAATTTGTTACTCACTTAACCAGATTTCGAGCTTTACCAACAGATGTACATACACCTTTGTTTATGGTAACATGGATGTTACATTAATTTAATCTATACAAGCAGAGCAAATTGAGATAGCAAAATCCAAGAGATCAGGAGAGTTACTGAACTGGGATGACATCCAGAAGATGAAATACTCATGGAACGTAGCTTGTGAGGTGATGAGGCTCGCCCCGCCGCTTCAAGGAGGGTTCAGGGAAGCCATTAATGACTTCATTTTCAATGGCTTCTTCATCCCTAAAGGCTGGAAGGTATGTATATGAACAGTTAGCTTACTCTGGTTCAGTTACCAAAACTCAACTACACTGAATACAATAATCCAGTTTAGTTTTACGAACCTTAAATTGGATATATATGTGCAGCTGTATTGGAGTGCGAATTCAACCCACAAAAGCAGGCAGTACTTCTCTGAACCGGAAAAGTTCGACCCGAGCAGGTTCGAAGGCGGTGGGCCGGCGCCCTACACGTTTGTTCCATTCGGTGGCGGCCCGAGGATGTGCCCAGGAAAGGAATACGCCCGGCTGGAGATCCTGGTGTTCATGCACCATCTGGTGAAGCGGTTCAGGTTCGAGAAGCTGATTCCCGACGAGAAGATTGTGGTGGATCCGATGCCCATCCCGGCTAAAGGCCTACCTGTGCGCCTCTTTCCTCACAAGGGGTAGGAAAATGGCATGTATCTAATTAAGTAGTAGCAATTAAGTTTCTGTGTACTGTTCGTTTTATGGTTTGCCGGATTTGGATATGTAATGCAGATATGAATATGTCTTTTTAGTACCAAGTACCAATCACTTTTCATATATATCTATCTATTGGGTAAACTTTAGGGTACGACATACGTGCCGAGTAAGAAAAGGGTATCAAGATTTTGAATTAACTGGATTTTAGACATGATACTATACCTTAACTCTTGATCGGTGAACCCTAGGCCTTCGATATCTAAATCATAGAACCTTGCGCCCCTGAGATTGTGCATGTAATTTGTTATATATTTCGACGAATCATGACCGTCGATTTTTGTTTCTCGTTCAATTAATCTTTAGTGTTTTAGATTTATATAGAACTTAGATATAGTTTTAATCTTTGAGGGTTTGGGAATAGTACTAGATGCCAAACTCCAGTCAATCCAAGGTCTAGATATCATTTTCTTACTCAATGTATGTCATACCTTTGATTTTACCCAAGGTATGATAGAATCACTCATATATATATGGTGGTTACTTTGATGCACTCACTTTTTTGTGCATTCAATGCAACCAACTCTAAAAAAGTGGTCATAATACATCATATTTGAACTTTAACAGGTAGAATTAGTATAATATGATGATATAATACAGAATCACAACTAATCAATCCATTACCTAACCAATTAACGTTCAATTTTGAATCCCAACCCAAAATCCCAAATTGTAAACCCTAACTCTAACCCGAAATTCGTAAAACCTAAATCATTCAAATTAAAGTGAATCTTGAATAATTTTAGTACAAATTCAGGTGCATCATACCACAGGTGATGATTGACAACGTTTTCACATGAATCACCACCTGTTAAGAATGACGATTATAAGGCGAGTGCATTGAACACAAAAAAAAAAGTGAGTGTATCGAAGTAGCCACCATATATATTATGTACTCGTATCAAATACATTAACTAAAGATAATAAAAAAATGTATGATATACTGCAGTACTATACATATTTTTTGTGGAAAAGCTAGGGTTGCGGTATCAGTGAACGGAGGCTCGACACAGAGGACAATGAGGGTTTTGAGTGAGCCAAGGGTCGAAGCAAGCCTTATGATACAAGTGGTGGCACACGAGAAGAGAGCTACACACGTCACCATCCTTGAACTTGTCCAAGCAGATTGAACATTCCTCCGGCAAGCTTCTTCTTCTTCCTTGTTCTTCATCGACTTCTTCTTCTTCTTCTTCTTCTTCTTCTTCGCCCCTTCTCTTGAATACCACAATGCCATACCCTAAACGTCGAGACGGCGGAGGAGGTGGAGGAGAAGGAGGCCGACAGAAGCACCATTTTACCAAACTATAAACACCCCAAATAGCGAAACCCAATAAAAACAATTCTAAAACCCTCCAGAAGGATGGCCAATCCATTCGATGACAATGGGATTTGTCCTGTGTGCAATTGGCCGAAGCGTTCATCGTCGTCGTCGCGGCCGACCAATATTACGCTAGCTCCAGCTTTCGTTGAAATTAAGTAGGTATTCCCTTTGCTATGTATTGTATATACATATATTTGTACTTGGTTGGTTCGTTCTAGACTTCTAGTGGAAGAAGGAAAAGCTATCCTATATCATTGTGGATTCGGACTTGGGAGTACGTACCGCTAATTCGGAGAATTATTTTAGGTTATATATAATATAATAGATTAAATTCAACGACCGGCTGACCTAGGTAATCTTTTTTTTTTTTTTTTTATAGTGGCTGGCCTAGGTATTTGACGGGCCAATTTCAAGCTTTTGATTTGATGGGCCAATTTAAATGTAAATGGTTTCCGTTTCTTCATTTCTGGCCCAAAAGGCTGTATACAGTAGTGGATAGGCTGCTGGGCCGAAGACCAATTGTCAAAGCATTATTTTCTGTTTTTGTTTTTGCTTAGGGGAAGCATTAAGTTAGGGGTCGGGGATGGCGGTGGATATTCTCCGATCCTATTTGTAATGGGGGAGGATTTCGATCAGACCCGTGATAAGTATGAATTTGAATATTTGATATACATATTAAATTTTAAATTTTAAATTTAAGTATTGAATCGCTATTTATTGTCTTAAAATTTAAATTTTATCACCCTAAAATACACTGAAATGACACATATGCCCCTACCCCAAATCAAACCTAAACCCTAGACCCTTCTCTGGACAACAAAAATCCGCAGCCTCCAATAGTCACATTCTTGGCAAAACCCAGAACTGCTCCCTGCCGCTGTCGTGTTGCTGTTGCTGGGAGGAGGAGGACGAAGCCGCTGCTGATGTCGCCGAATTCACTCCCCGCCCACCTGCTGTGTTGCTGTCGTTGTCGTGTAGGAGGATTTCCCATTTGTAGTCTGTACTTGGACATATTTGCCACTTATCCTCGTAACGTCACCATCAATCCACGCCAACTTGGGATCTTCAATCTACACGAGAACCAACGATATATTATGTACTCCAATGCAGCCTGCAAATGAAAAAATTATTGCTAAACAGCTTTCAAGTAACCATTAAAATTACATGAATGATGAGAAAGGATGGTCCTCAATTGTGAGAGAAGAATGTAGCATGTGCCTAATGGTAATGTTACGTATATCAAACAGGTTCCTTCTTTTCATGGAAATACCAGCTAAAGGACCACGAACTTGTTTGTTTGAGCCTTTCGTACCTGTCCGAGATGTACCGGGATAGGTTTTCAACCCGTGTCCAACGTTCCGGGACATATTTTCAACCCGTCGGATACCCCAAAAAATAGAAAACAAGAACATTTGTGTAAATTCAATAAGATTTAAAACCACAAATAAGCTATTCTAGGGCGACGAATAAGTTTTTTCTTTTTCTTCTTTCCCTTTCTCATGTTCACCATTCCTTTCTCTGTTTGGTGTAGCTCTGAGGTGGCCAATCTTCCTTTCTATGAGCCATCATCCTGCTCCCTCACTGGATCCATTTTTGCCCTCCCACCCTTTCCATTATATGATTTTACGGAGGCCAGGAGTGTTTCTTTCTCCCTGGTTTGGATTTAGCCTTTCCTTGTGCAGTGAAATAGAGATGGAGCAGGTCGAATTTTATCCGCTCGCGCGGGGTAATGTTTAGGGCAAAAATTACGGACCCTTTGCAAGTCGCAGGGCAGGGCATATCAAAATTTCAAGAGCAAAGCGGGGCACGGATTTAGCAATATCCGCCCTGTTCATGCCCCGTTGTCATCCCTGTATTAGCTTGTATTTCGTGTGTTGTCTTTACCTGACAGAATCTCAAAACATCGTTAAAATTTGCAACAAAAATTATTAGATTTGGCAAACAATCATCAAAATTCTGGCTATTTCGGTGTATTTCGAAAGTTTTGTCTATAACTGTCATGCAAACATGAAAATTGTGGCTATGAAAGTGTATTTGGCCGTTTATATATATAAACTTTCTACTGGGCTAAAATATTTGGAGTATTCCACTACATGAACAATATGAAAATTGATGCATGTTATTAACCAAACCAAACGAAATCATGTCGACAACTTGCGTGTCAATTCCATCATTGAATTCAAGTTTCACCATGTGAAAACAAACGGAACAAACTACTTTCTCATCTCAAAAAACCTATGTACCTTTCTGAGAGCTTGTTTATCCACCTAAAATCTCGTTCTTGTTTGATATCAAAATCCCTCACTAACTTTTGAAGGCAGATCTTTTACACAATCGAATTTATAGATACTTTGGAGGGTAAAACAGAAATTGACCATCGAACCAGTTTCCATTGTTTTGCTCGACAATTCACATACATAAATTATAATCTCCTATAAAAAAAAAATATAATTATCGAGAAACCAAACCATAGACAATTCTAAACTATACACATACCTCCTCCACCCTGTCGAAACATACCGACCGTTGTCGGTCTGGTATGAACGGAAGCGCGACACAAAGGACAATCATGGTTTTGAGCGAGCCAAGGCTCAAAGCACTCCTTGTGATACAAATGCCCGCACACGTCAAGAGAAGAGCACTCCTCCCCGTTCTTCAACTCTTCTAAGCAAATCGAACATTCATCTCCTACTCTTTCTTGTTCTTCGTCGCCTTCTCCGCCACTTTTCTTGAAAACCCTGACGGTATTCCTCAACCCGCCGCTAGCTGCTGCTTGATTAACTTCGACGACGACGCTATTATTATTACTATTACTAGTGTGGTTATTGTTATTATCTTGATCATCAGGAGGAGGAGGAGGAGGAAAGCAGCGGCGTCGGACAAACTTGTACAGGCTGACTACTATCATCACAACTACGACACACACTCCAACGAAATCAAAAACTTCCAAGAACTGTGAAACTGTCCCGCAATCGGCGTCGAAATCATCCGTGCAATTAGTCGTCGAAGCGTTCATCGTCTTCATACGTACGGCCGGCCGGCCGGCCGATCAATAGTACTCTCCACCAATCTGTCGTCAGGGCAAACGTTGAAAAGTTGAAATCCTTGTCCCTTGAGTAACGTATATTTTACCTATTTATATGTATCTACTGAGTTAATTGGTGTTCAAGCGGAAGCAGGAAATCTAAAATGTGTTTTAAACCATTACTTAGATTAGATGGATTTGGACTCTGAAACCCTTTTATTTTTATACCAGGGAATATTATTCTGGAGACTTATTTTGTTTAATGTATAACAGCTGATCGACTTAGGGAGTTTCAACTTTGACGGGACAATAGATTTTGTTTCTCCGCGCAGGCCCAATGAAATTGAGTTTGGGTTGAGCCTGAAGCAGAAGCGGATAAGCGGCTGGACTGGACCGAAGACCCTGTCTAAGTGTGATTTCTCGTCTTCTTTTTAATTAGGGTTAATACCCTCGTTTGGCACAAAGTATAGCGTTAGTGACATTTCTGGCCCAAGTTTTCAAATAAGACATCTTTGGCCCACTTTTCAAATTATCGGACGAATTTGGCCTATGGGACGGGTTGATTGTCAGATTTGACGGTCAACAATGTTCTCCGTTGCTGACTCAGCATTCGACTCTGACGTGGCTTGTCCACGTCATTTATTTTTATTTCCCTTTTTATGAACATTTCTAAGTCATTAAGTTAAAAAAAAAAAAAGAATATAAACAAAACTAAAAGGAAAAGGTGGAGACCAGGTCCACCACACACTTACCCATCTCTTTCTTTCCACCTTCTTCCTCCTGTGAACCCCACCCCCTCGTATCCCCTTCCCCGAACTTCTCCGCCGCCGCCAATCCGACCCAAATTGGAGTGCATGGCACTTGAAACCCCACCGACCTTCTTCCTCCTGTGAAACCCCATCCATCGTCAGCTCGTATCCCCTTCCCATTACCTTCTTCCTCCTGTGTGTGGTGGAATGAACGGGATGGACTACAACGGAAGGAGGGCCCAGGGTAATAATGGTGCTCTGCTGTCGTCGATTTCGATGACGACCGCCAAGATCCTGCGGCTGCTGGTGGTGGTGGGTCTTCGGATTGACTACCCGCGGGCTCACGGTTGATGCGGTGGTCCACGGTTGACTCGGAGCTCCGAAATTGGAATTCGAAGTATTGTTGGGAGGAGTTATGAGAACGCTCCGTTGACCGGCGGCGGCGGGAGGGGACAAGAACGGCTTGTACGAATCTTGAAGCAAATCGGGGAAGTTGTTGTAGCTGTAGCTTTTGTCTTCGGGCTGTGCAGCGAGATCCGGGAAGGCGAATGGGTCGGGTTCGTCGTCGAAAGTCAACCCGGAGAGAGGGTTATTCTCGCGATGGAGATTGTTGCTGTTTGAGCAGGAGGCGGCGGAGTTGTCGGGCTGCGCCGCCGCGGCGGAGCTGCAGCTCCTGACGATCGCGTTGAGATCCCAGTCGTCGGCCATCGACGGAGGAGGAGAGGAGAGGAGAAAGAAAGAGATGGGTAAGTGTGGTAGACCTGGTCTCCACCTTTCCCTTTTAGTTTTGTTTATATTTTTTTTAACTTAATGACTTAGAAATGTTCATAAAAAGGGAAATAAAAATAAATGACGTGGACAAGCCACGTCAGAGTCGAATGCTGAGTCAGCAACGGAGAACATTGTTGACCGTCGAATCTGACAGTCAACCCGTCCCATAGGCCAAATTCGTCCGATAATTTGAAAAGTGGGCCAGAGATGTCTTATTTGAAAACTTGGGCCAGAAATGTCACTAACGCTATACTTCGTGCCAAACGAGGGTATTAACCTTTTTAATTATGATGATTCTGATATGTTAATTACCGAATATTTTACTAGCATTGGCAAACATTAGTTTTTAAGAGGAAGCATTAGCATGTGTTTAGTGCTTTTTATCAATATTTTGTATTTCAGTTAGTAAACACGCAAAATGTTGGTTTATTGGATTTAGGTTTTCACTTAGTAGAGTAGTAGACGGTTAGTTCAACTGGAATACTAATAGCTAGCCATACATATGAGCTAAAATAATTTAATTGTCAAATATTTTTCTTTCAATAAATTTTTTAAAATTCAATATAATAGCAAAATCATTAATTTTTCATGTATGGTTTAAGAAGTGAAAGGATTGAATGTATCACATGAATATTTTTTTTAATCGAAATCTAAATCACACTTTATTGATTAGCAGTTGCGGTTACATCATCCAAGGTTAACTGATAAAAATAAATATTGACTGCCCATCAAGCCAAACAATACTCTCATTCCATCTAATTTGTGTATGCGCCGTTATATGTGTTGCTTTGTTGGCTTCCCTGTAAATAAACTTCCATTGACTATCTCACGTACGACCAGGATTCCTCTTAATGTTTCGACACAACACTCCTACGTTTGTTTGTACCTCGTCTAGCGAGCCCAACATTTGCATAAGAATCATAGTATCCCACTCCAAAATTGGATTAACCACGTGTAGTTGCCATGCGAGCTGAACAATGTAGTCAAAATAGCGCTTTAAAGTTTAAAAGCTTACACTTTTACATTTCTTGGTCACCAAAACGCTTTTACGTAAAATGTCGCTTTTCCCTTACAAATGTAGTCAAAATCTACACTTTAAATGTTAAAGTTTACAATTTTATATCACTCACATGTTTATGAGCACTTTTACTATGCTATATAGTATTGGTGTTTTAATGTACAACTTAAAGTTGTACCATAACATTAAATGTATAAGTTTATGTTGTACCATAAAACAATTTGTACCATTATGTTATGGTACAACTTTACAACTTGTACCATCATATAAAGGTACAAGTTCAAGTTGTACCATAAAAGAGTTTGTACAAAAAGTATAGGTACAATCTGAAGTTGTACCATAACATAAATGTATAATTTTAAGTTGTACCATAAAAACAAAACCCTATAGCACCAATACTATATAGCATTGTAAAATTTCTCCATGTTTGTACGTGCTTTTACTGCACTGAAACTAAACTGTTGAACTCCAGAGTCAGCCGCCATAGCCTCAGCCATAAGTGGGGTCCAAGTGCCTTCTATTTTCTTCGCGGCTGCCATTAATTAAGCACTAAAATAAATCATATTATCACTAAAATTTTATTTTCTTCTGACAATAAACTTATATTTACATGACCTTATTTTAATTAAATCATGGGGTTGTGAGTACATGCCATTAGCCGACCCTCGCATTTTTGGCACTTAACCAAAAAAAAAAAAAAATGGGACGTGATGGATGTTAATTATGGATCTCCACCCCTTGATACAACTTACATAAAATAGATGGTTGTCTTGTAAGAGTTAATACAAACTTAAAATAATAAAGAGAAACACAAAACATAATCATGATTCATGAAGTGTTATGTTTGTACACTATTCTAATCGCACGAAATATGTATGAATTTCCAAACCTCTTGGTGCTCATTTACGCTAAAATGAACAATTGATTATCTCACTTTCATATTTTTTCAAGAAATTAAAGTCACATTCTACCATCATCCAAGTGTGCTTTAAATGAAATAAAATCATGTTGTACGACTTTAACTAATTTGACATCATATTTGATAATTAGTTTTTTTATGAAGGATATTTGATAATTGGTTGATTTGAAGATACTACGCACTATATAATGACATTTTGCAACGGTTATTGTTACATAATAATGTCACACTCACCCTCACACAAATCAAAATTAAGCTAACCCTTAAAGGAAATAAAATATGAATAAAATGCTCATTCATAAAAAATAATTTATGAAACCATGCTTAAGCAACGACTTTATCTCATGTTACAGAAAAACTATCCATCATCGCATTAAAATTATGACGACCAATATGTACATATAGTAAAGTTGGCTGGAATAGTTATAGAACAGAAGGCGAAATCGTACCAAGAGAAAAGGCAACTAAGTAAGGAAGAAAAGTAAGCAGTAGTGGTGCAGCAGGTAACAAATTGATTTATGGCCCAACGGGGGCACGACAAAGAGGGCAACTTCTCTTTTTGGCCAGCCAACTGTTAAGGCAAGCTCGGTGGTAAAAATGGCGGCACGCCGTCACAATGATGAGTTTATCATCATAATGCAACTCCCTCAAGCAAATTGCACATTCCACTGCCGCCACCCTGTTACTCTTGCGGAAAACCTCAACTGTGTAACCTACGACACCGGTGGTGCGCCTTGCCGCCGGCCTCCTTTTTCCCTGCTCGACGCGTGGCGGCGGCGGCTGTGGTTGCCTGCTGCCCCAAAATTTGAATAGTAAAATGAGCCCAATCGGGAGCCCTACACAGCCGAATACGAATTTCCAGTTCGTATTAGTCGGGCATCGGTCGCCGAATCTGAGAAAGCAATTAGGCTGGTCAGACGACGTCGTCGTCGTCGACATCGTAGGCCGTAGCAGCTTCGATCAGTAACGCTGCTACTCCAGCTGCAGGTTTTGTTTAGTTACGTAATTGATCAGTTTTGCTGAATATATATTATGTGTATCATTGTGAATTTATTTATAGTATGTATGTACGTAGTTGTTCAAGGGGAAGAGAAGGAGCTAATTATTTATTTAAGGCCTTTTTATTTGGAATTGGAGACTGATTCAGGTGAGAAAATATATGTTAATTAAAATTTAAAACAGTGACGTACCTAGCTTAAACTTCTAAACCCTAAGAATATTCTGAACATTCAGGGATAGCCCTGTGATTCAAGGATCCTTTATTTTTCTGACTTCAGTCGTGATACCTAGGATACGTTCCATAGCGCGCAGTCTTTGAATTGAATTTGATCCAATGGTTAAGATCAAATATATTATTTCCAACTAATCCCGTACATTTCTCAATTGGTCAATATTTCCTTCAAGTTAACTATGATTTCAGAAAATTAAACAAAAACAATTTAATATTAATGTTAGTATACTGCCATAATAAAACTACTCAATTTCCTCTCTTGTTTTCATATTCTGAAAACAATTTATAAAATAGATTCGCCACTTAGGTTAAAGCTCAGACCCTTTCCGATGAATATGTAATTAAGCAATCATTTATAAATTGATTCGTCATCCGATTTTGGATATGAGTGATAATTTAAATTCAATTCGATTTATACACTAAAAACTCAACCAATCTAAATCTATTTAAATTCTAATATCCAAATTCAATGGATTGTTTTAAAATTATTTTTTATTATCTATATATTTTATAATTTATAAGCTCTAGTTTCCTTGTCCTGATCGGGCAAAGCATAGCCCGTGGCAGGCAATGGTAAATTCTTCGCTTATTTCCGAATTCCTTTCCCAACATGGAAATGAGATTTTCTATCATCCCTTCTTTTTTTTTTTTGACAAAAGATAATCAATAATTGATAACAAAACACAGATCATTACAGCGAGTGCCTCAGCCAGGCAACGAAATCAAACGAACGACTCATCGTCGGGTACAAAGAAAGGGCTTTGCGAGCCACCAAGTGGGCTACCCTATTACTACGCCGACCAACAAACCGGACACTAAATCCCTCCCGCTCCCCCATATAACGCTGGACCTCTTGAAAAATAGCACCTGCACGACTATCCTGCACTGGGTACTCCGCAAGCCGATTGATCACCACCTGAGCATCACCCTCGAATCTTACCTGTTCAAGCCCCTCCTGGGTACACCAAATCATGGCCTCACGTAGAGTAAGTAATTCCACAACCATGGGATCATCCATCCCAGGGAAACGGACTGCCGAGGCCATTCGGGGAACCCCACCTTGATCCAGAAGAACCATCCCACCAGCCGAGTGAGACCCCCGTCTAGTCGCTCCGTCCCACCGGCACACTAAAGTGTCAGGATTAGGAGGAACCAAGGCTACTCCATCCAGCCGAGGAGCACCATCAACCCTAGGGGCTGGCAACGAGCGCCATTCCTCAACCTGCTGGCAAAACTGGCGCACAAGAGCAGGAAAATCAAACTGCTTGCCCTCAAAGACAACCCAATTCCTGGACTTCCAAATCCTCCAAAGGAGAGCTACAAGTGCCATTACTTCCTCAGGGCCGCGGAGGAGCATCAGCAACTTTTTGAGAAACAATGGGAACGAATGTCGGGGTAGCCCTTCACCAAGATGACCCATCCCCGCAAGCTCCCAAAGATTCCTCGCCACTGGACATTCCAGAAAAAGATGCTCCATAGTTTCAGACGCCCCCCAACACACCGGACAACGGGGATGGACCATAACATCCCTCTCGCGGAGAGCCTCCGTAGTTGGTAGGAACCTATGCATGACCTGCCACAAAAAAATCTTTAATTTGGGAGGGATTGGCAGGCCCCACAACCGAATCCAGCTTGGACGGTCCATCAAACTAACCGTGGGTCCCCAGTGACCCTGCTGCGCATCAACTGCGACGGCCAAGTGATAAGCAGACTTGACTGAAAACACCCCATCACCCGTCTCGTGCCAAATTAATTTATCCCCAATATCTTGCCTCGACAGGGGAATCGCCTTGATCGCCTTAATCGAAGCCGGAGAAAACCACTGGCACAGCTTTTCTTCCGACCAACGGCCTTCCCCTGGGCACAGCAAATCAGCCACCTTCAGGATTCCCTCTCTTGGAAGAACCAGTGGGTTAGCTAGGGGAGGCTGAGGATGCAATGCCGGAACCCAGCTGTCCTCTAAGGCCGACACGGAGCGCCCATTCCCAACCTGCCACCGGAGACCCCTCAACAAGAGCTGCCGCCCATAAAGCACACTCTGCCACCCCCACGACGGACGTGACCGAGCAGTAGCACTGAGGAAGGACCCAGTCGGGAAATACTTCCCTTTGTACACCCGCGCCAGAAGGGAGGATGGGTCTTCCAGAATGCGCCACCCAATTTTCGCCAAGAGAGCTTGATTAAAGTGTTTAAACCGACGGAACCCCATGCCCCCATCATGCTTACTCCGACACATCTTCCTCCACGACATCCACCGCAATCTAGTCCGTCCATCCTCAACTCCCCACCAGAATCTGGCCACAAGTCTATCCAAAGCACGACACAACGAGAGAGGGAGCTTAAAACAAGACATAACATGCAAAGGCAGGGCCGAGGCAACTGATTTGAGCAGTATCTCCTTCGCCGCCAAAGACAACGTACGTCTAGCCCACCCTTGCAGCCTAGCTAACAAACGCTCTTCCACATACCGAAAGGTAGCCATCTTGGATTGGGCAATCAGAGTTGGTAACCCTAAATACTTATCCTGCACTCCCACCGCGCCCACGCCCAGGATCTGGGCTAAAAACTCCTGATCTGGGATGGCCACATTCTTACTAAAACAGACCGCTGATTTCTCCAAATTCACCCGTTGTCCACTCAGCTCCTCATACTCATTTAGTACATCGATCAAATTCTCACACTGCGAAAGTGATCCTCGTAGAAACAAGTATGAATCATCCGCGAAAAACAAATGTGAGATCCGCGGGGCGCGGGGGGCCACCTTAATCCCCTCCAGTTTCCCTTCATTGACAGCACGTCGGAGCAAAGCGGCGAACCCTTCAGTGCACAAAACAAAAAGTAGAGGGGAGAGCGGATCCCCCTGACGAAGACCCCGGGTAGGTTTAAAAAACCCATAGGGAGTACCATTCATCATAATCGAGAAAGATGGCGTCCGTAGACACTCTCTAACCCACCCAATCCAAGTCTGATTAAAACCTAACTTTGTCAAAACGGCAAAGAGAAAGGGCCACTCAACTCTGTCATAGGCTTTTTCCATATCAACCTTCAGAGCCATATACCCTTTCTTTCCCCGGTTTTTAATTTTTAGGTAATGCATAAGCTCATGCCCCAGCAGGACATTCTCCACAATCTGCCTTTCTCGGATAAAAGCATTTTGACCCTCCGAAATTATCTGTGGAAGTATACACGCTAACCTCTCCGTCATGATTTTTGTGATAATCTTATACACAAATTGGCAGAGACTGATGGGACGAAGTTGGCGTATAGATTCCACATTATCCACTTTGGGGATCAAGGTAAGCCAGGTATGGTTGAAACTTCGCAAGATCCTACTCGTCTGGAAGAACGAGCGGACAGCCTCAACCACAGACGCACCTACAATGTCCCAATAAGCTTTGAAAAACTTCCCCGTGAATCCATCCGAGCCTGGCGCCTGTTTTGAACCCATTGAGAAAACCGTCCGGCGAACATCGCACGGAAGGACTTCGCAATTAAGTTCGCATTCATAGCATCCGTGACTTTACAATCCAGGGGGAGGGCCTCAACCCTTGCCTCCATGTTACTAACCTGGTTTTCAGAAGTAAAAAGGGTTTGGTAAAAAGTAGTGGCAATCTCTGCTTTACCCTTCTCCTCTGTTATCCACTCCCCCGCATCATTCCTGAGCCCAGTCACAAAGTTACGTTTGCGCCTGGCTCTCGTGACGGTATGGAAATAAGAGGTGTTCTGGTCCCCTTTCTTCAACCAGTTAACCCTGGACTTCTGCTGCCAGTAGCTTTCCTCTGCAACCCATTGTCGGTTCAATTCGGTTTCCAATGTTTTGACAGTATCCCAGTCAATTGGAACCTGCTGCCTGACACGATCAATTTCAGTCTGAAGGGATTTTATATTCCTCAAGGAATTGGTGGTCCCTGCTCTGCTCCAATCATAAAGCAGATGACGAAGCCTCTTCAACCGTGTCCACAGCCTAAACATTGGTGACCCATGCACCTCCTCCTGCCAAACATAGCTAACCATAGCTCGGACCTCCGGATTCTCCGCCCAACGCGCATCAAACCGAAATAGCGGCCGACAATGGCGAGGGTAAGGTTTATCAGAAAGAAGCAAGGCACGATGATCCGATCCTTGATTAGTAAAATGTTTGACCAGCGTGTCAGGAAACGAATCCATCCATCTTTGTGAGCAAAGAGCACGGTCTAACCGCTCGCGAATGCTGGCCACCCCCATCCTTTTGTTAGTCCAGGTGAATTGATCCCCCTGGTAACCAGGATCATGGAGGCCAAGGGAATGGATGAACTCCTGCAGTGCTACCGCATGGGTAGCCTGCCAGGGATTCCCTCCATCCTTCTCACCCGCGTGAAGCGTGGTGTTAAGATCACCAATGATCACAAAAGGTAACTCAATCCCATCACAAACAGTACGGAGTTCGTCCAGTTGCTGCGCACGAATAGAATGATTGCAGCTTAAGTAAACACCAATCACCACATAAGAAAAATGACTTTCATTAATCCTTGTACAAATGTAAAAATTCGAGTGTGAAAACACTGAAGCGTCAACTTCAGGGGACCAAGCGACAACCAGACCACCCGATGCATCAACTGCATCAACAAAAAAACAAAAAGGAGACTGAAAACCCAAACCCCGCATACGACGGGAAAACAAACTCTCCGGCTAGACCTTGTCTCCGAAAAAAAGACAAGTTCCGGTTTATTCGACCGCACTAACCCTACCGCCGTTTGGAATGTGAGAGAGGGTCCAATTCCTCTCACATTCCAGGCCAGTAGCTTCATTTATCCTGTTGGGGCCATTTTCGGCTGGCTTCCTGCACCTGTTCAGTTTCCACTCCATTGTCTTCAACAAATTGCTTTTTAGGGCTAGGGTCGCCATCAAGACCCTCATCTCCCGATTCAAGATCCCTCTTCCTCTTCCCAATCCCAGGGATTGCATCATTTGATCCATACTCGTCCAGTGAGCAGTGATCCCCCAAGGAATTTGGACGCCCCGGGGAGACCTTCTCCTCTATAGCTGACTCTTTCCCAGCTTCCCAGGCGAGCACTACATTCCGAACATGCCCCTCAGGAACAGAGCAACCCTTCTGGCGATCCACCTTGGGGCATCGGCTTTGGACCACAAAACAGTCCACTCCTTCCGACAAGGTGGTTTCCGAATCATTACTAGAAATGGCCTTCCCTTCATCACCTCCCCCATTGCCTTGTGGGGTACGGCTCACTTCCCTAGGCTCAAAAGCCGGCTCCCACTCCTCCGAAGCAGACTCCACCATCTTCATTTTCCCTTTTTCCTTACGAGTAAGCGGGCGGCTCACTGGTACCGGGACAGTCTCCCGATCCGTCAAGTCTTCCCCCTGGGCCTTGCGTAGGTGGCGGCGCCTCGGAGCAGCCACAGCTCGGCTAACTACCCCTTCCGATGGCAGATTCTCCTTCTGAGCTATCGGAGTAGTCGAACCCAAAGGCTGGGCTTGGTAATCTTCCTTTCGTCCTCTAGTACCGCGAGGAGCCTCCTTTACCTGCTCAAGTTCATCGTCAGACTCCGGTAGCAGCCGTCGGCGACGGTGTGGTGGTGGCGGAGACGACCGCATCACCTCCCTCGGTCCCTTTCTGCTCCGAACAGCCCCTTCCTTTGGCCCCGGTCGATCCCTTTCTGAAAACTCCCTCAATAACAATTTTAATTATAAACTGGGAAGAAACTACGTACTAACTCACAACAAATTCAGTACCGGAGCGAATCGATCGATCGAGGTTAATTTAATATGTCCACTACCGACGACAGAATCGCAGTGGAAACCGCCGCCGCCGGCGGCGTGGATGCGGAACTACTTGGGTTGGTAAGCCGTTACGAAGCAACCCAAGACCCGGCGAGCCGAGATCTTATCCTCTCCTCCATATGCCAACACTTAGGCCTCCACCAACCGCCGGCGCTCATTCATCTTCTGGATCCTCCAAGCAGCGACGACACCGTTTTGGAACTCGATGACGAGATGGATGACGTGGACGAAGAAGAAGAAGACGAGGAGGAGGAGGTGACGAGGTTGGCAACATTCGATTGGGAGAGGGGATTGTCTGTCAAGAACCAGTTAATCCCAATAACTCGAGTTGTTGGGAGAGGTTCAATCGTGGATCATATACCACAACACTAACACGCCCCCTCAAACGAAAGCCACTCACAAGGGCTGGAAGTTTGCACATGTCTGAAGACAAGAATACCATGTGCTTAACAAATGGGTGTCATTGGGAATCGAACACAAGACCTCTCGGTCACAGAAGGCTCTGATACCATGTCATGAACCAGTTGCTCCCAATAACTCGAGTTGTTGGGAGAGATTCAATCGTGGATCATATACCACAACACTAACATTGTCGAGGGTGGTGGTGCTGACGGCGGAAGAGCTCCGGGAGCGGCAGCTGAAGCGGGAAGCGGCGATTGAGGAGTCGTTGACGGAGGTTGCAGCCTGGGAAATTAGGGATAATATTAATGGCGGTCAAGGTTTGGAGTGCTGTGTTTGTTTGGAAGATATTTGCACCGATGGCGAAGTCCGGTTGAAGAGGACGCCCTGCCGTCACAATTTTCATGCGGATTGTATTCGTCACTGGCTCAAGGTCGGCGGCGCCTCTTGTCCTGTCTGTAGGTTTCAGATTCTGCCGCCGCAGCAGCCGGATGCTTGATCTTCGTATCGGTTGATTGTTAATTAAAATTTGCTGCTACAACTCTTTGTGTATATGTATTTGGCCCAAAAAGAAACTTTTCTTTGAAATAGAATTCAATGGAATGCTTCTTTTTATTAAATTATTATCGTTGAATTTATGAATAATAATATTTTTTAGTCGTTATTTTTTCGATCCTAAGTTTTTAGATCCATCCACTAATTACGACAAATCAAGTCAACCCTCCAATTATATGATAAGTACAATTCAGATACGAATTACTACAACTCATGATTAGCCGTTAGCCCAGTATTCCATATATCTATCTGTACTAGCTACCGGTGGCTAAAATAGGTAAGAAATTTTTGCAGTCCTCCTCATTCTTGATTTAACTCTTCCAAGCAAATTAAGCTCATGCAGATTTTGCCTCCCTCTTCTGCTAGCTTCTTCATACTTTTTCCTTCTTCTTCGTGGCTATTCTCATGCATGATTAGAAACTAAGTTGTGGCTAATTATCGCTCTGGATCTGACAATGGCTCCTTGTTGCGGCCGCGGCGGGCTCTCCACCACTCCGTACAACTTGCAACCCACCGCAAGTAACAACAAAAAAGCTATGCCCGGCGCCCAGAGGAATAGTAGATCATGTTTTGTTTTCGTTTCTCCGGAGAAGGCACCGGAGACAAAGCGATGACGATGATTAATTAATGACGTGCAACATGATGACGTACGAGAGAAATTTAGGTTATGGTAAAAGAGGCTAGGGTCATCAAACGTGGGGAATAAATCTTCAAAAATAACACTTGCGAGGAGACGATGGGAAAAAAATACAAAAAATAAGAAAAATCCTAATAGTCAAGAATTTTACAGAACCTCAAAGACTAAAGTGGGGGAGGGGTGATTTCTCGAACCTCTTTGTTGTGGAATGGATAGGATGATGAGGAATTTTACAATGCTATATATTATTGGTAGGGTGGAAATTGGTGCGGTATTTGGTATTCCAATATCAAATACCAAAATTCGAATACCGAATTACATCCTAAATTTAATCACAATCCCAATCCCTAGTGTTTGCTTTCAGGCTGAGAGAAGACTAATACTATTGTTTGCTTTTTGGTGTTATAAAAATAATAAGAGATTGGTGGTTGAGGGTCGTAGTGAATGAGAGAGACTAGTTGAGAGGATAAAATACACACTAGATTATATTTCGGTATTTCGGTATATACCGATCCTAATCCCGTAATCACTAATATCGAATAAAAATTGAAATTGAATCTCAATCTCAATCCCAAGAAATAATATGTGTATTCGGTAATACCAAATATAGACAAATTCGGTATGATATTCGGTATCATTTGAAGTTATACCTTTAACGTTATGGTACAACAATGATGATATCATAATAGATGATACATTGAAGCAACTTATTAAAGATTGTGTGCATGATTATTATGTAGAACACTGCCTGGACAACATTCTTTATTTGTTTTCTTTGTTTTTTTGTTGTAGGAGAATAAAATTTGACCAATCTTTTGGGCACATCAACCCATCGAGTTTACTTTTCATTGCATTGTCTTCACTCAAGCATACATTGTTAGTTGTGAGTGGCCACTATCCAAAAACCAGGTGAAATACAACCCTAGACATTTCTAAGATAGCCAAATTGAATTGCTAATGAATAGCTTACTAACTTGTTTTCCCGTAAATTTTGCCTTGGGGTAGTTTGGATGCGGAATTTGTTTTGTCATCATCATCTGGGAATGCTATTGCAGGTGGTCTCACCCGTGATCATCTCCGCATATGCAAGCAAGCCTTCATTTGTAACCTTGGAAAGTGCACTATCACCACCGCAGAGCTAAAAGGCGCACATGAAGAGCTGAAGATTGTTTGGGAAGGGGGCCGGTCACCGGAAAGTGGAGCTGAACTTGAATTCGGCGGCTGTTGTTAGCATCATCAAGAACCACTCGGATGATGGCCATCGCCATGGCACTCTTGCTAGACAGTTTACTCATCTTCGTAACCTTGATTGGGAAGTGAAAATCTCCCATGTGTATAGAGAGACTAATTTTCCAGCAAATTATCTTGCTAATAGGGAGTCATTATGTTAATTTTGGTACACATCATTTTAATGTGTACGACCCTGAACTTGGTCATTGACTTCGCTTAGGCTGGGCATGCGGGCGGGCGGGTCGTCCGCGAGTTTGGGCCGATCCGCCTCTCATTTTATCCTAATTTCGTTATGTGGGTCGGTGATGGGTTGTGCTGGGAGGCATCCGCCGCAGGGCCGGATCTACATTGAGGCTGGGGGGGGGGGGGGGCGAGAATTTTGAAAATCGCGTATGAGTACAACGAGAATTTTAAAATTACGAATTAATTAGGTCATTTGTATAAATCATGACATTGTGCAATTTGATTTGACTACAATGCATGTAGTCTAGTGGGTAAGTGAATGTCTTTTATGTTAGGGAACGTGGGTTCAATCCCCACCATCAGTGATGAAATTGTATTTTTTTTTTGTCCATTTTTGCTAAAAAAATTCAGAAGAACATGGTACAAATACAAAAATGATTATTTTTTGTTGACAATTTGTTTAATAATGTTGAACATATCATTGGTAATTTTTTAATTTAAATCAAAATTTTAGTGCTAACAATTTTCTTAGATAATAAATTGTAATGTGGGATTTATATTATTTGTTTTTTTATTTTTAGGATAATACGTACTAAAAAAATTTCGACCTCCCCCCCCCCCCCCCCCCCCCGAACTTCAAATCCTGGCTCCGCCCATGATCCGTCGGGTGGAGGGTGGATTGTGGTCGGGTGCATAGGTGACCCGCTCAACCCATCAACAAAAAGAACAAAACCATTGGTGCTGGAGAGTGGAGACGCTAACGAAAATTAGGGCTACTCCTGGAGATTGAATCTCAAAGCCAATCTTCCAAATCTCGACTTCCCTCTTCTTCTCTTTATTTTTATCCCTCTAATTCTTGTGCCCAAATCACTTCTTTTTCCTCCATTGAATTATTTTTCTTAGTTTCCTGCACCCGATCATCTCCATTTGTACCAAACTCTTCCATAATAGAATTTCTATCCAATTTCTGAACTAATTCGGCATTTTTTTTTTCTTCCTCTTCATATTCTTGTTTCCATGGGATAACTATCCACCAATTATCTTGCCACTTGAAGTGAATCTCAAATTTGGAGGGTGAAAGGATGTTAAAATGAATTGTTATTTTACATATTAACATTACACAGGGGGTTCAGAAATATAAATGGATCATATCAAGTTGACTCCTTTATATTATGTACATTGTGATGTGGATGAACTCGTAAACCCACCTGCATCATCTGCGGTCTGCCATCCATCCGGCCCAACCCGAGACTAAATGTCGGAGGGTGGTGGGTTAATAATTGTCAATCCGTTTAAACGTGGATGGGTGCATTTTATGGTCAAAATCCACCCGACCCACCCAATGCCCACTGTCACGACCCGAAATGTCGTGACCGTGTTGATCGTCTGAAGAACGCTGCCATCTGGTTGTCTTGCCATGAGAAGGGTAAAGGGGGCGACATTAGCGATAAGGCGTTGTCTGCCTGTGCATCGCATCTGGCCGAGTCAGGATGTGGCTATGAAAGGGATCGTTGCAAGAGAAGGCACAACTGGTCGGAGGCTATTGCCGTCTCCCTGATGAGCCCAAGGCAGGGCAAAACCAGTTGGCATGCGTATGCAGAGAGGCTGGTCTTGAGGAATGAGTGCACCTCAAGACGCCGCACGGACTTCGGAAGTCTATGTCCGTGACAAGTGGTATCAGAGCCTGGTTAGGCTGAAGAACCTAGTTCCTCTCTCAGTACGGCATAGGTCGTGTATGGGCCGACCCTATGCCCGAATGAGAGGCGGTCCTAGGTGAGCATATCAGGCAGTCCGAACGCAGATTCACATGTGTTGCGCCGTTGTGGGGGACCTCGGCAGGCTGAAGATGCAGCGGCCTAGAATGCCGTTCAACCGAGGAACTAACGCTAGCGAGAGCGTAGGGTGAAGGTCGATTGAGGTACAAATGCTGGGAGTAGCGTAGGGTGAAGGTCGACTGAGGTACTAGCGCAGCAGAAGCAAAGAGTGAAGGTTGATGTCAAGGGGCGAAGCGGTATGTGCGCGGGGCACAACAGGCTAGCGCGAGAACGCGACCGGAGCCTGTCCGTCAGAGGATGGTATCGTATGCGGATGCCCACAATCGGTTCGAGAGAGTTGCAATACATGCTGCGGAGAGAAGCATTCTTCACCAGCACGAGGACGTGCTGCATTATGAGTGGTGGAGAATGTCACGACCCGAAATGTCGTGACCGTGTTGATCGTCTGAAGAACGCTGCCATCTGGTTGTCTTGCCATGAGAAGGGTAAAGGGGGCGACATTAGCGATAAGGCGTTTTCTGCCTGTGCATCGCATCTGGCCGAGTCAGGATGTGGCTATGAAAGGGATCGTTGCAAGAGAAGGCACAACTGGTCGGAGGCTATTGCCGTCTCCCTGATGAGCCCAAGGCAGGGCGAAACCAGTTGGCATGCGTATGCAGAGAGGCTGGTCTTGAGGAATGAGTGCACCTCAAGACGCCGCACGGACTTTGGAAGTCTATGTCCGTGACACCACCCCTAGGCTTCGCCATGATATTGTGAGAATTTCTCATGATCATTTAACTCTTAATATGAACTAGACGCAATGACGTCGATCTTTCTAAAAAACTAAATAATTAAACGACTCTTTCCTGTACTTGATCCCTAATCTAAGTTTTACTTTCGGAATGTTGATAAAAAGCTAATTCAGTTTTCCAGATATTTAGATAGAGATGACTTAAAATAAGAAGAGTGCCCGCTAGAAAATGAGTAAATAAACTTTCGTTGTAAATTCCGTGCAACGAATTCTTGCGATGAAATCAATTATGATTAAGTCTAGACTCTAATCACTTATGAAAGACTAAGTTGTATAGTGTATTCAGAACAACTCAACAAAAGCTACACTAAAACACCCATAAAAACTTGCAATAAAACATTTGTTGAATCCGATAAGTCTCGTGTTTTTTTATGATTGTTCATTATTTGATTTTTTTTCTTCTACTTGTGGCTTGCTAAAATTCAAAAATATTTAGAATCCTTGCTTATATTATTGTCTTACAACATGAAGTATGTGCTCTGAACTGGGTCATTCACCCATTAGGATTAACAATGGTCAAACTTGTCCCAATTTTCAACAAAGCCTACTACACCCGCCTAATTGTCCCATTAATTTGATGATTGTTTTGTGCCATTAGTGGCTATGGTCAACCTAACCAGACCTTTACTTAGAGCTAATGTTTCCTTTTGAGAATTTGGGCCCCTGAAATCAATAGATAAGACCGGAAATTCAAGGGTTGGTTGGGTGAGAGGCATGGTGCAAACCCAGCAAATTGCCAATTCTATAAATATAATACACGAATTATGAATCAATCCATTCACTGATTTGGGATTCAGGTGATCCAATAATAACATGCCATTACCACCTTTTGCTTTTGGTGATAAAAACAAAAACAAAATTGGAGGTGGTTTCTGGTTTCTTTGGATGGAGGCAGGCAGACAAAATCAAAGGGGCAGGGTCTACACATATAATTAACAGCTAATCAAAATAATAAAAACCCATCTTAAGACCACTAATGACAAACTAGCTGATTTGCAATCCCTTGAATCAAGGGAAAGGGGAAGCCACTGAGAGATGTTTATTTTTGTTTAACAAACATTTGTTACCTATTCTCTAAAGAAACAATAATAATATTTCGATAGTGTTAGTAATAGAACCATAATAATTGGCCAAACAATAATAATATGTCGATAAAATCATAATTTTCATTAAGCCCTAGGTTAGCCAAACAAATGCCACATTTGTCCAAGTTTATAAACCATCAAACAGGGGTACAAGCAAAGACAAAACTAAACAGCTCAACTCAACTATCAACAACAAATGAAAAACATATCAATATCTATCACCATCCCAACTCTAACTTAGCAAGACTTAATTGCAACTCAATATCACTCACAACTAAACACATGATAGCAACTTGTTGCTATCAGGTTAGGGTTTGCTTGTAACACACAAGCGAGAGAACGACTTGGCGTCGAAAGGCCCTTTTCTTATTAATTCGATAAACGGTACTAACACCGAACATACATATTTATAGAGTAGAAACCCTAATACCCGACTAGGCCACTCGGCCCCTACCCCTAACCCGTTGCCCTTGAGAAGCCCAACTCCCCGCGGACTACGTACTAAGCCCTATCCGACACTAATTACTAATCGAACAAGTTGAATCCCTAACATAATAATAATAATAATAATAATAATAATAATAATAATAATAATAATGGTCTGATACTAGCAACCCAACCCACTACTACGGGTTGCTACCAACACATGATCGAGGGTTGCGCATTTAAACATATCTAGAGAAACAACAACATTGCCAAACATATGTCCACATCTTTGGCGCCACACTTTTCTCACTACTATGCTTCATAACAATTTACCAATCCTCGCAATGTCACTTGTACGACTCTAGTGTTTCACTAGCCAATCCGCCTCGTGCAATTATGAATTAACCAAAACCCCCAGTCTACTAAAACAAAGGCCTTCATGACGTCTATCTTAGTAGTACAACTAGGTTAAATGAGTCTCTTGCGGTAATCTTTGACTTAATCAGAAGCAAGTACAATTTCTTTTTTTCTCTCTCTGCTAAATTATTAACAAGCGTTATGAAATGTTGTACTGAAGCAAACCTCAAATCATATAAAGACAATATAACAAATATACAAGTGCTAATTTGATATGAGATAACACTAAAGTACTGTTGATTCAACGAATTCCAGTTCTTTGGTTTGGATTAGGAAATCCTTGTTTTTGTTTCGTGAAAGTTGTACAAATTGGAAGGACAAAACAATTTTTTTTAACCACCTTTGTCTGTCAAAATCAAGAGGTGGAATCAATCAATCAAGCAGATACCAGACCTACCAGTCAGGAAAGTTGAAAATGATGGACATGATGGTCTTGCCCAGCTGCAACATTTTGCTCTGTCAAATACCAACCATAAAACCCAGAATCTCAACACTCTTATAATATGATCCAGAAACGAACTTTCCTAGATAGATCATCCCCAGTAGGAAGGACTGCACGTGTAAACTGTACACGCATACATATGATACACTACACTACACAAACACAATTATTGGAGTTCAGAAAACAATAACAATTGAATGATATACATTAGATTAAACCCACCAACAACAGCATATCAATTTGTCTGAAACCTTTAGCAGAAACCCAAAAAGAATTGGAGCCGAAAGGCAGAGCAAGGCTGGCAATGTGCCCCAACCTCTAGCCCACTTGCAGACCTTCCCATTGACTTTCCACCATCCCCAAAAACTTACTACGAAAACAACTCAATTGGATCATCAGCCCATGGTTTGCTTCTCCCTATATATATACCATTCAGCAACAACAAACACTACAACAGCACCAATCAATATCAGCAAGAAGTTTACTAAGCAAAGTGCTCAATCAGACATACTTTTTTCTTTCGTTTTCTCGATTTCATTACTGCAAAGAAAATGATGAACAAGAATGCTAGCCGTGCTGCTGCAGCTTTTGGAGGTGTGGCATCCAGGCTGCCCAGGAGGAGAGGCCAGATCAAGTTGAGGATTGCAGCTGCTGCTATTCACTCCATTGTTTCTCTTCTTTCTAGAACTTCTTCCTCTGCCTCCTCTGCTGTTGCTCACCACAGCAGCAGCGGAAATAATCACCATTGATTCCTTAAAGTTAGCATCTTTTTTGTACGCCGATTCCCATCTGTAAATTCTTTTGGTTTTCGTTGGCTATGTACTTAGAAGGAACCGACCCAGTTCGTGTTTCGATTTCGTTGCAATTGGGTTCGTAATAGTTTTCCTGATTGGTTACTAATTCTCAAGACCGTTCCAACTTCCAAGATACTTATTTGAGCACGCTCTGAGTAATTATATGGCCAATTTTGATCTCAACGATGAACCTTGCCTCTTCCTAGATACGTATGCATATTAGGCTCTTTGAGACCAATATAATCCCCTCCAATACTTCAAGTTACAAACACTCATGAAGTTGTATTTGTCAACCAAATTAATACACCTTCAATGGAATCACTTCTAGTTCTTTGCTTCAGTAAATCTTCATTCATAGTAACCTTTCCTATTCAGAAAAAAGGTAGCAAACAGGGGAAGCAATCATGCAATATGTGGTTATGGACCATGCTAAACATGTTCTGGTTTAAAAAATGCTACTTCTAGTGGTTTTCTTCTCGGTTAATTAAGGTTGATTTGGTGGCGAACCTAGCCAAGACCACCACTTGAACAATGACAAAATTCATTGCATATTTCAGTGTAGACCTAATGATCAATTATTCTAATGTATATGAAGTGACAAATCATATATGAATGAGACGAGTTGAAACTATTTGAATCTAAATACGATCAAATATATACCTAATTACCGCCAGAGTAACAGTTGGACAATTTGTAATTTCCAGTATTAAGTTTAATCTAAATAGTCTATTTCTTCAATGGTGGCAACAATTAACACAGCTGGACCTCCTCTACTTGGAATTGTTAGAGCTAAAAGTTCCCACCGAGAAAAACAACACTGAAATTAATGGATAAATCTACAGGAATAACTCGAGTGAATTGACTATTGGATGGGAGGAACGGATGAAGTCTAATAAAGCAAACATATTGCTGATTTTAAATACATTCATGGCATGAACCATGAAAACCATTCACTGATTTGATATTCTTCATGCATGTGATGCGGCAAAGCCAAAGAAAAGTCATCACCATCTTTTCCCTCCCTGTAGGTGCTGTCTTTGGAGGCTGGTTTCTGGTTTCTTCTAATGGAGGCAGGCAGACAGATCAAACAGTTTCTACATCATTAACAAGTAATTAACAGCTAATCAGCACAATCAGAACAATAATGGTAACAGACACCCCATCTTAAGACCCACTAGATGACAAATCAACAGATTTCTTGCAATCCATTGAACCAGCCACCAAATCATTTTGATCTGTCAATCAACCCTTTTAACAATCTCTCAATACCAGAAACAATCACAAACATGTACTACATAATAATCCCATCAAACGAAAGTTCCTAGATAGATCATGAAATCAGATTAGCATGTTTAATTAGCAGAGACTAACTTCACGTGTACACACTAGACAAACACAATCATTACTTGGAGTCCAAATCAAACGACAACAGTAGCGCACAATGATTAACCCACCAACAAGAAGACCAAATCAACTTGTCTGCAACTTTTAGCAGAAAACAACACAACATTGGACGGTAACCAAGAGCTGGCAATGTGCCCCCAACCAACCTGTAGCCACTCGAAACCAAAATCCAAATTCAGAACATCAGCCCCAGCCCATGTGTTCCTTTCTTCCTTCCTTTCTCATTAAGCGGCTGCTCTGTCTTTCCCCCACCCCTCTTTCTCTCTGTATATATACACACAATCGAAATCAGCATATGGGTAGTGCTTAAAACAAACAAACAACATTGTAACGACAACAGTAGCAGATATTTAAGGAATTGTTCAATCAAACACACTTTTCTTTCCTTTTCCCCTGCTTCATTACAGTAAAGAAGATTGAGATGATGAACAAGAATTCCAGCCGTGTTGCTGTTGCAGCTTTAGGAGGCGCCGCTGCGACGATGAGGAGATTGCCGAGAAGGAGAGGGCAGATCAAGCTGAGGATTGCAGCTGCCGCTGTTCACTCCATTGTTTCTCTACTCTCTAGAACAGCTCCTTCTTCTGCCACCTCTGCTGTTGGGAGCTGCAGCAGAAAGAAATCACCATTGATTCCCCGCAGTTAATTAGCAGCTTTACTTTGTGGATAGGGAATTAGTGATCCCCCCATCCGTACATTTTTCATCTCGTTTCCTATGCTTGAGAATTAAAGAGGGCTACCGAACCCAGAATTCGGTGTTTTTGGAGGGGGATCCAAGATACATGTTGAGCGTGCCCTGAGTTACTAATGTTTGCGTATGAGTTCTTATTCCTTTCCTGCTTCTTCTTCTCTATAAACAAATTTTGGAACACTACACTCTCCTAATACCAAGTCGTGTAGGCTATGATAAAATTATTCAGATGCCTCGTCACAAGACAACCAAATATGTGTCTAAAAATGTAGATTACAAAAAAAAAATGTCATTTTCCATACATCACATTTCATATTGTCATACTGTTTTTTTTTTATGAACTTGTTGTTATACAGTTAACGGCATCGCTAACACCGTCAAAGTTTCTAACGGAAATGGTTAGATTTGTCACACGACCATCCAATTTCTTGACTATTTTGTATTTTTGGATAGTTATAACTATATTTGTCACAAACGTGAAAGTTATGGCTATATAATTGTATTTTGCCAATAAAATAAATTGAGCCAGTATTTTTTTTTTCTTAAGATATTAGTGATCCTGATCCAAATATGTATTTAAAAAACTGGGCTGGACATCTTTATGCGGCCCAGGATGCAGTCTGGCCCAGATAAATCCAGCCCATTCCTCCATGGATCAGGCTTGGGATTCATGCCCTTACAAAGCAATGCATATGCTTATTTTCGTCCATTTCCTTTCTAGATGAAAGAACAAAAGAAAAGGGAAACCAAAAGGATGGTGGTTGGTTATCATCCCAATTGTAGACGCTCCCCTAGTGAAAATTGGGACATGTACAAGTTATTTTCTTTAGGTACACGTACATCACCTCCTATTTATATGCATCATCTTCTATTGGTAAATTTAGTTATAGTGCTCACAACCTATTTATAATAAAGGATTAACAAAATTGTAACCACGTTCATTAAATGGCTACAAAATACCTAGTGTGATTCGGTGATTGTAAGCCCTATGAGGACGCTCTCACAAATGTGATGTGAGTACTGAGTACCTGTTCAGCTAGATTTCTCGGTGGCTACAAGTCTCATATCCTCCCATGACCACTCAAGTCTCCTTACTTGGAACATCTTTCGTTACGCCCAATTCAGCACACCATTCACCCCAAGTGGTACACATGATCATCAAGGCAACATTCGTCCTAAAAGTTTTATCATAGAGTAACTTGACTTATGCAACGGAAGATCTTTAAAAAAAAAAACAAATATCAATAATTGAAATCTCTTTATTCCTAAGAAAATCGAAGTAGACCGAAACATCACTCCATAGTCTAATCCGATACCCGCCGGCGCATAAACGGCCGTTAATACAAACAAATACACGGGCATTAACACGCCAGTGCAAATCACCTAATTTAAGTTAATTAGATGGATAGGATTAAATGGATTATAAAACGAGGTGGGTTTAGCCATCCAAAGGAGGTGGGGTTTTTTCTGGAGCCGGTGGTGATAATTGAGGGTCTTTAGTGGACATGTAATGTAACTTGGGTTGTTTGTTGCTGTAGTTGGTGTATGTATTTTAATTATACACATGATTAGCAGTTTTGTTGGTCCACGAAAACGACGATCAGTACAACACCCCACCACCTTAATTGTTTGCTTTTTTCTTAATCAGAAGAAAATGACGAATTGAAATAGGTCAGCTACTCCTGCGACAACGACCCCTATCCCCCCCACACCTCTATTAGTGGCACTCTAACTACTACTATTAAGTGTCCAAATCTCCAAACTTAAACGCATTAATTTTGTTCATATCTTGTCCATTTCTGGTTACTACATAACATAATCATCTGGGACAGTTATATTCGCATATCAACGGTCACTTTTTTTTTAACCCGACGGTGCCCCACATTGGTGGCGGAGCGAGACTAGTACTACGGTGAGAGAGGAACATTGTCCTCCTAAACTTACAAATTAGGGTCGAAATACAAGAAAAATTATGTGGCAAATTTAACAAATAGAACAATTGATAAAATGTTAATTTCACTTGGCAATACACCTCTCTCTCTAAGATTTTGTGTAAATAATTCATGTTTCGTCATTTTAAAATTTTGAAATGAGTTAGGATCTCTATCACACTTCCAAAAATTGAATTTGGCTAGTCTTTTGTTATTGCAAGCGGTGAAATGACTTGTTTTACGATGAAGTTGATAAAAAAATGATATTCAAAATTATGTTAGTGATCAATTTATCAATGATTGTTGTATTGTATGCATTTTTCTCCAAGAAACAGGAAACTGAATGTGACTAAGGAAAAAAGCTCTGTCTACAGACCGTCACATGGGGTGCCCTTAGGGGGCCTGTAAAGTCGCAAAATGGAGACGCATTTGCTCAATTGACACATCTAAAGGAATCAATGTTACAAGAGGGAAGCTCTGTAAAAGCAACAGGAAAAATTGCTCAGATATCCGTAGAAAAATATTTGAGCTGCAAAATAAACAATAAATATTTTTAATGAAGCTCTCATAATATACAAATATGTTCCTCGGCTAATCACTGTAAAAAAAATATACTAATTATATTTTTATATATTATTTCTTTTTCAGACTAATAAACCTCTCCACAAATTCTCATATCTGTTAAAAGAAAATTCTTAGTTGTATTCGTGTAACAATATGCAACATATTCATTCAAACCAAGGATCGAAATATCGTACCGTACCAGCGGTTCGACCAGAAAAACTTCTTACCAGTAGATAATATTTAACGTATAAAGTGGTTGAACAACGATTAAATCACAATTTTAGTATAAAATACTTTGGCATAGAATTTTCCGATACAAATAACATATTCAAACGTTTCCTTCTCTCTTTTCTACGTTGTAATGATTTGGGTCCTTTGTTTTCTTGTGGTGGGCTTATAATTAGTTTAATTTTTGTTCTTAATTAAGAACTATCCCCTCTCTCTCACCACTCACCAATAACCACCTACCGCCACCGGCCTTAAATGGACTTACTTTTCTGCAAAATGTTAAGCCATCGATCACCATTTTCCTCCTTTTACAGCCCTGGGCCTTGGGGGGTTTGGTCAATTCGAGTCTGACAAAGTTGGAAAGCTGCCTGATTCCTTCCATTAAACAAAAGCATGAGAAGGGCTGAAAAGTTTATTCATTAATCAGCTATCCCTTTGTGGAGAGTCTTCTTAATTGATGATTAAGCTTGAATTAGTGGGTAGCTTCTTCGTTGACAGACTTCTTCTGCAGTGGAAGTGTTTTGGTTCAAATTCTTACTAATCTATTTGGTCGAATTAAAGGCCAATGAGTCCTCAATCCAATCCTCATATGACTATTCGTTTTTGCTTACCAGTTTGCTTTGCAATTAGTTATGTATTAATCCATCGCTTATAAATTTGGGTAAAGTAACTCTAATGTCTTTGGCTACGAAGATCCACCGACTTTGAGTCCCACGAATTTAGCCGTTTACGTGTCTCCAATAAAGTCCTGACAAATATGTCTCTAATAATCTTTCTTGAATGAATATTCTACCGCTTTGACGAACCAAACCATTTAGTTTTTTTTTATGCTAAATTCGTGTACTTTTGATATGTGATTACTTTATGCATCATGCAATGTAACTTAACTTATTTCACATTGGTCTTGCACACTAAATTAATAAAGTAGCATATGCTGGATTGAAACAATAATTAACTAGGATGGTTAAACCTAAGCTTCCTGATCTGTTCCCCTAACCTAAGAAGTACTAAGTTCGAAGGAATTATTAAAAGCAATAGTACATAATTAAATGATACATTAATTTTGACCCATGAATTTGATCACTTCTTCTTTGTTCCCTTTTCACTCTTTGTTTCACCTTTTCCACCAAAGAAGAATGTCCAACATAATTCCTTTGCCCACATGGCAATTGATGTGCAATACTTTTACCAGGCAATTGATGAATGAATAGTGGTGATGATGAGAAGCCTAAGAAGTTACACTCCATATGTATGTCTTTCCAAGGAAGGTAAACAAAGTAAGTAAGTAACATGCAGCTCTAAAGGGCCAAAAGCTAGGGCTTCATCAGAAAGATGTATAGCGTTAATTATGTTACCAATTGAATTGGAGTAAAAACAACACATAAGTTTCTTGTCGAGTTGTCTTTGACAGAGACCAGAGATGGATAGACAAACCTAAAAGCGCTACAAACTCCTACTCTTCGATTTTAGACTTCCATATAGATGAAATACATAGGCTTATGTATCAATCTCCTTAATCATAGTGAAGTCGACTCTTTTCTGCTCGTGAATTAACAAACACACGATATATTGGTGCACCACGTAAATCCCCATGTTCTTTACTTTCTTATTGATCGTTGACTTTCTTTTTATTCTCGATTAACCTCAGTCCATGTGCGTGACAGTCATTGTAAACTACATTGTACCAATGTCAACACATATAAGTTTGGAGTTTGGACAAATACTTTATACAAGATAGATCATTTAGCCGATTTGATCAAACAACCTTTTCCAATGAAAAAAAACACTATAGAGATTAGAGTATGAAACTTCTCGACACACTGTTCGAACCCGCCAGCACCTTTCATCTACCCATGATAACAACTCACTTTACTTATGAGATTGCATATGCATTCGATTATGAAATTTCGAGTTAGCTCTTCAGGGCTTCAATCTATTACAAAAGTCATTTGTCACCATAAATGGATATTAATTTGCACACTGTGTAAAGAAGTTAATGCCTCACCTCCTTCTCACGTCTCTACAACCAAACATAATCATAATTTTTTTTTATAAACCCTTTTATACAGAAATCAGAACTTTTACGGATACCTATTTTCTTGAAAGCTGAAGTGGATATTTATAGTCCAACGTAGAAAAATTGTTCACAAGTCTCTGTTAGCAATAGGAAAAAGGAAACTTGATTGATCTAGCTTAATCACAAAATTGCACCAACTTCACACTCTTCATCCATCAATTTCCATAGCTCCATATTGTTAATTTCATGCTGCTGCAAGATTAAACACCAATCCTTTTTCATTAAAGGAGTGGACCTTGGAGGACATGAATGAGTAAGAAAGGGGGCGAAACTTTCTGTACTGCCTTCCAGTTTACATTTCACCCACCTGCCTTCATTTAAGAAGACAACCTGTTTTTATTCATATGAACAGAATGCATAAAGAAGAACAAGTGCACTAATAAAAAAGAGCATGAGAAAGGCTAACAGTAAGATAAACATGCTTAACAAGCAAACGAAAGTGCTTTTTGGAAGCAATAATGCAGTGCCCATTCTTCTTTTGAGTAATTGTTTTGGATTGTTAGGAGGGAGACGCATCCTAATCGCGATATTGCAATTACGAATGCTTTTATATCGAATCATTGTTGATGTATATTGGATCATTAGTTTCATTTTAAAAATCCTTCTTATTTTAAATATGACAAATTATAATGAAAAAAGTTTGTAGTTCTGTTAGAAGATGAAAAACACATGATACATGCAGCAGGGTGAGCCAAAAAAAAAACAGAAAAAAACACATGATTTATGATGTGAAATCCAAAATTTCAACATATGATAGAGTCCTAATACTACGTAATTTTAGTTTCATTTCAACTTTGCAAGTCCTCTATTTACGTAAGCACTAGGACGGTAATGTGTGGCATTTGTTATTGATGGTTGGAGTGTATGCTAATTTTGTCACTGACCACCTAACTGAATTAGCTCGCTTTTCTAGCTCAATTTAATATGATGATAAAATTATTGTTTACATTTGATTGTACATACCAAATGATAAAACCACCTCAATAGTAATAGAATCTTAAGCTAAAAAAATATTCTGGTCCGATTAAGTTTCACCAACAACTATCCATAACAAATTTCTGCAAAATTTACATTCATATCTTAATAATTATCATAAACCCTTCATGCTTGACATTTAAGTTGAAGAGAACCACAATCCAAATCTAACAAATAAAAATTAAGACCTGAATTCACTTATATTAATAAAAAAGATGGGCAAAAGATGCCTAGTGCCTACACTAGTCCTACTTCTATTTGATACAATGTGACTCCAATGAATCATCAAATTAATTGTTTTAAAAAATAATAAAAATCACTCCGTGACACAAATCAAGGACTGAAAACGTTAAAGAATACATCATTTCAGTGATTAAAATATCTATAACACGAAAATATTAAAATAAAGTAAATCGAATAAAAAAAATTGAGGAAAACCCCAAAGGAGAAAGCCACGATAAATAGTTTTCTGTGGGTTGTCGCCCCTACACAAATAGTTTTCCTTTCCCCCAATTCATTCAGTTTGGGGAGAGTCTGCGACCTGGCTGGCAGCTCTGCATGCTCTCTCTTCTCCTTCCCTCTTCCCCTCTGCAATTCCTCTAAGCCCTCCATTCCCTCTCCCCTCTTCTTAAATTCTATCCCCCATTTTCCCAGTTCAATTTCCCCCCTCCATTTTCCTTCCCCTGCCTTCTAGTTGTGGGGGATTGAACGATTGATCCCAACATTGTAACTCCAATGTCTAATTCCCCATCTTCCCCCCTTTTCCACTCAATGATTAATTCGATTCATTGATGCTAAATCCCAATCGCATTCCCTGTTCCCTCCCCAAACCCGAATCTGGTTGAAGAAAGTAAGAAAACCCATTTTGTGGATTGAATTGAAGAGAAATATCCCCCAAATCCCTACAAGCTGAGGCGAAGCGGGAGTATTCATTTGGGAACGACGATGAAAGGGAACAAGAAGGATGCGGAGAAGGTCATCTGGGATCAGCTGAGGAGCCCTTCTCACGCCAATTCCATCTCCGTACCCGGTTCCCCAGCTCGGATTCTCCCCAAGCTCATGGTATGGCTTCTCCTCTTCGTCACCGTCACCTACGTTTTCTACACATTGAGGCTCGTCTCCACTTCCCAACCCTGCAACGACGACCCCCTCTCCCGCCACCGCTCCTCCCAGCCACAGCACCTCTCCCTCGTCGCCCTCAGCGGCAACGACTCCACCGACGACGGCGCGGCCCTCATCGACGGGGCGGCGGCGACGGGAATCGCTCTCCCGCGGCGGGAGATCGAGGAGAGGCCCGAGAAGCAGCCGACGGATTTGCAGCACGTGGTGTTCGGCATCGCGGCGTCGGCCAAGCTCTGGGAGCAGAGGAAGGAATACATCAAGATTTGGTACAAGGCCGACAGAATGAGAGGGGTTGTTTGGCTGGACGATGAGGTGGAGACCAAGGAGGAGGACAAAGGGGTTCTGCCGCCGATTAAAATCTCCGGGGACACCTCGAAGTTCGTGTACAAGAACAAGCAGGGCCACCGGTCCGCCATTCGGATCTCGCGGATCGTCTCCGAAACGCTCCGACTCGGGATGGAGGACGTGCGGTGGTTCGTGATGGGCGACGACGACACCGTTTTCGTCACCGAGAACTTGATCCGGATCTTGCGCAAGTACGACCACACCCAGTACTACTACATCGGCAGCTTATCGGAATCCCATTTGCAGAACATCTACTTCTCCTACGGGATGGCCTACGGCGGCGGCGGCTTCGCCATTAGCTACCCGCTCGCCAAAGCCCTCGAGAAGATTCAGGACCGCTGTATTCAACGGTACCCCGGTCTGTACGGCTCCGACGACAGAATGCAGGCCTGTATGGCCGAGCTCGGCGTTCCCCTCACCAAAGAAGTCGGGTTCCACCAGGTTAGTTAATTTTTTACTTCTTAGTTGCCCATTCCAATTCCGCCACCGACGTTTTCGCCGCCGGCATTGCATTTAATTCGAGCTTTGAACCAGTTCCCTAGTTGAGTTAAATGAGCCGAGTTGGGTTTATCGGGTTTGATTTTGCTAAAATTTATCCTCGATAACGGAAAATCGTCCTATATCCGGGTTTCGGGCAATTTCCTGCCGGGTTTCGGGTTGGTTTTCGTGGCGGTGACTCGTTCTGACTCGTCCGCCGGGTCGCCTTTTTTCCCACAATCATTCCTTTTTTGTCCTGCCTGAGTAGCGAGTCATGAGCTCAACCCCGTTCCGTTCCGTCCGTATCTGACGTCAGTTCCCGGTACCCGGGCCAGGGCCCACGTGTACACTCCTGTTTCGGACCTTTGCTCCGTCCACGCTACACCATCCGATTAAACTTCTTGTCTCCTATACACGCGCTCTCCTCGCGCGTGTATCCTACCCGCCCCCAAATTGAGAAAGCCTCTGCATTCCCTCGCTTGTTGTACCCTCTCCAGTTTCCATATCCAAAGTTAGTAATGCTGTACAGTGTGTAGTTGAAACGGTAAACTGATTTTTAACCGTCTTACTGTCGCTTATTGAACCAATGCCTGATTCAGTGATTCTTCTCTTTTGCAGTATGATGTGTACGGCAATCTATTCGGCCTGCTAGCATCACACCCAGTGACGCCATTAGTGTCATTGCACCACCTCGACGTGGTGGAGCCAATCTTCCCGAACGTGACACGGGTCGAGGCCCTGCAGCGCCTCGCGGTGCCGATGAAGATGGACTCGGCGGGGATAATGCAGCAGTCGATCTGCTACGACAAGTCACGGAGCTGGACCGTCTCTGTGTCTTGGGGTTTCGCGGTTCAAATCTTCAGGGGAGTGTTCTCCCCTCGAGAGATCGAAATGCCCTCGAGAACTTTCTTGAATTGGTACAGGAGGGCCGATTACACGGCCTATGCGTTCAACACCCGCCCTGTGGCCAGGAACCCTTGCCAGAAGCCGTTCGTGTTTTACCTCTCCAAGGCGAGGTCGTTGACATCATTGAACACGACAGTGAGCGAGTACCAACGGCATCGTGTCCCCCATCCTGAATGCAAGTGGAAGATGGCCGATCCAAGCAGTATAAACATGGCGGTGGTGTATAAGAGGCCTGATCCTCAGTTGTGGAACAGGGTAAGTTTGCAAAACTAAAAGCAGAGAGCTCTGCTCTTTTTAGTACTTAGATTGATGTTGTTGGTTGCATTTGATTTCTTGCCATTTAAGTTAATTACTCTGTTTTATGGTGGCAGTCTCCAAGAAGGAACTGTTGCAGGGTAATGAGCACGAAGAAGAAAGGGACGATTACGATCGACGTCGGGATGTGTAGGGATGGTGAGATCAGTGAGGTATAGCAGAAGTACTCATGGCTGAGTTTGAAGAGAACTCCTTGGAAAGAAGCTGCAGCTACCCTTTCTTCTCCTTCTTCCTCTACTTCTTCTCCTCCTCCTCATCTTAGTCTTATGTTTGTTACTCCTCCATTGAAATTTAAGTGTTTAGTTCATTAATTTATTGATGAGGGTGCCCAAGAAAGGTAGAGACTACTTCAGTGCTCAGTCTAGAGGGAAGAAAATGGCCCAAAAAAGGAAGTGTTGGTTAGAAGAAATTGGTGTATAAAGTCGTAGTTGATACGTTTTTATACATGTCCTGTTTCTAGCTAAGCTAGCTATGTAGGATTATGTCTATTCATAAAATTTTGTTAATCCAGAAAATGAGATGGGTAAAAATGAAAGATGCTGTTACTCAGACTCTCTTTAAAAGGTAGGGACGCGCATGATTGATTCACTTAATCAGGTTTGTTCTTATGTGGTATCTTTTCAGATTGCCCGGGATTAAGATTGATTGGTTATTAATAATTGAACGCCATGGCATTAACATAAGGAATCTCCATAGTTTCTTGCTCAAACGTGAGGTTGGATTTCGTTTAAGATTCGGTTTCTGCAGCTTCTGCTTCATCGGCTTGTTGATTTGGGGGAACAAGAGCACGTGGCATACAAAATCTTAAAACGTGGGGGGATGACAGAATTATATAACATGAAGTTGACCATATTGGATCTTGTGCTTAATCAACCACGTCGAAAACAAACAATGGTATGGTTATGTATCACACTAAGCATATTATTTCAATCTCTTAGCAGCAGAAAAAAGTGCCTTTCAGTTTTAACTATGAGAATTGCAAAGCCATTCTAAACAAAGAATTTTTCATGTTTGGTTTCAGAGGTCAAAATATAACTCACACATTGGACCTGTGATTTAATAATACCCATTTCGTGACATAAAAGGTTGTATGTCTTATCGTCGATGATTTACCATTCTTATCTCCTTCTGTTTTATGTCAATTGTCTATCAAAACTTGTATTTTGTATAGGTTGTTCCTTTTGAAATATCTATGGTAAAAATAAGGTGAGGTTAAGATGCATATAAGTACATGGCACAATGGCAGGATAAGATATACAGGTTCAGGCTATTTAATGGCCACTGAAATAGTAGAGAGTTTGATTGACGATCAATTCGACCAACGCCTCAGGATGCCCAACGGTTGGGTTTATCCACTGTCGCCAAGAGCTGTCAGAAAACTGGGAATCAGATCAGAGTGAGAAGAAATTAAAAAAAAAACAGAGGAAATTGATTGCTCACCTAACAGATTAAATATAAAGACAATAATTACTCACGGAGGTCATGTTGAGGGATCGGAGAGTGGAGCCTTGAAGATTGTACGACGACGACGAGAACCCAGCTGCAAGGAACAGTGTAGAAGAGCAAGAAGAAGCCAGGCTCAGGCAGCCATGCACCAATTAAGTTTGGAATGATGTTCGCAGAGCTTTGGATTTTAATGTTGTTTCTTTCCATGAAGCAATTTCAGTGCCACAATGCTTAGATTCCATACAGATAACGTTCCGGCATCTAAAATCGAGAAACTCTGTGTTGAAATTGCAGTTTTTAATTTTTATTATCTTGAAAGTTAAGGTAAAAATGTGTGATGTGAAAAAGAATGACGGTAAATGAGTTGTTTTTTATTCGTTTAAGTGATTTGGTTATGAAGAAAAATTAATTAACTGTTTAATTTGATTGTAGTTTGTTTACTAGTATGCACAGAACATGTAGATTATGATTTGCATATCAAATTCGTGAGACATAAAAGACTTCATGGGTAATAAAATTGAGTCCTTTGAAAGCTATTCAACAGTAGAGGTTCATCGGTGGGGTGGAAACTAATGTGGTTGATGGTCTTCTAATGAAGATTACTATCAACGATGTTAAATAACTTTGGACGAAGAATTAAAATTTAGAGTAGTCTCATTCTTAATTATGTTTCGATTCACTTGTATAAACAATGATAGACTTCTTTCTTTTTCGCCTTCATAAGTCCCAGTTGTATTTTTTGAGAATCTTTACCGCAAATTTCTCTCCCAGAATTGCAATTAAGCATATGTACTAAACATCTTAAACCGGACTTGTGGCGTCCCATTCAGTGTCTTAACAAATTGGAAAAAGTTGAGGCACTTTTTAAAGGGCAAAAGTGTCCCCTTTCTTCTTCAAGCCCTTTTTTCTTTCATAGACTGGTGTAATGTAAGCCAAAGGGAAGGCAAAGGAACAATCATAGTTATGTGATTTGGTACACTCCCATAAAAGTGGGGGGTCGAATTAAATGTGACTTGAATGTGACTTAGAGCTACTTAATTCTTTTCATCTCTTTTTATTAGAATCTCCCTCCATATTCTAATGAATTAGTGAATTTGTAGTGGATCTGTCGTATCGTTTTATTTGTAAAAGGTCCAATCCAAATCATAATTAAGTGCCGCATGAATAACTAATATGTTATGTATATTAACTCATTATTTAATAAGAATTTCAGTAATTTCATTTGCCAAGAAAAAGGGTGGAATGATTTGGCTCATCCTTGATGAAATCATATTATATAAATGTTTTGGGGCTAATACAATACACATTTGACATGGACCAAAAGTGGCCATTAAGTAATAATCCTTTCTTTAACATTTATTCTACACCTTTTCACACAATGTCACTAGTAGTTCATAATTTCGAACTCGGTTATCGGGAACGTTAATTGTTAAAAGAGAAGAAGCCCTCTCCAAACAGAAAACCAAGAAACCAATCAATAGAAGAATTAAAAAAAACAGGAATTGCGTCTATAATAATAATCAAGACAATTATGGTGCTCACAGATGCCTTTTAAACAGACAAATTGCGACGAACTGTGAAGGGTGCGTTGGTTTTGTTTAATGCAAATAGGTTACAGCCATATCAGCAGTTTATCGACAACAGTGCCCACTCTCGCTGGCTGCAAGTAGATTCCTAGCCATGTCGGTGTTCCTTAAAAAAGTTACTAATCTTCTTACAAAACATATATCTTAACTCAATTTAGTTATGGGATGAATATAAAATAAGATTACTACAATTTCCAAAGGCGTCCATTTCAACCTTCACCGTTGACCTCGGTCCTTCAGTTTACGGATACCAAAACCTACCGGTGGAATTTAGCTTTATAAACACAACATTGGTTTCTCATTCTGTCTGCTCGCTCTCTACATGATAAAGACAGGGTTAATTGCATCAAATACCACTTAAATATTACTTTTGTTGTATACTAATCACTTATATCTTTTTAGTTGCAACTAAACCACAAACGTCGATTTATGGTTGCACCGTCGCATTTTCCATCAACAAACTTAACGGCGGGTACCAAATTGCAATTTTTAGTACCAAATCAGCATTCCAACTCGGCCTGACTGCTTGGTTAAAAAATTTCCTATTTTCCTTCTTTTCCTCCTCTTATCTCCATTAACATTCCTTCTCTCCTCGGGTATTTCTTTTCCTTTCCACCCATCTCACCCACACCAGCAGCCCTCCTTTTGCTGCCATTGAAAATGTATATACAGTCCATAGTCCATATACCCCATTCATTCCAACGTTCATAAACAACGTTGGGGGATACAGGTAAGTTGTTGATTTAAAGTTCTTCTTTAAGATAATATATAACAATTGTTAAGTCAATTAACTAGTAATCATACCCACCAAAAACGTCCACTATCTATAGATTTGGAGATACTTCTTATTAATAAACGGTATATGATTCACGATTGAACCTCTCCCAACAACTCGAGTTATTGGGATCAACGGGTTCTTGACATATATGTTAAACTCAATAGAAAGCAAACTAAGTGATTGTTTATTGAAAGCGAAAGACAGAACATAAATACAATCTAGCAAAGCTTCCAACTAGCCCACTCTCTAACCCCACAATCTCACAACCCTTAAGAATAGCCAACTGATCTAACAAACCCTCAACTTGACTCTACCAACTAAAACACTCACAGCATTTGAACCGACTAACAATCTAATTTACTAACCTCTAATTCCTGTTTTGCAACCACGACTAACTCGCAAACGACAACACACTGTTAAAGCTCGCGTGACACACCACATGATACTTAAAGAGCAACCTAATTCATCGAACAAAAGCTTCCACCAAGATCATTAATCCTAGATGATACCGAAAACTCCTAACCATGATACTTAAAGAGCAACCTAATTCAGCTAGTAATGTATATGCATGAGTCAAATAGTAAAGAACAAAAATTTTGAGGTAACCATGCAATCGATTGTAGAGGGAGAATGAAAATAATGAACCAGTGATGCATCTGCATGTTTTGTTGAGTACAGGAAACCACAAAGCAAAATTTCTTGGATATTTCTTGCAGCGCTCCAAGTGTTATTTATGTAACCCTTTTATTTGCTTTGTTATTTGGCTGGGAATGAGATCATTTTTTTAAATATAGTGTTGGAAGCAAGGGGAAAGGAAGACGGAATGATCAACCGCTTTTTGTGCTCGGAAAAGAAATCTTCAGATGTGGGCCATTGAAAACTTGGTGGCCCATTATATGACTCAGCAACCAAGTTTAGCTGGAATGCTCGCATGACACGGAAAATTACCATAAGATACCCACTGTTAAGTTTATGGACGGAAAATATGACGGTGCAACCGAAAGTAGACTTATGTGATTTAGTTGCAACTAAAAAATGTTAAGTGGTTAGCATGCAACAAAAGCAATATGTAAATGGTATGTGGTGCAATTAACCCGATAAAGACATAAACGTAGGCTAATGGTAATTTGGTAGGTAGGATAACATTTACTACATATATAATAGTAATAATTTTCCACAAAAAATAAGAAAAATTTGTCAACCAGTGTGTGGAGGAGCACAAATAGTGGCATGGTAAAATTTTGGAAAGCCCAATGGAAAGTGAAGTGAAGGGGTAAAATGAAAGTGTCGGTGGAGCAATAGCATAGCACGGCCACCCAAAACCAATGGAGAAAGGGTCATTCAATCTCATCATAAATTCACACCCCACAAAACAGAACAGTTTTTAGGTAGTAGAGTCTACACTTCACTACCCATTCTGTCTCCTCAACACACCTATTAATTGACAACCCAGTATTTTTTTTTTATTATATGAGTAAAACTGGAATTTGAATATTATGAATAATGAATGAAAATGGTTTTTTTTTTCTGTTCGGCCCGAATTCGTATGATTTTACACAGGGGCGGACCTAGGGCAAGGGGAGGGGTGTCGTAGAACACCCCTCCGCTCGAAAATTTTGTGAAGGACCTCCATTTTTTAGGTACAAAATTTTTTAATTTGGAACTTCCGACACCGCTCTAATAATTATAAGCGACACACTTTCATTATATGACAATAGTTTTAATGTTATAAAGTTATTCGTCATAATTAGTAATTAACAATAATAAGTAAAATCAAATAAGCATGCTTGTTTTAAGTAACCCACAACCCAATTTAACTTATTGATTTGTAGTTAATAGGTGAATTGCCTATATTTATGGGAGATTGTGGTTTGATTTTGGTTAATTTGATAGAACTAGAGAAAAAATGCTAATGATATTACTTAGGCATACTTTGTTTTTTCTAAAATAGCCGATTGGTAGCAAACTAATTTATTTTAATTTAATTTGATTTTAGACGTAGGTCGATTCTCTTTAGTTGAGTGACTAATTTATGAATGATTATGTAGTTGTGTATAACGAAAAAGGTTTGATTTGCAACATAAACGATGAATGTATTTTAAAAAAATCTCAAATATGAAAAATCGTCATAATTCGTAGTAAACATGAGGTTGTGAACCTATAAATAAATTTCCAGTAATTTCTATTAAATTTTTATTTCATTATCTTAATTATTATAATTTTTATTGGCGACACCCCTCTTCAATAATCCTGGGTCCGCCACTGATTTTACACATGCATATATATTTTGTTTAATTTTTTTTGTTATTTCTATCAATATATCTATTATTTATTATACAAATATAATATTTTTATGAAACTGTGTTATTTTTAGCTGTTTTACTCGCTCTAGTAATTTATTTTTGTATAGTATCACTTACGTATTGTTAGTATACATGTAAGTTGTAACTGTTAACATATTGGTTGAAATTATAAGGAAAATTAATTACTCTAAAAACTATGAATATACCTGAAAGCCAAAAATAATTTTCAATATTCGAATTGCATATATACACTTATTGGGAATAAATAATTTTTGTACAAAATTTTAAGTGTGTCCGACGACAAACTTAAAATGAACCAACTTCGTCAATATACACATGAGTAAAAGTCGAACTATTATAAATCACATAATGACTATACCTATTCATCCCAAATCCATTGTGATCCCTACCTTTGAAAAAAAGATAGAATCCCACAGCCATAAAATTTATCTGCCAAAAATTATGCTCGAGTTTGTTCGTGTTGATTGATATTTTTCATCTAATTTTTCTTAATTTTAGGGTCTGCGCGTCCTTCGAGATGGTGGTGGGGCTGGTGGGTGTTGCGACCAGCGAGTCTTTGTCACTTTGTAAGGGCCAAAAAGCTTGCTGAGTTGCTTGTTTGCATTCTTTTCTTTCTTTCCTTCGTGGCCCATCTGCTGTGCCTGTGGCAGATAAAGACAAGGAAAAAGGAAATTTGGCGAAGAAGGAGTGATGGGCCCGTGGGCCTGGTCGGTGGGGTCCGGTGAAAGCTACTTTGGTGATTCTGGGCTCCGGCCGAGCAGTAGACAGCCGACAAAACTGCCTTGTTTGAGTTTGGGATGGATTATGGATGTCACCGTTTTCCAGTAAGAAGGGGGTTAATGACACCCTTATGCTTGTGATGCTAATAACCTTTTTTTTTTTTTTTTTGGCAATGGGCCCTGACTGACAAACGGGCCCAAAACAAACCCATGGGAATAAGCGGTTGAGGGTAAGGGTGGACAATGGGTGGATTGGGTGGATTTTGATATCAAATTAATCGAGCTACTTATTAGTGAATTTATATAATTATAACTCGCTATCCATCCACACTTTTTTGCGAGTTGGTTGGGTGGGTGGTAGATAGATGAGTATGGTTGGATTGCGAGTTAACCCAAAAGCAATTTTCGAGCTAGCCATTAAGAAAGTTGACTATAATTTATAATAATTTTCTTACAAATTAGTAGGATTAAATAAATTCATAAAGGTTTTGATCAACAAATTCACAGAACCAAACACATAGTTCTGATTGGGTTGGATGGCGGAGGAAATATGTTAAATTGTGGAAACTTGAGACTGGAAAATAAGAACCTGCCTGGGTTTGTCGGATGGACAGAAAGCCCAAGCAAATATGTTCACGAACTCTTCACAGTTATCAGTTACTTGAAAACTTTTTCAGCTACCTAATTTGGATCCTTTTGTATGGGCCATTTCTATGTGAGGATTCAGATTCAACGGTATTGTACAGATTATTATATTATCACATTCCTGTCCATTGGGCCTGCCATTACCAGTCTCGGTCTGCCATTGGCCCAGCACTGGAACCGTTCCCTTGATATACTATCATAAATGTTAATCAGCCTTCACATAAATATATTTTTTTTTTTTATAACTAGCCTTCATATTATTGAAGGCTAAATCTAATACCAAGATTAGGAATGACAATATCGACCTGACCCGACTTACCCGACCTGTTTGGCCTGTTTTGGGGTAGGTCGGACCCGCCCCGTAGGCGGGCGGGGCGGGGCGGGCATGGGTACCTCTCATCGACCCGACCTGCCCTGACCCGCCCCATTCTCGACCCGTTCTTGCCTAAATTACATGTAATCTTAGTAAAATTGCTTAGGATTTTCCTTTTATTACATTATATTTTAGCTATAATAAAGTTGTAAATAAGTGAAAACATCAATTTCTTAAATAACTTAACTACATTTTATCATATTATGGTTTTTTTTTGGTCTTTTAGTGAAAATAACGAATAGTTCTAATGTTTTTCGCATAAATTACGTACGCATTGGGTCGACCTGCCCCGACCCGCGTCCCACGATAAATTACCCAACCTGAACTCGACCTGCCATGGGGCAGGTATGAGTATCGAGAAACCCGCCCCAAACCTGCCCATTGCCATTCCTAACCAAGATATGAGAAGTGTCACCACTCCCAATGGCGAGAACAAGAATTATATCGGGTTGAAGAAAAAGTAAACAAATGTAAACTAGGGAAATTATAAGACAACACAAAGCGATAATAATTTTGGGTTCTCTTGTTTTGGAATATTGAAAAACATAGAGCGAAAATAAATAATTTTCTCTTTGAACATGTACGTGACTTGCATATACAAGAAACCTCATAAGTATATTTATTTTGTGTACCCTTGAATTTAAGTTTATTTGACAACAGGAGAAAAGTACTTCAAAAGGATTTTATAGCTAACCTCACAAGAATATTTAGGTGAATTGTACAACAGGAAACCTCATACAAATACAATCGTAGGTTGTAGACAATATTACTGAATTAATTACCATTCACTACTATGTACGAGCGAATAAGCATAGACAACGATTGAGTGGAAGGGCGAGCTGGGAAGGGAAACCAAAAGAGATAACAAGGTTAGGGAAACATTGGATCAGCTTAAATAGTTTTGGGACAATATTCCACAAGAATTTAGGTACCTTAGGTCAGCATACAGATTATGGAACTGAAGCTGCATGGGATAAATTCCTTTCTGGTTTTACTTGAATCAGCAAATTGCGTATGCCGTTTATCAAGTCTTGTTGTGTCAAAAGATCCGACGCTATACAGAACATCTAAATCATAACATGCACGCTTGACTCCTAGGCATGACTAAAGCAAAATGGGTCCTTGACCTTGACTAAGTGAATTATTGTTGATCAACTTTGTGTGAATGATAATATTGATATAACGATAAGGTCGGAAAGGGATTTTTCTTATCGAGTAAAAAGATAGTGAGAACCGAAATTGTTATATATCTGACTTCTTGCTCAAAGAAACAAAATTGAATGAGCATAATTTTAAAATAAAACTTGTAAGAATTCCCCCCGCCCCCCCCCCCCCCCCCCCCCCCCCCCCCCCCCCCCCCCCCCCCCCCCCCCCCCCCCCCCCCCATGTGCAATCCAAATACTATGAAGTTCACTAAATTCTAAACCGAAAACAATCTCAAAATGTTGGACCACTAGTAAGTACATAGATGCTTCCCTAAAGCTCACGAATAACAACTTCCGAATTCATCTCAAAATTCACATAAAGGAGCCTTAATTAATTTGATAATCATGAGTCAGGAGCCACTCCATGTCGAGCGACTAATAGATTTTGGAGTTTTATTTACGATGTTAACAAAACTTGGAGGTTAAGGATCCATTCCACATACGCTCGCGTCAAAGCTGCGAATGGGATAAAAAAAAATCATATGGTTGTTGACCCCAAATTTTAAATTTAAGTTGTGATAATTTTCTTATAACAATAACTATCGAGCACTTCTACTATGCTATAAAGTATTGGTACTTTAATGTACAACTTAAAGTTGTACCATAACGTTAAATGTATAAGTTCAGGTTGTACCATAAAGGAATTTGTGCTCTTATGTTATGGTACAACTTTATAACTTAAACTTGTACCATCAAATGAAAGTACAAGTTTAAGTTGTACCATAAAACAATTTGACAAAAGAGTATAGGTACAATCTGAAGTTGTACCATAACGTTAAAGGTACAACTTCAAGTTGTACCTTAAAGGGAAAAATCTATAGCACCAATACTATATAGCATTGTAAAATTTCTCATAACTATCATCTCTAAATGATTTGAAATGTAACAAAGACTGCCCATCAAGTTAACACTGTCTCATGAAGTACAATATTTTCTTTTTTACCGGTTCTCTAAATTTACCATGGGACCAGAAACAAGCCCATATACCTATTTATTCACACAGTTACGGACAAAGAAACAGAACCGGGTTTTAATCCTAGGAGGAAAATAACCTTCATAAATGATCGAATTCGTGCGCGCGGTGCATCAAATACAAATCGACCTCTCGATCGGAATAAATTAAAGGGCAGTTCGCCGTTTAATAAAGGTAGATTTCCTGTCGACGAAGCCATTTCTATGGCGCATTAAAATGAAGCCATTCAAGAAAGAAAGGAACAAATAGTTATATCATAAAAAAACAAAGTAAGAAAATCGGGAAGAAGAATAGAAGGAAGGAAGAGGCATACATCTCTCATTCTCTGATATACAGCGATCGAAGAAACCTCGTTTCCTATATCTGTTATTTGGTTTTAGTTTGTTACTTCTGAAATATCGCCTTCATGCATATAACTACACGTAAGGGACCACAACAAAACAAGTCTACCACATCACGATAGTTAGCTTGATTCCTCTGATATTTTCTCTGTATTTTCTTTTATTATTATTTGGAAGATAAAGAATTATGTATGTCTCCACAAACATAAAGAATATTAATTGTTTAAGGAAGATATATTATTTAGAGCATTAAATATACCGGGAAAGTAATTATATGTGTGTGGGCGGGTACCCATGAGTTTACCTAAACCAAACCCAACCCGACCCGGTGAATAGTGTAGCGGGTTTAAACTCGAACCCGGCCGAAAACCCGTCAACACGGGCTTTACCCGCATTGACCGAGTTGGGTCGGGTGGGTACCCGTGGGTTCGGGTTTTGTTGCCATCCCTACATGAGAACCACAACCCGGCCAGACAATCATTCTTATTCTTAGAAACCATATATTTTTAGTCAACAAGGAAATATATTAAATTGAATTAAATAAGCCTGCCATGCTACTAGCTAGCTATACACCTCCTCCAAGCTACAAATTGTACAATCTGTCACTACTCATGAAAATTTCTCGGGAAAAACAGATTCTACCCAAAACAGAAAAATGAACCAAAAAGAAAAATAACTCAAGAACCCAAAAAGCAGAGAGAGAGAGAGAGAGAGAGAGAGAGAGATGTCTAACATCTTGCATCAATCAATTCACTTGCAATCCCAAATATCAATCAGCTCAAATTACCAGAGAGACAAGGTACATACATGTTCTTCTTGATGGAAAATGAAGGTAAACCCAAAAATTCAAATCCACTAGCTTCTGCTTTTCCAAAAAAGAAATGATGAGATCATGAGAAGATGAAGAAGAAAGTTGAAACTATCCTTTCATCTCTTCTCATGTGTGCTGCATGTAGAAACTACGCTGCAACATGGAACTAATAAATAATGCCCCCATCCAATCCATGCATATGAATATGATGAACAACCTTAGCTTGTAACCGACTGTCGTAACTTCTTTCTTCTTCTTCTTCTTATGTATTCAATATGTATGGAGAGATCTATATTTTCCCTCACCATATGGTATCTAACCCTACAAATATATATAATCTAAAGAGATTTAAAAACTACTTTCAATAATCTAAATATGTTCAACCATTCACCTCCGGCGCCTCGGCCGACCGGCCATCATGTATCATCCGGCGAGATCATGCAGCAACTGAGCACCCATCAAGTTCCTGTAAGGCAAGTTCTGACCTTGATCACCATCGAGGAGCGAGTACTGAACCTGCTGACATTCTTCCATTTGGTCTCTCGGAAAGAACAAATTCCCTTGTGTCGCCGGCGAGAAAGCCAAGCTCACACCTCCACCGCCGTTATTATTCCCTCCATGCTGTTGCAACCCTAGAGTCAACGACACCCCTCCCTGTTGCTGCTGATGTTGATGATGATCATTGCCATAAGAAACCGCCCCCGTGGGATGATGATTGTACGAGGAGAAATCAAGCTCCACCGCGCCAAAAGCTCCAAACCCTTGTTGCTGTTGAGACGCCAAATGATGGTGGTGGTTTTGGTAGGCCTTGGCCGCGGCCATGGCAGCGGTGGTTCTGGTTGTGGTGATTTGGTGGTCGTTTCGATCAGGGTTGGTGATGATGGAGGAGAGGCAGTCGGAGTCGATTCGGATTAACTGATCATGGCTTGGCTTTTGATCGGCCGACGAGGAAAGGTGGTGGTGAGTAGTGTTGAGGAGGCGGATGTTGATGTTGTGGTCGTCGTTGTCTTGGTCAAGATCGTGGGCTCCATGACCAGCCGAGGAAGAAGACATCATGAAACGATGATTGTTAATGTTGTTGTTGGTGTTGATGTTGTGGATGAAGTCTTCATTAGGGTCTTTTGTTTCTTCTGTGTATAGTTCTTCCACCATTGGCTTCCATAGCCTGACTCTTGCATTGATGAACCAATTGGAGACCTGTTTGGCAAGGGAAGGCAAGTACCAAAGGGAAGAAACCAAACAACCCACAACCAAAAACGTTTCAATCAGATGGGAAACCCCACTTGTGGTGAAAAACAAACAAAGGAGAAGGAACAAAGGAACCAACACATACATGTATCATTTTGGTTGCATGCATACAAATTTGTGTATTACTAATATATATTTTGTTTGTCTATATCTCCTAAATATATATAGTTCACGATAAATTGGATTTGATTAGCTAGTTATATTATATATGCAGAGGGAAACAAAAGGGGAAAGTTGTTTAATGAGAAGCGTTGATGGAGACTTGCCTGACTTCTGGAGAGACCTGTTTGACGCGCTAAAATATGTTTATCGACATCGCTTGGGTACCTTAAAAACAAAACAACCAGTAATAAGCTTCAATAAGTATATATGTATAGAGGACCCCAACTATTCGGCTAAAGGAATCAAATAACTCAAAACACAGAAAGAAATATAGAGCAATATGATCAAGAAGATCGGAAATGAGATCTATCTATCCATCTTTATAGCCAAAAATACAAATTGGAGAAGAAAAGAAACATAAAAAGTTGTAGAGGAGGTGGGCACTAGGCACTAAATGATTGAAAGCTAATATTGACAAAACTCCCAATATGAGAATCTCTCCCCACATACAACCTTACAAGCAATACCAATAAAAATCTCATCGCACGAATCCTTCCTCCTCTCAACTTCAAGCATCATTTTGATCACTAATTTGTTCTTATAATCCCATCACCAAACACCCACAATACGTTTTCTTTCTCCATTCTAAGTAACGATAAGAAGTATAAGCATCAAGATTTCTGTACGAATGACTTTTTCATCTAAGTGAATGTGAAATTTTTGTTACCGTAATTAAACTATACGACGAAAGATGATTCAAAACACACAATCTTTGATTCGTTGTTACTTACGGGTGGAGGAAATGCTCGAAGAGCCAGGCGCGGAGGACGGAGACGGATCTCTCCGGGAGACCGCGCTGCGGCCGCCAAGGGTGAGTCTCCATCATGTTCATCTGCTGAAACGCCCTCTGCTGCCGTATCGCTTGATCGATCACCTTCAAACGCGGCGTTTCGCCTTTCGTCGTCCCCGGCGCTACCGGATCTTTCTCCCCCATGGCCTTTTTGGTCGCCTGGATTTGCGTCACGATCCCGTCCCTCAAGCACCGGAAGTGCCTCGACATGGCCTTGGACGCCAGCGCCGAGTACACCGTGGCCGCCCCGGCCCCCGCCACCGCCTCGAACGACGACACGACCGCTTTCATCTGGTCGCAGTAGTGCCTGTACTTCCTGTCAACCTTAAAAAACCAACACAAGAAACCCACCACTTATTATTTTCCCTGTCATTAAAAAAAAAAGAGGGTTCTGCGAGTTAATGGAAAAGGCGGAATTGTCACGAAGCGGGAGGGGAGAGAGGCCATTAATGGCGGGAGGTCCCCGTAGTCGCAAAATTAGCTCAGCTCCAGCCCCTCCAATCTCCCCACACCCCACACACAACAGAACAACTACCCAAGTGAATGAAGATGAAGAAGAAGAGGAAGAAGAAACAAAAGAAAATCTTTTCTGACAGTCTGTTTTTTTTTTGGGGTTGCCTTTAGGGAAGGGGTAATTAAGATGGAACAAGAAAACAGATTGTCTTGTCTCTCCTTTTCATCTATCAAAAAATGAAAAATCCATCCCCCACCACTTTCAGTTCGTGGGCAGTTACGATGAATTTGAGTTTACCTTACTTTCTTTCTGTAACAGAAAGGAAGAAGGAAGTATTACCTCTTCGAGCAAGGAGAGTAGCTTGGTTTTGCGCTTTTGGAGCTCCATGAATTCAAGGGAACCAACCGACGGCTTATTGGCATTCGCATCGTTAGCAGCATCGGTGTTGGAAGTGGAAGGAATATCATCCGGATTTTTGGACTTTAGCGGGTGGGGTTTGGGTCTGGGGGTATTATCTGTTTGTTTGGTACCCAAGCTGCAGAACTCGTTCAGCAGCTCTTGGGCCGGACCCAGATACCTTGACCCTCTCACCTGAAACAACTGCTGCTGGAACAAGCCATCCATTTCCTGATGCCGCGACGATGACGACGGCCTAGCAGAGAAAAAACCACCTCCCGCGCCGCGAGAGGTGGAGGCTGGGGAGTTCATGAACCTCATTTCCTCCTGGTGGTTGCTGTGGTGGTGGCGGATGAGCTCGAAGGACTGGAGGCCGATGGTGGAAGGGTGGGTGGAGGAGAGAGAAAGGGAGAGCCCTTGGCTCGGCCGCTCGTTTCCTGAGCATGAAAACACCATCGATGAATTATTATTATTATTATTATTATGGTTACTCGGATCCTCCTCCTCCACCGCCGCCGCCGCCACCATCATCCCCGCTGCCTCTACCACCCCGCCGCCTCCGCCGCTGAACTCGTGCTGCTGGTGGTGGTGGTAGAACTGGTCTGTTGTCGTGGGTTCGCTCGTAGCTGACTTTTCGCCGAAGGGTTTCCACATGGCGGCGGAGGCGGAGGCGGCGGCGGGGGAGTGGGATTTGGCGGATGAGTTGGGGAAGCCGATCATCTCGATGCCGGTGGTGAGGTTGAAGATCTCGGAGGGCGCGGAATCGAAGCCGTGGTGGTGGATCTGATGGTTCATAATCATCTGCTGCTGAGCTGCTGCTGATGGCGGTGGTGATGAGTATCCGAACTCGGCTCCTCCTCCGCCACCAGCTCGAACTCCTTTTTCTTCACTGCTGCTTTCCATCAAACCCAATAACGAGACTGATGATCCCCCTGTAAGAAAAAAAGCATGGGAAAGAGAGTGGGGTTAGAATAAGTCCTTTTTTGATCAAACAGTGATTGATTGAATTATTTTTACCAGTGGAAGGGAAGAAGAGGGGGGGAAAAGGAAGTGTGTAGAGTTGGAAGTGGATGGTGGAGTGGTACTGCTCTACTGGGAAAATGGAAAGGAAGAGAGGCCAAAAGGGAAGGGGGAGAAGAGAAAGGCAAAGGAAGAAGGTAAATAGAGTAGGGGAAGAAGGAGAAGGGGAGAGAAAGGGGGAAAGGAAAAGGAAGAGAGACTTTCCCTTGCCTACTCTTTTCTTCATATATTCTGATTATTTTATTATTAGGTCAGTTCTGTTAATAAGCCAACAAAAAGGAGAGGGCTTGCCTTTGCCATGTAATCAGCTAGCTAGCTAGCTCCTAGGAACATAAACCCCTTTTTTCCTCCCAAATACTTTCTTTTTATTTGTAGGAATTTAATTTTTGGGAAAAGCAAATAAAATATAAAATAGGAGGATATAATTTATTATTCTTATTATTAGGGGTAGGGGGGGGGGGGGGGAGTTGATGATGACCCTACACTCATAGGATCATCATCATGATTTCTAGATAGGTTCTTTTTATAATGGAAATCAATTTTGTAATTTTTTTTTTCGTTGAATGAAATCAATTTTGTTTCTGGGACCTAATTTTTATTTTATGAAATCCTGTGTTTAGGCCTTTTTCCTGGAGCTAATTAGGTGGTTGTTGTTATGAGGTTAGGGTGATTAAGCTTTAACAGTAGCAAGTGGGTCAAAATAGACAAGCAAACTTACATATATTTAAATATACCAAAATACATATAAAAAAAATAGACTTCCTAGCTAGCAAATCTATATAGCTCTTACTGATCAGGAAGAAAAGTAAAAATGAACTCCTAAATCTATATAGCACTTCAATTATTTCAAACCTCCTATTTATTTATTTATTTATTTAAAGTCAGGTGGTTTTCTTCTTTGTTTATTATATATTAAGGCTATGACTATGTATTTCCTTGGGATTGATTACACATCAATCATATATCATACCTAAAGTACGAACGCAGAAAAAGTAAAAGGGAGACAATGAAGTTTGTATGAAAGATGTTCCATTCCATGGGCAAGAGCAAGAGGGAGGGAGGACGAAAAGATAAGAGGTGAGGAGCAGCAAACAAGGCGGAAGTAAAGTAATGATCCTTTATAATTTGTCCTACAGGCAGGGCCAGCCGCCACATGATCCTTTTACTCTGCCCTTTGCCCCTCCTTCCTTCCCTCCCTTCACTTCTGGGACACTCACTCACTCTCACTTATTCACAACATTATACAGAACAGAACAGAACAGAACAAAGAAACAACAACAATAATTTTTGTTGTACTAGAAATCTGGACATATCAATAGAACAGAAAGAGGGAAGCTTGGCAAAAGTATGTGCATGTCCTTGCCTTGTATTGAAGAATCAATTTCAGACATCCCCAATAATAATAAAAAGAGCAGATTAAAAATGTATAGGAAATGCAGATAGAGGAGAAAGAGGGTAATAAATGTGAATTACAGGTGATCTGAGATGATGATGATGATGATGATGATGATGGAGCCTTTTTTTTTTTATGAGTTGGGTTGGTTGGGGGAAAAAGGCAAGGGAATCCCCCCAATAAGAGCCTGCTTTTCCACTTGCGGGGGGTAAAAAGGCTTTTTGGCAGGAGCAGAAGCAGGAGCTATATACCCTTTTCCAGTAGTAGAGAGTTTGGGAATTGGTGAAGACAGACAGACAGACAGACGAAGAAGATGAAGATGAAGATGAAGATGAAGAAAGAAGTCTCTCTGCCTCTGCCAACCCTCCTCCCACTGTCTCTTCCCTTCCCTTCCCTATAGCTTTTGAGTTCTGCTGCTGGCTGATGTTATGGTGGTAGTGGTGGGCCCTCGAGCAAGAAGAAGAAGAAGAACAGAAGAGTATTAGAAGAAGAAGAAAACAAAAGATTTTCAAGGCTTCTTCCAATGAGAAGAGAGGGAAAGGATCATATCAAAGGGAGATATGAAAATGGAACAATTTGGCTTTCATGATTGGGCTGCTCTGCTAACAACATTTGTTATTTTGACAAGAAAAAAACAATAATAAGGCAGGGAGGGAAGGGAAGGTAGGGAGTAGTGATTGATTGGTGAACAAGAAGAGTTGCAAAAAAGAAAAACTATAATAAAGTGGGCGAGAGGAGAGGGGGAAGGGATGAGGTGGTCCAAATGCCCAATTGCCTCTCTTCCTTTCCTTTTTATATGTTTTTCCCCTTTACAAAAAAAAAAAAAAACTATACATCATTGATGCATATCCCTATTTATATATAAAGCTTGGTTATTTTCCATTTAATTCATGTTTTGGCTTTTCAGAAAAGTTTTAAGATGTTATTGGTATTTTATTTTCAGTGCTTGATGTTAAACTGTTAAACAAAACTTGTTTATAGTGAGATGTACTGAAATTTTGTATTCGAGTTCTCTAATATGAAGTTTATGTCTAAAAAATAAAAGGTTAATGTTGAAAACAAAATTTCATGATGGCATGTGGCAAATACTTCATTGGATGATGGAATATAAGTATATAACGCATTCTATAATTTCACAATTTTTTTCATGAGAAGCATACAAACTCCTTTAAATTTCACATTGTGTTTTTATCTAATAATTGATCATCTTACTCTCTTTGCATGGAAAGTCAGCATTCCAAGCAGCAGTAGTAGTATTTCTGTGAATCAACATAAGCACGCGAGATATTAGCATATTCTATCCAGTTACATGAGACTTTAAACATGTTCATATGCGAATTATGTTGACGGCCATGATGTTCATACAGTTGGTACATCAGAATCAGATAATTGTTTGTTTCTTGGCTTAGGATCGGAGGAAACAAAAAATCATCCTTGCAACTTATTCTGAAGCCAAGCGTCACGCCGTGTTTGAGGTTAGCTCGGAGCGGGTTTGGTTACATCACGTTCCCTCACATATATCAAATTTGCAGGTCATCTCATGATAAATGTGTTTATTGACAACAACAGTGCTATCTAGATTGTCGCTAATCTGACCTATAATAATGTTCGCACGAAGAACATCAGAATGCACATCCATGATACATTCAAGACCTCGCTGATCAAATGACTAATTATAATAGTATGAAAACATTTTTTTTTACCAAATGCAAATAAGAAAAACCACCTTCACGTGGTAATAAATGTTGCAAACTAAATTTCTCAAACAATCAAACAAACTCTTAAAAGAGAACCAACATGCTTGAATATGTTGGACAATGGAAACAAAATATAGAAAAAGAAAGTGAATGACTGTTACTTGTTTGCAGATGAACATTGATTGGTGCTGGCACCCAGGAAAGGCGGGGGGATATAGGTAAAAAAAAAAAATGAGAGGGGTCGAAAGTCGAAACTGGAACTCTGAGTGACGAGAGAGCACTGCACTGGCAGCAGAAAAGGGAGATCGACGATGAAAGGTTTCGAAACTTGTAACCCTTTCTGTTTCTCTCTTCTTCTCCTCCTTTCTCGTTCTTGTATGCACTGATAATTAAGGGCGGGTGCCCTCTGCACGTAGGGTTTACAGACTTACAAACATAGAGTGGTCCATATATGTGTATATAATAAGAACACAGTGATCATCACAAGTTTCCATTTTGCTGTGATGCATTGGTAGGACCAAAGTCCTACAGATTTCTGTACACTTGTTGCCCTTTTGTGTAATTGGTGTGGGGTTTTTCTGCAGAGAATCAGGAAAGGGGGGAAAAAAGCTCAGAGAGGAGGGTTGCTTGCTTCATGATGAAGACCACTATTATCATTCATATCATCTCCCTATTGGTCTTTGGTTTTTGGAACTGCAGTGGCAGTGCAGAGTGCAGATCATAGCTAGGCTTGTTTTTAATGCAATGCAGCTTTATCTTCTTCTCACATGTACGTTTCTGGGGGATCATTCAATTCTTTTCTTTTTCTTCGGGAGGCCATTGTTTCTTCTTCTTGGGATCTAGCTAGGAATTATGGCAAATAACAAGTTGTGTTTTTTTTTTTGTTTGACAAAATATAACAAGTTGTGTTGGTGGATGCATTATTCCCCATGTAAATGACATGGGTGAGAGAGTTGCAATTCGTGTTCTAATTATTAATTGCATGCATATTTGTTAAGGTATCGATCCGCTGCATAATTATATGCTTTGAGTAGAGGTCATGGTGAATCGAAATTATTACTAGTGTGGGGTTTGGTGGATACGTATTAATACTTTTGTATGAGATACAAATGTCACCATGTATTGCTTTTAACCTGATTACGGCTTGACAACTTTACGTATAGGCAAAACGATTTGTCGTCTTCATTAAGTCAAAATAACATGAATGTGTACAAGTAAACTATATTAGAGAGAACTGAAACATAATGGGTCGAAGATAGGGCAAAATGGAGTAGAAGTAACACTCACACCTCACCTCATGCTACTCCCAACTGCATCTGAAAGTTTAAATCGATCTCTATGACAATTTTTTGATTTCTCGCTAGAAAAGTCATAACTGACGACTTAAGTGTTTTTTTTTTATATTACAAGAAGGCCGATCAATTGACCGCGTTGCTGCCGTTGCATGATAATATAAAAATTTCCATATACATAACCCCAAACTACATGTCAGTTTTGTTGTGGCTTACTGTTATTGTGCTTGTTAACGTACGCACTTGCCTAACTTTCTTAACCCTATCAAAAACCCAAAGAAGCTAGAGAGTTAATTAGTATATATAATGTTGCAGAATGTGAAAGCGTGAAACTTTCATGCAAAAATGCTACAGTAACTCTGATCTAATCTTTATATCATCAGCTGTCCCTTTTTTTTAATTGCGGGTCTGTATGTATATATTCCAACTTGTGTGGGGGATATTCATATAATGCAAGCAGCAATTTGGCATAATTGTGCTCAATAATACAACCACGAAGAGGACGGCCCACTCTGGAAATATCTTTTCCGTTTTGTCCAAATGGGTCCTATGAAATTTATTTCTTGCGAAAATTCCAATCCCATGACAAGGCTTTTTCTTTATTTTCTTCTTCTCGATTTCATTTAATTCGATTTATTCAGTATTAATATCAAAGTGCATTAATTAAATAATAATATGTCATTTATTTAGTTATTAACCCCCCATCAAAATCACCCAACATGTACCCTGGGAGAATTTTTATCTTATGTTCATCATTTTACTTGTTGGGGTTTTTTTTCTTTTTTTTTTTTGATGGACTGTCAAGGTCTTGTTGGTTAATGAATTTTGTGTGTATTTTCAATTTTGTCCAAATGGTTTCGATCAATCAGTTACTCTATTTGTGGGGAGGTCTGGTTTCTTCTTATTAAAATTTATTTTGTGGTGGTGATTGGTGAGTAGTATCTTAATTAGTTTTAATTATTTACAAAGAGGGTTACATCAAATGTCGTTGCTGTTGTTGTTTTTGTTGAGAATCATGCGAACAAAAGAGAATTGGCAGTCGTCAAGAGACAAAAACAAAAGGAGAGCAGCGTATATAGGTCATTGCAATTTGCAAATGCAGCAATTCTTTTAGACTATAAGGAAATAATGGTTGCTGTTTCTGTTGGCGAAAGTGAAAGTGAAAGAATAGATTGATATATGAATATGATGGAGGGCATTAAAATAAAAAATAATAATTGTACTAGTTGTACCCTTATCGGCCGGTTTCATGTGATCATTACTCATATAAACATTGCCTTCCCGTTTGGCAAAAGATGGGTTTATGTATTAATTATTCAATGTCAGAACATGCATATATATATATACATTATATATTTATATTTGGACTATGGAAATTGGCAGCGAATTAATTAAGCTGTTAGATAAGATCAGTATATAAGTTGGTATTAATACCATGATTTAAAACAGGGTTAACGAAATTTTCATATTATTGGTAATAATATATGTACCAGTAAATGAATTAATGGACCATAATTTTGACGTTTTGTGCACCACTACGTACATGCAAGGATGCAACAACTTCAGCCACAAAAATAACTTGGCGTTTGTACAAAACAATAAAATTAACTTGGCGTGATGGGACACTCGAAAAAGAACAAAAGGAAGAAGGAAAAAAAATGTTTTTCTTTGGGGATTTTTCATGGCTCCGTACGTTATTGGTTAGTTTTCCTTTAGGACCCAAAAGATGGGAATCATATTGGTATGGTTTTTGTTTTCGAGCTATATTGAGGAAGAGGACCCTTTTTAACTTCTTTAAACTATTAATCTACAGTTGTAGTTAGGGCATATTATTCACCCCAAATATACGCGGGAAGGGTTAGTGGTTAAGTCTTAATAATAGGTCTATAATAAAGATGCTGCTAATTCACTTCTTTTCAGTTTATGGATATTGTTATTATTATTACTGAGGGAATTTTTGTTAAATTGGCTTAAGCCAGCTTTTCTTAATTTTTTTAGCAAATTAAAAAAACTTGGAAACAATTGAGATTTCCCTTTGTCATGCTCAATAAAGACGAGGCGAAGACTACCGAAGAAGACAGAATAATTTTATATGTATAAACTTAATTAATTAACCAATCAACCTTTTTTTTTTATGAAGACCAATCAACCATTATTGAGGCCGAGCCTTCACTCTTACTGTGTGAAAATTAATAAGTAGATATCAAATGGATAAATTAATTACTAGTTAACTATATTATGATTATTATCATTGATTGATTGGTGATCCCCTCTTTGTTTTGATTAAACTATATTTGAAACGTTCCTCCAAATCAAATACCTCCATTATGATTATGATTCAAGATTCAACCAACGGGGTAAACGTACGGGACCATCCGCTTATCTCTGCGTCAAAGCCCAATTTAAGCAGATAGATAGATAGATAGAAATACATATGGAGCTAGCTGACATTTGGTTGAAGACAAGAAAGTGGGTTGTTAATTTATTGATCAATAACAAATTAATTAATTACCCGTATATGATTGAATTTTAACTGACATAACATATGGGTATGGTTGTATAATGATCTATCTTATCTATAATACGTTGAATTATGAGTCTCACATAAAAATGGGATAGCGGGGAGTTTGACGGTAGTTTTGTATTAATCCCATAGGATATATGAAGTTTGATGTAGGTTTCATGATTAGTTGTTGATTTCTTTGAACGACCTGAAATTATTAAGAACTATCTTTTTGGGCTCGATGGGAATGCTTCTGAGCGAGACTATAAATGTATCAATGTATGAAAGAAAACGCGCGTCATGTAATAGCACGGCCATGGGGTACCATCTTAAATTAAGGATCGTAGTGTTGCATATATAGAATTATGAACGTCAAAGTAGAGGATGTGTAACCCCAATGCTAAATTCGTTGAGGGTCCAGGTCTAAAGCGAACAATATCTATAGTGAAAAAGTTCGAGATGTTACAGAATGACTATATAAGAGTGAGTCATGGTAAACTCTAATAGGTTATTCTTATCGAACAAAGCCAAATACAGTCGCGGTAAACAATGTCGGATCATATATTGTGCGACTTGGTTATCAACATATTTCCTCGTGACATTGGTAATAAGAGAGAGGGAGCTAGTATAGTACTGGTTTAGCACCGGCTTTAAATTAAACAGGAAAGTAGTAGTAGTAGTTCATGAATACAAAAAGTTGCGGGGCTGGCTAACACTTTTCTACACACGACACATGATCTATGGAATACAAAAGTGACGACACCACCAAAACGAAATAAAATCATCGCCGTCCAAAAAGAAGTAATAAATCCTAATGTGATCCATGCATGCCATGGATTTTCTCTCTTTTTATTTTACTAGATAATTGGCCCGCGCGTTGCGGCGGGATTCTATATAATATTTTTTTTCTTGATTTCTTGGATCATTTGTGATATATAATTTTTTAAATGAACCTTTACATTTGTGATTTGCCACATAAATAATTCAAACACTAAATCAGTTAGGAGAAAGATTATGAGATTAATTGGTTGGATGTATTATAGAGGCGAAATTTGGAAAATAAAATGTTGAATTATTCAATTAATCGCATAATTTTTTGTTAATAACTTTAATATGTTTGAGTATTGCAATCTCGAATACTTAGAGATAGGAAGTATACCAAAACTCGCTCTATAAAAGTAGGTTCCCAACTTCGAAGTGTCTTTTAAACCTTTCTTACATATTTTTAAGCCTGAATACATTAAACCAAATGATATCTTTGTAAAATATTAATACATCATCTTACAAATACATTGAACCAAAGCCAACAAAGTTGATTTTGTAAATCAATCTATTTTTTTAAAACCTAAATGGCAGGATTTGGGAGATAATTATTGTTATAATTTAGTTATTGAGGAAATTAACATGATAGAACATATTAAAAGCATGGCTCTTTAAATTGACTTAATTTTTTATTATAGAATTATATGTAGTTTTCTTTATCAGAAGTCACTTGTACATCATCACTCGGCTGGATCTGATCAACTAAAATTGACTCCACCTATCTTATAATGAAAACTGACCGACTTAGTATCAAGTTATGTGATTAGTAAATATGCACTATTGAAATTGACATATTGTCATTTTAAATAACTTCTTAAATTAATCTAAAAGTATAAAATAACTTTCATTTTTTTACAATTTTCATGTTAGCTATAAATATATTATAGAAATGTAATGATTTGATACTTTGTCTAACTTGATATTAGCATCCGTTGTGTGATAATAAAAAATTATGTATTACTTAAGATTTGGATCGAACCATTCTATCATTATGTGTTTAAAAATAAACCTCTGAATATTGTTATTTTCTTAATCCACAAATCTTCTTTCTAATCTCATAGGCTCCCTTCCCTTTCACTACACCAAGACCCATGACCTCTTACACGTGGAGGAGATGAATGACAGGTGGCAACAAATGTCAATCAGCCGAGCTCGATACATTCCTTCTCCTCTATCTTTGTGACTGTTCTCCTTGCTTTGATTTCTTTTATCTGACATCAATAATCCTAAACGAACTACAGAGAATCGACCAGTTGCATGCAATTGGGATCCAAATCCCCTTTTCTCAATGAGTGAGCAAAAGTGCTGGTTCCTTGCTTTTGATCCCTCTCTTATTCATCTTCATGTCGAAATTATCGGCTAATTGTGGTTGCTTCTTCCAATTACCCTCCGATCCTGATTGTGACCCTCTTATTTTGATTACCCAATACCATCGGTAACAAAAGAGAGAGCCCCAAGTTTGTTACTTCAGCACGACGGTTCTGGATTTTGGGATTGGGAAGCTTGTGAATCCGCTGGGGAATTATTATCCATAAACAGTAGTCAATTAATTGAACATGCAATACGGAGGCGTACAGACGACGATAGTGTGTCACGAAGGAATTCTCCAGGATGAGGTCGAGGAATCGATGACGCCGAAGCAGTCTTTGACTTCCCCTTCTCTCCCCTTCCTCTTCTATAGGATCTCCGACAATGCAAGGATCAACGCCAAGACGACTGTTATACTATCATCGACGATACTATCATCGACGATTTTCCTAGCCGGCGGCCGGCCCCCTGCATCCATCTTCCGAACACATTGGAGCTAGTCTGAAATAGGGAAAAACACGATCCATCACAAACCCCACTTTCGCCAGGACGAAGATCGGAGAAAAGCCGAGAGAGAGAGATCGGGAGAGGGAATAAGGCGATCCATCATTGACCCCAGCTTCGCCTGGAGGTAAAGAAGGGAAGAATCGATGGCGGCCACTTGCCTCGCCGCCAATCGGTCGACGGGGGGAATCATCGGAGTAGGTAAGAGTCGTAAAAAAAAACATGAGTTTGGAAAAAAGATTGCCTGGATCGACAGTCAATATTGAGTCCGCAGGAGGCTTATGGTGTACCTACCCGTAGCCCACTGGACCCCTTAAGTAAACTGGCCAATTAATTATACTAATTTTTTGGCGAGAACATATAAAATTCTTTGTTTACAAGATATATAGCTAGCCGTGGGGCATGAATAGTAATTATTATTATTATTATTATTATTATTATTATTATTATTATTATTATTATTATATAAGGGTCAAATTTCTGCTAGCCAAGTTACGTGTGACTGAATCTTTGTTGACTTGATGTGAACGGAAACCGTATACTAGCTAGATTGACATTAGGGTTTCTGCATGCTATATATTTTTCATTAAAAAGTTGAGAAATAAAAGTTCCCTCTTGATAACTTCAAATAATATGGGCCATCATTAAAGTGGAAGGAAATGACGGGCATCCAATTCTTCTATCCACAACCTTTTGACTTCAAGCTGCCAATGAAGACCCTCCCAAAGTCCTAATTAATCAATCAATTAGGGCAAGAATTATCTTTGATCATACTCATTACCTAATAATCCATGCATTCATTCTCACATCAGAAGACTAATAAGAGACATCTTTCTAACAAGTAGTGGGCTTTGTTTTCAATATTCTATGACTAATATGTTGATCGACCACTTAATTTTTTTGGACTTTGTACTATCGTATCATTCCTTTCCAACTACATATAATTTTTGCTGAAAACTGCATTATATTTATATGAAGATTTCAAACAAGAAGTGCAGTGAAGTGAATGTCTTAGGTAGAGATTATTAGGCCATGTTTGGTCTCAAGTCTGAACATAGGTTACTGGACAGTGGACAGCGGTCCAACGAAAAGCCCAGCTTCTAACTCTAAACGGGCCTGCCTTATATGTTCGTTTGGGCCCTAGCCCTATCGGCAGACAACATAACGCACTCACTAGTCTCACTAAACTACACTAGAGTGACTAGACTACATAGCAGTAGATAACTCAATTCATAACCACAGAACACAAATACCCACCATGTTCTTGATAAGGACATTCATAAGTCATAACCACACCGCAAAGTTGCTTAGTTGAGTCCGACTAAGAGGACTGACACCGTCACCGCAAGCTCTGTCGGTTAGCCGAAAATCGCAACCTTTTGTATCCGTTCAGTGAGGTGGCTAGCCGATAATTGGTATTAATAGATTTAGGGAGAGTCCTGACAGGCGACAATGGCGGGAGCAGCTTCAGAGAGAGACTAGGCAAGCGGCAGCAGCATAGCTTCATGGAAAGTCCTGGCAGGCCGAAGAGGACGAGACAACGACGAGATGAGAAGACGATGACGGCTGACGATGACGAAAAGTGCAGAACGATTTGATGATCGGGCGAGGTCGAGATTTGAGAAGATGAGAAGGATTCGCAGTCGATAGGTAACGACAAGACATCTCGAAGACTGACGAGAAGGCTGGATGAAAAGAGGACGACTAGCCGATGACGAGGTGGAGAAGATGAGGCCAAGATGGTTGGCTGATGACGGGCAATGCGACGATTTAGGATTCCTCGTTTTAACTTCAATTCAACAAATTCAGTTAAAAATTAGCCGAATAACCACGCTTATCGGTTCGATTTTGCGATATGTTTGACAGTCTTAGATGTGATTGGAAACTCGCAAGAGATCAATCCAATAACGTCAACCTAAGCTAATCCTTTGTTTTCATAATTGACTATGCATTACAAAACCTAAAAGTATATATAAGTATTTCATCAAATTTCAATCCTATGACATGATTTATACATCAATAAGATATTCTTCCCAATTAGAACCACACAAATCCATAGCTACAAAAGAGAGAACTTCACAAAAAAAGAAGTGTGATTTATTGGACTTACGAGTTATACAACAATCTATCCTTTCTCTAACTCGGCAATGGAGACAACTTCTATTGGTACGAGTACCGGACCTTTACACGGCAGAAAAGAGGAGAAGAAAAAAATGTCAGGAGCAAGAGCAAGGCAATTCTTTCCCCTTTCACTTAACCATTATCACATGTTCGTATTACGATTATCTCTTTTCATCAAGCCATGGCCACTCTTTCTCTCGCAGTTTCCCCACCCTCACCAACCCCATTCCCTTCCTCTGCTCCTCCTCCTCTTCCTTCCAATCTCACAATCCAATGCTGCAGCAACAACATCTCAAGCTACAATTCCGCTCCTCATGAACAGCTTCACTTCCCCACAAACGGGAAGCCAAGCTTCCAGCAGTCCCCTTTCAACACCAACTCTCCCCTGCCGCCGCGGCCCCGCCGCATAATCCTCGTCCGACATGGAGAGAGCGAGGGAAACGTGGACGAGAACGTCTACACCAGAGTCGGCGACCCCAAAATCGCCTTGACCCAGAAAGGGAAAGCTCAAGCGGAGGAATGTGGGATCAAAATCAGGGAGATGATCGAAGGAAATGGAGCGGCAGAGGACTGGAAACTGTACTTCTATGTTTCCCCTTACAAAAGGACTCGGCAGACTCTGCAGCATCTTGGGAAGTGTTTCGAGCGCCGGAGGATAGCCGGAGTAAGAGAAGAGCCTCGGCTAAGGGAACAGGATTTCGGTGGGTGCTAATTTGGGCAATTAGCTCTTAGGGTTTGTAGGTGGCTAATTGCTAATTAATTGACAGGGTAGTGAACAGGGAATTTTCAGGACAGAGAGAGGATGCGGGTCGAGAAAGCTCTAAGAATGTTGTACGGAAGGTTCTTCTTCAGGTTCCCTAATGGAGAATCAGCAGCCGATGTCTATGACAGGATCACAGGTAAAGAACCCACTTAAACAAAAGGCGTGTTGTAAAGAATCCTCACAATTGCTTTTGAAATTTGATGATGAGGGGCAGGATTCAGGGAGACGTTGAAATCGGATATCGACGTGGGACGGTTCCAGCCGCCGGGGCAGAGGAGCGAGGACATAAACCTGGTGATAGTGTCCCACGGGGTGACGCTGCGGGTGTTCTTGATGAGATGGTACAAGTGGACGGTGGAGCAGTACGAGAGGCTGCATAACTTCGGCAATGCGGGCATGGTGGTGATGGAGAAAGGCTACGGTGGGAGGTACAGTTTGCTGATGCATCACAGTGAGGAAGAGATGAGGGAGTTTGGGCTGACTGAAGAGATGCTCATTGATCAGGAGTGGTAAGTAAGGACAAGATACAGTTTATTCACAGCTTGGACAAGTAACCTTTTTGCTCAAATTTTGTTGTTGTGATGATGAATATATCAGGCAAAAACATGCGAGACCAGGGGAGCTGAACTATGGTTGTCCGACTCTCAATTCATTCTTCACTCATCTCGGAGACGATGGGTGCAGAACGTGATGAGAAGAAGGGACTGGATAAGTGAGAAGCTAAGCTACCTGTGTTTTTTCATGGATGTAGCTAGTTTGCTTTTTTCTGGGTTTATTTTCTCGTCTAAAGCAGGGGAGTTCCTGTATATGTATATATGGTAGATAAGAAATACTGCAGATGTAGTAACTGTTTAGGGTGGCTCAATGTTTCTTTGGACTTTGGAAAATAAGACAGGGAAACATTGTAACTTGGCATCTTATAATCTAAGTGAAATGAAATTAACTTTTACCTTTTAAAAGTTGTTGTTGTGGTGTAGTGGTAATCACGTCAGTTTTACACACTGAAGGTCTTCAGTTCGATCCTAGGCAGCAACAAATTTTATTTATGTGTTTAGTTCAAGTTCAACTAGTTTTGATAAATCTGTGCCCAACCTAAAGCAGGTATCCACTAAGAAAGACAGCAACTACTTTTTAGTTTTTACTGGTTCTGGTTCTACCTTGTTAAACTCGATTTTAAGATTGAAAACAGGCCAAATATGCATCCCTTGCACTTATTTCATCATTTTCATCAACTCAGATCAAATCCGCCCAGCCGAATATAGCGATAAAAGGCCGGAGCAACAATTTGGCAACTCGAAATGCAGTCTTGTAGCCCAGAACAGAAACAGTGACACACATCATTGCCTCATCCATAAATAATTTGAAGTTTATCACAAAGTCACAAAAATTAAGAGAGTACATCTGGAGATGACAAAAGAATACAAGATGGCGGTTAAGTACCTATTCTAAAAGTGGGGTTGTGAACCCTAATGAGATTATATCATGGTATACTCTACCGAACTGGGGATGCTAGGGGGTAGTCAGAAGCTGTTGAGGAAGAAAAACGTTCGATCTCGAAACTAACACATTTTTGGCCGATCAAAAAGGGAGAGCGCTTACAACAACACGAAAATCCATTCTCATACACAGCAACAACAATCTTCCTACCAGAAATCGGCTTTTGTGGCTGGTACGTCTCCACTCTTCTTACTTGTCATAGTTGGTTTTATTTCTTTTTTCTCTAGTATGTAGCATTGCCTTCTAGGCAGAAGTGCAAGGCACATCTTCCTGTTCATCAGCTATGGTGGTAGACGGTTTGTGAGCAGAGGATGGTGGCTTCTCGGGAGGGGAAGAAGGCTTGCATGGCCGGTTTGGACGAGTCTGGTCAACTTTGTCTTTGTTAATGTCAAACTGCAAAACCAGTTCTTTCAGTCAATAGAAGGAACAAAATCAAGGTACAATCATTCCTCCTGGAAACTGCCATTGATCTCAAGGCAAACTTCTGAAATGCAAAAAGGATAACCATCAATTAAGTCCAGCAAACTGACCTTATAACCGCAGCCAGACACACAGGCATGGAAGCATTCCTGTATGCAGAAAGAGGGACCAGGTCAACATAAGCAAATGAAAAGGGAGAAACACCAAAAGATACCTCTGAGTAGCTAGCAGCTCCAGGTGAACGGTCAATGTAAGCACTCCATTGTTGGTCTTTTAATACAGGGTCCTTGTAGCATATCTCTTCACACGCTTCCAAGCCTGGAGAGATGCAGCTCAACAGTTAAAAGTGCATATCCAGCCAGCAGCCAAACATGTGTCATGACATGAATATCTTTAGGTCACTCAAGTTCTCAAATTAGCGATTGTTTTAGTTAATCCTTAACATGCAACTAGATGTAACAAATGCTTCATTTACATGTCATGAGCCAACTGCATGGTACACAGTCAATCTGCATTCCAGTATGAAATTCACAATTCCATCATCTCCTACTAACAAAGAGGATTTGAACAGAGTATTTGAATGATTATCAATGCAACTAGATTTTCAAATGTGAATCAAGACACTAGCAGACGATCATGAGGGCAGCTAGAGAATATGGAAACTCACACTCTTCCCATGTGTCTCCATCAGCATTACAACCTTTCTTGCAAAACACTCTCCCTGCAAAAAGACATTAATCAATTACCCTTTGCATTATCTAGCAAATACTGTCTACTCTCTTAGCATCCATGAAGTCAGCAAGGTTAGGCCACAAAAGCAAAGGAGATCCACCATAGTTTACCTTTTACCGATTAAGAGTGCATTCGATTATCATCCAAGCATATGAAGCACAAAACTAAAAGCGCATTGAAAGCTCCGCTAAATTGTGTTGCCAATGAGATTCTTGTATTTGTGAAGCCTAAATGGGTCCAAGGGAATTCAGCAACAAATGGCCAAAGCATATTCTGACCATATACTCTCTAACACCATATGAAACAAGCTACAACAGAAACCAACACATTTGACTCATAACCTAATCTGCATTCTGCAGATGATTGAAAAAACTCTCCAAAATGAACGAAATTTAGAGCTGCACCATGATTCCTCTTTCCAAACGGCCAGGCCATGGACGATGGAGAATGACCTGAGCTACAGGGCATTTGAATCAAACATCTCCCATTATGATCTCAACACGACGATGAAGACAACTATCAATGCTCCTAATAGCTTGAACCATATACCTATCCGGCTAAGCAGAAGGATTATGATTCAAGGAAGAAAGCTTGCAGAGGACAAAAGCTTAATAGGACCAAAGAAATCATCAACATCACCATTGACCATATGTAATAAGATTGCACGCGACAGTTCTTTGAAAAAAATGCCCCAATGAAAAAAATTCTACGAAACCCATCTTTGTCTAGGCGAAGCTAACGGAATCAATCAAAGTTGCATATAAAGCTCCATTCGCAAACAGGTGGAAAGGGAAACAGACAGACAAAGCGACCACATGCTTTCTGCAAAGGAAAAGGAGGAACACAAAGAGAGAAACATTTACAAGGAATCTGAGTTAGGGCTGCGTATTTGTGGGTGCATTCGCCGCCACAGGGTTGAGCCCATTGCTGCGGTATCATATCTCCGTCTCCGGGTCTCTCTCTCCGAAAAGCCGCAAGCAGTTTCGGGTCGCCGACGGCAAGGCAGGGCAAAGGAGAAGAAATTTGCAGCGGTGAGTTTCATTATATAGGTCAGGGGTAGTCTCGTCATTTGGTCTAATCACGGGCTGCCATTTCCGGCCACTGATGGCCTCTCCTTCCTTTTCAGACTCCTTGGAGGAGAAAATTCGATGCGCATGGAGTGGGTGACGTAAACTTCGTCGTACTGAATAAAACGTTGTCGTACTGGATAAAATTGTCAGAAAAATTGCAAAAAGTGATGGCCTCTCCTTCCTTTTTCAGACTCCTTGGAGGAGAAAATTCGATGCGCTTGGAGTGGGGTAAACGTCGTCGTACTGAATATAACGTTGTGGTACTGGATAAAATTGTAAGAAAAATAGCCAAAAATGGAGATGCGGGGTATCGATCCCCGTACCTCTCGCATGCTAAGCGAGCGCTCTACCATCTGAGCTACATCCCCTTATTGAAATATTTTTCAATGATAATTTATGTATTTTTTGTTTGCTTCTCTATTCCCCCAAAGAGTAAATTTACCACAAAATTTGATGGAAATAGAAAATGGAATTTTTTAATGTACCGATACCCCATAAACTCAATATTTGATTATTCATATGTCATATATAATCATACTTCCACCATCAAGACGAGAAGGAAAATTCCAAACTCGAATACATTTTATACATAATTATTTATATGTTTTCTCTATCTCCGACTCTACTCTTTATTCCTGAACCCCGAGCTCATTCAATTCGACCCTCCAGCGAGCTTCATCTCAATTGATGTTGCACCCACCACCAACAGATCAATGCACAGAGAGCTCAAACTCATGCGGTAAATTAACATCAAAAGCCATATTAAACGCTACGTTCTAATTATTATCGATCAATGGAACCTCTGGCAGTTGATAGCCTTGGAAATGGGGATGCTTATTGCAACGCCACACTTGGTAGGGAGAGAGGAAGCCAGCCGCATCTTCCTTGATCGATAATAATGGTCGGCGGCGGCCTTGACGCAGGCGCAGGCTGCTCTCCTGTCGTCGACGGTGGCAGTGCTGGCCTTCAAGCTCCCTAGGCGGCTCAACTGAAAGCCTATATCTGGTTGAGATGGGCCCGCTTAATCTGAAAAAAGCCATAGAACCGGCCCAAAGCACCGAACCTAAAAATCAAATAAGGCCTGGAACAGTAGACCCTGATAATTTTGGAGGAAAATGTTTGAATCTTTTATTCATGCAAGTATGGGCATAACAGGCCATAGTTGCAGATGGAGGAAGAAAGGATCCATGGGAGGCTGGGAGTTGTGAAATAGTAAGAATTTCTAATTGGGCAGTGCCATTTGATGAATCAAGCTAATGCTAATTGGGCAGGCTTGCCGTGTAATATGGTGTGTGTTATGGACTTATGGTATCTGTTATCGTATACCTGTGGGTAGGGATGGCAAATTACCCACCCATGGGTAATTATACCCAAACCCAAGTAGACCCATTGATAATGGGTTGGGTATGGGTGAAGTGCATATGGATTTGGGGGTTTATAGATGGGTTTGGGGTTGGGGCTTCCATAATCTAAATGGGTATGGGTTGGATATGGATATCCATTTACTTGAGGGTGTTTTAACTACACATGCAAAAATTGGACCTATTTGCAAAGTTTAGGTACCAAAATGTAAGACCAAAAAATTTAGGTACCAAAACGTAATTTTCCATCGATATTTTGAGGACTTATATGCAAAAACAATTAAATTTAGGTACTAAATATGCATGTCTATTAAGTTTGGGTACCAAACTGTAATTTGTATTTGGGCATGAGTACAAACCCAAATCTATTTGATATAAACCCAACTCAACCCAAAGTAAATGGGTATGGGTACAAACCCATCAAACTCTACCCATATCCATCTATTTGGATTTCATACCCAACCCAATTGGGTTGGATACTAAGAAACCCATGGGTATGGGCAAAGTTGCCATCCCTGCCTGTGGGTAAATTTGATATGTGTATTTAGTCAATATATGCAATTAATAGAATTTTTTTTTTGTTTTAAACTTTCTTATTTTTGAAGAACCACCAAAATCATTCAACATCCAAATAATGTATTTTTCAATTTCATACATTGAAACAATACATCTAATTAAAAATAATTAAATGCATCTATTTAGATAATCCTAAATACCAAACATAGCCTTCAAAATCCAAGTTAAAAAACTATTAAAAGAACTCAAATACCTCATAGTGAAGTATTTTCCCAACGGATATAACTAAATTAACCTCTCTATCTTATCAAGTCGTCATACTTTACACCCAAACAAGCCAAAAGTAGGGAAAAGAGAATATTAGTTCTCTTCTCTTCCTTGGATTGATAATCATCATTAATCCTAATTAAAGCATCCAATCTTAATTCTTCCTTTTTCTAAGCTGAGGCAGGCCAAGCTTAACGATAGGTGATACCAGGTAGCTTCATAAAAGTAAAACCCTACTAATTCCTCGAATACAATATTAGGACACGGTTTCAAACTTTCAATAATACACTTATCGGCGGCTGCAAATTAATCATATTAATCAACCAAATTGCCCCCACCCCCACTCGTGTAAATAGTACAACTAGTTAACAAAAATTAAAGAAGAAGAAGAACAGCCGTCCTGTATATGATTGCACCCGTGCTGATCAAGTCCTTGATACTAGTTTAATTATCGACTAATCATCATAGCCTTACGTGTGAATTCGCGTTAAACCAACTAGACCGGCCATTTTCAAGCATAAATTAATCCCTGTTCGACGCCCATATGGAACTACATTATTAGTTTTCCTTAGCACAAGAACAGATGAGCACCGAGGAAACAAGATAAAGTAAGGAGGCTATTTATGAGCAAACAAATGTCACATGAGTAGTGGAGTTGAATTTAATTGGAAATTGGAAGTGGCGAGGGCAGCCTGGAATCGTGAGAGAGATCTAAGCCGGTCCACGACTCTGCACATGAAGTTTGATAAATGTTCTACTATTTGTATGTACATAACAAACAATCAATGTGCTGATGATCGACCACACAACATCCATGGTGTATTATTGGCTGGATTAGCTGTAATACTATAGTCCTCTTGATGATATATTCGTGATTATCGCTTCAGATAGCTGCACGATTACACTTTTTTTTTATGTTGATATTCTTGATGAAGAACACAATATATAATCTGCACAACACAGTGAAAAGTATTAGTCTCATCATACTTAAAGGGACTATAATTTGTATAGAAAATCTAAACCCAATGCTTCTCAATTATGAATAACTCTCTTATACAATATAAGTGATCAAAAGCCGAACAATCATGATAACTCAAGGGATTGATAATCAATACTTTTCTGTTGAACGTGTAGTACATCTTCATCAACTACAATTTGAGAGTAATTGAGACCACCAAACTAGTGAAAAGACATGAAACTAGAGTGATAGGGACCAACATTGACCATTCATTGAATTTGTTTGGAAAAATATATAGAGATGGGATAGATGGGTCATGGGGGCAATAATGGAGATGTTTGTCACAAAGATCTGAAGACTCACATGCGTGTGACGACTTTGGTTTTGTATTAAATGGACGCATGACAACAGAACTAACAGACAGATCGTTCATCTACTCCTCATCTTGCTAGAGCCACCCACCCATAATTCGACAGCCAAAGATTTATTTATGTTAATTAATTAATCTCACTGCTTAAATGATTTATGTCTTAATTTTTTAATGTTTAATTTCACTCTTTGAAAATGTTTCATGACTTCTTATGTACAAACTTGAAGCAAATTTTATGAGACATCGGCTCGTTAATGAGTAGTTTGTGAACCAACACGGAATACTAAGTCAATTATTTCTATTTGTTGATGTAAGCAATGCATGCTTTGAGTAAATAATTCATTCGGTGCAATCAAGATATACTGACTCTTGTCCGAACTTATCATAACATTGTGTTCAAAGTTCCAAACATTTAGCACACCAACTAACAATGGTTCTATTATCTAATTTTGACTTATCTTCTCAGTGGAGGTGTGTAAATCTCAATGTAGTATATTGTGTCAAGATTTTTGAACCACGAAACTTGGTTCATTTTCTTACACAATATGTATCTGTGATAATTTCAAATGCTTGGTCTAACTCTCAAATAAAGATTGTGATAGATTGGTTTAAAACATTTGGAGATTTTCTTAATTAGTGAGGATAATTGGTCATTGTGTAATCCTAGTCCATAATTCTCGAACGAGTGAATCCTAGACCTTAAACTAAAATCCTAATTTTCTAAACTTTAAATTCTAAGATGAAATACACTATCGACAATGATCGATGATTATGATTTGTATAATATACTCAACGTACCATATGCATCATTTAAGGATTTAGAGAATTACGGTATGGGATTTAGTCACTCTAGATAGGGTATAGTATCTTGAATTTTGATTAGTTCATGGTCTAGATAGCATTACTCATCATTGGCCAATGATATTTGTCTTTCACTTCTATCCTTATGATTCTCAACCCTTAGACCCCGTTTAGTATTGTTGCTTGTTTTTGTTTCCTGTTGTGTTTTTAAAGATTGGAGAAACCAAGAAAAAAAAAACATGTTTAGTTGGGTTTCTATTTTCTGTTGTGAATCAGAGTTGCACAACAAGGCCCAAATATGAGAAACAACAATTTATTGCTTTGGATCTGATTCTAAAACGTGCTGCACACGGGATTCCTACTGGTTGGGCACTTGATTTCATTAAACCAGACCAGTTTTCGAATCCCCACAGAAGCAATTTTTTTTAACACAACCGCCACCCCCCAAACCCTACTTCTAACATATCAGCCGCCGCCCCCCAAACTATTCTCCCCCTAAACCCTTCTCAACAGAGGTGTCACCCGCCACCCTTCTCAACAAGGCGCCACATCCGCCTCACCTCCGCCGCGCCGCCCGCCACCTCCTCAGTCGCCGATACCTCCGCCTCTGCGCCCGACCCCTCCACCTCCGCGCCGATCTAGCCCGCCGTGCAGCCCAAACCCTCCGCCGCGCAGCCAGCCCAGCCCGCCGACTCGCCGCCGACGTCCGCTTGCCGACCCCTCTGCCTCCGCGCCCGACCCCTCCGCCGCGCAGCCAGCCCGGCGACCCGCATTTTTGTAGTAACTAAACGCGTTTTTGTTTCTTGTTTTCAGCTTTCATGATTTTTCAGATTTATCAACTAAACAGGTTTGTGTTTTCTGTTTTTTTCCTGTTGTGGTTGTACATCTGTTTACACAACACCAGTGCAACCACAACAACAACAAAATGATACTAAACGGGCCCTTAGTGCAGTTATTAGCTAGTGATTTTTGGTCATTCACTTGCAAAAATTTACTTCCAAAATCATGTCATTCTCGTATATCTATTGAATCAATTTGTAACCGTAGATAGACCATCGAATGTCAAACTTCGTATTTTAAAAAAAAATTGTATAACTCTTTCGAGAATAATCATTGTATTCCCATAAAATCATGTAATTTAGTTAACTTATAAGTTGTAATACACCACCTAAACTCTAATTCAATTAAGGAGATCGAACATAATTTGGTCATGTTAATTTTAGCAATCTCCTTAGTCTCAAACTAAGTTTGCATCCATTGCTTACTCCACCGGGACGCCACAAAGTGTTGTTGCTTGGGACACTTTGTTCTATTTGTTAGGTCGGAGAGCATTACAATTTACAGAACATCCAACACGCCACCATATGTCCCACCTTTCTAAATATTTGGTTCATATTACAACCAACCCTACAAAATTCAACTAGAAATGTGTCAATGGGGATTCTGCATTGTGTTATGCGGGCTGGAAGATATATATAGTTTTCAGGACATTACACTTCTTCAGAAAGATTCTTTCATAACACTGCAGTTAATCCAAAAAATAAAAAAGATAAAAAAAACTAATTAACGAACATAAAATTTACACATCTGGGAACCACATTCTTGGTCCTGTACTTTGTTGGTAGTCGCTAGACACGAGTGACTGTAACTAGATACCCTTTTCCCCTTTCTATGCAGTTCAGTTCTTTCCCATGTTCTTTTGTAGCTGTACTACTGTAAATCTTCCACAATTGTTTTCTAAAGTATGATCATCAATTGGTACTCTGTCTAATTATTAGTTAATAAATTAGTTTAATCGTTAATCACCCCTTTTTAGTCGCTCATATCAAGCTCTCTTAGGTTTCCTTTTCTGTAAAAGATGAGTGTAATTAGCACCAGTACTGTTGTTAATTAGCTGTAGGTCATTATGCAATACTTAAAGCTAAGCAACTTGCAATGAGGAAGTATATTTTTCCTTGTTACTCTCTGCTATTAATGCCTAGTTGTGCTACTGCTTACGCATGCTCTCCAGAGTATTCCCCCCCTCACCTTTTTTTTTTTAACTGAACACTTCCTCTTAATGTCACTTTGAGTGGAAACTGTGCATCGCCGGTTACCACACTTAGATTTGCAGTAGCTGTCTCCTCTACCAAAGTAGATTTGCTTCATATCCATTAACCAAAACTCACCCAAGCATTTTAGTTTGAATTGCCATCCTCTTGTTTGAAATTTTGGAGCAACGACTGTAGTTGTCTCGCTTAGAACGGAACGGGAAGTCGACAACGCAAAAGTAAAAAAAAAATACACAGACTTACGTGGTTTACTAACAACTACGATGTGTGTTAGTTAATTCGCGCGAACAAGAGTCAAATGTCACTATACTAGAGGAGATATAGGTTACAGTGGAATTAAAAAAGTCATATATAACAGTTCTCCAGACAATCTAATTCTAATCCAATCTGGTTTGGAAAATGTTACAGACAAGGCCAATACCAAAAAAAAAAAAAAACATTTGTGTGTATAAGCCTTGTGATTTCTAGTTGAACACAAATAATCCAACTTCAAGTCATAACAACAGTTTCTTGTAGCAGGGTCTTACGTATCATCTAGGTTGCATCGTTACTTACGCAATCCAACGGTTGGATGATCATTCAACACATCATGTTGAGAAAAATAAACCATATCATCTAATATCCACTATTCCTTTGTGATTGCTAAACCTAGCTAGCGAGCTAGTAGAATATTATAATGATTCAAGAACAAGGATGAAATTGAGTAGCACTAGCAGGATGGAAAATGGTCTAAGGGAAGAACAGAAAAGAGGAGGACAGACAATGATTGAGGATTGAATTTGGGTTTTGGGGCAGAACAGAACAATCAATCGAGGGAGCGTACGTAGTAAACCTCACACTCTGAAATCGACTCGACATAACACCCGACGCCACGTGATCCTTGTCACTGCCCAAATCTGCCCACCGATCCTTTCTCAGTTCTCTTCTCTTCTGCCCACTCACATGTCACTTCCCCGACACATAATATAATAGACTCAAATAATGAATAATGAATAATACGTCCAGTGAAAAACAAAATCCTTTTTAAAAAATTATTTTACATATTAAACTACTTGTTTAATTTAATCGAATTACACCCTTACTCACCATTAATCTGTTCTTAATTCGGCCCATATGTAGACCGTCCCTGACAAAGGCAAAGTTGGCAATGTGGGGAATCTGGAGATTCCCGATTAAGTTTGTTTTTGGAGACAGTTTCTGATCCACTCTGCTCTCAGTCTCTGTACATTCTGGCGGTCAAGACAAGTCGGGCAGGCGAAGGGTGATTAGCATGTTTAATTACCCTAATCCGCGTGCAAATCCTGCTTTTTCTCTTTAACTGATCGATGATACACATGCTGTTGTCGTGGAAAGGCGAGTTAAACCCTAACAACTTGGGCCAATTAAATACCTAAAACACATGTAATTAGCTGGACCTGCCTGCCCAGCTGCTAATTAATTAAATATTATGGAGTCCTATATGCGTACGGTCGATTTCCTGGAAACTCCGCACCTCAAGGCTCAACTCCTAGCTAGTGGACTCAAAGCTTGTGCTCATCTGTAGAGTAGAACTTGATACATATAACATAAACCCAGTCAACAAAAAGAATAAAGAAATATGGGGGGAAAAAGATACGTGCTGTTAGTTGTTTCGTTCCCTGAGTGAATCAAGATGTATTTCCCTTGAAACTAATTAATAAATTTCCTATGGGGTTAACACCATATTTCTCCCGCTAATTAATAATTTGTTAGTCATCAGTGAAGTCTGTAAGCTACTGTTAGTTGGGTTTGTTTAACACTCTCGACCGGCAAATGAGTCAAGTCGAATTTTAACTTAGATTTGGGCTCGGCTAATTAATAAATGAGTCAACTTCAAGCTGAGCTTTTTTTATTAACGAGTTGAAACGAGCGGAGCTCGAGCTAGCATCGTTTACTAAATCTTGACTCGTGTTTGATACATTCATTTTTTATATGTCGCATGTATGATACATGCGATTGATGTCATGGTGAAAAAAATCGTAAATTTTTCATCATTAACTAATCTCATGTTATACATGAAAAAAAATGTAATTATATCTTAAACATCATATAGGGTGAGAAATATAATTTAACAACCCTATGAATGACCAAAATCCAACTCATCATACATAGATCGATCTACTCATAAATCGATAGTCAAGTTGGCTCTGTGCGTAGCCACAGTATTGAGACATCTCAGCTCTAAACGAGTCATGCTCACGAGTTGAGTTCAACAAGGGACCGAGTCGAACTAGCTCGCGAGCATAACAAGGCTTAGCTCAAGGTTGGCTCGTTAATAAACTAGTAAAAATTTCGAACGAAATTTTCTCGAACCGAACGTCGAATTGCTCGCTTGCAAACGACTCAGCTCGTTTGCGGTCGTGATACCCTTATCACTACCGGCGAGTAACGGTAATTAATTAGCGTAGCCCACATTGACAAGTCCAGGTCCAGCCGAGGTGGCAGGACAGGGGAAGAGACAAAGTAAGTAAGTAAGGTGAATTATAAGTTGGCATGCAATTGCAAAGGCGTTCCCACAGAGAAAGAGAGATGGATGGAGAATGAAGGGAGGGATGGGATGGGAAGAAATTGGATGGAGGTGGAAGGTGGCAGGCAGAGAAGCAGAGGCAGGGTGTTGGCGTTTTTGGTTTTTTCTGCACTGACTGCTGCTGGCTATATAACATGGACGTTATGAATGAAGGGTCCAACAGTGTCGCGGCCACATTAGGGCACAAACTTGTCAGGCCCCTTAACTTTTTTTTCATTTGCAGGACCCAAAACATTGCCACAGTGTACTGCTGCTTTCAGATGCATATGGTTGGTTGGCCCTCTGCCTCTCCCTCCCTCCATCTTTCTATCCGGCGAATAGGGTTAGATCTCGACATTTCACTGCCCTTATATGGTGGGTAAACCGTAAATGTAGTTTCCACATGTACAGTGATGACGGCAATGCGCGGACGGAGCGGATATCTCAATTCCCATGTCCTATCTCACACTACTGCGGATTGGGTCGGGTAAAACCCGCGTGGGTACGGGGCGGGACTAGTATACGTACCCGTTGTTAAATGTTATTTGAAAAAAATAAACGTAAAGTTTACTACGATGAAACGAAGAGGACAATACTTACTAATTAAAATGCGTAGTTGAGACTGACAAGTTGAAAGATTGACTCTAACTAGTTGAACTAGTTGAAGAAATGTCATAATAGGAGAAATATGAATGGATACGGTAAAAAATTGAGATAGAATGGGCCAAGAACGGGGCGGGGCAGGGCGGGTCGAAAGTACGTAGATTCCCATTCCCCGCCCCACGCTACTGCGGTTCGGCTAATATCCGCGGGGCGGGTCCAAATTGTCATCACTACACATGTCCACTATGCCTTGTGGTTAAATTAAGTGTTAATATTGGGGTTGTAGAGATTCGAACACATGATCACTAGTCACAATAACCACTTTCTTACAAGCTATGGTATGAATATAGGAGATCACTATTTTTTTTCCATGGCCATTTCGACAAGTAGGGGTGGGCATCAGTCCGGTCCGGGGTGGGCATCGGTCCAGTCCAGGCTGGATCGAGCCAAACTCAGGAGCACCGTAATCCAATAGTAAAAGATATCTTAGGACCAAGGACCGTACCAATAGTGCATTCGGTTCGTTTTGGTGCACATTGGTCCACATTTGATCCATTTTTCTTCAGTATTTATAAAATTCATGAGTCAAAGATCTGACCATATTATTTTTCGTTTCGGTGTGCTCCGGTATGGACCAACCCATTGCCCCACTCCTATCGACAAGTGACGACAAGACGAAATTGGTCCAGGTTATGAATGCTGTAGAATTCTCCTAGTGCATATTTTGTCCTTTAGTTTAGAGTTTGGGTAAATACTAAATACCATATATATGTCGGGATGAACAAGGTGAATCCTTTGCTTTTTAATGATTGATTACGGTGGATTCCAACTTGCGTACGCTGTTTCCCATCTCCCCGGGCACAAGGGAGGAACAATTCAACCCTAGCTTGATTCCAGTTATCTACAAGTCAGCTTCTTGAATCTCATAAGTAACAGTTAACCTTCAAGTATATACAAGACAACAACGATACCATTTTGTTCCCTTCTTGTATCCATCAAACTACTTAATTGGCACAATGCAATCTTCTCAATGCACTTAATAAGTTTGAGATTAGGATAGGAACTTAACCTTTATTATTGTCAACTTTGATTACTAAAGATGATAATCGTCAGATGCAACCACCACCAGAATACAAAGGGAAAAGAGATTTGGGGTGAAACTAAGCCACAATGTTGACGTCTGAAGTCCACAGACAAAGGGAGCATGGGAGTAGTTATAGGGTTAACATCTTGAAAGGAACTTAACCTAAAGAGAAGACCAAAAGAAAACAAAGGAGCTAAAGAAAAGGGAGGGAAAGAGAGGATGTAGCTTTTTGTCTTGAAATCAGTCCACAAAAACAAAATGGCATGGCCAATTTGGTGGTGGTAGTGGCAACCCTCTCCAATTCAAGATGGGGGGGACAATGACAAGATGATGTGTTAGGGATACCAAAGTTCATCTCCCTCTCCCCCACACAATTTGGTCATATGACCATTCATGATGTGTAGTTATATGGTGAAATGGGTGTGTGTTATCTTTCCCCACTTTGATCTTATTTTGCTTCTTTTTTTTGGTCTATAGGATGGGTGTTTGTGGGGTTGACACCAAAGAGGAGATTGGTTAGAACAATTACCCACTTCATGTCTCTTTGCTTTGCTAGCTACACTTCAACACTCATATCATAACCTCTTTCCCTCTCTACCCTTTGCCCCCATTGCTTGATCATTGAGGATCCTCTCTTTGATTGAACCCAATTTAATTTTGTGTCTCCTTTTGATTTGATTTCATTTGGATTCTTATTGTAAAGAGCATGAACTTGGACTATATATGTTTTGTGTTTAATTATCACTCTAGAAAAGTGAGTTGTAAGCATGTAACTATTTTATAAGGAATTTTGCCATATTGATGTCGTTGAATAGTGCATTTCACGATCTCGGTTGCTAGATGTATGAGAAGGCGTTGCTCAGGAGAACACAATCTTGTGAATAATGACTAAGATGTCATTATTTGGACCAACAATATTAACACACCTAACGCATACCCATCATTATTATACTCGACTTGTATAGAATGAACTGGATTAGTCGGTGAAATATATATTTGTCACTTCCATTCACTTGTAGAGTAAGTTTTAATAATTTGAAGGGATGATTCTCCACCACCAATCACTGCTAATTGTTCTTTATGATGATGATGGTCAGTGGGTCCTAAATTGGTTCATCAAAGATTGCAAGCGTACAAATGCTAATTTTGGCTTTGCAATTGCAATCGTCACCATGATAGATTGTGCTTTATTCATGATATACAAATTACTTATAAAACTCAATTATATATCCGACGTTTGTGTTTGAGGGACATTTTCTTGTCAATAGCGTAACAAAGCGTTTAAGTGAAAAGTTTAACCAAATACCAGTTGTTCAACAACCACAAATGAGATGTATATCCTCCTCTGTTGGAGTATAGTGGAATCCATCGAATAGTAGAAGGATCATTTTGTAACACTTATTTCTTTGACTGTTGTTATGTTAGTAGAGTTAGGCTAACTCTAATCACACTTTTACTATAATATGTTTTGATTGATTGATCAATTATCTATGAATCGAATATACATTGGTTACTAACCATTATTTTGATAATCCAACATCCTCCAAATACCTACCAAAATCATCAACCGTTTCATTCAAATCGGTTACAGTTCATGTACATGTTTCTTCTCGTGTGATTTACTCACTTTCCTTGTATAAAAGAAATGAGAAAAGGGAAGGACGACCTCTTTTAGTCTTTTTACCATCACAAAGGCCGTCCATGTAGTTTTACTTCCTCCCTCCTTGCATCAACATTGATTACCTATTTAGCCCCCAAAGTAATTTTTCAAGACATTTATGTCCCGCAAAGTTCCGTCATCACTCACCATTATGTGGATTGCATTATCCGTAAATGCCTCGGTATTTATTTTAACCCTTCAGTTACACCACCACTAGGTTTAATGATCTTCTTCCTAAAAATCAAATGTCAATTTCATTTGGCCATTATTGACATTTCCAGAAATTTTCACATTCATGGATTTCTTTCACGAATAACAAAGTTTTTACACTGAATTTATAGAGATCCTAATTCACCCTCAATTCATCCAATTTCTTTTCCCATCTGAAGGACTGAAAAGCGAGAAAATTAAAACTACAGGTACTAAATTGTACTTTAAAATCCCTTCTCATAATTTTCCTCTCTTTGCTCTCCCCCGACCAGTTACCGTCATCTCTCCGTCACGTTCCTTCTATATAACCCAATCCCTTTCCTCCATCCTCCCTCAGCCATTCGTCTTTCTTCCACCTGATTTCTCTCCCTTTCTCTAAATTCTCTGCTTCAAGGAATCCGGAAAGACGAAAAAAGTTCCCCCTCTTTCGTTCAATCTTCTCCCAGTCTTACCTCGATTGCAAAGTAATTACTTCAATTCCTTCCTAACCATTAACAGAGGAAGAAGGGTACAATTCGGAGCAATAAAAATGGGGTTTCCCGTCGGATACACGGAGCTCCTCCTCCCCAAGTTTCTAATCCACGCGCTCTCCCTCCTCTCCATCCTCCGTCGTCTAATCAACGCGCTCTTCCGATTCATCGGTCTCCCCGATTTCCTCGAGCCCAACGTCTCCTGGTCGCCGCCGCCTTCTTCCGACTTCGACTCCTTCTCCAACTCGTTCCCGTCGTCGCCATCGGCCGGCGGCGGCGGCTTCCCGGAGTTCCAGCGCTCGGTGTCGGCGGTGCTGATCCGCGAGATCCTGCCGGTGGTGAGATTCGGCGACCTGGTGGACCCGCCGGAGAGCTGCGCGGTGTGCCTGTACGATTTCGAGGCGGAGGACGAGATTCGGGGGCTGGCGAATTGCCGCCACGTGTTCCACAAGGGGTGCCTCGACCGTTGGATGGGGTACGACCGGAAGACGTGTCCGATGTGCCGGACGCCGGTGATTCCCGAGGATATGCAGGAGAGCTTCAACGAGAAGTTCTGGGCGGCGTCCGGGATCCCCGATTTCTACGGCGAGTTCTCGCAAATCACTGGGTAGAAGGCGGCCGCCGGCGAGCCAGAGTAGTAGTCAAAAAGGGGAAATTGTGGGATATGATTTTTTTTCTTTCCCTTTCTTACATTTTCTTTTTTTTTCCTTTTTAACAATCGACGGCAGGAAGGAGTTAAGTGGAGATGATGATAAAATTGGTGGGTGAGATTTTTGTACATATTTACATAAAGGACTATGGAAGAAGGAAAAAAAAAAGAACAAAATGAAATGAGACGAATTTGAGGACTCAAATGAGTTTTGTGGTTTTGTATGAGTAGTGAGTTGTAATTCACCATTTGTTCATTATTAGAATAACAACTTGTTTTACTGGTCAGATGGGCTCCAAAATTACAATCTTGATTTGTCGCAGACTCGCAGTGGTGTTTCTATCAATGGGGCCACTCTCACTTTTTTTTCTTTCTTTTTGGTGAAAATGGGGTTAATCTCTGGAAAAATGAGAGAAATATTGGGATGGTAAGAAATAGAATTATGAATAGGGATTCAACACGGAAGAGATAATTTGGTAAATGTATGAAATAATGATGCTCATATATTGATATCAAATTAGAAGATTTAGTCTCTATGATAGAATGATCAAATTGCTCAACATAATTAATAAGGTATACAATCTGTTATCATTTTAGTCGAAACTCTCAATCTTTACAGATCGTGAAGGCACCATATCATTCCAATGGAAGGCACAATCTCTAGCAATCAATATATGGATCAATCAACAACTCTCATAGCCTTACAAGTAACGCAACATCATTACAAAACACACTTTCCAACCACCCTCGACCACTTTGTTGTGATATTTCCATATGTATCTCGCTATCCTTTTACGTATTTTTCATCTTATCCAATCCAATTCTTGTGAATGATTTTCCTTTTCATGGATATCCATAAATACCAATTTATCAAACAATACAAAACAACGATATCCAAATTCTTAAGAAAGTCATGTGTCCTTACAAGCAAAAGTATCATGTCAATACACACCCAACAACCAGCACAACTTCATCTCTAGGTAGGGGTGTTCAAACGGTTTGGTTACCGTGGTGACAGTTTTAACTGGTACCATTTGGATAATTTGGTTTGGTTAATTTGGATAATTGGTTTGGTTTGATTAAAGTTTTTTTTAGGTTGTTTGGTTTATGTGGTTTGGTTTGGTTTGGTTTCAGACACTCCTAACCAGTCAAACCAAATTAACCAGTTAAGTAATTAGTCATATATCTAACATATATTATATACACATAATACTTTGCATAACCACTCAAGAGTTAACGTTCATCCCTTTTAGACTCATAAAATATAAAGCTCAATATTGCTCATATAGTGTATATTTGTATATGTAAAGTCTAGACCACAACATATGGACGTCTAATTTAGATAAATTTCATACATTATGATGAATGAAAACTTGAAAGGAAGGTCATTTCCAACCTATGATAATTGCTAAGAGACTAAGTCAATTTACACAAACACAATAATTCATTAACCCATACCATTGTCATAATTTTTTGTTAGGCGAATACTTCTATACTAATCGTAAGATAATTGTCTTAGTTGCATGTATTTTTATTAAGGGTCAACTATAACTACGTGTTGATTGTTATGTTTTATTCATTATATAAATTGTGAATTGTTGTATTAACCGGAAAATTTCCATCGTCAATGATAATGTGATTTTATATTGGTTAATCTGGTAAACCAATTAACCAAACCAATTAAATTTTAGTTTGGTTAATTTGGTTGTTGTATTAGTTTGGACGGTTTGGTTATGATATTGTATTCCATGGTTAATGGAATTTAACCTTATTTGATTTGGTTATAACCATGGTAATCATTTGAACACCCCTATCTCTAGAGTGGCTCTAAGCCTCTAACCTACAATATCAACAAGTCTTGAGTGTGACACACCTTTCTTCTAAGGAGAAGCGATGACACATACAACTTTTCCGATATTGTTGATAACTTCGAGGTTCCAACTTATGGAGTTGACATTTACATGCCTAAATTTCAACATAATTCTACACTCTATCACGATCAATAGAATAAACTACTTATTTTTTTTCCCTTGAATAAGTTCTAATCCTAAAATTGTTAGTGTTAACCGACGGAAAAAATAATTTTATTGGTGTTGTAGTAATCTAATCAAGGGTCACATAGTAAGATTCCCACGATCGGTTTTGAGGGGCTAATTAGCGAAGTTAAAAATTATTATTTAAACAATGATTAACCATTGTCATCATTAGTGTTGTATTGTCAATCACGATTCACGTACGTCCAAAATGCAGCGACCAAATTCTCATAATATTATATGCTAATTGCGTGTTGTAAATAAATATTACATATGACCGAAGAGGACCTTACATCACTATCAATATTGCGTTCCTTGAAAGTTAATTAATCAATTTAGTAGTTGAAATTATTTATTATCAAAGAGAACTAGATTCACCGAACTTCAATCGTGTTCCTTAATTCTTCCTTATGTTTTGTTTTTATCTATTTATCAGATTTCGGTCAAAAAGTTGACACCTCTCATTTAGCTTGTCAATGAAAATAATTGATATTATCGTGATTATTATTGCTGTTATTATTTTCATTATTATTTGTCTATGAGTTGGATTTGGAAGAATACGTCGCATCATTTGTTTTGCTCTCATGGCCTAAAATAATCCTCAAAATTTTATTCCGAAAATGTATCTCAAGGAAACAAAATAATAATAATAATAAACAGAATGAAAGAAACAACTGATTATTTAAAAATGGTGCAATGTTGAAATTCAAAACGATGGAACCATTGAAATGTTGTAATATGAGCAGATAATTAAAAAAAAAGTGCTACTTTTGTATTTCAACCAATGAGATTGGGAAATTTTAATTACCTCCCTTAACCCTTATGAGCTGGATATTTGGAGTTTCCTTTGATTTAAACTATAATGAAAATCAACTTAATTCTTCCACTTGGTCGAATTTTTAAACCACTCAATTCTTTCATCAAAGGACCTCTCTAAGTATTTTTCAACCGCTTGAAAAGTATTCATTGTGATTTAACGGCTGAGATGGAAGCGAGATTCAGCTTTATTGATTCAAAATAAAATTTAAGTGTATCAAATTACATTTTTAGGCAATACAAAACGGTAATGTGGCAATCGGATCCAGCTAATTTAAATTGTTTCGTTTTACATCAATTAGAGTTTATCGAAAATTAGACAAGTATTTTGAAATAAATAATACATCTTTTCTAAGAGCAGCTTTTGACTAGTTCTCAATGATCATGAAACTATTGTCTCGAACTATAAACGACAGGAAAAAATTATACATATAAAAAAAAATGGGGTGATGAATCCACGTTGACTGAGGGGTGTGAATTACTGAAGTGCCTACATGGCTACATCTCTTGCACGTCCTCTTGGTCGAGGAACAACTAATTAATAATAACACATTTCCATAATAACTAATTGAAATGGCCAGTCGACTCGAGTTTCGCCAAAAGCCAAAAACTCACCAAGTGGAAGGCCGGCGCTTAAGCTTTGCACGGTTTAAGGATTACTAATTAAAGGTTTTAGTTCCAAGTCTTCGAACCATACAGATTAATATTCGAAGACTTCAACTCACATAATTTTGTCCAAACTTCAAACTAAGTATTCCAGCTTGCACTTTTAAAACATAATTAAGTCTATTTACTAGTTTTTATGGTATTGGTTACATAAAGTATATTAGTATTGACATTATGACTTTAGCTCCAAGTCACTGTACAACCTGATGATGAGAAATACTTATCCTGACACGGAAGATTTCCCATTTAAAACGATTTGGCAGCAAGAAGTTCCATTGAAGATATGTGCATTCCTATGGTTGGTGTATCTCAAAAGAATCCCGACCCATGAGGCATTGAGGAAGAAGGGATGGGCACTCCCGAGCAGATGCGTGCTCTGCTATGATGATGAGGAAGATATCAACCACCTACTCATCACCTGCAAGTTCGCTAGGAAAGTATGGGTGACGATTGGCAGGTACGTCGAGATGGAAAGTGACTGTCCCGGACATCTCAACAAGAATCAGATCGTGGCCGAATCAAAAGTCGAATAATTCGAGAGACTGGTGCACCAAAGTCCTTATACATGCTGTTTGTTGGCGTCTGTGGCTCGAAAGGAACTCAAGGATCTTTCAGGACGACTCCCAACCTCCAGAAGTTGTCTGCTTCCTCATCGGAAGGCTGATATCGGACTGGTTAGTAGCAGCAGATAGAATCGAGCCTTTAGTGGCCGAGACGTGGCTTGCATCGATGAGAAGGGACCTGATTCCTGGTCTGACCTCTGCAGCTTAGAGTAGCATACTTGGTCCATCTGTGATCTTTTGTTCTTACTGTTTTCCTCTTCTCTCGTTCTCTTTTCTTCTGTCTTCTGTGTGTTCCTGTTGTTTCTTCGTTGTTCTTAGCGTTCATTTACCTCTGTTTGACTCTTGTGTTTCTCCCCCTGTATCTCCTCTATAATCTAATTTAATGAGGTCACCACTTTCAAAAAAAAAAAAAGCAAGAAAGCAAGACTACGTAGAGGATTTTTACAATGCTTTATAGTATGATGTTTGAGTTTTCAAAAAAGAAAATTATGGTACAAACTATTTAATGTTATGCTAGAAAATTTATTTTGTACCTCTATCTTTTGTACAAATTTCTTTACGACACAAATTGAATTTGTACATATATGATACAAACTCAACTTATAATATAATATAAATGTACAAATTAATTCATTTATAGTGTAAGTTACATCAAAATACGAATATATTATAAGAGAGTTGAATGACTCTATTAGATATCTTATTTGTGTTTGAAATTCATATGTAATTCGTTATTTAATATGTGAATTTGGTGAAGGCGGCCACAGTTGTTTTTACTGCTTAATGTATAATAATGACGATAATGTGCTGGATTGGAATCAATTTCGCCATCATTAGAAACATCCAAATCTTTTCTTTACCACCAAAGACAAAATTACGACTCAAAGTGTCAAAACAAGCGGTATTCACGCATATTCTTCTGGTTGACTAGTTCCTACAATTCCAACGAATTAAGAGGGCCTTTATAATCCTTAGATTCTTGTAATCATCCATCCATCCTTTCTTCCTTTTGAAAATCAATGGTATTTAGTTATAATGATCCATCTTAAGAATATGTTTTTGCAAGAATGTGTTGCTAGAAAAATAAAAAATTTATTTTATATATATATATATATATATATTATACCTTATTCAATTAAAAGTGAGTTTTGAATGAATGGATTAAGGCAGACACACGATGAGGAAAAATAAAATAAGAAACAAAACAAAAAATCATGTATATAAAGAATCTCACAAGAAAATTAAGATTATGAATATGCCATTTTTATGTATAATAAATACTTGATGCATTTTCTATACATGTATTTCAATTCAAAATTTTACATATCAGAATACAATTATTCAAAATACAAAGCTTTTCAAACGAGCACTCGGCTCCTTGGGCCATATTTTTGTCATTTCCATTAGAGCCTGCATAATTAAATTAAGGACTAATAGTCCACTTCCGATAATTTCCTAATTAAATCCAATATTGTGAGTATGACATAAAGATAAAATATGATCCCATAAGCTCATATATATTATATATTTGTATAGCTAGCTAGACTACTCTCTTTAGGATTACGTGATCGCCGGACGTCTGCAAACCTTAATTTTTATGTAAAGGAATGACTTGTTCTAATCTCTTTGGGACTATATGAATCAAAACCTTTGCTTTGTTTTTTTTTTTCACACAAAATTCTTATATCGATTTTTGGATGTGATAAAAGTTAAGGTTTGGGCTTAATTAATGTAGTCAAAATCGCATTTTAAAATTAAAAAAACTTACGATTTTATGCTTCTAGATCACCAAAATGCTTCTACGTAAAATCAAACTTTTCACTTACAAGTGTAATCAAAATCAATCTTTTAAAACTTAAAACTTACGTTTTTACACTTCTAGGTCACCAAAGTACTTCTATGTAGAATCACGATTTTGATCTAACCTATATTGCAGAAGCTTCTATGGGTTACTTCTATTGCATAATTGGAACTCGAAATATAAATTATCGATAAATCGCTGTTGATGGAGAATTTTCAAGAGCCACTTTACTGGACTAGAATACATGATTTTCTTGTTAAAATATTAATTACTTTGGCTTTCCTTCTCTTCCTTTATTTATATTTCTAATCAGTAATATATTGACTGCTATTACAGCATTTCTTGTAGTTTTCTAATGATAACGATATATTTTGGCAGTCTGCAGTATAAAGTTACACGTTCATTAGGTTGGTAAGATGTGGCTTTATTAGGTGATAGGTCGTTGTTATATTTGATTTTAATTTTGAACTTGTACGGAAATAAAATAAAAATTTCTTATAGTATTGACAATGATATTTTATTTCCTCTGATGAATGATGAAAATTGACAACAATAGGAATAAGTTCGGTAAAGACAGAGAACAAACTGGTCAAATATGAAAAGTTGAAGGGTTTGCTTGGTAACTGAAACAAATTACATGAACCAAAATGGTTAGTTTGACGAAACTTTAATTTAACGAGGCAAAATCTTAACATTAGTTGTGACTTGTTAGCATATTCACCTTTACACTGTACAAAGTGTACAACCTATTTCCTAATAAATAACCCTACCATTTCTACCTCGAAGCTGATCCTGCTTAACATTCTCACAAAGTACAATCAATCAATATGATAAAAATTATATATTTATATCGAATTTCAGATTTGACTTTGAACAGTGGTGGATAAGAAATTTGGGCGAGGGAGGGTAAAAGACTTAAAGATTAAGTGATTTGATTTCTGATAATTTAGAAGGGACTAAAACATTAATAATCGGTTAATCTATTTTCCAAAATTATGACAAACTGTGGACATATTTTTATCCGTATTTGAAAGTCGAGGAAATAGTATGTGTTGAAGGTCGAGCTGCATTTGTTCGGTTCATATATATATATTTTTTTTTACAATAGTCGAGATGCAAACCAACACTTATGTTGCACCGTACGCTAGAAACTAACTGGTCACAATAACTCGAGTTGTCGTGAGAGATTCATGTATGGATTTCAACCACTTCTTTACATGCCCGTTTAAATGAAAGTCAAATCATGGGCTTGGGGTCATGAGATTTGAAGCATAAATACTCACGAACGATCAAACCAACTCTGATGTCATATCATAAATCAACTAATTTCAATAACTCAAATATTCGAAAAAAGTTCGGTGTATAAATTTTAATCACTTCCTTATACCACCTACAACATTGGTCTGGTTAGAATGAACCCACATATAAATTTGTTGGGGTGTGATTTTTACTGCGATAATAGCTAGCTCATGGAGAAGGAGAATAGGCAGAGGCACTAGCTGGCGAAGGAGACTGACGAGCAAAGAGGAAGGATTAGGTTTGATTTGGAAAACAACGGTGGAGATGCCTGCTTCTGCTTGAATTTGAAGTGCGGTCGTCAGAAACGGCCGGCTTTTGAGCTGGGCCTTTTGCTGGCAAAAGAATACAATTTTTGCAGAAACGGATTGTCTGCTCCTACATTGAGGCTGGCCCAAGGTAATGGAGGCCCATTACAATGACCTTCGATTCATATGATTGGACTCAGCCACTCAGGGTGAGGGATTTCATGGAGCCCAGAGAGAAATATAAAAATCCACCTTGGCAAATTTTTCAACCATGGAGGAGTAAGTAGCCAAGGGAACAACAAAACACAGAAGAGCAACACAAGAAATTCAACCAGATAATTAACTCTGTCGGTCCATAATGTTACTACTGCGCATAAAAAAATGTTCAAACCCCACATGTCAAGAATCAATGGCCATCAATCAATTAATCTCTTCCACCCACCTAAATGAACAGCCAAAGTTCCGAGCTCAAGTTCCTTCCAAGATATAGATCAAATAGAGAGTCCAGTTTCAGAGCAACCTCAATGCAAATATGAATGTATATATAGCCAAACCACATAGCCGTCCCGTGTCCTACAATTCGCATATCAACAATGGCGACCATGGAGGAGGGTATCAATAGGTCACTTTGGTGGGTAGCCAGATGGAGGATAGGCTGGTGGAGGGTACCCTGCTGGAGGGTATCCCTGCGCCTGAGGTGGTGGGTATCCAGCCGGAGGGTATCCCTGAGCCTGAGGGGGTGGGTAGCCATACCCTGGTTGAGGTGGATAACCAACAGAGGGAGGGACTTGTTGGTCCAAACGTGACATCTGTTGCATCGGCGGCACTGACATTGGTTGCGGACCAAACTTGCCATCTCGTTTGTCCATTTCGATCTTGTGTTGCGTCTGCATGCAAGCACAGACCCTGGGAGTAGAATAAAGAGGGAGAGGATTGGTTAGTAAGTTGATGAGATGATTCAGTGTTGTAATGGGGATAGGAATTTGGGGGAGGAGGGACAATGGTTGATGCTTACGTGCAGTAGACCATATCAGACAAGCAAGATAGCAACTGGGAAGCCTCTGATATCTCTTCACTTCCAACAATCATTGCAACTATGGAGAATATGCAAGCAATTTGTTGGAGGCAGAACATGAAGCCCTGGTAAAAGGAAAGAGCTGACATGAATAACATGATGGACAAACTGCAAGTGCTGACGAATGAGGAGGAGGCAGATGGGAGAAAGAGAGAGAGAGAGAGTACGATAATGCAGTTGTCGCACTGTGTTGTCTGAATGTTGAATTCATCTTGCAACAGGAACCGGGTAGATGCTACAGAGTTTCCAAAGCACAGGAAGACCTGCAAACGCCGAGAGCATAAAATCAAGATCCGACCACAATCATAATGAGCTAAAACCAAGACCTACCAGGACATCATGAGGCGGATGGGTTCATAGGCAACAAAATTTTAGCCTTTCGAAGGAGCATTTGTTAATAGATAATCATTACATTAAAAGGCTAAACTCTTTAACATATAAGGCAGCAAGTTCTACATCATGAGATAAAATCCTTTGTTCTCAAATTGAAAATTCCCACTTAATCTGAGTCTCAGTTAAGAACAGCGAAGATCCATGTTTCACACACCGTGATTTACAGTCTCCTTAATCTCATACCCATTTATATGCATCTATTTCTGAAGAATACATTAAGAACTAGCGACTCTGTACCTCAGTGCAAAGGCAGAACTCCGGGCACTTACTCTCGCCGCACCTTCCACTGCAAGGCATGTAACCAGCACAGCAAACATACCTTGACATGTCATTGTAAAGTGCCCGTTTGCGGAGCAAGTACGATACACACGGCCCACTACATGAGACAGATAATTATATGGTTAGCAACAACTGAAGCTTAGAGAAACTCCAAAACATCACTACAACTGCAACTTCGTGGAGCAACACAGCCACACAATCAATGACATTGGCAAAAGAGAAAACACAACTTAGAGAGAACAAAATACATATGAATTCCCAGTGTGCACAAAAGTAAGAACCATCTCTTTGACTTCGTTCATCATATTCATAGCCTATGGAATCTACTACTCTACAACAACCAAGGAAGTGCTATTACACAACTGTAAAACAAATAAATGCCATCTCAGAAGCAAATTGTTGAACATAAGCACAGTCCACTGTACTGACCCCATCGCAAAACGTCGTTCACTTAACAATCTAAATACAATGGTAAAGGCAACAACAAGAAATTTGGAATTGCGAGCTATGAATTATTACTTCATTGAAACCATTATTGATTTGTGCAGCATCTGCCTAGCTTGTACAGCTTTAAACCGTGGGGACAACCCTAAAGCCAGCATAAGGCTGACAACTAGAACCAATTCACCAGACAGTACCATAAATGTCTGGCTGACAGAGTTAACAAACAGAGCATTCTCAACTTTCAGAGCCAAACACCAGAAATTGAAACAGATTCATACATTGTAGGACGAAGTCAACCCATGTCAAAACCCATAAGACTACAGCAAACGAGGAAACCCTCGACATTCCCAGGCAAAAGTAAGTTCGATTTGCAAGGGAGTAGAAAGCGTCACAAATTCCAAGAAGCTAGATCTGGAACGCGAAGAAGCTACAGATCGGAAGAGGGACTTACCACCAGAGAGCAAGGCAGCAATCTGAATGTCGGGAAAACAGAACGACCCCAATCGCCGGGAACAAAGAAAACAATATCAAACCGGGGGGAAATTTTCCACAAAAGAACAAAGGAAAAGGACGAATATCAGAAGAAGCTCACATGGAGTGTCAGCCTGAATGGTGTGGACAAGATCGCTGTGCCAGAGATTGCGGTAGTTCTGGCGGAGCTGCATCTTGTCCAAGTGCGCCTGGGAAGCCATTTCTGGAGCTCACAGAGTTCAAGAAAAGCTGCAGATTACAGAAGGCAGAAATGATCAAGACCCAATTTTATATATAGTGCAGATTTTGAAGAATTGATGGCTCTGAAGGTGAAGGGCAAATGAATTTGATACGGCTGAATCCTCCGAGGAAGTTGCCGTCTTGATTTGGCTGACACGTCACCCTCTTTTTTTATTATATATATTGATATATTTGAACCCAAACAAGGCAATGTAACGGAATTGACCAATGAGGGAAGGTCTTGAAGAAGTGACGACGACTTTCCCACCGTTAGATTAATTTGGTGGGGAATTGCGTATAAATCTCACAAGTCACAAATTGTAGTAATGGATAAAAAAAATTATGTTTGGTTAGTAATTGGAGCGTGGTAATTTGGAATGGGATGCTAACCCCATACCCCGTTAGCACCATCCTAATTCCATAAATCAACTTCCATTTATTTTTGACTGAATAAAGGCTTTTATATTAAGTGAAGAATATTTTAGTAATATCATATTAAACCCTAATATAAAAAGCACCTCTCACCTTCCCTCTCATCCACGGTCGCCTCTCCATTTTCCACTCTTTCAACACCAACCGTCTCTCCTCTCTCACATCTTATCCATTTGTGCGTACGGTGCGGCGATGGGAAGGAAGGGGCGCTCACAAAGACATGCAAATGCGACAGAGGCAGGCGGCGACAGGCAAGAAGGGTAGCACGAGATGCCGATAAAGGAGGTAAGCGGCGACGATGGCGATGGAGGAGTCTCCCCCATGATTCGTCGGCTCTCTCTATCAACCGCCGGTATTGAGGTCGCCGCCAAGACTGCTGTGAAAGGCAGAAAGGTATACCAGAGGAATGGCAGATCGGTATAACCATTAAGCAGATCCGACACCAGATCTAGGCTCTTTGCCTCGCTTCTTTATTTCAGATTCACAATCGTCTCTTCAACCGCTCACAACCCTTTTCGTCGCCTCCGTTCACCTCAAGTGCGCCTCTTACTATCAATGTAGTTTATAGTAGTGATTTTGTAATGGGGATTGTAGGTTTACGTAGTGATTTTGGACGATATATACCACTCGACGAGAAGGAGAGAAAGGAATGGGAACCCATGTATAGATTTTAATAGTAGTGGTTTTTGTTCAGTATTAGCATTTTCCTCATGTATAGTAGTGATTATTCATCTTTTAGTAGTGATTTGACCATCTGTGGTAGTCATTTTCTCTGTTCCTAGTATGTTTTATAATGTGCGGTAGTGATTCTTATTAAAAAAAATCATTCGCTAGAAATTCAAAGAATTTAAAACACTATTAGCTACATGAAAATCACTATGACCCTCCAGAATCACTACTACCAGCCTCCCAAAAAACTGTCGATATTAATTAAAAATTCTACGATCACTACTATCATCCTAAAATCACTACTATTAGTCAAATGAATTTGTTAGTAATTTTTTCGGTAGAAAATGTCTAATAAATAGAGGAGAGATAAAAATAGATTTTATATTTTTATTTATATATTATTTTTAATATAGTGAAAATGTGAAATATCAAACAAGCCCTTTGTAACTATTCACCGTCACATTCAATTTAAAAAAAAAATGAGGATTAGAATAGTTAGTCAAGTGCTAACTACTATAAAGTTAGCACTCTAACCTTTTGGATCAAATTCCACATACGTAGAAATTATAATTACAACATCCATACCTTTATCTATTTTCGCATTCCCATTATTTTTCTTTTCTCACCCAATTATATTCCTCCTCTTTTCAGAGCCTATTAGCCTAATGGGCCGTTTACTTGCCATTCCATTTCTGTTAGCTGCCACAACAGAAAACAAAATTAAAATGAAAACGAAGCTGTCATTTTATGGAAAATAAAACCTGAAAAAACCTTGTTTAGCTGAGAATTTTGATGGGTTCCGAAACTGAGTTCTGAAAATAAAAACCTGTTTAGTTGCTTCATTCTTTTTTCTGATTTTTTATTATCATACAACCCTAACCATGATTATAATTTTTAATTCGAATTAAATAGTTTTAAACTACAAATAAACACAATACAAGTAAAACATCTTATGTTAATTAAGTGCTATATATCGCTACCGACTACCGTTGACCTCAATCAGCAGCTATATATCTCTAGCCACCTTCGATGCTTCAATTAAGAAAAAAGGTTTCCATATGCTTGATTTGCAAGGTGAAGTTTCATGAGTGTGGTTGATGTGTAATGTGGCCTAGCAATCTAGCATAGCATGTCATGGAAAGTTAAAAATCTCACCAAACTCATTGAAAGTATCGCTTTCCTATGGAATCGTAAACCATTCAACGATCTACCCATAATATCACTCATTTGAGACAAATCTTGATATCATTGGAAAGAATTTTTTTACTAAACTTGTCTCCGGTCTTCATATACTTGCATTCTCTTTCGTTCTATCATATACAACATGATCGATGGATTGAAGATCAAGAACACAACTTTACATTTCCAATCCTCATTCATTCATTGTCTTTTGTGTTCCGAGTTCTGTATCCACATCTTAGTCCTTGTGTTGCAGTCTGTGTTACAAGTCCAAGGTTACTTCAACAATTGGCAAATTAAAGAGAAATGTGAAAGGCTCACGTCACTGGTATGACTATCTAGTAGAGAACTGCCACCAACCCACTGTATAATTGTCGAATGATGACCAGAAAGTTTCCCTTGTAGTATGATGGATATAAGAATCTTGGAGGGTGTCTGCTGGAGGAATGGAGGATGAATCGAGAAGGGGAAAGCTCCTTTTCGGTGCTGCTTCTACTGGGATGAGTCGCCTGCAGGTGCCATTTCCGCCGGCTGGAGCTTCTCGCGTCGGGGAAGATTCCGTCTCGCATATGATGGCAGCGTGGGGCTGGCGACTCCACCCAGGAAAATGTGCGGCTGGAGCTTCTCTGCTGGAGGAGAAATCGAGAAGGGGAAAGCTCGAACGCGGGGTTGGCGAGGCGTGGGGCTGGCGGAGGAAGACGATGGGGCTGGTGGTGGTTTGGGTGGAGAAGGAAGTGGCGGCCGGCGGGTTTGTTGGAGGGAGAGGGAGATGTCGGCTGGGCTGCGAGGAGTCGAGTGAGGTCGAGCGAGGAGTTCTTCTAGGTTATGGGTGAAAGAGTTGGGTAAAAAACGGCGCCGTAGGATCAAGGAGGAAAAAGAAAAAAAAAATGTGACTGCGGTGATTCGAACGCGGGCTCTCATTGATAGCTAGCGTGCGATTTTCGCTGGGAAACGGGGGAATAACCCGTCCCCTTACTTATAGAAAACGACTATTTATTGTTTATCCACAGCTTTCCCATTTGTAACAATTGATTTTTTCCAACGAAAACGAGATGGACAAGTGAACACGTTTTTTGTCATTTGTTTCTTGTTTTTTATTTTTTAAACAAAAAATAGAAAACGAAATGGGAAATGAACAGGGCATAATGTGCCGCCGATTGCATTGCCCGAGCTATTATCTTCTGGGGCCAAACATTTGGTCCAGGCCCAAACGTTTCTGGACCATACTGGGCCCAACTCATGCCTTTGTTCGGTCTTCCTAAAAAGGGAACATATTCTCAAAGCCAGCCTTATTATTCTTCCACCCCCAATATTTTAATCGTATCCTTATTATGCAAATTGCAAAGCAAAGCACCCTTTATAAAGCCAACGACTGCAAAAAAATGGACTGATCACTCTCATACACAGCTCCTCTTCTGGTTCGTTTCTAACCTTCTCCGTCGATCTCTAGAGAGAGAGAGAGAGGGAGGGAGGGACCAAAAAACAGAAGCAAAAAAGAAAGAAGGCAAAAAATAAATGTCCGATTTTTGCATGTAATTTGTCGCGTTGCTGCCATGGCAATGCCAAAGCTCTTTTGACTAAACAAATCAGCATCCCAAGTGTCATCTCTGTTTTTCTCTTGGCCGTTTCTTACTTCCCCCTACTCACCACCGCCCATATAAACCCCCAAAGCCACCGTCAGCGGCAGAGCCACCACAATTTCAAGTACAAGAACGAGAAGGAGGTTCAAGAAACGGGAAACTCAATTCTAGAGAGAGAGAGAGAGAAATGTCTTCTGATCTCTTTGTCCTCGATGACTCTGCCTTCTTCCACCATTCTTCCCACAGCCCGGAAATGGTTTCCTCCGACGGCGCCGCCGACCTCTTCTTCTCCGACCAGCTCTGTTCCTCCTTCGACGTCTTCCCGGAACTCAACAACCCGGTTCACGATCCCTTCACCGCCTCGAACGGTACCGCTTTAGGTCCGACGGAGGCCGAGGCCGCGGCAGCCCTGCTCTGCTCTTCGTCGCCGCCGAGCCGTCAGCTGGAGGGCCTGACGATCGGCTACAACGGGCACCACCTGGCGCCGGGGAACGGTTACAGCGGCGATTTCTACTCTGGGCTGGAGTTGGAGGTGAAAACAGAGGAATGCCATGTGGGTTTGGAGGGTTTCGTCACGGTGCCTCGGAATTACGGCGGCGCCGTCAATGACGACGTCGAGAAAGTGATGCAGAGGAGCTACAGCGGCAATTCCTTCGACGACGACGGCGGCGGCGGCGTTAGCAGAGGAGCTGGGGGTTTCTTCTTCCAGCCGCGATTCGACACGGTGTTGGAATCCCAGAGCTATCAGCAGCCACTGAGCTCCCCGGAGAGCAACTTTTTCGCCGGACAGTTGAGAAGGGTTTGCAGCACCGGAGATTTGCAAGTAAGCAGCGAATTCGGCCAACTCAAATCTTTCTTCTTTTTGCACTTTCGTCCTCCCCTGTTTTTTTTTTACTGAAGTTTATATTCCTTCTGGGAATAAAATTGCAAATAGAATATGAGAAGAGGAAAGGCGACGCAGAGGTCGCTATCGAGCCCTTTAGCGACGGAGAGCTCGTTCACGGAAGAATCCCAATTCAAAGTCGGGCGTTACAGTGCGGAGGAAAGGAAAGAGAGGATCTCCAAGTACAGAGCTAAGCGAAGCCAGAGGAATTTCACCAAGACCATAAAGGTAAAAAATGATAATTTATTACTTCAATAAACCCCAAGTAAATAAATTACTACTGTCGCTGACGGTTTCAGGCTACTGATTATCTTTTTGTGTGTTGGTGGTTGTAAACTTTGGTAGTATGCATGCCGCAAAACGCTAGCGGACAACCGGCCGAGAATACGCGGCAGATTCGCGCGTAACGACGAGAGCTACTGTGAGATTCCAAAACCTGCTGCATCTTCTTCCACCACCACCAGAGACGAGGACGAAGATGATCAGCACTGGGTAATTCAATTTAATTACTACCGCCATTATTCTACTCTAGCATGATTAAGAGCCAATAATACTTCTTTTTTTTAAGAGAAAGGTGGTTCTCTTTTTTGGTAAAAGCAAATAATTCTCTGTTCTTGAGCACTATATGTTGTTTTTGGGTGGCAGTTTGATGGGTTCCATGGAGGAGAAGAAGAGGAAGATGGAGGGAACAACAGAAGAGTAGGAGGATGCTATGGAGAACAAGCTCAGTTTCACTATTATGGATATTAGTTAGCTTTCTAAGAAGAAGAAGAAACCTTCTTATTTGCAGTATTTTTACTCCTTCATAGTCATTAGCTAGGATTAATTAAGTTAAGCTAATCATATAAAGTGAGAAATTAAATGGAGAGAAGCAAGCAAGTGCTGTTGAATGGAAGAAAGGAATTCAGAGGGGGTTACTTTTGTAATATTGAATGATAATATATATATAATAATAAATTATGAGAAGAAGTGTTATCATTTTCTTCAGGAGAAATAAAACAAAATATTGCACAGAGTGAAGGGAAGAGGGGTGGTAGTTGAAGCAGTTCAGTTTTTAGCAGTTAATGCATGTTACCGTATCTCTTTTCTTAAATTTTATTTTTGGTGTTTTGTAATCATTGACATCATTTTCTGGGTTGGGTTCACTCACTGTGTTTGCATAAATGCGTCAGTCAATAACCTCTGACCTCTTTTTAAGAGAGGGAAATGGGTTATTAATTGTGAGTGCAGACATTTTGACTTTGAATTGGGCGGCAGCAGCAAAAACCCTAGTGCTTAATTATATACATTGTAATCTGCTTGTAATAATTAAATACCTACCTCACTTAATTAATTGCTTAGTTACTGGGATATTCGATTTCATTCGTGGGGTATAGATTTGATGAAACACTTTCTTCTCCTAATGCATTTCACTTTCATCGGCGATTCGTCGATCATGGCCTTGATTAGAAGGTGCTAGTTTGAATTTGGTTAAAATTTGTTAAACTATATTTGAGTCTCCATTACCAAATTTAATAGAGTAAAAGTCTACTGAAATTCCAAGGACCAAAAGAACTTGGATGAGCCGATGGTATGTTAAGTAATAGCTCACATTTGTTAGCACAAGCTTATTCCAGAGGAGCAGTTATTTAGGTTAGATTACACTATTACTTTAACCTTATAACTCAGTGAATTTGGAGTCATAACGGACTTTAGTTTAGGGAAGTTGGAAGCGGGCGACATATACTTGATCGTCGTCGTTCACAACATGACTTACTAGTTGAAGGTAGTTTGATGAGCAGTTGAGGATAACGACACACACGATTGTGCCGATATGACATGGAGTATATACTACGTGGCGTATCATTAGTGGTGAAAAACATGTTGCGCCATTCAAAAGGATTATACTGGTATGTACAACATGTCACGTTATGAATATATGTTAACACGATAACGAACTTAACACGTATTGTACCAATGTTACTATTATTTTTCCTACTTTCCTACTCAAACTCTAACAACTTCCTCCTAAATATGAACCCGGTGTATGAATATACGATTTTGTTTTTCTTACAAAGAATAACTATCATAACAGGAAACGGCTACGGTGCTAATTGTACAATAGTTAGCACCGTCCTAACCAAGGGAAAAACTACTACTAGTTTGAATTAGTAGTGATTTAGCTTAGATGTTGTATTGATTTTATAATAATCCGTAGTGATTTCGTTATTTTTAGTAGCGTTTTTTGCTAGTTATTACGGTGCTAACCCCTATAAGAGTTAGTACCTAATCCCATCCCTATCATACATAACAAGGTCTCTCTCCGTTGGAATCTCGTAATGCATTGAACACAAATACAATGTGTTAGTCAATATGTTTTCCAGTTGATAAAAATTGACAGGAGAAAAAAAATACAAATCTCTTTGACTAATTTTTTCTGATTTACTAGATTAATGAGGACAGAACGAATAATACAGCAAAACTAGCTAACAAATGCACAGCTGATGTCAAGAAGGGGAGACAAAGCCTTTAATTTCCCCCAAAACTTTTGCTTATCTTACAGTTAAAAGATTCTAATTAAGCTTATTATTATTATTATTATTATTATTATTATTATTATTATTATTATTATTATGTGTTCAATATATTCCTACAGCCTACTCTTTTGTACACTGCTGCTCTCCCCAGTACAAAAGCAAGTTCTTCCAACTATAGTAATAGTCATTCAAAACTGAAGCATCATTGACAACATTCGGCAATAAAAATAAGAAGTTGGCACCTTTTTGTGAAAAGCATATTTACAAACGATTCAACAATTATGATTGGTCGATCCAATACAGCAACAATGACTGCATAACTTAGATTGATTGAGAGATATTATTAAATTTGGGAGCTCACCAATTGTATAAACTTGAACGTCGATAAACATGCACGAACATTAGAAAGAATCATCAATTTTCTTGGAAAAAATATAATTTTTGGACCATGTTTTTCGTGTGTATTAGTTGGACTTCAACATATCGTTTAAATTTTTTCTTTTATAATTTTTAAATAAAAGTTGTGACTTATATTATCTTAGATGACTGTAATCTCATTTGACCTTAATAAACTGTCTTTTAGAAGACATGGTTGTTTAAACAAAACAAAAAAGTACATTAATGTGTCATCCTCACATATATATAATTAATGTGGACGGCATATATGCTTAGTTAGTAACTTAGTATAGGTAAAACTGTTACTTTTTACCGTTTAAATTTTTTGTCACTAAATCAAAATAGGAACCACCTCTGAAATCATAGATTTTTTCTTTATACAATACCTCTATTATATTATCCTGAAATTCATACAACACCTGGCAGCCTAGCCTAGAAATTGAATGGATCATCAGATATTAATTTCTGTATGCCGCACTTGAGAGAATTGTTAATTTCACATAAACACCTTTTGTGTAGTGTGCTTGAATTGTAGTTTTCAAGAGGGGTATCGATTGGTTTCTTTTATGAGTCGAGATCTTTGCTCCATTGCCCAAATTTGGACTGAACAGAAAGAGCACATCATAGAAAAGGGGACATGCAACCAAAAAATAAAAATATAATTAATTCATTCTAAGATGCCTCCAATTTCCAATCAAGAGTGCAGTCAAAGAATTTTTCGGGCTAGAGGGAACTTAGATATCTAGGTGTTGGCTTATAGTTAACTTAATTAATTACTAGTTTATTAAGTTTCAACTTCTGAGTTTAAGTGCTGTCAAATCCCAAGTTTCAGCTGTTCAATTTACTTAATCATGGCCTCAATTAGCACAAACAAAACCCACTTGTCCTCACGAGGCTGTGTGAATCCATCTCACGAACAAGAGCGATTGTATGATCCAAATAAACGATGTCTACGGACAGAGAGATTTATGGTTCGAATTTCTTTATTTCTATCAAGAAAAGTATCACTTGTAATCTAAGAAGTGTCAACCAAATTGTATATCTTAATCACCGAGCATCATAATTGAAGAAACACTCATTATCAAATATACACAATCCTATATATATATATATATATATATTTACATAAGGTCCTTTAATTCAGAGAATATAGGAACCCACATATGGGTCAATTATTATTTCCATGGATAGATATAATATAAGTGCATGATTTCTTTTCTAGAATCATGTTAGCAAAGGAAGAGGGAGAGGTGTCATTGGCCAATTGCATGTATTTGGTGGGGAAATGAAGATAGAGATGCTCTGGATATAAAGCAAAACTTCCGTATTTATCAAACTCACTCTCTCTCAAAAGTATCTGCAGGTCATCTCTTCTTACCAAAAATCTGCTGGGCATCTTGAAATGATCAATGGAGAATGTTTATATTTTACAGTAAAGACCAATCACACCAAAAGGGTTTTATATACAATATACAACTCCGTTCAGATTATTGATTGACCTATTCCACGAATTTACGATGAAATGTATGTGTGAGAATTTTGTAAATAATAGTCATATATACATCCTATGATATTAAAAATTGTTCAATGCATAATCCAGCAGACTCTTAATTCACAACAAACATGGAAAACAAGAAAATATTGTTAGTTATAAGGAGAAATCAAAAGATGGAATCTTTTATTCTTTTCTTTCATCAATCGAGCAACAGCTTTTCCCCGCATCAATTTGCTGCTTTAAATTCTACAGGTTTAGTTTCAGGAAAACTGTTCACAATGTATATAGACTGCGATTTGGAAACCAAGCAACCAGATTAATTAGAGAATTTTCATTGTTCTCGTCACAATCTGTATCAGGAATCTTGATGTTGATAAGACTGAATATAGGTATATATAAACGTGCCGTAAGGATTATGTTGGACGAGAGATGCAGCAGCTGCTAGCTAGGACGACCCAATAATATTGTCACGTATGTATCAAGACAATTATCCAAAAATTTCCAATGAATTTTGACTGCGTATAAAACACGTTTGTCATTTGACAAAAAATGATTGATAATTAATGGGTTTGTAATTTTAAGAATTGAAAGTTTATGGATGGCAATGTGGCGAGTTTTTCTAAATCATTTCCGTTATTGAATGTTTAAATATTTATCCACCCCATACTCACGTGGCTGGAGGTTTTGCAACACCGTCCTCGTATATAATGTGGTTGCGGGTACTTATGGATTAATACTCTCTATATATCTAATATTACTATACCTAGAATTTAACATGTAGATATTTGATTATAACACTAAAAGAAATTAATAAATCTTGAAACCAATAAAAAATTAAAACATTCATGAATTCATATGACAAAGCATAGGAAACAAATATGGAGATTTTTACGTACGGAAGAGGGTGAGAATTGAAGTACATAGCCCTTGGTTTGAAAGAATGAAGAACGAACTGAGATAGATAAATTAGGGTTTGTTTTGTATGACCACTCAATTACATTTCAACTCTCTATATTTTTTTAATAACCCTTATATCATTGACATGATCCTTATATTTTTCATATATAAAGAACTACTCTGGGTGGGGCGGATATGAGTATGAGTATGTGGAGACTAAAACAATACCCGCACAATCTCCATCAAACTTGTGAATTTTACACATACCAGCCCCCAACCGAATTATTGGGATTTCCCGCGTTAATTGGGTTGAAGGCTAGTCAGATACCCACGAGTATGTGTTTAATTACAATCCATAATTTTTATAAGATTTTGAAATGATAATGATGATTTATGTGTACCCGAAAATTATGATGTATTATGGACAATTGTAGAATGATTAATCTATGAAGATCTGTCATAAAAAAAACTAGATTTATTAGATGAATTGGTTCTTCACATAATATTAATGTTCTTTGGTCGGATATTCAAATTCTTACAACTAGCTTATAACCCGGGCCGTTGGCCGAAATGTTCATATTTGATTATTTATATTTTTATGTTAAGTTTAAGTCTGTCAACGCGTTTTTTTTTTGACAATCCTTCGATCGAGATGATACATATAAAGAAAGAATATATAGGTAAAAAACTTGAAGAAATACCATCATCATTTAAGAATATAAAATATAAAATGTATCATTGATTTCATTTTCATAATGATAATATTATATTGGTTAGTTGATTGTCAAGAAAGATAGAATATAAAAGCTCACTGGAATTACCACACGACCCATATATTGTTTGAAACTGAATCTGAAACCTCACAATCCTACATAAAGGGTTCAATGCTCTCCTTTTAGGAACAATATGCCACTAATAAAAAAGAAATGGAGAGTTGTTGGTTGAAGTCAACTATCTACTAAAAACTAAGCTAAGAGGGAACCATCAAAACTTGAGAGCAAACGACAAAATTAGGGTTAACTCCAATATAATAATAGACTTTATCAAAGTCATAAGGCACAAAATTAGACACTCCTTATCTAACAGTTTCAGTATGTTGAATAAAGAATCGACCTACTTCAGTAAATCAATCAATGATTCCTTGTTTTAAGATAGAAATAGGTTGTGGTAGCTGCAAAAACCATAAACCTAAAGAGCCAATAGCCACCACTCTCCGTTGAACAACCAAATTTTTATCCAATCCGTCTTCAATCTCAAGAGGCATATGTTTCAACCAAACATTCACTTTTTAACTCTCCTTCCGCAACTCCATTTTTGCTACTTTGATGGACCTTCTCTCCATGGCCCTCAATTTCTCTTCCAATTGGGGTTCTTGTCAACTCGCTCTTCAACTCCTCAATCTTCTTCGTGTGTTTTGCCAACTCATCTTCCTCAGGGGAAGTTGTAATAAGTTCGCTAAAACCAACACTCATCTCCAATTTCATCAATATGTTCATCTTCCCCTTGTCTTCCTCCACTTGTTTCAGTCCACTTCCCTGCCCTTCAATACCCTCTCCATTTTCATTACTATCCTCATCATCTCTCACTTCTCTCTCTTTAACTACTCCAGTTTCGCTTCCATGTCTTTCAATACCATCCTCAATTCGCCCAGTACTCTCTTCTCCGCCTTCACCTGCTGCAGTGGAACTTTACCTGTTACCAAATCCAAACACAATTTCTTCCCCCACCACTTCCATTCTCAAACTCAATTCCAACTCTTCTACTCCAAGTTCAAATCCATAACTACTTGATCGAACTCCATTTTATTCGCTATGGATTGATATCGGATTTGAAATTTTCTACTCGCCTAGTTTAAATCCCTAAGAATAAAACTGTCGTGCCAAAAGAAACCGGAAGATTAATTTTTAAATGCCCCCTTGTACTGGGAAGTGAAAGGGCCAAACTATTGCATAATGGAGGGACTTTCGGAGGAAGTTAGAAAGAGATAAGAACAAAGATAAAAAAAACACAAAATTTAAATTTAAAAATGCAATAACACAACACGTAGTAAAAGAAATAGTTTCTTCCATGTTAGCCAATTACAAATTTATCTAAGCAAAAATTTAAGGAGAGAACATGAATTTTAAAATGGATAAAATTACATGAAACTCTACTATGGAAATTGAAGTATTAAGCACCATAAAATGCATACGGTAGACTTAGTGAACTTGTTGATGATGATGTAAAAGTCATTCACTTTCCAGAGTTTAACTTAGTGTATGTTTTGTATTCAAATAGAAATAACAAATTTATTTAGTGTAATTTATTATGATTGTTGTCATTCCTACTTTGTATTGATATTTTTATTTGAAATAATTAATTAATTATACAGACAAAAACGTCATTCCTACTTTCATTTTCGTTTTAAAAAATTTGAAATGGAGAAAATTACACAAAACTCTACCTCTACCATATATATTAATGGAGAAGAATCCTCAAGACATGAAGATATTCTGTTGTTCTTTTGACATATTGTGGGCTTGTAAGATTTTTTTATTTCAATTCAAGGTTCGTTCCTTGGAAAAAATAATTGGATCAGTTTTTATTTGAAGAATTGTGCTACTAATAGAGTATAAGGTTCATTCTTAATCTGTTAATCGTCTTTTACCAATTCCAGTAGTGGGTTTAAGGTCGCAACAAGGGAAAAAATCCAAAAGTACCACTGTTTAAAAAAAAAATTTCAAAAATACCACCCAACCCAAAAAATTTCCAAAAATACCACCCTTTTTCAAAAACCGCCACCCCACCCTGCGGTTTACACGAAAACCGTTTGTCGGAGGCGCGGTTTTCTATGCAAACCGCGGGCCTAGGGAGCGGTTATAAAAATTTTTTTTTTTGACCAAACCGCTGGGTGAGGTGGCGGTTTGACCCAAAACCGCCACCCCACCCAGCGGTTTGGTCCAATTTTTTTTTCCTTTTTCGATCAACTCCTAACTTCGGCCGAAACTTCAAACGAACGTAACTTTTCACTCGGGTATCCGATCGTAGCGATTTTTTTTTCATTTCGCATAACTTTTCAAGATCTACAACTTTTACTAGGATGAAATTTTCAAAAATGGAACTATTTGTGGATATACGGGACCTTGGGAATAACTTTACCTTTACTTTTCACAAATCCATGTATATTTTGAAATTATGATTATATTAAAAGTTGTAGATCTTGAAAAGTTATGTGGAATCAAAAAAAAATTCATGAAATTCGGATTTTGGAGCACAAAGTTATGGCCGCCCAAAGTTTGACAAAATCAAAAAAAGGCTCGTTCGGGGTGGCAAATGACGTTTTTTCGAGACGAAGGCGGGACCCGGCGGTTTGCGGCTTGCAAGATCTCAAAAATTTACTCGGATTCAAAAAATGGAGGCCGCAAACTTTTTGAGATCTTGCAAGCCGCATACTGCCGGGTCTCGCATTTCGTCAAACTTTGGGGCCTCCATTTTTGAATCCGAATAACTTTGCGGCCTCCATTTCGTCAAACTTTGGGGCCTCCTTTTTTTGAATCCGAATAACTTTTTGAGATCTTGCAAGCCTCGCCGGGTCCCGCTTTCGTCTCGAAAAAACGTCATTTGCCACCCCGAACGAGCCTTTTTTTTATTTCGTCAAACTTTAGGCGGCCATAACTTTGTGCTCCAAAATCCGAATATCATGAAATTTTTTTTGATTCAATATAACTTTTCAAGATCTACAACTTTTAATATAATCATAATTTCAAAATATACATGGATTTGTGAAAAGTAAAGGTAAAGTTATTCCCAAGGTCCCGTATATCCACAAATAGTTCCCGTTTTGAAAATTTCATCCTAGTAAAAGTTGTAGATCTTGAAAAGTTATGCGAAATGAAAAAAAAAATCGCTACGATCGGATACCCGAGTGAAAAGTTACGTTCGTTTGAAGTTTCGGCCGAAGTTAGGAGTTGATTGGGAAAAAAAAAACAATTGGACCAAACCGCTCGGTGGGGTGGCGGTTTTGGGTCAAACCGCCACCCCACCCAGCGGTTTAGTCAAAAAAAAATTTTTATTTTTATAACCGCTCCCTAGGCCCGCGGTTTGCATAGAAAACCGCGCCTCCGACAAACGGTTTTCGTGTAAACCGCAGTGTGGGGTGGCGGTTTTTGAAAAAGGGTGGTATTTTTGGAAATTTTTGGAGTTGGGTGGTATTTTTGGAATTTTTTTTTTAAACAGTGGTATTTTTGGATTTTTTCCCAACAAGGTTGGGGTGGAGTGACAAAATAATTTTATTGTTTGTAAAAAAATGTGGTTAATTGCTCTGCTTTTTCTTGTCTGCTATTTTGGACAATATTAAAATGCCAATTATAAAGGTCCACTCAAGCAATCATTTAGCATTCGTGCGCGCGTACTTTATAAATATAAATACCACCTACAAGGACTAAATATTATTATTATTATTATTATAATAATTATTATTATCAACATAAGCTTTTGATTTTCCCTTTAATATTTTTAGTGAACAAAGTTCAAGATTTATTGGTCGGACTTTATGCATGATTTTCTTAATTTTTGTACCAAGTGAGCGTGGAAGTTAAAGTGCCTTTAACTATCATGTCTCGCGGGATTTAGAGAGTAGAGATGGGTAATGGGTTGGTCCATATCAGATCGGACCAAACCGAATCGTATATAGTATGATCCGATTTTTTGTCCCAATAAATTTATAGATGCTTAAGAAAATGAACCGAATGAACATTTGGACAAGACCAAAGCGGACCGAATGTATTGGTTCGATTCTTGGTCGTAAGATACCTTTTACTATTAGATCGCAGTTCTGCTGTCTGAATTTGGTCCGATCCGATCTGGACCGGATCGATGCCCGCCCCTACTTGAGAGTATGGATCCTCAAATCAGTATCATACACTTGTTATTACGTGAGAGTAATATTTTGAGCTATTGAATTCTTAAGTTACAGAATTGACTCAGATATGCACGAAAATTACTTACGAAGTTGCACTCGAGAATGAATAGTTATAATTATGTTGCAGATGTATTTCCAACTCGGCATGCATGAAGGAGCTGCCACCATTAGCACAAACTAGCACAGAAGGAAATAAACGATCGGACACATAGCAATCATGTCAACCATGCACAAAATGTCCGGATTTTACATACACCGTTTACACAAAAAAATAATTTTGTACCACATTGATTATTTACAAGGCATTAACTGTCTTTATAAGATCAGATTATTAATGACAATTAATGTTATTTGAACTGGGCCTCATGATACTAGTTTTTAAGCCCAAATCACTAAGTCTCCAAGAAGAAGCTAGTCTCGTCGCGAGTTGGGTAGCCCGACATGGTCGCGAGATCTAGACCGCGTTGGCGTCAAGTTTAGAGCCCGACGTGAGATCTAGACCGCGTTGGCGTCAAGATTAGAGTCAGACGTGGTCGCGAGATCTAGACCACGTTGGCGTCAAATTTAGAGCCCGATGTGGTCGCGAGATCTAGACCACGTTGGCGTCAAGTCTAGAGCCCTACGTGGTCGCGAGATCAAATTTAGAGCCCCACGTGGTCGCGAGATCTATACCACATCGTGAGTATAGACCATGTCCAAGATCTAAACTAACAAGGTGGAAGTAAGAAAGCAAGCCATGTGGGAGAGGCAAGTAACAAGACGACAGTTCCAAGATAAAGAGCAGGCGGTTAATAGAGCAACTGTCGATTATCCCACGTGCAAGAACACGTCAGCCACGTCCGAGGAATAAGGGGAGCAGTTCTTTTTTGGAAGTTACTCTCATACGGTTTTCAGTTACCACTTCAAGGCTATAAATAGCAGGAGGAGTTGACAGTAAAAGTGTTCGCAAAAATCACCACTCGACACCACTTGTCAAGTTTATCAATTTTATCTTTCCTCTGCAATTTTTATCAATAGTCGTAGATCTGGAGCTCTCTCAGAATCTCCATAGGAGTAGGAGCAACTTAATGTAGATATGTCTCGAAAGTCGTGTAAACATCGAACACTCTCGTTCGAGCTGTGTTTGAAGAGGTGTGAACCGTGTTTAGTGATCGTTGTCCAAGGAAGTCAAGGTGCATTCAATTCTCATTCAACGCAAGTTTTCTCGCCTGGAAAACACACACACGCACACACACACTCTCGTTCTCGTAGAGTGGTCAGTACTGTCAAATACCATGTCATAAATAAACCAGTTGATCCCAATAATTCGAGTTGTTGGAAGAAGGGTTATGCTGGATTTTATACTACTCTCTAACACGCCTCCTCAAAAGAAAGTTAACCCATGAGCTTTAAGTTTGCACAAGCGATCACCATACCTTGTGCTTTAATCAAACGTTAATATTGAGGATCATGCATATTCGAACACACGACCATTTAGTCAAACCAATATCGATCACATACCATGTCAGATACCATGTCAAGTACTTAATTAGTACCAATTAATATCGACATTGACCGGATCCGGCCGGCCGGTTAGGTTACCGGCTGTTATTGTTTGTTTCGCTATCCTTTGGCGGTGTGTAATAGGAAGTATTATGAGACGATGATTATAATGACAAGGAGAGGGGGACATGAGGAATATAACCTTAACAAGTAAAAGTTGGGAATTTCCAATGTACTAACAACGACTCCTCTCTCTGTTTTTAGACTAATTAATAACTAATAAACATACAAAAGGACTCCTCTAGCTAGGACAGAACCCGACTTTCTTGAAAGAAAAGGGTATCCAATCAAACGAAGACCTAATTAATTAAGGAGGTGTTTAGCTAGCTAATCAATGATCAACTCATAATCTACGGACCACACCATAGCTAGGGCTAGTTTAACTAGCAATTTTGGGAGCTATAGGTTACTGAAACTAGGTCTCTCTAATCGTGTATATAATTATTTTTAGTTTGTTGCTATAGGGAGAATTTATAAGGAGATGAGTTAATAAAAACTAATTAAATGCCACTAGAGATGACAAAAATAACTATAGCAGTGTATATCCGTCTCAATCCGATCTAATCGATTAGGGCAAAATCAGAGTTCGAATATTTTTTCTCACTACGTAATCTGAACCCACTCGATTATTCACCTACACAAGTATTTTGTAAAAAAAAAATCATTAGTTTCTCAACATATTGATATTCAAATTATTTTAGATTAGGATAATAATACATATCCACCCCAAACTCTCCTTACCATCCCTAAATGCCGCTTTCAGTCAATATAATTGCAGCGGTTGGCTTGCTAGTTGCTATGGTCAAAAGTGAGTAAGTGAATGGAATCATTTAACTTGTAGGTGAATCAATATAATAATAAGAGATTCCTTTCTTTCTTTGCCTTACTTATCTATCTTACTGCTCCTCTGGACTGGATCCTCCCCCATTAATCAACGGCGATATATGTTTATTTTTTGTGTTTAAGTACCACTTAAAAAGTTAAAACGTGAAACTTCCACATTCAAAACTAGTGATTTTACTATAAAACTTAAGTCCTTGTTTGTTGATTAATCATTTTGTTTAGCAAAGGGAATAATCAAGGGTACGCTTTAGTTAACAGCTAGCAGCTTCTTGGTAGCAATTATATATACATGATCGTGCGTTATTTGGCATCATATCAGCTTGAGATCAAGCTTTCTTGGATCTGGGTCATTATAAATTCCTCAATGAATATATAAATGTTGCATGATGATCAAGTCAAGTTCCTGGAAGTTGAGTGATTGAACAATCATCAAATTGAAAACTAATTAAAGCGGTTTGTTGGAATCATGCTTCATGTTTGTGCTCTCTATCTTATAATATTTAGTGTAGTATATAGTTGTTGGTCATGTTTAGCTGCCTAGTTATTGTTTAATCTAATTCCAGCTTTAATTTGTCTCCACTAAGCAATTGAGGCTAATGGCTATAGCTAGGCACTGCTTTCCATCATGTTCTTGAGCTCTTTATGCGGTTGAGCTGGTCTAGTAGAGGCTGCTTAATTAGTGGTTAACTATAGTCTATAGATAATGGCAATTTACCACCTCACCTCTCGTCATTGTGGAATATATAAACTCTATTTGCAAATTACGGGAACAAGCGTGAGACCATTTCAGTGATGTTTCGTGTACAAATCGTTTTATAAAAAATTATTGGAAAGGTTTAAATAATCGAGAGTTGATTTTCATTTAAAACGTCTTCATATCTTTCTTCCAAGTGAGAGCCAGGAGGTAGAAGAAAAAAAAACAAAGGGTTAAGATTCATTGAAGAAACTAACGTGGGAAGTCGGAGCACTTGTCTACGGTTGAATTACTAGTAAGTTGTTTTCACTAGCTATCAGCTTCGGAGTTCACTGCCTAGTGTTTACTATGGTTTGTGGACATTATTAATATTTAATATTACAGCGAAAATGTGTCCTTCGGGATCCTTTAGTACTAAGAAAAGGTTCTCTTAATCATTTACGCGAGATGACTATTTATACAAAAAATATGATATTTGAGAAATGTCTGTTTAAGTTTTTTATTGTTTTTTTCTTCCTTTCATGATCATTACAAACAATGTTAATTCACCACATGCCTTCTCAAGAATTTAATCCAAATAGTAAATTTTTATTAACTTGTGTGATTGGAGATGTTTAGTCTGATTCATGGTATGTTTTAGGCTTTTACAAAACGACCACATGCAACTTTTGCTATTTACCATCCAATCAATTAGTTCCAACTCCATTTACAATGTATGGAAATCAATCCTAGTCAAACTGCACTAAATAAGAGGGGATAAAAACTGAAAGTCTAAAACCCAGAAAGGGTAAAAGAATGAGCTGAAAAGAAGTAGGAAGTTAGTGCCAAAGTGAAAATAATCAAATATGGATGGAACAGGGAATGTCTAGAAAGCAGTCAAAAGTACAAGCTTGGAAGTTCCACTCTGTTGCTTTCTTCCCCCTGAGGTTAGGTTAGGTCTGGTCTTTGCTAGGACAAGGAAAAAGGCTATTTCATTTTTCCTTCTTCTTTTTGCATCAACGTGTGAAGAATCACAAATAAGAAAGGAAATGGCATCTCCAACCATCTCCTCTACGTCTTTTGTTTATTGAAAAGAGATGTGAGAGCTTCTCTGTTTTTTCGAGTTGGACTTGGTAGGGTCGATCTACCAACTTCAGGACACTACTACAACTTCGATTCTTCCATGGCTTCTTCTGTTTCTATCATGGACATAATAATGGCAGATAGGGTGTAAATATAATTCTACCCTTAGATTTAAGACCATTGCATTCTGTTAAAGACGGTATTGTCAAACACTAAACTAGGTGCTGGATTCTGCTTTGTGGCGGCAAGCAGTAATCGATATATAATCTCTCACGACTCAAAACCACCACTCACTTAAGCTTTGATTAGGAACAAAGAGTGGTGGACGTGTTGACTGTAATTAATCTAAAAAAAAAGCACAGAAAGAAGGGGATGAGATACGGTCACAACCCCCTTTGGAGGTTGTCAGATTCACAACCCACTTTTTAACCATTGGATATGCTCTCTCCTGTCTCTTTCATCTTTTTTTTCAAATCGATGGTTAGGATTAGAAGAAGGATATTTTTGGAATGGAAAATGTTACCACACCCAATTATTCTCCCTCCCATATAAATAAAGAAAACCCTAACTCCTCCCTAACCCTCTCCTCCCTCTCTCCCTCCTCCAATTCTCCATCAGACGTGACTGCTACCGGGCTCAACCGCCGCCGCCGTCCACCACAACCGCCGCCGCCCTCCGCCGTCCACCACAACCGCCGCCGTCCACCACAGCCTTCGCCGCCCTCCACAGCCTCTGCCGCAGTTGTTGCCTCTACAATCATCTGCGGCCCTCCACCCTTGTCGTTGCCTCATCTCTTCGTTTTTCGGATCTCTTCTCCGTGTGAGTCTCTCTGCCTCTCCGTGCCTCATCTCTTCTCCTCCCCTTCGTCTTTCAGATCTGGTTTTTTCTATCGGTAGTGGTACTATGTGGAGTGGTAGCGTACCACTACCAGGTACCAAATGGTAGTGGTAGCGTACCATCTTGTAGCTGGTAGTGGTATCGTACCACTACCATTTGGTACCACTACCAGATGGTAGTTGTACCGCTGTACTGGTAGTGGTACCAGTGGTAGCGATAGCGTACCACTAGCGCACTGATGGGGCGATAATTTTTTTGCAGGTGGCCGGAGCGAGTCTTATTCAAGGATTTCGCGGGAGAAAGTGTGTCGGTCGCAAAGTCAGTCGGTCGGAGTGGTGTGGCTGCTAGAAAGGAAGAGAGAGATAGGAGGAGAGAGTAATATTTATTGTTGGATTTATTTTAAAAAAAGCATGTATTTAATATGGGTTTTTAATTCCCAATCTGTAATTAATACAAAAAAATTAATTAATAAATTTGTTTTTTTTATACCCAAAATGCCCTTGGTAGTGAATCTCACAACCCCAAAGGGGGTTGTGACCATATCTCGGCCCCAGAAAGAAGAGCTGTCCAATGAGGTTAACACAAAATGATGAAGCATCAAATCATGTTTAGCTAGCAGTTTAGGCTTAGGGAAAGTGGGAATGGGCTTAAAGTAGTCATCATCATAGCAACACATTTGAATGCATATAGGTAAAACATGTAGCCCATCCACAAATACAATTCTCATTCAAGCTTTAGTCAAGAACATCCACTTAGATGTTCATTTTTAGTGAGGTCAATAGAACGAATTATCGTTGCATATTACTAAACCGTATACACTTTCCATTAAGTGTTGGACCATCATCGTCATAGGAACTTCATCCATCGCCTCCAAAGAACCATTTTTTTTATGTAATCCAGAGAACCATTTATAACATCATTCTCATTTCATTTTGGCTTACTAAAGATTCATGCATCTCATTTCTTAGTGGGTTGACTACTGTAATGTAACAACCATTTCTTCCTAGCAGCAAGAGAAGTAACAATTGAATTGTTACTCGTCGGCAAGAGAAAGAATGGCCATTCATAATTTCAGATGCGTTACACAATGGTTTAAGTAAAAAAAAATTGGGCTAAATATATATAAAAAAATATGGGCTTTTAGCGAGGCCCATATGGTCCTTTCAAAAAAAGAGCGAGGCCCATGTAGATAAAGCGAAGAAGGACCAGGCCTCCAAGCCCGGTCAACGAGCACCAAACGCAGGTCGTTTTTTGCTGTCAGGGGGAGCTCCGTGGAAATGTAAAAGCTCGTCTGGCTCGCTAGCACCGGTCTTCTCTCTCTGAATCTCTGTCTCTCTCAGCAAGTTCTTCCTCTTCTTCTCGGTCACTCGCTGGTGGTGGTGGTTTTCATTTTTGGACTGAAAGATCAGCTATCGAAAATCCGGAGAGCCATCTCGGGAGTGCGGAGCCATGAGCGGCCACGATTCCAAGTACTTCTCCACGACGAAGAAGGGAGAAATCCCCGAACTCAAAGAAGAGCTCAATTCTCAGTACAAGGTCCCACCCTTTTCTCCTTCCTTTTGAAAATATGCGCTTCTGATCTCTTGATCTCCGTTCACTGTTCTATCGTTTCCGATCTTTTGGAGCTCCCCCCGCCGGATTGAGCACCCGTATTTTGGGCAGATCTGCTCAATTTCGAAGTTGAATTCCTCGATTTAGGAAAATCACTGTTGGGAATGATTTGGGGAATGAGCCTTCTATATGCCCTTTCACGCTTTTTTTGAATTAGTGCCATACGAGGAATGCAAGTTTTGATCCGCTGTTGCTGGTGGAGTTATTCTTATTGTCATTGTGGATTCATTGTTGCGTTAGGGCATATCTCGATGATCAATTGGACTACTAGGCGCTAGTTCCTTCCCTCTCCCCACAATACCAAGATGCGGTTTTCTCTTCTGGGTCTGCTCCATTTCCTTCGGAGTTATAATGAAGCTGCTTTTGTCTTGCGTTATATACAGGATAAGAGAAAGGATGCAGTTAAAAAAGTGATTGCTGCAATGACTGTTGGGAAAGATGTCTCATCTCTATTCACTGATGTGGTGAACTGCATGCAAACGGAAAATCTGGAGCTCAAGAAGCTTGTTTATCTGTATCTCATAAACTATGCTAAAAGCCAGCCTGACCTTGCTATACTTGCTGTAAATACATTCGTGAAGGTAACTGATACGTATATGCATGCCTGTGATTTACGTGCTTAGATGGCCTTCAGTTTTGTCCTTTGCACCAGTTATGAACTTCCAAGATAGTTTCTTGGTGCCTTAGAGGCGGGGCATTTTGTTTGTGTCCGGTTCCCTTATTTGCTCACAAGTGATGGAACTTTTTAGTTAGTATGGTAATTCCCTTTTGTATATATTTTAGTTCAGTCATTATGTTGGTTTCCTTTTCACGGATAGCTTCTTGGATCAATGGAGTTACAGTCTTATAAAAATTTCACATCCAATTCATCAGTTTGTTAATCAGTATTATGGTCAAATCTACGATGACACTAGAACAAGTCACTGCTATATATTTTAAGACCAAGAGGGCACCTATATTTGCTTCCTTTAAGCTCTGTTTTTTCGTATGGCTCATTGCTTCTTGGATATCTAAGGGAACCTCTCTTTAATATTCATATCTAGGATTCACAAGATCCAAATCCTCTGATTCGAGCTTTGGCTGTGCGGACAATGGGCTGCATTCGTGTTGACAAAATCACAGAGTACTTGTGCGATCCCCTTCAGAGGTGCCTTAAGGTTGGATTTACCTGGTGCTATCGTTTCATCAATCAAGTCTCTTAACCTCTTTCTGATGGTTTGTTTGTTGCTTGAAATAATCATACTGCAAAGTTGTGCTATTGTTTCACTATGTTACCTGTCTTGTCCATTTCGTTATCTCATAATGTCCTGGACATTTCTGCAGGATGATGATCCTTATGTTCGCAAGACTGCGGCCATTTGTGTTGCAAAACTGTTCGACATAAATGCTGAATTAGTCGAGGATAGGGGTTTCCTGGATTCTCTCAAGGATTTGATTTCTGACAATAACCCAATGGTCGTAGCGAATGCTGTTGCAGCTCTAGCAGAAATTCAGGAGAGTAGTGCCAGACCCATTTTTGAGATTACCACTTCTACCCTGTCAAAGTTGCTTACTGCTCTAAATGAGTGCACAGAGTGAGTTAATCTGTGATGCTTACTTACACCCTTAATTTAGCGAATTCAATTCTGAATGTCTGTGCATGAGTCCCACATTTGCAAATACTGGAGCTTGAATTCTTTTACATTATCCGCATCAATCTGTGTCTGATGGAAGCATGTGCTAACTTGAGCTTCTGGATGTTCTCTGTCTCTACCTACAGCGAGAGCATGGCATGTGTTAAAGAAATTGTTGCACTTATAGCGTTTGACTTTTCTGGTTGCTTGCTTGTTTGGGAGTGGTTGGGGCATTTCATGTGTGAATTATCTTATATTTGAGGATAATCAATGCAAGTAGGAGTACCTAGCACCTATTAGATCTCAATCTTAATTACCTAAAGTACTGATAATGGAACCTTGTTTTGGCTTATTCTTTTATGTTACATGTCTTTGCTGTTCTGTCTGTGCATGTTCTTCAATGGAGTATTGTGGTTGATATAATCCATTACATGAAATTTCCAGGTGGGGCCAAGTTTTTATTCTGGATGCACTTTCAAGATACAAGGCGGCAGATGCTCGTGAAGCTGAAAACATAGTGGAACGAGTTACTCCAAGGCTTCAGCATGCTAATTGTGCAGTTGTACTTTCAGCTGTTAAGGTGGGTTGGCTAGTTTTGCTTTGCTATCTTTTCTTTTCTTTTACGTTTATGTTTAATCAGTTTCTTCATCAGTTTCTTCGTCAGTTTCTTCTTCAATATTCTCTTTTTTACAGATGATCCTTCAACAAATGGAACTTATTACAAGCACTGATGTGGTACGGAATCTTTGCAAGAAGATGGCTCCCCCTCTCGTGACTCTGCTATCTGCAGAACCCGAGATTCAATATGTTGCATTGCGGAACATAAACCTTATTGTTCAAAGACGGCCGACAATCCTAGCTCATGAAATTAAGGTGAATTGTTGCAACCGTCCAGCTCAATATACACTTTCTTGTAAATGGAACTTCACTTATGCACTTTACAATACTACTCTGTTGCAAGCAAGGGATCTTATCCAAACATTTTCTCATTACCAGGTGTTCTTCTGCAAGTACAATGATCCAATTTATGTCAAGATGGAGAAGCTCGAAATTATGATAAAGCTTGCTTCTGACCGCAACATAGACCAGGTAATATACCACTATCAAGCTGATAAGTTTTGTAGCTCCAACCATTTATTGCTTCTGAGTTTAGATTGTGATACTCTCTCGATGACCTACAGGTTCTATTGGAGTTTAAAGAGTATGCAACAGAAGTTGATGTGGATTTCGTAAGAAAGGCTGTACGTGCCATTGGCCGCTGCGCTATAAAGTTAGAGAGGGCAGCTGAAAGATGTATCAGTGTTCTGCTTGAACTTATTAAGATCAAAGTTAATTATGTGGTTCAAGAGGCTATTATTGTCATCAAAGATATATTTAGAAGATACCCGAATACGTGAGTTCCTTTCCATTAGTTTGATAAAATTTTCTGTCCCTTCATTCAGTCTCTTTGTAATAGCCTTCTCAATTTGTAGATATGAATCTATCATTGCAACACTGTGTGAGAGCTTAGACACTTTGGATGAACCAGAAGCTAAGGTACTTCTGTGTTTTATTCTTCCTATTATTTTATTTTATCTTCAACTAATCTTCTGTGTGACTAATTCAATTTTCCTCTGCATAAGGCATCAATGATCTGGATAATTGGTGAATATGCTGAAAGAATCGACAATGCTGATGAACTCCTCGAAAGCTTCTTGGAGAGTTTCCCCGAGGAGCCTGCACAAGTGCAGTTGCAACTATTGACTGCAACTGTCAAACTCTTCCTCAAGAAACCAACTGAAGGACCTCAACAGATGATTCAGGTCACGTGCTCTGGAATTCTGATTCAAATTTTCTAGAGGGTAACAGGTTGATGTAATATCATATGCTAACCTCATTCGTCTGCACAAATTTTATGCTACTGATACCCAACTCTGAATAGATTAAAAGAAAAAGGACCGACTCTGAATGAGTATTCCTCATTGCTTTGGTCAAATAGCTACATGATATCCAGAAATAATTGATATCTGGCCCTTGTTTCTGCTTACCCAGATAGCACCTTCTCAATTATTCCATGTATCTCTGCCTTCTGAAAGTTGTATAGATTGCCATTTAGCTTGCTGGAGCTTCTAACTTTTGCTTTCGGAATCAGAAAGCTAGATTTTAGAATCTACAGTAATCTGTTAATTGAGAAAGTGGCTAATGGCACCTGAGGCTCATAGTGGTGCTTGCTCTTCTTTTGCAGGTTGTTTTGAATAATGCCACGGTAGAGACTGACAATCCTGATCTAAGGGACCGTGCATACATATACTGGCGATTATTATCAACTGATCCCGAGGTGTGTTGTTTTTTAAATGGAAAAGTATTTTGGCAGTGTTGACGAGTATGTTTCTTCAGTTTGTGCATGAGTGTATCAGTTGCTAGATTGCTTGTCTACATGTGTTTGAGTAGTTACGTAGTACCGTTATCTTTTCAGCAGATGAATAGTTAGGCTGCAGGTGGCTGACTATACCTGGTTCCGAGGTTGTTGCAGAATATTTTTAAGTACCTCAAAAAGATGCATATAATGTCTTATTTCAATAATGTTTCAGGCGGCTAAGGATGTGGTGTTAGCAGAAAAGCCTGTGATCAGTGATGATTCAAACCAAATTGATCCTTCTTTACTTGATGAGCTTCTAGCAAACATTGCCACATTGTCCTCTGTGTATCACAAACCACCAGAAGCATTTGTAACACGTGTGAGGACAACAACACAGAAGACTGATGATGATGAATATCCCGATGGTGCTGAGACCGCATATGCTGAAACATCATCTTCCCAGATCGCCGATGGTTCTGCTTCACCTGCAGGGAATGTTCCAACAAGGCAAATGACAACTGCAGCAGCTAGCCCTCCACAACCTGTACCTGTCCCAGATTTGATGGGTGATCTTATGGGTCTGGACAACAGTGCCATAGTCCCTGTTGACCAGCCTTCTACTCCTTCCGGGTAAGGGGAAAAAAGAAGAATATTCTACGGATTTTTTTAAAATAAAAAACACTATTCTACCTTCTAACAGTTCTGTCAGAGTCACTAGATGATGGCTTTTTTTATTTGGGTTTTGCTTAACAAAAGATTTTTTCTGAAAACTTGCCAGTAAAAGTGAGAAAACAGTGTGCTTGGTTGGGTTATAAAAAATGAAAGCTTGAGTTGATGTGTATGAGATATTCTGTAGTAATAAAAAAAGTGAAAGATGGGATGGTAATAGTTCGTCCATTGAGAAAGAAAACTAATTGAGTTTTGGGAAATAACTATTGCTAGATTAACTCTTATGAGTAGAATATCTTTCCAGAGATGATAATGAAATTTGAAGAGCAATAATTTATGAGTTCTAAAAAGTTAGATTGAAGGTGTGTTTGTTTAGATTCTAGGCCAACTTTTTTGAAGTTACCAATTTTATGGCCAAAATAAAACACACCAGATAACCTTACTTTGGTGACTGATTTTGTGATAGCAGTAGTGTTGACACGTAACCACACTTTGTTGTTCTTTTGCAGCCCACCCTTGCCCGTGGTACTACCAGCATCAGCTGCCCAGGGTTTACAGATCAGTGCACAGCTAACACGAAGAGATGGTCAAATCTTCTACAGCATGTTGTTTGAGAACAACACGCAGATGCCACTCGATGGATTCATGATCCAATTCAACAAGAATTCACTTGGTCTAGCTGCTGGTGGACCATTGCAGGTACTTTCTTTCACCGTTCTCATTAGCAAATGGTGGAATCTAAATACCCACGTGGCAGCCACTTATATGACTTGCTACTGATCTTTAGGTCCCACAATTACAACCTGGGACATCAGCAACCATTCTCCTCCCCATGGTTATGTTCCAAAATGTGTCTGCTGGTCCTCCAACCTCGCTTTTACAAGTTGCCGTGAAGAATAATCAACAGCAAGTATGGTACTTCAATGACAAAATCCTGTTCCATGCTTTCTTCAGCGAGGATGGCAGGATGGAACGTGGATCCTTTCTCGAGGTATATGAACATGAAACATAAAGATTTTGTGTTTGATATAGCTTTTAAGCCAGACTTAGTTATGTTTTAGTCAAAATAGACGGTCCCCAGTGTCTAACATTCCTGCTTGAGCTCAATGTTTGGAGCATAACCCCAATAATCTAGTTATTTTCATTTAACCAGGATTAGAATTGGCACTTACGTTTTATTCCTGGTGAATATTTGCAGACATGGAGGTCCATCCCTGACACAAATGAAGTCTCGAAGGACTTCCCAGGCATCGTGTTGAACAGTGCCGACGCCATGGTGGAACGTCTAGCTGCATCAAACATGTTCTTCATTGCCAAGAGAAAGCATGCAAACCAAGACGTCTTCTACTTTGCGACCAAAATCCCTCGCGGAATCCCTTTCCTGGTCGAGCTGACCACAGCCATAGGTACTCCGGGAGTGAAGTGTGCAATCAAGACTCCCAACCCTGAAATGTCTCCGCTCTTCTTCGAGGCAGTTGAGGCACTCCTCAAGGCTTGACCAATATTACTTCCCCCTTACTGTTCAATTTTTTTTCTTCTTTTTTTCCTGGGTTTCTTGTGTAAAATTGAAACCGGTTTAGTTACTGAAGGGTAGTGCTTTTCTTCCATTTGTGTTTTCTTCTTCGGATTTAGCTCGTGATTCTTGTAGCACGAAATGCAGTATATGTATCTTTCTTCTTGAATCGGCTTTAAAGATTCATTGTAATACATCGAGTGAAAAGACTATCTGAGAAGGGTTTCTTCTGATGAGAGTTTTAGTTGCTGAGATTGAGAGATGGCTTGAACCCAGAAATCTTTGATGACAGTTTTGCTTCTGATGCATTGATATATTGTATTTGTTTCCTGGCTAGACACGAATTGCTGTTGTTTCTAGAAAGGCTTAGCCAATTTTCAGCATCAGAATGGGCATAATTTAGGCATTATTCCAAAAGGGAAAGCACATTTGTTATTCACATTACTAGTATACTAGTGCAACAATTGATATAATAACCTTTGTCTATATCTGCACATTTCCTTATGATTTGCTTGCACTTCATACGATTACTTGAGAAAACCCACAAATTACTACAACCGTTGAGATCTGTCTAATCCATTCGATCCAACGGCCGGTACATCCCCATTGGCCATTGCATTACTTAACTTTCATGAAGCCTCTTAATTTAACTAACTTCTGCGTGATGAACACAATGCATTCGTTTCACATGACTCTTTAGAAATCTCATCACATATTCATGAACTTGCCAATTAATCAGCCCCTTGAACCCTTGCCATTGATTAACCTCATGATGATAATAAATTCCTTTCCTTTTATTAACCAATGAAAACTTCAAGTCACTGCATTTGATTCCGTTTCCCAGTGGTCTAAACAAAAAGGAAGGTTAACATAACACAAGAACAATGAGGCTTACCATAGTTTCTCTCCTCTTGTTTTCCTGCCTCCATCTACCTCTTGGCAGCAGCAGCAGCCTTGACAGCCATTCTTCTGAAGTCAAAGAAACAGCTCCGTCCCACGCGATAGGACTGTTGAATTTGAGTACTGGTTCAGTAGAGCTCCATCCTTATGATTGGAGTTACATGCGAGGTGAGAAGAGGTCCTCCTTTGAGTTAACATTGGCTGAAGCTTATGTTCATTATGTGATGTGAGACTTGCATTAGAAGGTTTTTGTTTCACTGAATGTTTTTCGTGTTGCAGTTGAGCTGCCATCTTCATACTCGTTGGCTTCCATATCAGTGCAATCGAGCATATATGATGTGAGTATTGCACTATAAACTTAAAAGAAAAACAAACTGCCTGATTCACTGTAAGATTCAGTTCATTGGCACTTGGATGATGATGAAGCTTTTAATTTTTATTTGGTATCTAATCTAACCTACTTCTTTTACTATGGTGGAAATTTTTGCAGGAGGCTAATGGAACTAGCAGCAGAAAGAGGGAAAGGCTCCCCCTGATGTGTTTGAGAAATGGAGGCCCTCCTATTCCTGATGTCTCTAGGTTTGCTGTGAACGGTCTTGGTAGAACCTAATACTATAACCCAAGTCATTAATCATGTTTATTTGATTGAACCAATTAACCAACTGTCATAATCTTTCTGAATTACGCTTATGCAGTGCTGACTCGGCCATCTGAAGGAAGAACTTATGTTCAGGATCATGATGATCAATGTTACCCCCTCAGGCAAAACATGTCATTCATTTTAACATATGATAAGGTAACTATGTAACACGATTGTTATAAATTACCAGTTTTTCTATCTTCAGGCAATCTCTAGACCTCGCATTTCTCTAGTAGTCCCACAAATCTGAAAGTTGCTCTTCTGCAGGTTCCACCAGGGACTTACTATCTTGGATTCTTCAATGGCCTTGGACTTTCAAGAAACCAAGCCAAATCGGTAATCACAACACTAGACCAAAATCTTCCATTTCAATTCCATAACTCAAACCCCATTTTGTTAAATGACTGACTACAAAATTTCAACAATTAGACCAAAAAAGGTCTAGGATTCAGTTTCAGTGCCAATGTTACAGCACACGGCTGCAAACAGGCTTCAGGTTACCGAGGAGAAAGCTGCAACTTGAGAGTGGATCATCTTTCTGCTGCTGCTGCTGGAGCTTCCTGCCATAACTCAACAGAACTGAAGTTCTACTCTTTGAATGTTGTTCAAGTTGCACAACAGCTGAAGTTAGGATTGAAGTCCCCAAATAATAGCACTGGTAGAAATCACCAAATAATCTGTTATGCTCGACTGAATGCACTTCCGGGCAATGATAATGGGTCCCATGATTACTCTGTGGAGATCAGCAAAGAGCCTCTGGTGATCTTGTTGCCAAAGATTGGAACTTGGTACTTCAAGCTCCAGCCTTTGAGACCATACCAAGAAGAAGAATCACAGTCGGTTTGCTATTCAATGGATTGGCAAGTGGAAGTATGCAGCAATGGAATGGCAGGGCCAAACTGTTCCTCGAGAACTCAAGTTCTGAAGGTGTGTGACATGTTGGGGAATTGGCCGAATAGTAATTCCAATGTCATTATTGAAAAACTGTGTTTGTGTAAACTGTAAACTTTTAACCTGATGTCTTTTAAGTAACTGTTTCTTTTAATTCAAGTAAACACATTGCAATGCTGCAGGGAGTTCATTTTGGTCTTAGAACTATGCCCTATGTTTACTTGCCTGACGTTACAAAAAGCAAGACTATAAAGCTTCATCCTGCAAATTCCACTTCAACAGCAACCAAAAGTTCAGATTCTGCCTGGACCTATTACTTCTTCAACACTTCAAAGGGTACATCGGGGAAGAACATGTACATTCGAGTCGAGCCAAGGTCGAGAATCGAATTTGACCTGTATGTCAGATACTCAGGCTTGCCATCAGTTGATCTGTGGGACTACTGCTACAGAAACCATAAGGCCGAGGGCAAGAACAACAGCATAATGTTTAAGGTGTATGAAGCAGCAAATGAAGGCAGAATCAGTTTCTACCTTTTGTATCCCAAAGAAGGGGATTGGATTGTTGGTTTGAGGCACAAACATGTGGGGAGCAACAACTATTCTGATTATGATCAAACTTCTGAAGTGTTTGTTTCAATCGAAAGCTGCCCGAATCAATGCTCGGGGTATGGGACCTGCTTGGACAAAATGGATGCAAGTGGACAGGATTTTACCTACAGGTTCGTTTGCCTGGGTTCGTTATAACACCTACAATATTCAGCAATCAGTTGAAAACCAAAAAGAAAAAAGTCATCATTTTCCCCCTCCAAAACTTGTGTCCAGCTATTGCTCTTGTGATGTTGATCGTGGAGGGTTAGATTGCAGTGAAGACATTCTACAGCGGCGAGGTAGTATTCCCTCAATCCAGTTTGATCTTCTGTGAAAACACTAACGTTTTGTTATCTTCTAGGTTACTTAATATCGACTGATTGGCTTGAAACAGTGTGGCTGCTGCATGACTTGTGTCTTATATTCTCAAACCTGGCAGCCTTGCTTCCTGGATTCTGGACTCTCAGGCAACATGTAAAGTTTGTTATACTATACTATTTGGAACAAAAATTTCAAAAGACAATTAGCCATAAGAAGATGTCCTAGAAAGGTGGTGCTGGTGATGATATAATGAAGACTAAAAGTACAAGTAAAATTTGCAGGCATATTCAGAGGCAGCAATCTTCCTGGCAAGTGGAGCATCAAGTGGGATATACCACTCCTGTGATGTTGGCCTCTGGTGTTTTCTCAAATTCAATGTCCTTCAATTCCTAGACTTCTGGCTCTCATTCATGGCCATCATCTCCACATTCTTGTACATTCCGACCATAGCCGACCCAGTCAGAGGATCCATTCGAGTCATAGCAGCAATTATCACAGCCACACTGACTGTAATCGGACCGACAAGGTCTGTCAACGTAGCTGCTACGTTTGCTCTAGGAGCACTCTGCCTTTTACTTGGATGGCTGATCCAGTACTTCACAGATCACCACAGAGGAAGAAGACAATTGCAGGAATGGCCAATCCAAGTAATGATTAAAATAGTGAACAGAGGGTTGAGATGGGAATTTGTGGGGTTAGGTTTTGTAATGTTGGTATTGGCTGGTGGCAGTATGAAAATGGAGACTGCTCCAAGTTACTGGATTTGGCATAGCTTGTGGCATCTTTGTATATATGTCAGTGCTTTTTTCTTCCTTTGCTGCAAATTGCAGACAACTTCTGAGAGTGAAAGTGTCCCCAGGGGGAACTGCAGCAGTTGTACATGTAGTTCTAATGCTCAAGTGTAGAGATGATAAATTAGTGGATTAAGATTTCTTTACTTGTAGTTGTAAGTTTATTTCTTTCCTCTATATTGTGAGACATTGATGTGGTTACAACAAAAATAATGCTCCAAACCAATTAGGTTGAAAGTAGAGGTGAAAATGGGTTGTTGAATGAGTAAAAATAGTGCCCCGAGTACCTAAAACCTAAGCGCTGAAGGAACGAGTAAAAATCAACCCATAATTGTTTATGAACGTGTAAAAACGAAATGGGTAACCATTAGACCATCAGCACACTTAACGCTATCAAACGAGCAAATTGCCAGACATGTCGATCAATGACGCACTCCTCAATTAGCTAAGAAATGACTTTCCGTTTCGCATTTCAATGAATATACATTGCATCTGTCTGCTGGAAATCAGCATGAAACCAAACAGAAAAATTGCAGAAGCTTTTACATGGTTCGCTGTATAAGGCGCGACGACTACATCAACGGGAATTGTGATGATCTATCTTCTTCTATGTACAACTTCATATAGAGATCCTTCTTCACATGAACACCTACTCACCTGATTCGATTCACCCAAGAGAAGGGCTCAGAACTCGCTTTGGAGGAAGATTTTTGTCGAGCAGCTTCAGCTGGATCACCAAACACATTCCAGAACCTGAGGGTTTCATCCCCTGCAGCAGATGCCACAGTGCAGCCATCTGGACTCTGAGCCAGGAAAAGCACCCTGGAGGTATGGCCCCTAAGTTCAGCAGTCTTCACCATGGACGGATACTTCCACAGAGTCAGCTGGTTCCCGGTGAACCCATGAGAACTCAGAAGCTCCCTTTCGCTCTTGCTCCACAGCAGCCCACAGACCTGGGCATACGTGTTGGCCGAGTTCAAGCAAGCCCCCGTGATGGTGTTCCAGAACTTGATGCTCATGTCCCCTCCGCCTCCACCTGAGGCAAGCAAGTTGGCTTGGAATGGACACCATGCCAGAGCCCTCACTGCTGCAGTGTGTTCCTCCATCCTGTGAAGCCATTGATGAGCTGCAGCCATGGAACTTCTTCTTCTGTCCCATATGTGGATGAGATTGTCATTTCCCCCACTTGCTAATTGCTGTCCTGAAGCTGACCATTTTAGCCCACAGACTTCCTGTGAATGCCCCCTGTAGGTCCCTACAATGTGGTCGCGAATTCGGACATCGTTGTTCATGATCAGACCATCCATTCCACCAGTGGTCAGGATGTGGTTGTTCCATGCCAATGACCCGACTCGACATCTGTGTCCACCTTTCAGAGTCCTTAACTGTAGAAACAAAGCAATACCAATTACCAACAACTGAACCAGTCAGAACCAGACTCTCTTAAAAAGGAAAATGGAAAACAAAGAACTCAAAAGAAATTTAGAAACCTGTTTATTAGAGGCGGCATCCCACAACTGGACTTCAGAGTTCTCCAAGCCAATAGCGAGATGGCGGCCGTCGGGAGCCCAATTCACGCTGGTAACTAGGCCATGTTCCTCATCAACTGTAACAAGCTCTGAAGTTGAGCCATGGGAAGCATCCCAAAGATAAACTGATCTTGCTAGAGCTATGGCAACAACATTGCTGCTGCCCCAGTCCAGTAAGTTCAAGTAGAAATCATCAACAATGTCCGGAGCATCCAATGCCCTCTCTGAAGTCTACACAAATGAAAGCAATCATCTATCAATCAGCAGCTGCTACTTCCAATAACGTAACTAGACAATTCAAGATGTACTAGGTGACCAATAATAATATCATAAACTAAGTTGTAGGCGGAACGTTGGATACCTGCCGAATGCGCCTGCGAGGCTTAGCTGGTTTAGGCTGCTGGTGATATGTAGACGAAGAAGAAGCTGAAGAAGAAGTGTGTTGACGAGGGATCAGCTCGACCGGGACAGGTGGCTTGTTCTTGAATGCAAAGATCCTAGTTCGGTTCAGGTTCAACGTCTCAGCCAGTAGCCGCCGGTAAGCCTCGCTCGAAGGAGACCTAGAAAATGGTGGCTCCTTTTCTTTCCTACCTTCAGTAACCATCCAATGGGCGTAACCCATGTCCATCGCCGATCGATTTGGTATGAACCTATCCAACTGTTCACCAGCACACAAAATAAGAACGAAGCCTTTCTTTGTCAGACAGGGAAAAAAAAAAAATTAGAAACTGGGATGCCATCACAACTCTACCAAACCCTAAACCTAGAAGATAAAAACAGCAATCGGGGAAGTGAAAAGAACTAATCTTGATATCTTAAACACGGTGAAGGAAACTGGAAATTCAAATTCGATCAAACCTAAACCCAATTAAGGAGGGAAAAAAACAGATTCGGGTAGGTGAAGGGAATGCTCACGTTCTCTTCGGAACTACTCCTCCTCTGGTGCGGGAACCTGGGATTAGGGTTGCTGTAAATCATATTCGCTGACCCTGCATTCAAAACGAGAAAAAACAAAACAAAACCAGACAAGAAAGAAAGAAAGAAACCCTAGCAGCTTACCGTAGACAAACAGATTCGATTAGTAAAGAACAAAAATCAACGACTGTGTGTGATCTGCATAACAGGGGTAAGGAAAAGAGAATAGCAAGCTATCTAATCGCAGATGAATTCAACTCAATTAGAAGCAAGCAAAGAAAAATCGCGGCCAGCAAGAAGAATCAGAGCCGAGAGCCGGAAGAAGAGAGCTCCGTTGTGTAGGTCGCCGATGGGAGAGCAGGAAGAGGAAGGGTCGGAGAACAATGATCGCAAAACTGAATTGGAGAAAGGCGCGCTTCGCAGGTTGTGGGAATTTATAGACTGTTGGGTTTGCGGCAAAACAACGCACTAGCCGTTTGGAACTTTGCTTTGCCGGAACCGCCCTTATTTTGGGCCCCCTTTTTTGTGCGAGCTGGGCCCGATTGGAGCGATGAGAGCCCATGCGTTAAACAAAGCCCTTCAAATTGTGAATTACACTTTTCGTAGCAAGTAGCATGTATGTATATGTATAGTAGTATTTTGGTTTGGGGTTCGCACGTGCGAATCACGTGGCTGAAAAATTTCCTCTTTCGCTCAGTCCGCACAGAAACGGGGGGCTATTTTACTTCAGGACCCGGCTTTCGCCTGTCATCGTCTCGTCTCGTTTCGTCTCTCGAACCAGAAACACGACGACCCCTCAGAAAGCCGAGTTAGGGATCCTGAGTGGACTCACTCGTCAGCTGATCCATTCATAGTTGCAACTTGCAATCTTCCTTCACACACTACCTCTTCTTCTCTTCCTCCACAGGTTCGGGAATTTCCCCTCTGCTCGATTCTTCTCTCTACCCATTCCCCGGTTTATGCCTACTTAGATTGTTTTTGACGATATTGAAAATTCAAGGTCGTCTGCGCTTGAATCTGGTCCAATTATGCCTGAATGGCTGTTTTGTGGCTGAATTGTTTCCTTTCATGCACTTCCTAGCCGAGAAAAGTAACTGTTGGTGGGTGTAAAAGGAAGGAAAGAAAATGTTTATGGGAATGGGATTTCGTTACTCTTAGCAATTGGGTGAAATCTCCGGTGTTCATTGCGTTCTGCTGTTGAATGATCTGAAAACGTCCCGATCCCTGAATATTTTTCGTTGAGCTTTTTGTTCTGTTTCTCTAACATTGTGCTTTCCCCCCCTTGCTGTTCATTTTGATGATGCTCCATGGAGGGTTTTGGTAGATGTCACATTCAAGGGAAGGAAGGTGAGCTAGTTTCCTCTCTTCATGGCCACTAGCGGTTGCTAATGTAACTGTCCCTGTGGCTCTTTCTCCATGTGTCGTTGTCTACTGCTGAAGGTCCTTAGATATGAGTGGGGTTTTTCGACCATTGTTTGCAGGCGTGGACCCTTGAAGTCTCCGTCACCACGTCCCTCGGCGGCTTCTTCTCCTAGAGCTCGAAGGTCAAGATCATTGTCCCGGTCACGAAAAAGTCGCTCCAGATCAAGGTATCAGTGTTGGGATCGTGGGGCAGGTTTCATTTCAGTGTATGTTGTATTGGGGAAATGTGACAGTTTTCAATATGGGTATGTTGTAGGAGCCGAGAATCTGTTGAAGCTTACAATCCTGGAAATAATCTCTATGTGACTGGTCTATCCACTAGGGTTACCTCCAGTGATCTTGAGAAGTTCTTTGCTAAGGAAGGGAAGGTATGTTCTTCGCTATGTGATAGAATAGATTCTTTCCCAGGGCTTGAAAACTTGATATGGTTACTACACTTCTGTTGATGCTGCCTACATGATGTTTAGTTTACTTATTCTACTTTTTGGATTCAGGTGGTGGAGTGCAATCTGGTGCTTGATCCTCGCAGCAAGGAATCCCGTGGATTTGCTTTTGTCACCATGGAAACCACCGAGGCTGCTGAGCGCTGTATCAAGTACTTGAACCGTTCTGTGCTTGAAGGACGATTGGTCACAGTGGAAAAGGTATGCATAGAAAGATTTCCAGTTCAAGGAGTTTCATCCATTATCATGTATGCACTTTTTGAATGTCTTTGTTTGGAAACATTTCTTTTTTTTATTCAGAAGCAATGGCCTAATAATTTTTGGCAGCAGGTTTGCTATGTGTAACTTCATCATCGAATTCACCATCTAAGCTCTCCTAAACAGTTGAACCCCATCATCCCTTCCGCAATCACCACGATATGAGTTCCGCATCAACTTGTTGAATTCCCCGTCGATATTGATTCAAATCGATCAACTGTATTTGCGGAGGGTTGTTTATCTTCCCTTTTCATCGTTAGTAAAAAGTATCTGCCCTCGATTTTTCTTTTTATTTTTCTTCTATTCAATTCTTATCGCATATGAAGACGGAGTCGCACTAAAGAACTGCTACATTTGCATCAATTTTTTTCTCATTCTATCGTATTTTTCTCGTAGTGCAATATTCGTTTACATAGAAAGGGATGATATATGCATAAATCTCTCGATTTCCAATGAGAATCAGCGGAATTGCAGATTATTGTCATCGCTTGCAGATATAGAAAACTCTGTTTTGCCATCTTCAATGGGAATGCTTTCCCAAAAGGCAGCATGAGCAATATCTATTGTGGATTGCTTTTTTTTTAGCTTCATCAACTAGTTGCTGACATTGGATTTTTCTGCTTTGGTTACAATTCTAGGCTAAAAGGTCTCGTGGCAGGACACCAACTCCCGGGAGGTATCAAGGTCTTAGAGAGCGACGAGGTACATCCTCTTGTTCTTACAATAGATTCCTTTTGTTAATCAAGCACCGTGCATTTGAGGTGTGACTTCCATGTCTTGGTTGCTTGATCATCTGTTCTTTCTCTGGAATTGTCACTAGAGATTGATTTTGCTTGGAATTGCTTTGTTTTTTCTTCCCGGCATCTTAACTACATAGAGTTATATGTCATATGCCGGTCCACTATCCTCAAACTTTTGTTTCCCCTTCAAATGGTATTCCTTTTATCGTTTTTCAATTGTTCCTAATCAAACCGTGTACTGTTAGTTTTTGGTTAGCTCGACTGTTATGGGGTTCCAGTTCCACCCTGTTGACTGAATAGTGACTTGGCTCCCAATGACCCCTAAATTCATCTGAATGACCCCTAATGTTTCCCTGGTCGCCAGCAGAGAAAAGATTATTCAAGTGACTTGGATAACAATAAGATTATAGTTTGAGGGTGGCCACATGTCATGTAACTCAAACTAGATTTTAATCCTGAAATCTTTTCCTGAGAAGCTCACGGGTTGTCACATTGTCTGCACTTTTGCAGGACGTGGTGGTCAAAGGCGCTCACGAAGCTACTCGCCTCGTAGACGTGACCACCGAGAGCGAGAGAGGGATCCATACCCAAGGGATCGACGAGGCAGATCACGATCACCTTCTGGAAGAAGGAAAGATGATCATCATGACTCGCATAGGAGGCACAGGGAAACTTCACCCTCAGCAGATCGGAGCCACCGTAGGTAGACAGACAGCTGACCGGTGGGGTTAAGATGAAAGAATCATCCCCTACCTACCGAGCTACTGCTATATCCACTCTAGTTTACTCTGCTCATCTTATCAGGATCCAATTTATTGGGGGAAGCCCTTAAGAGTTAAGACCAACTGGGTTTAGGTTATGTTTGTATACTCATTTTGTATCCGTAGGATCTTGGCGAAGCTTTGTATCTCTTCTGTTCATCATCTGCAGTAGTGTCTATCATCTAACTTGGGGATTTCTGGTTATTTTCTTCTCTTCATCCTCCTTGCTACGAGGCTTGGATAATGGTTAATATGATCAACGCAGAGCAGTAAATTTTTAATAATATCGTACTGAAGTGTGAAAAATCTGGCAAAAGCAGAGAAGGTTGACGTTTTTGTCCCGTAGCAATAGGCTGTAATTTGATTTTGAAGGGGGCGTGGGCCGGAGTGGTGGCTGTGGCTGTGGCTGAGTGTGCAGAAAGGCAGAAACTCGTTGTACGCTACCAAGGATCTTATTGACACAGTTTTTGGCAATCAATGACGTGCCTAATACATTTCAAAATTTTCATATATCTCTCTATCTTTTTATATTTTGTTAAAAAGTGAATAGAAGTTAACATCAAATAGGGATGAGAGTCGAACACAAATTCGAGGGTACTCTATCCGACCCAATTCGGTCAATGTGATTAAAACTCGTTTTGACGGACTGTGAGTCGGATTTGGGTTTAAACTGGTTATACTTTTTGCGGGTTGGGTTTGGATTTGGGTTTAGTCATATTCAACCCGCAGATACACCCGCACCCAAGTCCATACCTCCCACGACCCACAAAACCTTTAACTAATTAAATTTAATTTCTAGACTAATTCCTCAGTTCATCTCCAATATATTTTTTTAAAAATAAATAAATAAACTAAATTGTAGCCATGGAGTATGGCTATTATTATTAGTAATTATTAAAAATGTTACGATTTTATCATGTCCTTCTTCTTTGCAAAAATGTGGATAGGGTTGGGGGTGGGTACAAATTGCGAAAAAAACGCAATCGTTGCTTTGCTGCTATAAGATCCGACAGCTGTGCTTCTGACACGTGTACGTCATTCACCGCGTCGTCTCTGAGCTCTCTCTCTTTCCCGCTCGGCTCGGCTCGGCTCGGCTGGAGACTGGAGAGTGCAGCTGGCCGTTCCTTCAATTATTTTGATTTGACTTTTGCTTCAGCCCCGGGGGCTTTCCCGTTGGCTCGCTGCTCTCTCTCTCTTAAGTACAATCAATGCCCAACATTAAGCAGCGCAAACCCAGAATTGAAGCATATATATATTGATTAGTGAACAAATTAATTAATTAATTAAGCTCCTGGGCCCAACGTCCTTGAAATATGCGGATGTCGCCATGTCGGATTCATTGGATACACTGCTATTTTATACCCTTTCTGGTTCTGTTCTAGCTCACAACCCTCAACAAGGATGAGATAAGAATGCCTTTAGCAATTGGCACCTCCTTAATCCTCTCCCATAATGATCATTGGAAAGGAAAAGTCGATCCAACAGCTAGCTAGAGTTCGGTATGAATTACTTTTGGGTATATAGAAATATTGGGTGGTTTGTACTGAGTTTTTTGGTACTAAAAAAACCCTTTTCTAATGGCTCGCATCGTTCCAACAACACCTCAGTATACGATTGCATGCATTAACGGGAAGTCCTATTACACCTAAGTTCAACTTCAATAGAAAAATAATACAAGTCACTTTATTCATGAAAGTTCCCTCTACATAAGTCATTTCAAAATGACTACTTGTTTATCCCAACGTTTACAATTACACCATTGCTTCCTTTTTACTAAACCCACTTATATCTAGGGATGACAATGGGTCGGGTTGGGTCGGGTTTTGCCAAACCCAAACCCATGGGTTTATCCGTGTAAAAAACCCGGGGTAAAACCCACTGGGTTTGAAAAATTCAAACCCAACCCAACCCGCTGGGTATCCGCGGGTTCATGGGTACCCACGGGTTTTTGTCGTAAAAAATTTATAATAACAAGTTCCTATCAAAATTAAAGTCAAATATCAATCTCTCAATACAAATTATCCATATATAAAACATCATTCTAGAAAATTCAAGCAAATCACAAATTAACTATACAAATTGTTCATCACCAATCTAGAAAACTCAAGAAAATTGAAGCAAATCACAAATTATCCATAAATAACATGATTAATTAGAAAATTCTTCCTTTCAATTAAGTTTGTTCACTCTCTACTCGATAACATCAACTTTATTCTACACAATTAGAAAGAAAAAATTAGACATGTCTCCACAAACATAAATAAGATTAGTTGTTTAGAATATTAAATATACCGAGAAAATTAATTATATGGGAGTGGACAGGTACCCATGGGACGGGTTTACCTAAACCCAAACCCAACCCGGTGAATAGTGAACGGGTTTAAACCCAAACCCGGCCCAAAACCCGTCAACACGGATTTTACCCGCGTTGACCGGGTTGGGTCGGGTGGGTACCCGTGGGTTCGGGTTTTGTTGCCATCCCTACTTATATCCTTCCCTTTCTACTATTTTGTTTCTCATGTAATCGCTTCATCTTCCTCCGAAGTTATTTTTTATTTCCCCCAAATTTTACAGGCGATAAAAGGATCATCCGTCTTGCCGTCTCCACCAAACTCTATTTACTCCAACTATCGTGTCAACGAAGATGTTGCCTTCAAGAATGAGTCGCAACTCTCCCCAGTCAATAAAGCTCTCTTCTCCGTCGTTGGGAATCGACACATACCAACCCAGACCGGTGTCGCCACTTGTCGTTCGTCTACTCAATGACACATTCTTTTCAATCACAAACCATCATTTGCAGGCGTTCACCACGATTCTTTGTAATTAGTCTCGATTTGAGATTTTTTGATACGTTACCTTCTATTAGGAAAGTTAACATAAAATATTTTTTCCAAATTAGAATGTTGGGTTATACATGACGTTTATACAAAAAATATGTTTTGTTGGTTGCAAAATGATTTTGTTTACGTACTTGGTTTTATTAGGACATGAAACATATTAAATGTAAAGGCAAAATGACTTGTACCAACTGACTACATTGAGCTTTGGCCTAACAGATTCCCAAATCAACTTAATAGAATATCTCTTCATTGGTTTATCATTCTAGTGAAGCACTCCACCTCTTAACACAAAAAAGATTAGGGATCTTAGTTTTGGTTTTCAGCAACTTCCCCGAGTTCCATGAGCCGTTAACATTCACAGCCCAGAAATCTCTACCTTTCAGCTTGTATGCTTGTATCCAAGCAACCCACAGTGAGCCATGCTGCATCATAATCGCCCAAATCTGCCTAAAGACATAAGCAAGATTCCAGGAAGAGAGATCTCTCGAACCCAACCCACCTTCTTTTTTTGGGATAGACACTGGCGGAGCTAGGTGAGGGGTTGGACCCCACTTGGAAAATGAATATATATACATTAAAAATGGTGAATTTTTAAGGTGGGGTTAGTAAATTTAGAACCACGGACCCCCTCTTCCCGAGACAATGATTTTACTATCGACACAAACTTCGTATTTGGTTATGTTTGGACCTCACTAAATTATATCTCTCGCTACGCCATAGACAAGTACTTCCATGCCATTTTTGCTTTTAGTTTAAGACCATAAAAAATAATAATCTATTTTTAATAATTCTAATTATTAAATTTTTTAGATTGTTGACAATTTATGAATTTAAATTTAAAACTCATATTCTTTAAACAACTCCTTAGGCTAATTCACGTAAACAAGTAGCGGCCTAGCTAGCCTACCCTTGCATTCGAGCAATGATGGTTTTTCTTTCAACACAGTAGCGGGTCCCCACTCACCCAGCCATTGGTGGAAATTTTTGAAGCAGCGCGCCCGTTTGGAATAACGACAAAGAGGCTTCCCAAAACAAAAACCAAAAAGATAAAAAGAAAATAAACACACAAATGCCGTGCCAGCCGATTAGCCGACACGAAGCCCCAAAATTTCTCTAGCACAAAAAAGGAAGACTGGAAGAAAAGAAAAAGTCTCTCTCTCTCTCTCTCTCTCTCTCTCTTTCTCTGTCAATTTCGAAGCTCGTTTATAACGGGGAGTAGCCGGTAAACCGGCGGGCAGAAGCCGGTTACTAAGAAGAGGTCGCCGTACGGGTGGTGGGCGCATGGGTCGGACTTTGCCGTTGCCTGTTTCTCCAAGTCCTCGGCCTGGCCATGGCAGTTGGTAATGCATTTATAGTGTGTGAGTGTGAGTGAAAGTGTTGCTCTCTCTCTCTCTTTTCTTCCTTCTTCCTCCTATTTTATTTTCTCTCTCTCTCATCATCCGTCCGTCCCTTCTCTCCTTCCTTTGCTCCTCTTCCCTCCTCGATTCCTGTGCTCTTCTTCTTCCGGCAGTTTCAAATTCCTCTCCTTCCTTCTCCTCTCTCCTACTCCATCGACGACGATCCGGCCACTTTTCCGAGACGGAGGCGGTTGATAATTTTGTTGCATTCTTTTTCTGCTTGGTACAGGTAATCCAAGCTTTAACTCCATATGTTTGTTTTCATTTCTCATTTCAGTTATCTTCGTTGTTCGATTATGGCGGAATTCCTTCTTCTTTTTGAATTTATTTTACTGCGATTCCGGTCTAGCAAGAAACTTCTCTTATTTGGGTTTTTGGGGTAATTGGAGACATCGACTAGAAAGCTTTGCTGAATTTGTGCCGATTGGCATTGTATAATTGGTTCTGATTGATTTCGCAGTTGTTTTTCATTTTGGGGGGAAAGAACATTGGAAATTTGGAATCAATCAAAAAGCATTTGTTAATTGTATTAACAACCTTATTCAGGTGGATTTTTTGGACTGTTCTTGACGAAGAGAGAGACTGGGAGGGGAATTTATAAAAAAAAAAAAAAGCGCACACACACAGACACAAACAAAGCAAGAATGTTTTTCTTTGTTGCAGGGTTGAGTGTAATGCTATTGCAGCTTGGAAGATGAATTTTTATTATTATTTTGGAGAAAGAATCATCTCGTCTCTGTTCTTATCTGAATCAAAACAGTAGTAGTGTAGTGTGTTTCATTTATTGCCTTCAATTCTAGTCCGTGATTCCACATTTTCAAATTAAAAAACTTTGGCTTCTCTCTCTCTCTGTCTACCCTCTAATCTATCTGTCTCAAAGATGGCTGATAATAAATATTGGGGATTGTCTGTTTCATCTTCTTTTCCCTGACAGGCATCCATCCAATTGCTTCTTCTGGGCTCTGTACACCGATTTACTCTACTCCACTCTACTCCCTGACTGCAGCTCGGAATTTTTACAACTTGAGCGCTGTTGATCCAGAAACCCAAATGAGTGTCTGAAAACCATTTCGCCAATTAGCAATCACCCATTAAAAAGCCCCCTCTGCTTCTTGTTGACACGATGAAAATTCCGTGCCTTTCGGGATTGCTGGATTAGGGTTCTTCTGGGGATTAAGAGGCGGGTGTGATTGTTGTGAGTTTCTTCTGCTATTGGGTTGGGGGGGGGGGGATTAGAGAGGGAGAAAAGATACAAAAAAAGGTATGCTGGAGGCCAGTGAGCTTTGCTCTGCTCGCATGCTTTCACCTTTTAGGGACGAGAGTGGTGATGAAGAGCTCTCCGTCCTGCCGAGGCACACCAAGGTCGTTGTCACTGGAAACAACAGAACCAAGTCTGTTCTTGTGGGCTTACAAGGCGTGGTCAAGAAAGCTGTTGGCCTTGGAGGCTGGCATTGGCTGGTAATTTCCTTTTTCTTTTGCTCATCATTACCTTCTCTCTAACAACTTTTCCTTTGTCTGCATTAGTCCTTAATAGGAAAAATTAAGCTGTGATTTCTCTTTTTTCCTATTCAATCTAGCTTAAGTTTGAGTCTTGTTCGTATCTTGGTGATGATAGTATTAGTATATTTTCTTGTGGGGTTTTCTCTAATACTTTTTTCTTTGCTCTTGTTCATTTATTGGTGTGACATAAAGCTAAGCACTTTGCTGTTTTTGGTAGAGCTTCTGTTTTGTTTGCTTCTGAAATTGTCAAATATAGAGCAAACAGCAATTCAGGTTCTCTATGAGTTGGGCTTAGGGTGGATGAAAACACTATTATTGGCACAGTACGAAAGGAAATCAAGAAAGTGATAGGGGTATTAACAATGTCAACTTTTTTTGGGCCTGTCTCATTCTATACGCCCACTAGCCCAATCCGAAGACTTGGCCAAGATCCCCCGCCCTCCATTTCGCCGGATCATACGCGGATTCCCTTCTTTTCCTACTCGTATGATAATTAGTTTATTTCCCCTATTTGTTGAGAAGATTAAAGATTTACCTAAGCTCACCTTACTACAAACTGCTCTTGGATTACGATCACGATTTCTCAGCAGAGGCATGAACTGGTTATATATACTAACTCTTTATTCAAATAGTATAGAACCCTAAAAACTGTTATCTCAAATTCATAATCATGGCGGACCGTGTAAGCAAGCTCAATCGAGAGGTGTGTATAACTCTGAGGCTCATTGCTTGGGAACTGATTTCTTCGTAACCCTTTTTGAGCTCTTTCGTTCCATGTTCTTACCAGAGTTTTCTTTCTTCAATAACTCTGACTTCATTGTTTTGGTTATGGAAAATGATAAGGTCTTGAAAAATGGGGTTGAAGTGAAGCTGCAAAGGAATGCACTTAGCGTACTGGAGCATCCAACGGGGAACGAAGTGGGAGATGAAGACGATCTTGATCTGTACAACAGCAGTGGCTCTGACATTGGTGAAAAGGACCATGATTTCTGTACGCTGTTATTAATATCCCATCTTATGAAGATCATGTTCTGTTCTGTTTTTTTTTTTTTTGTTGGTATAGAGCAACCAATAATTTTGGTGTTCCCTGTTTTCCAGATAACGGCAGCCAGTTCCACAGATTCAGCAAGCCTAGAGTTCGTCCGGCAGCAGCAAAGCACTCGTCCTGCTATCCACCTGCAGCAGCTAAGTCGACGAATCACATCAGTTTTAGGGATGTTCAGTCAATTATCCGTTCATCTCAGAGAGTAAGAAACCTTGCATTAGATTTTGTTTACCATGTTGAATTGTTAGCTCTCAAGCGCCAAATACTGAATTGGAGTGGTGCATTTGGGTTTGTAGAAGGTGAACTTGGTGAAACTAGGGAAGGACTCGTTATGGAGATACTGCAAGCATTACAAGCTGGTGAGTATCTTTCCCCCCTTTAAGCTGCTCCTGTCCCCCCCTTTAAGCTCCTGTCTTTGCTTGAAATCTATACACTTGGTTAATTTTGTGTTCCAATGGAATTCATTTGTGACGCTAGGCTGGCATCAACATAGATTCACCGAGGGAACAGATGCTCACCGTTGTGCAACAGCATTTCCTTTCAATGGTCTGTATCTTGCATTTCTTCTTCTCTTCAAAAAACGGGGAGTCTTTGTTAACGCAGTGTATTTTCCAGTTGCAGCAGCGACTGAACGAGAAGGACGTGATCATGGGAATCGTCATGCACTCAGCCAGGAGACGGAAACAGTTTGCAAAACCACCAGCCGCGAAGTGAGACGAGACTGAATCAGTGATGGAAGGCTGCTACTACTCATTGTAACTATTAGGAGAGTGATAATAACCCTAACCATCTTTATTTAGATCAGGTCTAATTGCATGTGCTGATGATACTTGGGAGATGACCTTTCTTTGCTCCTCTCCCTGGATTCCAGAACTGACCAATTTGGTCCCACCTTTCATGTCCATGGTTGGCTATGAGAACTCTAGGTATTTATCATAGGCTTTGTGAAGAACAAGTACTGCAATCGTGAGAGCAGTTCGCTGTAGATATTTTGTTGATATGATGAGATCAATATTTCCCAGGTTGACATTTTTCTTTTCGAAATCGTCGTACGTTCATGATCACAATCGTCTTTGATGAATTTGTCCATTTCAATCTAGGAAAGCTTTCTTTCTCCTTCACAGATCAATCTCAATGGAGGCAAAATTAACTTTCTTCCAACGTATAGAATGCTTGCAACTTGCAAGACATTGTGGTTTCACTCTCATGGCGATTACAGGAATTAGCTGATTGAGTGGCGAAACAAAGTTAACCCAAAACTCACGATCAAAACAAGGGAATATGATATGATTTCTCCTCTCCACAGGGAAAAATGGTAACTTCAATCCCATACAGCCATGCGAATAAAACCCTAATCCTAAAACCAAAACACAGGGGGGGAAAACCCTAGACGAAATCTTTCTAAGAACATAAACCATTCGCCGCCGCGGGGGGGATTTTTCATACCTCGTCCTCGTGGAGAAGCATATTGGGGATTCCTTTACTCACCGAGAATTTCCGGCCGGTCTCCGGGCAGACCAACGCCCCTTCCTCGAGATGGATCTCCAGAAGCGCGTGGTGGAATTTGCCCAGGAACTCATCGGAGTCCAGCATCGACTCCTCCGCCTCCTCCGGCAGCTCGGCGTAGCCCAGGGACCTGGCGGCGTCGGAGAGGGCTCTCCACTCGATCTTGGAGAAGATGTTTCGGAGGAAGTCCGGGTTGAGATCGACTTCCTTATGGATCACTTTCTCGGCCTCGATTCGGAGCGGGAAGCCGTTGACGACTCCCTTGATGTTGGAGGAGAGCATGTTGTGAGTCAGTAGCCTCATCGTGCCTTTTTTTTCTCCGTCTCGTGCCGTCGCGGCGGCGGCGATAGATTTATTGAGGGTCAGTGGCGGCTGGGGAAGACGGAGCTTTGTGAATCTGATGAATTTCTCAAATCGAATCACGGCCAAGGCTAGGAAGTGGAGTAGCTGATATAAAGCGGAAGTGGAAAAGCCGAAAAGCTAAACAAAAAGCCCAAGCCCAAGCTCAAGCCCACTTCACGGGATTAGGGGGACCAAAAGCAGAAAAGAAAAGAAAAGAATGGGGCCCAATTGTCTCTAGAACCCATACCACTAAGCAATTCCTTTTTCACAAACCTTGAGATTTATTCATTTATTAACAACAAAGATGGAAATGTGACATTGCCCCATCTTTGTTGCATAAAGTGGCCTTCACAATATATTACAGCTTTGCTATTGTGTAATGCCACCTCATCTTACCCTTAAACAAGGCAAAAAAATACATTTTCTACTTTGTTGAGTTGAGTTCTATCATCAGCATTCCACATCGCAAAAACTAACAATACCAAACAAAGAAATTTTGCTTTCTCACACACTTCACATTCTAGTCGACATTCTCTCTCTGTTCATTTGTTTGTTTATACTTTATATACTGTTAACTGCCTTGTCCCAAACGGAAAGCAAAAGAAATGGTTGATACATAGCCAAGGTTGGTGGGAGGCAGCTGAGCAGAGTTTGAGTGCCTGATTGGTCCAGATCCTGCCCCTTGGCCCAAGCCCAGGCCCAGCCGCCCCAATAAGCTCCACCTAAAAATTCCGCACCGTTAACCGCTTTCGTCTTTTGTGGAACCCACACGTCTCAGACTATTAAATAAACCGAACAAAGAAAATCCCAAAGTCAGTAGTCAGTCCGCGGGTGGAACATTTTATCCAAATAATATTCTTCTTTGTTATTATGGTAAAAACATTTTTTTTTTCCCTCGTTCAATTACGGTCAAAACAAATTCTTTCTTCATTAATTCGTCCTTAATTATATAGCAAAAAAAAAAAAAAAATTTGTCATTAATTAAAATTCTCCAACTTAATGGAATTTTGAATTTGTGGAATTGCACTAACTGACTATTGTTTTTATCTGAAGCCTGTCTTTTCTGGGACCATAATATGACCACTCATAAAATCTTTATGGACGGACCAAGAATCAATAATTAATTAATCAAGACAGCACAAAGATTAGATTAACTAAATATATTTATAATTAAAGATAATGACAAAACAAATTAAATTAGTACGAAATTATTCTCATATTTATTATTAATTTATTGTTGTTCATTTTTCTTTTCATTTCAGTTGCAATTTGGCAAAGTTGTTCTACGCACGCCAACCAAACCTATCTCTCTCCCTACTTACACAAACTCTCACAAACCCTTTCTATCTCCCATCTCCACACCGCCCCGAAGCTGCTCTTCTTCTTCTTCTTCTTCTTCTCCCCCTCCAATTTCCCGATCGCCGGAGCAATTCTCCTCCTTCGTTTCTCCGATCAGGTACGATCGATTCCATTCTTCCTCTTTATCTCTCTCGACTCCTATTCACATATCTCTCTGACTCGGAGCAGTTATGGTGTCTGTCATCGTCTCTGGGGGTGTATTTGATCACTTTCCTGCTCCTCCCTTCTTCTCTCTTTGTCTGTGTTTGACCCGTGCTTATTTGATCGCTCTGTTTGATTTTCTCAGCTCCATGAATTTATGCTTACTGTTGATGTGATTTTGATTTCCCCCCTATGGACTATGGTCGCTTTTTCTCCGTGGTTATGGTTTGTTTTTTTCGGGCGGTGATGGAAGTGATTGATCGGCCAGCTCGTGATTCGTCTTGGGGTTTATTGATCGATAATGAATTCGGCTGTCCTTTTCTTCCCGTTTGAATTCTGCGTTGATATTCCTCGTTTCTTTCATTTGAGCATATTCTGGTTGCTGATGTTAATATGGTTGTTATTGTTTGGCAGCGGCAGGTTAGCCGGCATGTGACTTGAGGCAGAAGAAGAGCTAGCTTGGACATGGTTTTGGATGGGAAACGGAGATAATTAGGCGTGGAGGACGACTACAATTAACTATATTATGGGAGGCTGCTGCTGCTGTTCCTCCAAGGGAGCTGAACTTAATTCCACGCCCGCCTACTACTATGTCAGTAGCCCCCAAGGAATTCTGTTCCGTTCGGTATTGAGATCGAATTCGGGTGCTCTTGGATGTGTTTCTTTTTGTCTAGTGTTGATGCCACGGAATTAGTGTTTTGTTGAATTGAGGTTAATAGAAATGCTAAAGGGCTAGTTTTTTTGTGCTGCTTCTGTATTAGAATTTTGCTTGGGAATTGGGATGAGATACCCAATTGGTACTATCCTGGAATGGAACATGAGATGGTGTACGAATTAGGATTAACATGAGTTAGGCGAAGTTGATATTTGCTTTTGTTGCTATTTCATTCTCTCACGCAGTCATCTAATGTGGATGGCTCGTTGTATATTTCGTTCTTAGGATGGAAAAGGATTCGGTTGTCTGGTTCTTACTTTTTTGCTGCAGTTGTATGCTTATTATTATTATTCCTCCTGTTGGTTATATGCAGTATCCTAGAGCAGCAGAAGAGCGTATCCCATTATCAGCTCACCATGTTGCTGCCTCTACTTTCTCTTCTGGGCTCCTGGTTGATACCAACTTAGACACTTCCGTTCCAGATGCTTATAGGGCCCCTCCAACACCCATGCCATTTGATGTTGTTATAGGGCGCCCACAAACTCCACCGGAAGCTCAAGAAACTTGTAGTGATAATAGGAGTGATGGAACTCTCCAAACTGCAAATTCTGGTTCTGCTCAAGAAACACCCGGTGCTGGTACTCAAGATGCATCAGTGAAGCGTGAAGATGCCAAGGATTCAGATAAAACAAAAGCAGGCTTAGAGATTGATCCAGTGGAGGAGTTAGAGGTAGAGATCACCAAGCCAGTTGGGCCTTTTGTTCCACCTACAGAGGAGGAGGATTGTTGTCCCACATGTCTCGAAGGTAATTCCCGTCATATTATAGATTGGTTCAGTTTCCTTTGATGCTTTGTCGTCCTCCTTGGTCATCCTTTTTTTTCCCCGGCCTCCCATGCAGAGTACGATGATGAAAACCCGAGAATCATCACCAAATGTGAACATCATTTTCACCTGGCGTGCATTTTCGAATGGATGGAAAGAAGTGACACATGCCCCGTTTGTGACAAGGTTCGTAATCTCTCATTAAATGTCACAGTTAATTACTAATAGCATATTGATAATGACAAATTGAGTCTTGTTTTGCAAATAATGCAGGAGATGATCTTCGATCCTCCTATTGATTAGCACAGCTGTACAGAATACTTGGATAAAAGGCTCCACAAGTTAGCTGTTTTCACCTGAGTTTGAGAATACAAGTGTTGCAAATGCATAGAAGTCTGGTTTCTCTTCTGTTTGTGTCATTGTCCTGTGATTGTGGCAGAATATCGGGCTGTGGCTGTTTCTTTGGTTTCTCTTTTCTTTTGCTCTGTGATCGTTCTTAGCTCTTGTTGTTTGAGCACTGTATTCTCTTTCTCAGACAATGATGCAGTTTGAATAGACGCTAGGAAGGTTTGATTGGTTGAGGGGGAAAAGAAGGGAGAAAAAGAGGGAAACAGGATAAGCTGAAGAGTCTGGTCGTTGCTTCAACGTGTGAAGACACGGACTCTGGTTCACAATTTGGTTTATAGAATCATCTCATAAGGATAGAATGTTGAATGTCTTCATCTTTTGCATCGGTTCGGGTACTTTGGTTGATAGTCAGTCACATTGCTTTTCCAAATGATTTCCTGCTATGTTCTTTGTTCCCTCGGTTATGTCCCGGTCTGTAGTGCAGACTGCAGATCTTTCTTTGGCATTCAGATAAAACTAGTAGTCAGCAATTGCCTCTTTAGAGAAACAATATCAGACAGACAATTTGGGGCGTTCGGTTCTGTAGAAGGGTACAGATTGTGCAATTTGGAGGTATAGTGTGTTCTTTTGTCTTCTCTTTTCATTTCTCTGTAAATGATACGCATCTGGTGTTCGGGATTTTGGTATACAGGATTACAGGTAGCTCTCTGTCCGTCATTATAGTCTTGATTCGTCTTTGGTTGAAATTTAGCCTTGTTTTACATTTGGTTACTGTGTAAATTGAATTCATACGACCTCTAAAGACATTATTATCATTTTGTCCTGGTGTTATCTGCTGACTAACTGGAAATCTGCCGCATTCCACAATCATCAGAGGCTTTCCTGTTCACTAGTGTTGTCTGCAGGTCTGTTTATATATGTATTTATAGATCATCAAAGTGATATAACCAATGTAGAAAGCAAGAGACAATATATTGTTCTGGAAAAGCTATTTCCTGAATTTGTGGCCTCCATACTAGAACGGAGGGTGGACGCCTCAATTCTCCCTTTAAATTGTACATTAGATTTGTTGGGCAAAATAGTGTCCGAGACAACCTTGTAGCAAACGTGGTAAGCACGAATAAAAGTTTGGTGAAAGTGGTAGCTGAGTATTTGACAAATACATTCCAAACTTTAAGTGCAGCACGTAAACCCCTTTGAAGCATATCTGCTTCGGGATTCGATTTGGTTTCGGGTTTGCTTTTCAAAGGATAATGTGTTCTGATTTTCTGGTACTTAGGGTTTGAATTCCGTTATCTGGAACTGGTTCGAAGCTTACACCCCCTAATGTGAGCGGTTCTTCAAGTAAATATTGAGGTTTCAAATGAAATACATTGTCGTTTAGATTTGATTTTGAGTACAATTTTGAAGACGATTTTAAGATAAACTTATATAAAACTTGGTTTCTAAGGGCACAATCTTGACAAAAAGTATTGAGATGCACAAAAAGAGCTGAAAGACTTGTTCCTAGGCATCCATCCAAGCAACTCCTAAGAGCAAAAGATGACTTCAAATTCAGTAACGCAACTGCTCTAGCATTAGGTTTTATCTTTCTTTATTATACTTTGACATGAATATTTCCTTGTAGGGATGCCGGGAATAGTGATGGCAATGGGGCGGGGCGGGGCGGGTACCTCAATTCTCATGCCCCGCCCCACGCTATTACAGGGTGGGGCGGGTAAAACCCGCGCGGGTACGGGGCGCGGCGGGTCGACCCACTCTTAAATGTCATTCGAAAAAAATACAAATAAATTTTACTTTTTACGATAAAGCGAAGGGAAAAACACTTTAAGAATGAAAAATAGTGATAATAGAATGGGTAATTGAGTCTAACAAGTTGAAAGAGTGACTCTAACTAGTTGATGAAAAGTCAAAATAGGAGAAATATGTATAGAAATTGTAAGAAATTGAGATAAAATGAGTCTAGAATGGGGCAGGACGGGGCAGGGCGGATCGGAAGTGGATACCCATGCCCCGCCCCACGCTACTGCGGGTCGGGTAATACCCGCCCCATCGCGGGTCAGGTCGGGTAATACCCGCGGGGCGGGTTGAAATTGCCATCACTAGCCGGGAATGTAATTACACAGCGAGTTTAAAAGCTATTGTTTTTGTTTAATAAAAATATATGTCGGACATCGAAAGTATATAACTACGATATCTCTAAAATCGTGAGCGCTCGCTTGTACCCTGAATTTTTTTTTATAAAGATGGTATAGTTCGATTGCATTTATTTAATTAGCTTTAATGAAAATGTTGATTCTTTATATTATGATATTTCAACAAACATTAACCTAATCTATAACTTGTTGCAATGAAGTCTTTATTGTGTTTATCCATTTTTAGTTCACCCATTAAAAATTTCGTACACAAATGACTAGGTTGGATCAACTCCGATAAGCGTGTCCATCATGAGCAAGTGAATTCAATCATACGAGAGCAAAACCAACTACTCGATTTCATTATGTTTTCTTGTACAGTCATCAAAATCGTGACTTCTTTGTTTTGTTGATGACTTGATATCCATTAACGATTGTGGTCTTTGGCTGAGGATGTGTCAACAAGAAATACGATAACCTATGCAATCGTTAGTTACAAATTAAAGAATAAATCGTAATATCTTCAATTTTGATTTTGAAATATATCCTATTTCTCCACCTTTTTGTAAAACCCTAAATACTTGTTTCGCAATTAACTCTTGATGTCGTTACAACCTCTGGACGAGCAACTCTATCTCCTATTCTAGTGAAATCGTTCTCTTCGGTTGATAGATTTTTTCGGGAGTAAGATAAGAGTTACACCACACATACTTTCTACAACAAACTAAAAGTTAGCACATATGATTTAAAATCTACTAGTTTTTTTCATGTCAAGTTCATATTCTCTCGCAAAGCGAGATCACAAGTATTAGAAACTATATTTACCATAGCCCTCCAACACGTTAATCATGGATACAATATTGATAGCAAAATCTAATATCATTAATTTCATTGATATCGAAGTGAGATCACGAGTATTAGAAACGACATCCGCCACAACCCTTCAACATAGTAATTATCGATACAAATTTTATAGCAGAATTTAATGTCGTTTATATAATTGTCCCACTGAAATAACATCGAATTCTGTGGAAATAGAAAAAAGGAAGAGTATTTAAACTCATGAATTCCTAATTTTATTCCATTAACATTTATTCTAAGAATGGAAATCTTTTCACAATTTGACCACATTGGATATTTCCAACATGCTATTGAAGGTGAGGAAATTAATTATCGGATATGAAATTTAGATTTTTTGCCAAAACAAGTCTAGTAAATTCTTGAAGGGTCATGAATTATTATTTCTTTTTTCTTCTTCCATTTTTGGTGAATTGCCAGTTATTACTTTACTCATAGGGTTCTACTTCTATGCTTATACATATATATATATGCTAATGCACCCTTACAATCATAATCATATTGAGTTATAATATACAACCTTTGGATTATTCATCTTGAGTTCAACAAACCATTTGGAAAAACAAAAAATTCCCTTATCTTGTAAGTCCCTTTCTCTTTCTCTTTAGTTTGTTTGTCTCTGCACCTTCACACCTTGCAATTAGATCTCACATTTTACCCGTCTTAAGCTTAATAAATCGTCTCTGCTGTTACCCACTAATCCATTCAAATTTGTCTGCCATAATATTTTTCTTACTCTTTCTTCTTACAAAGTAAACAAAGTATCAAAGGGTGGTAAAATAAAAGTTTAAATCTTTTGCCCGCTGCATTTATCTCTGCTCTTCTCCAACTGTTCATTTTCTCTATCCTTTCTTCCCTCCTTCTTTCTCGTCTCAGGAACTATTTGTTTTTTCATAAAAATTTACATTTGGCGGCTGGGTTTGTAGATTGCGAAATTGCACCACCATTATCTTGAGTCAAAAATTATGGTTTAATCGTTTCATATCGTTAAAATCCGCCTATCAGTTTAGTCTTCGATAAGAGATGTTTACGGTCGAATCGTCTCTTCGATAGAAAGTCTTATGATCACATCACCGATACGGTATGATTCGACAAACACGGCAAACTAAAAAAAAAGGAATGAGATATCATCTTGCCAACCCATCCATGGGGTTTTTAGGTTGCCCTAGTATAACTTATGAATTCACTCGCTTTTGGTTTCAGGAATTACAGTTTGTGTCATCTCCCCTCATTTTTCCAGTGTGTCCTTGTCTGTATCAATTTGATGAAACGACCGTCAAAAGATCAGAGCTTTTCCCCTTTGTGAACCCAAAACCTGAAACTTTGTTTGCTTTGTTTCTCTTGCTCTGCTTTTGCATTGAATTGGAATAACTAGAACACTGATTTTGGACTTGGGTTTCTGGAGAAAGGGAGAAAGTTCAGGTCTTTTGATGGCAGGGTGGTCGATGTTTGCAAGTGGCCCTTGTTTGGGGAGTGCTGAAGTTAATCATAAGCAGAAGACAATTACCAAACATGTCGCGAACGACATTGTTGTTACTGGCAATAACCCTAATGACGACGATGTTGTGAAACTGAGGAAACTGTTTGATGAGGCTTTTTCAGTTTTCTATGATTTGGGTTATAATAACGGGGAGTCCATTAAGCCGGTTCAAGGGTTGCTTGGCGACGGCCAACCTATTGATCTGTTCAAGCTTTTCTATGTGGTTGGAAACAGAGGAGGGTTTGATTTGGTGAACGGATGGTGGCAGTTTGTGATGGAAGAACTAAGGATGGATCCCAAGTATTCGGGTTGCATTAAGTTGGTTTATTTCAAGTACTTGTACAACTTGGAAAAGTGGCTGACTCAGAGCTATAGTTACTGTGAGCAAGGCAGCGATTCGGGCAATTTCTCTGTCGATTTGGAGACCAAGTTCAGGAGCGTTTTGGCGTACGAGGATGGCAAAAAGAACGGTAGAGTTGCCTCACTAGAACTCAAGAAAAGTGGCGAGGATGATGATGATGATGAAGATGTTAGTGGCGGTTACAAGAGTTATGTTGACGGCGATGCTTATTACCTTGCTCAGAAAGAATCACGCAAGAGGAAACGCGTTTCGTTATCTGAAATGCTTAGCTGGATGGCTCGGGCTGCAGCATGTCCCGACGCAGTCATCTCCAAGTCAAACCATACTGTGAAAGACAATGACTTGAAGGCCATGGCCATCAAAGCTAGAGATTTTCTGTTGAGGAGAAAGCCTGTTGATTCGAATGTTGTTCAAAATTGTTCAAAGGTGCACTTCTCTATGATACTTTAATATTTCTTACCATCTTCAGTAATTACATATTTCATATGCTCACTTGTATCAGAAGGCCTATTGGCTTATCTTGTCTGGCGTTTGATTGTATTTGGTGCATGATGTTGATTGAAGTGGTGCATAGTCTTCTGCAAATTCTTTTACTTAGCTTAGAGGGGGGCCAAAGTGCTTGTTTTGGGTCATTTACAAGGTCCTGCATGCAAGTGATGATTTTACGTGGATTTTAAACTAACTCTTTTTTATCTGGATCGATTCATTGTTATATTTCCAAAACTTTTATGGCGGTCTCGTTCGAAATTTATTTCGAGAACATGCATTTACGTATACTTAACATTTATTCCTTTTGTGACAATCCCTTTCGAGGAGAAGTAGTTCACTTTACGTTCTAGTCTTCTACGCAACAATCTACCAATATTAGCGTCTTGGCGTACCGAATTTTATTCATTTCATATGGATGTTGAATTGGAAGTCTGATTCATTTTCCTTTTCCTTACTCTTGGATTTTCCTGACTCTATTTTTTTCTTCTTCTTCTTCTCTATTAGACATTTTGAACAAGTTATGCAATGACTAACTATATCACCCAAAGCATATGAAGTTCTCAAGAGCATCTTTTTATCTTGTTGAATTGTTCCGACTAGTGCTATTTGCTCTTTCTAAATCTTGTTCCTTAAACATGCAGAACCAGCAAAAGATGCATCCATCCATGTATGACGATATCAAGGTCGACCAAGCTGTGGAGAAACCAAGATGCAGAGGAAGACAACCTACATCAAGCAAGTCATCATTTTTCATGTTACTACATTCACAATAAAAAAGTGTTGATTATGCCAAACTTTTAAGACTAACTATGTCGATTCTGCTCCTATTACAGAAGCAATTGTTCCAATTCCAGTTCGTGTCGGTGCTCGATTCCAGGCTAAAGTTCCTAAATGGACAGGGGAAGTATACGAGAGTGACAGCAAGTGGCTAGGAACAACAATATGGCCTGTGGAAGATGCAAACTCTGTCACTGAAGTTCAAAAGAATCTTGTTGGTAAAGGAAGGCCTGATTCCTGTAGTTGCCTGGTTCCAAACTCGGTTGGATGTGTTCGATTTCACATTGCAGAGAGAAGGATGGAACTGAAGCGGGAATTAGGCCCGGCATTTTTCAAGGGTGGATTTAACCACATGGGAGAAGAACTGTCCCTCAGTTGGACTGCAGAAGAAGAACAGAGATTCATGGATATGGTGAGAGATAACCCTCCATCTCAGGACAAGTGTTTTTGGGATTATGCTCATAGGTATTTTCCTCAGAAGACGAAGCAAGAGATGGTCAGCTATTACTTCAATGTCTTCCAGGTTCGGCGGAGGAGTTACCAGAATCGTGTGACGCCGAAAGAGATTGATAGTGATGATGATGAAAACCCGTTTGGATCTTTCACGGATGGTTTTGGGTACGATGCGATCGATGTTGGTGCTAGAGACGTATGTTTAGTGAATCGGGTGCGAAATGAGTACCCCTAGACATGAAGATCATTCACTGATGGTTTTGGGTACGATGCGATCGACGTTGATGATAGAGTTATATGTTTAGTGGATCGGGCGCGCGGAATGAGTACCCCTAGATTTGAAGATTATTTTCAACAACACAATACAGTGTGACTGGAAAGTTGGAAACACATGTTTTTGTTAGAGACATCATTCTTCGTTTGAATTTCATCATGACAGCGTTTGAAACTTGGACATGGTTTACTTACAAGGCATCCTGACGAGAATGGAACCGAGAGGGGGGTACTTTTGTTTCAATCTTCTTTCTTAATCAAACTGTGGTTTGACTATGCAAAATAAGTTGCAAAATTGTGAAAGATTCATATGATTGCCTATGGTGAACTTACTGTTTATTTTCAGAGGAGATTAGGGTGAAGATTCCCCCCTTACAAACCGACTTCTTTTGTAAACTTAGGATAATATTGAATGTAAAATTACCATATCATATTTAGAAGTTAAATTATATATTAGTAACTGAAGTATTTCATCACTATATTATATTTTTTTTATAAACATGTATAAACCGCGCTAACTAGATTGACCTTGATTCAACCATTCAACGTGTGATCCAATTTCTTCATTCAGCCATAAGAGCTAGCAACCTTGAAAAGAGCAATCTTAAGATTCTTTTCTGTTTAGAGATCAGTTTCTTGATTTATGTTCAATAGAAAAAAAAAAAAAGAATCTACCCAAAATGCATAAAATTAAAAAGTACAAAAGCATACCTGAAAGCTCCAAACTTTACTTTGTTCAAATAGTTAGTAATATATCATATAAATGTACCAAAAGCTAGTGAATATAATCTAGATGAAGTGTGGAAAACACCACTTTTCAAGCGTTATCGCTACCTTACTTATGAAAAAGGAGTTATGCGCATTGGGCGAAGTCTTAGAAACATGTCAACATTACATCTAGTCAATGGAGTTCGTGATATACAACGATCATGAGTCCTTTGAAGTACTATAAGGCACACCACAAGTTAAATAAATGGTATGCTCATTGGATGGAGTTCATTGAATCTTTTCCTTGTGTTTTGCTATAAACAAGGTAACAAGGAGTGTTGTTGAGGAATTAAGTCGCGATGATCTTAATTTTTAGAGATATTTAATTATAAAGCATGTGAAAAGCATGATGAAGTGAAGTACATGGATATAAGAAGTGATATGGGAAAAGTGTGTGCAAAGTGTTTTAATTGTAATAAGACCATATCAAAAGTTCAACTAATTAAAACCAACTATATGGCGAATTGAATCTAGTTATCGCTATACAATCAACTATATCCTGATTACATATGAAAAGCTCATGTACTGACTACTGAAATGGCTAAAAGTAAGTTTTTATGCAACCATTTGATCCAATATAAAAAAATTATAATGGGAGTGAAACTAAGAAGAAGAAAAAGTTGAAGAATGAAATTTACCTTCTTGTACCTTTCCATTATCTTTCCCACCGTAATTTCTCAATTCAGTTTTTTACTGCACCGAAACAGGGGGAAGAAGAAATTAAAAGACGGGTTAGGGTGTGCCGTGTGGTTCTAAATGCCCTGCCTGCCATTGGATTACTCTTCCAGTCTAGGCTATAACTCCTCCGTTTCTCTCTCAGCATATCATAACATATTTGTTTAATTTTGCCGAAAGCTATCTCCTTTCCTTTTCCATTTCTTCACCGCCCCTACCTCTTCGGAAACAGCAAAAATAACTTGCAAACCCAGAAGCAAGCAACCCTTTGAACAAGCGCAGCCAAAAAGAAAGAAGCAAACATGTCTTCCCCAAGCAAACGCCGTGAGATGGATTTGATGAAACTGTATGATAACTTCTTCGAAGCTATCTCTCTGAATCAGGAACTGCTCTTCTGTCAATTGGGTTGCGACCAAGTTTCGTTTCTAATTTTCTTTTCTCTGGTTTTTATATGGGAAAATTAGGATGATGAGTGATTACAAGGTGGAGATGATCAATGATGGCATGCAAGAGTTCTATGTGGAGTTCCATGGACCGAAAGACAGTACAATCTTGACTACCCTCTTTATCTTTTCCCCCCTATTCACTGCTGTTTTGATCTATATGCTTGTTAATTTGTCCTGAGGCGGTGATTTTTCTGGGTTCTTTTACTTCTTCCAGTAGTTGATTGATTTCGCCACTGTGTTGACCTTATCTAAGTGGATTTTGGTGATAGATTTGTCCTTGGAGATTGGTATAGATGACCAACTTCCTATTCTCCTTTTGCTTTAGCTAGTCATTTTTCAGCTCTTTTCTCCATCTGGGTCACCTGTTATTCATCATTTTGATCAATAATGGCAATATGGTAGTTGCCATTTTTGCTGTAGCATAAGAAGGTGCTGATGTTGTCGTGGATTTAGTCCATTTCTTGAGTCCTTGTTCGAGGTGCAGCTTAGTTTGATGATTTTCCTCATCGAAAACTAGTTCATGTTGGGGATTCTTTACTGGTTAGAGAAGGTGGGTTCTTTTTGTTTCTTCAGTTTTTTTAATGTTTGCTTTTTGGAATGTGGTAGGTCCCTACCAAGGAGGGGTGTGGAAGATAAGAGTGGAATTACCAGATGCTTATCCTTATAAGTCTCCGTCTATTGGATTCATTAACAAGATCTACCACCCAAACGTGGATGAAATGTGAGCTAGCCTACCCATATATTAGGATTTGAATCAGAACTTGAATGCTTTCTTATTGGTGCTACTGTATAAACAGACTGGCCCCGACTTCTGACCGTAGAGTTGCTGGTTCTTGTGTCTCAGGTCTGGTTCAGTTTGCTTGGATGTTATCAATCAAACTTGGAGCCCTATGTTCGGTATGCATTTTTTGTAGACTTGTCTGTGATGGTTCACTATTGAACTACAATCAGTCGTTTGCTTTCAGAGCTGGAATTTTGTTTGACCTGCCACTTGCTTCAAATTCCCTTCCAGATCTGGTGAATGTATTCGAAGTGTTTCTCCCCCAGCTTCTTTTGTATCCCAATCCCTCAGATCCTTTGAATGGAGAAGCTGCTGCGCTAATGATGCGTGATCGCTCTACCTATGATCTCAGAGTGAAAGGTAGCCTGTCTGTGATACCGATATTAAGTTTATCTGAATGCCTTGCCGTCTGATCCTGTGTTTGATGTTTGGTTAAATGCTTTCAAATTTCATGTTCTTATGCAACATGTGCTGATAACAACATAAAGTTGCAAACGTTCAAGGCACGAGAGTGAAAATATAGCAAAACACCTTTCTTCCTTGGCTTTTAGAGGCTTGGGATCTGTGTTATCTTAACTAGGGACCCTAGTTGTCCAGTCGATTTCTCAGTCTTTAGATTATGAGATTGGTCTTCCTGTACCTGTTTGTGCTGTTGCAGCATCATCTCTCGTTCAGCATCTCTTGTGTCAACCTGATTTTTGTATTTCCAATTGACGTATCCATGACATCCGCTCACATCCATCATGATTGCTGCAACCTTCTGCAGTAGGTAATGGAGCACAGCCATTGGTACTGCATGTGTGAGCAAGTAGTATTGAATGAGTTAATATATTCTTGGTCATAATGTGAGTCTTGAAATCTGCCCTTTGGCTTCCAACAATAATCTTCAAGTGTCCTACCTTATGGATGGAATCTGATAATTTCAATGGTAATCTGGAACTCTTTCCATTAAAATAGATATACTGCTGAGGAAATAGCATAGTATCCCATTGTCTCTTTGCTTCTTGATTGCGATGCGAGTAGACTGCGTGGAAGTTCAATGGTGTTGCTAATTCTCTGCATTCTGTTCTAGTAAAAATGGTTGTTTGAAACATGTAAGGGAGAGAACCAAAACATGAGAACCATAATCTTCATTGGTTGAATCAATTTAAGTGTGTCTCTCGTCACTCTTACTGAAAGTCTGTTGCATCACAAATAGCACATTCGTCATCTGCAATTCTTTGCAACCTCCTAAACTTTTGCTAATCCAATTGCCTTGCAACAGAGTATTGTGAAAAGTATGCGAAGCCGGAGGATGCCGGGGCAAAACCAGAAGAGAAATCGTCAAGCGACGAGGAGCTGAGTGAAGATGAGTATGCATCCGAAGATGAGCAAGTTGCAGGGAAAGCTGATCCTTGATTGCCTACTTGTAGCCTGGTACCCTGCTCTTTACTAATTGTCTGTAATCCTGTACATGATAGCTTTCATCGTTCTTCGAAGATGGAAACGAAATCCCAAAGAAAAGATAGGGAGAACAGAAATGCTGAAGGGGGTGAAGGGGAAAATTTTCCTTACCCCTGACAGTCATGAACTTTGAACCTTTGTGTATATTGTTTCAGCTGTGGGATTGATGTTTCGGATATTCATTTATTACTTTTTGTTGGAACAATGTCTGTTTGCTCTTTTGCTTTGGGGTTGGTATTCTCTGATCTCCACTCTCTTGTTTCCCAAAGAAAACAAGATGTGTGAAATCTAATTGGCCATTGATTACCAGGGTTTAGGGCTTGCCCGTTGGAAATTGTCGAGGAATGGACCATCACACTATCATATTGAACGTCTATGACATTGTTCGGATGGGGTCTGAAAAAGAAAGGAACAACCATTGTTCATGTTTGAGATATAGTAGGCAGGCAACTATCTCCCCTAGTCGATTTTCAGCAATCATTCGATCGTGATCGGCATGGTGGCTGTGGAAAACATGCTCATTACAGAGTCTTCCTGATACTCCAGGAAGGAAGATGATCCTCCTCGTAAATGGTGGGTAGCTAAGGAATCCTTCAGAATTCAGATGTGTTTGGATCTCTCCAACATAAGAGAAACTATTTCCTTTCTTGGATTGCCCTCACTCAACAGGAAAACTCAAGTACATGTTACTGATTGGAGCCTCATTGTCATTGATACCGACGGCAGGCAGAAGTGAAGGAGAGAGAGAGAGATGTCAGAAGACTTCACCTCGGCCTAATAATTGAGCAATTTGAATGCCTCTGTTAGGCAGTGTTGGAATGCAAGACTTCCAAGTTCCAACATGTGTATTTAGTATTTTTACTGTTCGTCAACAAAAAGAAGGTAAAGAATGAATATATGTGCATTCACTGCAGTTCACATTTATTTAACACTTGTGAAGCAAGCTTGGGTCATTCTTTGGATATTCATCAAGTGGTGATGGAGAAACGCTAGCGGCGATGCGATTTGAGATTGATATTATATTATGGTGATGCAAAGATTGATATAAAAAAAAAAAAGATTTTGTTACATTTTCATTGCAGCCAGCTCAACAGATTGTTTATACTAAATGTGGCGAGCCAACGTAACATCTGAGCCCGTATAGCTCAGTGGTAGAGCGTCAGTCTTGTAAACTGAAGGTCCGTAGTTCGATCCTGCGTGTGGGCACTTATTTTTCTTTTTCTGTTCTTTTTTAATTTTCGTATATTTGCAACGTTGTACACCAACGCTTTCTTTCTCTGCAAATGTTACTGTTTCCTTTTTTCCCTGCCGAAACCTGATCAGAAATGGCTCCATCTCCATCCCAAAAACTCCTCGGCAACAATCTCTGCATAATTCAATTCCAGACCAGAATGGCGTATAACAAATAATTATGGTTGATTACAAATGGTGTGGCGGAACTGGAATGGAAACCCTACTACATCCTCTGCAAACCTTATTCAGTATACTTTCTATACTTCCCCTCTACTCGTAACCGGAAAAAAACCAAAACACCCTCCGGCCGCCGACGTCGTCTACGGCGGAGAAGAAGCATTATTATGATTACCACCGGCCGTCGTCTGAACTTTCGCAATCAACCTCCCAAGCTTACTAAGCGTCTCCCTCGCCGCAACCGTATCAGGATGATTCTCCCCACAAATGGAAGCCCTAATGAAAATCGCCTTCTTGATCAAATCATCCCCAACATCGAAAACCCCGCCTCTCAGCATCAGCTTCGCCCTCGTCTCCAGCACCGTCGCCCTCGTCAGCGCCAGCTCCTGCCACAGGTACGGGTTCAGCTGCGCGCCCGTCTGAATCGGCCGCCAGCACAGCGACTTCTCCAGCCACTTCTCCACCGGGGTCACGAACGCCTGATCGGCCTCCTCCAGCGCGTCCGTGCACAGCCGGAGCAGCTCCACGCTGGCCTTGCATCTCGACATTGTGATGAACGTCCTGATCGCCAGCGGCAGGATCACTTCTTTGACCGCGTAGAGCAGCTCCGAGACCTGGAGATCGACGACCCCTTTCTGCTCGTTGCCGAACCCTAATGTGAGGAAGCACGCCGCCCAAATGTGCTCCGAGTGGTGGAAGATCGAGCCGCGGTTCAGCACGGCTCGAACCATCGCCTGGGCGGTTTCTGGGGATGTTGTTGTTGTTGTAGAGGTGATTCCTTCCCTGCGAGCGTAGAGCTTGATTAGGTCGTTGACGTGGATGGAATTGGGCTTGGTGCTTGCTCTGGCGATGTTGAATCTTAGGAGGAGAGAGGATGCTTCCGATTCGGACCGCTTGGTGTAGGGAGAGGACAGACCGCAGCTCATTGAGCTGAGGAGCTTTCTCCAGGCCTTTTTCCGGCGATCCTTTTCAGGGATTTTGCTGGCGGCTAGGGCGAGCAGAGGGGTTGGGATTGGAGCTGGGGCGAACCAGCCGCTTGCTTGGACCATACGGTTTGCCAAGCTTCTCGGTCCGTCGACATGGTCGAAGATCGAGAAGCATACTTCGAAGAGCTGGAGGAGGAATGTGTTTCTCCTTAGTGGGTTGGATTCTCTGCTGCTGCTACTCCATGGGATGTCCCTCAATGGCATTCTGTTTATGGTGTCCAGCAGTCTGCTGGGGTTGATGGGCAGTTCGGACAGAATTGAGCCAATGATGGAGAGGCCTAGGGTTAATCTTCCGACTTTCTCCTCCATGGCTCGAAGAGCATCGACTTCTGGGATTGAGTACTCCTTGATGGTGGTGGTGGTTCCTTGCATCAGTGCCATGGCTTCGACTCCTGATAAGTAGGAGAGCTTCATTGGTTCTAAGTTCATCACTCGGGGTAAGCGGGTGGAGATTATTATGTGTGTTTCTCCACCGAACAGAGGGAGTAGATCCATGATAGGCTTCTGATCCCACCAATCTTTTTCGCTCTCCAAGTTGTCAATGATTAGTAAGAAGGGTATGTTTCTTGTGAGCTGTTTCTTGATTCTCAGAATGGCTTCCTCCTCTTGTTCTTCGAAGCTTCGTATCTTGGTTTTCTCCGAATTATGATCCAAACCAACATCAATTTCGAGAAATGACCACAGGTTTAGATAGTTCTGCCTAATGTACCTGCTTTCCCCACCAATCCAGAGCACCATTTTGTACCTCTGGTGATACCTATAGGCAAACTCAAGGAGAAGCTCTGTTTTGCCTATTCCTGGCTCACCTGAAACACAAGCAATGCCCTTTCCATACAGAGGCTTTCTCGACGATCTCCTTCTCCTTGCATAGTAACGTGGATTCTGCTTCGGCCTTATCTCAATCTCCTTCTCTGATTCCTTCCATAATATGGGCTCTTTGAACTTATTATTATCACCACTTACACTTTCCAATTTCCATCCAAGATTCATACTTTTCTTCCTTCTGTGCCTTGCCTTGAGCTCGAAGTAATCTCTTTCAGTATCTCCACTGACATCACCAAACAGCATGAACTCCAACTCAGAAAGCTCTCTTTTCCTGCCAACAAAGTTGTCGCTTCGAGGAAAGGGGAACTCTTCTTTGTCTGCTTTCTCTCTCCACTTTGTCACTCTATCCACAACACTTCTCCTTCCTAGCTGCATTCCCAGAAGTGTCACAGCTCTCTGAATGCAGTCTCTCCAGTTTCCTTCCTGAGCCTCTAGCTTCCACTCGTCAACCCGGGACAAGCTATTCACAGCTTCCTTCCATTCTTTCTCGACCCCACCATAATGTTCCCAAAGCTCGCCTCCATGTTTCTCCCACAAATCACCACTCTTCTCAACAATGTCCCTCACAAGGCAATCTCCTGGTCTCAAGTCGAAAAAAACCGGGACTAAGTTCCTCTTGTCAGCAAAGAATCGAAGCTCTTCAATGGTGTATGGATTTCTGAAGCATTTTCTAGTTAAGACAACAATGCCAAAGGATGAAACATCCATTGCCTTCTCAGCCAGTCCACTTTTCCTAGAGTTTCTACACCGAGCTCGGTCAGATACAAAGCAGCTCACTCCTTGAGCTTCCAGTTCAGTTCGCAGCCAGTTGGTGAATCTCAGCAGAGAAGGCTTTCTGCCATGGAAGCCTATGAAGACATCACAACTCCTAAGTCTGTTTGAGCAAAGCGGTACAGTTACCGGTGTTGCAGCATATGCTGTTCTGTAACCTCGACCATGCTTACTCCTATGCTTCTCTCTCAACTGCGAATAGCTGTTGTTGCCAGACGGACTGCTGTTGGATATCCCAGTGGTTGAGGATGTTATCCTGTCAAAATTCTGGAAATCAGCAGCAGCAATCCCACCTGGGTCCCTCGAGAGTTGTGACAATGTATCTCTAATGTTGGTCAAAGACTCAGGATCCTGGAGCCCAGATGTCGAGCTTGGAGGGTCGCCGCTTAGATTATTGATGCTGTCACAATGAGCATCGGACCGAGTTGATTCCGAGACTTGACATGTCGTTGCTGGGGATCTTGGTGAGAAGAATGGTGATTGGTTTGCTGAGAAGAATGTTGAAGATGATGAGGAAACACTCCTCAAAGTTGTTGTAGCTACCGGAGGTAACAACCGGGGCTTAGAGTTGCAGAGGTCTTCTCGGATGTCCATAATTTGTGTAAGGCCTTGTACTTGATAAGGAAATGGAATCCCATGAACAAGGGAATACTCCAAAAAAATTGCAGACTCTGAAATGAAAAGAAAGAGAATCTTCAACTGAGATTCTGGGTATCATTTACCAGCCTTGGCAATTTCAAACTTAGATATGAAGCATCATAACGGTTCATTCCTAAACAAAGTTGGAAGAATCTCCAAATGTCGAGTTAATGAGAACTTACTAAAACAGTGGAAATTGGAATCGACAACCGAAAAAGGACAGAGAGGGCCCCAGAAAGAAGAACCACAGTTAACCAAACTTTCCAACAGAATGAATAAAAACCCATCAACGGAAGCATTCTGAAATGATTGAGGAAGCTCAAAAGCTTGAAACTTTAAAGGGTAATCTAGATCTAATCAGCCATTGAAAGATGGAGAAACAAAGACACCACATTCTACAGAGAATTCAGATCTGAAGAAGAAACTTACTTAGCAAATCTTGAGATGGGCTTCTTTATCATCAGATTCACTGGCCGGCAAACGACCCCAATGGAGCGCGAGTACAAGTCCAATTCATTGGCCGGCAACTCAAGAGAGTGCAAAAGAAACGCAGAGTTCGAGGAAACCCAGATAACAACTTGGGGATTGCAGAGGCCACCAATCACAGTACAATGAACTTACACCCCCCAAAAAACCTGCAACCAAAAAATAGGAAAAACAGGACACAAACAACTCATTCACATTCCATAAACAAACAAGAAGCCGGATGGAAAGAAAGAACGATTGGGCTGGCTTTAAAAATGACATAAACAGAAAGCTGTTAAGGACAGGGAGAAAGAAGATTGAAAGAGAGGGAAAGGGCAAACAACAACAACAAAAAAAAACACAGCAACCCACTGTCAATCAATGGCTGTCTGAAACACCCAAAAAAATCCCTTTCAGCCGTCAAGTGAAGAGAGTGTAGTGTAAATCACTAAATTGGAGTTGGACTCTCTATACTATATAAAGATTGAAAAGGGAAAGAAATTTTGAAAGAGACCCCATTTTGAAAAAACAAGAAAGAAAGAAACTTTCATATTCAGTTACAACAAATCAAATGCCCAAAATCTGCTTACCTTTTTTTCAGCTGTAGAGGGAGTAAAGAAAGGTGAAAATTTATAGAAAAATAAAGAATAACAATAAAAACTGGTAGTTGTCCTTACAATACCCACAACCAAAAAACACTCCAACAGGCAGCCTCCCTCAAAAACAGGCACTGATTATGAAGAACAAGAAGACGAAGAAGAAAACCCACATTCAGAAAAAGGGGGAAGAGGTAAATTTCAAAAACATCCCTGGTTTTTCTTCTCTCTCTCTGTCTCTCTCTCTAGGGTTGGGGAATGAGAATTACCCAGAGCTTCCTTGTTTGAAAAGATCTTTCCTTTTGCTGGTTCTTCAGTTTTGTCAGGGGGATGAGCAATTTTGGCTGTGGGGGGAGGAACAGTAGCACCGTTGAAAGAAAGAGAAGAGAAGGAAGGAATTGGGTCCCAAATGGATGGATCTGACCAAAGTATGGGTCGGGTTTTGTAGTAGGCTCCACTCCACACTCCATTAATAAACAAAAAAATATATGTAAAGGTCCAAAAAATAAAATTAATAAAGGAGGTCTGAGTTCTGAGAGAGACAGCCCACAGTGAGAAGTGGGGAAATAGAAAAGGCTCTCTCTTATCTTTTCTTTCACACTCGCCTCAAATACAGTCCTCATTCTTTTACTTTTATTTGTTTTTTTAACGTTTTTTCATACATGTTCTATCGAAAAATAGGAAGAAATTTTTTGGGTTCAGGTAATCCACTGAGACTTTCACATTGGTGTTCTCAGAGTTGCTGTTTGGGATTTCATTTGTTGTTTTAAGGTTTTTTTTTTCCTTTTCTTATTTCTTGAAATAATTGATGTCTATCTCATCGCTACACCAAAAATGAATTGATAAAAAATAGTGTAATTTTCTATGTAAATTATATATGTTGTTTGACATAAAACTATAACAGGAGTGTGAAATGTATCGAAAATTTAAATAATTTATCTCTAGCCTAATCAAATACCTTAATGTATTCACTTGTCATTATAGAGTGAAAATTCTTCTCGTGGCAATTGTGTTTGCAGCTTATGCAGCCTTACACCCCACAATTGACATTTTACTTACATGTTTCTCACTCTTCGATGATCTCAACTTGACAACTTCCAAATATATTAGATTGTTAGATTCGTTATTGTCAAATAAGTTCGTATTCAAATCAAATCGATTAGATTGTTAGGATTGTTTGTCCATGTGGAGAGCTAACTAGCTCATTGCTTGTTTCATTCTTGGGTTCATGATTTTTGTTTGTCGGTTGATGATGTTGTTGTGGTTGTGGATTGGCATTTAAGAAGAGATCTGCTTATCTCCAACATCCAACTAGCTATTGTCATTGTTATTCATTTACTTCCACACCGTTGTCTTTTGCTTTAATTTCAGACATAAATAATTTGGCACCTAAATTTACAAAGGGAAGGGGACTGTTGTCATTAACTTTGTATCATTCGTTCGCTTGCTTTCCGTTGGCTTTATAGCTTTAGGTAAGTTTGTAAACGACAGAAAACAAAACACAACAGTTCTATTTTATGTTTAGGTCTGGTGAGAATGTGGTATCTATCAGACTGAATTTTGGTGAGTGTATTATAGTGAAATATGTTAGCAAACATTGTTACGATTCACGGTCGAATCTCTTCTAATAATTCGAGTCATTAAAATTAATTGGTTATTGACAAGTATCCATAAGGATTGAAGTAACCTCCATATGCACCAAGATGCCATCACTTGATCTCCCTTCAACCGTATGTATTCTTAACATTATTGCTACACTAATCTGAATTGAATCGCAACTTTCATCATTCTATATAGTTACTTCATATTATATTTAATTAATTGAAATTTATTGCTCACATGTATAATTTTAACCAAAATTTATAAAGTGAAAGCTACCAACTCACGAACTTTACAAGGAAATGATTGGTTTGAAGGACAAAGGGAAAAGAAAAGAAATATGTGGGTTATACACATATTCATTAGATGGGGAATTTCTTAGCTCATATATTTTTAGCATACAGTTAGATTCCAATGATGGTGACCAGAGGCAGAGCCCCCCTTAGCTCTCCAATGATTTGTGCAGCAATTTTTACTATCACTAAAATCATCTTTAAGCTTGGCATATGACGATTACCACATTGGGAAATTCCCTTGATTTTTAAGATTGGCCAAACTTGTGATTTTGGGAGACAATTTTCCATTTAGGCTGAAACCCATAAGATACAATCTATTGCAAGGCTTGTTTTACACCCCCCACATTGGGAAATTCCCTTGATATTTGCTCATATCAATCTTCCCTCTATATGGTTCCTTTTTCCTCTAGAGGATCTCCATACATAAGTTGATATGGCCTAGTCCATGAATCAATAATATTTAAGGTCATGTTGTAGTTTGTAAATAACCTTCCCTTAAATTTTGGTTAGTTACAAATTTATTACTTATTAGAACTTAATCTCGACTGTATAAATATGAAGTAGTTGAGTTCTACCGCTAGGATTTTTCTTGTTAGCTTCTTAAAACCTAATAGGGTCTAATAGGGTCCGGATAAAGTGTTGTTATACTAACAACAAGGGCATAATAGTAAAATGATGATAAAAATAATAAAACAAACAATTAAAAGATTTATCATCATCCTCTCTCCCGTTCCAATCCCCATCGCAGGCATCTCAGTTCCTCCTCTCCCCCCAAATGCCCGCGGCGGAGGCGGAGGAGACGTCACTCTCATCAGAGGCAGCGGGAGCGCCTCCACCGCCGCCGCTCCGTCGCCGTTCAGAAAGGATTCCACGGATCTGGTGCGGAGGATCACACTGATCGCGTACTTCCTCGAGGAGATTGCGAATTTTGACGACGGATCTGGTGTCGGCAGGAACTTTGACACCGCCACCATGTATCTCGCTCTACGCAGGCTAGCTTTCCTGCCGGCGGCAATTAATTCCTATCGCGCGCACCACCGGCCCGACAACCCACCACCAACCCTTTCCCCCACCCTCAGCGTTCTCACGCAATTCAGGGGAAGCAGCCACAGCGTCGGCGGAATTAGGGTTCGTCATCCACTCAATTCCAGCTTCGGTCTCCATCTGTGTCTCGACGAATCAATCCCATTCGATCCAAATTACTCCAAGCAGAATCGCTGCCGGAACACATTGAAAAGAATAACGTACCTCCATCATGTGGCCTCCCCTGATTGCGTGGCTGCCCACCATGATAGGAAGGAAGGTCGATGAAGTTGTGTCTTGCTTCTTCATGATCCCTCTGGCGGTGATGGAGATGATGTTATTGCCGGCGATTTTGATGAGGCAGATGTTGGTGTCCTCTGCTTCATTACCATCTTTTCTTTCATGCTTTAATTTCCAAATTGGGGATGAAGGTCACACGAAGCTTTACACTGTAATAGCGGCCTAGAAACTCTATCTTTGTTTACTTCTCGAGATTAAATTGTACTCATTGACAGCTGAAGGAGCTTGGTCTTTCAATGGCTAAAATAGATAACTCAAGAAGCCATGGCACGTTGACAGAGAGTGCCCCGGATAATATGGCAGTGATAACTTTGCCTAATTGCAATTATTAGTAACGTGGGGATTAACTGAGGGTGGGGATTAAGAAACTATTCATGTATTTTAGTGTTTTTCGTGCCAATTATTGTGTTTATGCTGTGTATTTGGGATTTATCGGTATATAGAATACAAGTATCGAATAATCATATCAGAAACCTTCTGATGTAGACCACAAACACGGTAAAACAATCCACAAAAAGCGTACCACAAACCTCCCAATCCATACTACAAATCCCCTAAAACAAACCAAAAACCCCACAAAATATACCATAAATATTCCGAAACCACACCAGAAACCTCATAATACAAACTACAAACACGATAAAGCAAACCACAAACCTCCTAATGCAGACCACAAATATATTAAAACAAACCAGAAACCCCACAAATCAAACCATAAAATTTTCGAAAGCACACCATAAACTTCTTAATGCAAACCAGAAACACAATAAAGCAAACCAGAAACCTACGAATGCATACCACAAACCTCCTAAAACAAACCACAAACCTCACAAAGCAAACCACAATATTTGCGAAGCACACCAGAAACCTCCTAATGCAAACCACAAACACAGTAAATCAAACCACAAAAAACAAACCATAAACGTCCTAATGCAAACCACAAATATATTAAAACAAACCAGAAACCTCACAATGCAAACCACAAAGTTTTTGAAAGCAAACCAGAAACTTCTCAATGCAAACCACAAACACGATAAAGCAAACCATAAACTTCTCAATGCAAACCACAAACACGATAAAGCAAACCACAAAAGGCATACGAAAATATGAGAAACCAAACCATAAATCTCACAATGTAGACCATACATCCGGTGGTCGTTGACCGTTGACCGAAATCCGGTGACCGTCAGTCAGCAGATTCCGGCCCCGATGACTAGATTCCGACGCCGGTAAGCATATTCCGACCGCTGTGAGCATATTCCGGCGACGATGGCATATTCCGATGACAAAATAGCATATTCCGGTGACCGTCGACCAGTTTCCGGCGACCGATAGCAGAATTCCGACGACCAAATTTTTTGGCATAAAATAAAAAAATATTTTTTTTATTTTTTTTATTATTTAAACATATTTTTCATAATGACAATTATACCCCTGTTTTGATTTTACACTAGGTCAACTCAACTAATAAAAAGTCATCACATCCTTAGCTTCCTATTGGTTGGAGGCTAGTGTTGTTACAATAACAACACAAGGAGTGTTGTTATAGTATCTAGTCCCAACCTAATAATATTGACTTTGAGAGTGCTCCTCTCTGAGGACTAATCTTATCGATTCTCGCTAAAGAGACCTCGTAAATCTTGTGTGTTGTGTTTGTGCTTTGTTCGACAGCTCAACTAGTAGGGTATATGGGTTGACAGGGTTGACAAAGTGTATTCTAGTGTTCGATTCGCACAACCTATAATTGTGAGATAAATTCATTAATTGTTACTGATAATGTTATAAATCTGAACCACCTATACGGCTATACGCACCGAATTGTCAATCTTAAGATAACACATTGTGAGATGGATTGTTTAGTCACAACATTCAATAACCAGGAATGAATATCATAGTAAATAATGGCCAATGCTATGTACATCTTAGGGGTCGTTTGGAAGTTGCGAATGTTAAATCGTTGCATTGTAATGAATCACCATAATATAAATGCATGTATTGATACAATGAATGCATTTTAACAATACATTGTTTGGTTGTTGAGATTTTACTTTATGCGTTGATTTACATAAAGTTATTTTTATGGGGAAATGTCACATTTACCCTCAACTTTTAGAATAAGACAAAAAAATATTGGGGATATAAATGGAAAGAAAAAATTGACACAAATCTAAAACCAATCAACCCAATTAGAAACTAACCGTAGGGTTTAAATTTTTTTGGATGGATTTGGATTTGATAATTCCCAAACCGTAGTGCATGGGTCGGATGATTAAAATAGTTAAACCCGAACCAACCGACCCATGTACACCCCTAACTCTAACTAGTCCCTACTCCCTAGTTTATATCTTCGGTCTTCTCAATTCTCATCGTCTCTTAACTTAACACAAAGAAAGGAAGGACTAAAAGTTGACTTAAGTCGTCATAGGCAGCACAGCAGTAGTTTCTGGCTTCCCACTTCACGAACGAACGTCAGTCCAAAACACTCTTTTGCTGATACTAATTGATTGGAGGCACATGCAATCATGTGAAGCCGGCAGCAAAAAGACGGCCAGGATCTTCCCTCTCCACCCACCTCCCAATCCCATCAACGGCCTGGATACCAACACTTGGAATGGAATCACCACAGTGAAAGGCTCCAAAAAGATTGAGTGAGAGCTATATTATGGGTTTAGACTTGAGGAGAAGTTTGCAGTTTGGAATCGATTTTCTACAGCTAACCCTCTCTCTATATGCAGAGAGCATCACTTGCCCCCACAAATGGTGGACAAAACCCTTCTCTTTTTTCTCTTCTTCTTCTTCACACACACTCTCTCTCTTTCTCTCTCTACAAGACTACAACCCTATATTCAATTTAATATTTTTTTTCTATTTATCAAAAGAATATATAATATTAAGTTCCTTACATGGTGGTTGCTCAAGAAAAAGAAAAAAAAATAGTGGACCATAGAATAAGGGTGGAAGTTAGGGCTGGATTTTCGGTTATCTCGGTTATAACCGGTAACCGAAATGTCGGTTACCGGTTAACCGCGACCCCAAACACTCCTACCGCCAACCGCCCGACGGAGCCCATCGGTTATCCGACAACCGACCGGTCGGTTACCGGTTAGTTCTCGGTTAGCCGAGTTAACCGCAACGACGTAGTTGCCTCGACGCTGGAACGGTGGCGAAGGTGAAATCGAGGTTGAATTGAGATCCTTTCTTCTCCAGGACTGAATTCAGACCCTGCAAGGCGGGCTTCGAATCGGCGCACATCGCGATGTGCGGCTGCTTGTTCTTCCCGATTTCGGCCGAATCGATGTCGATGTGGACGATTGTAACTCTGCTGGCGAACGTTTCGACTTTCCCAGTGACGCGGTCGTCGAATCGCACACCGAACGCGAGGAGGAGATCGGCGTTGTCGATCTGTTCCAATTGGGGAATCTCTGGCGGTATGGGGAGTCAGGCGGTGTAACCCAAGCAGGGAAGAAGGGAAGGGAAGAGGTGGGCGGCGGCACAGAGGAAGCGAGCAGATGCAGAGAACGAGAGAAGAGAAGGGAAGGGGTGGCCGTTTGGCGTTTGCAGTGCAGAGGAAGAGGAGGCAGGAGATGAGGCGGTCTTCGTCGAATTAGGGATTTAGGGTTAGTCTCGTGGCCCGTGGAGTTCATGGTGAGCGGCGGCGTTTTGGACTTTTGGGTTTTGCCGGTTAGCAGGCCGGTTAGCCGGTTAACCGGCACAGTGACCCTCCTTACCGCCAACCGCCCGACACTATTTATTTCGGTTAGTCGGTTAACCGGTAACCGGCGATTATCGGTTTAACCGGCCGGTTAACCGCTAACCGAATGGCCAGCCCTAGTGGAAGTTGTCATGATCTTGAATGTTTTATTTTTTGCTTGTTTGAACTATCAATTCAATTCCCATACACATTGATTGGTACTTGTCTACTTTTGAGCAACACAACTAACCAACTAAGACACTAAAGAGACCACCATCACATATCAATCCAATATATACCCTCCCCACAACCACAACCACAACCATCCCATTCCACAATCTCTCTCTCTCTCTCACCCCAAACAAAAAAGAAGAAATCTTTGGACTTTGATGGGATTAGGGTTTCTCTCCTATAACCCATGTTGGGTTGCAACCCAACAACCCTTTAGAACAACATTACTAGGGAAAACAAACAAAACCAAACATCCTATTGATGTAACCCTTGTTGAATGGTGCAAAATATCAGGGACCCTTATTAATGGTTAAATAGTGAAAAATTTTGGGGACAGATTACACCGTCTTCAATTTCTGTTCTGATGATGATGATGATGATGGTGAGTCCCATTACCAGGGGAAATTGTCTATCAAATCTCTTTTTCCAGGCGACCAAAGAGGTGTAGGATATATAATCACAAAGCTTGGAAAGTGAAAACAAGGGGAAAGGGTAGGCGGTTAAAAGTGATTAAACAAATTGTTCAAAGCACATGCCTGTTTGAGGGTTTCATTTGGATTTTGGACTAAACTTGGCATACAATGTTAACAACTTTTGGCATTTATCTACTTGTTTATATGTCTTGTTCCTGTTTTGTTTTGTTTAATTCACTTGCATTGAGGATTGCGAAAATTGGCTGGCCTTTTACAGATGGATTTCCAGGTTAAGAAAAGAGTGCACCTGAGGAAAGAGTGAACATGAGACCAATGATCATATCTCTAAACAATAAACTACGTTGGTATTTTTTTTTTCTTTTTTACAAATAACTAAGTAGGTGAATGAATTAGAATAGGGAAGGTTCTTACTTCTTTTTGTTGGAGCAGGGGATGTAAGAAAAAATTGTTCGAAATAGAGAGATATTAGATTGTGATAGAGTCGTCAGAATATTTTTTTTAAAGAATATTTTCATCCTTTAAGGAGTTTTGGATTATTGTAAATGTGTATACAGTATAAATCTATCACCCATAATGTCCTATGTTTAAAATGACAAAGCAATCTTAAAATATTGTAAGTAGGAATAATCGAAGAAGCTAATATTTTAGTGTGGAAAACTGAACGAGGGACCCTCCCTTTACACGAGAAGTGACCGACCATGCGTAACCTTTTGAAAGGGTAATGTTGATTTAAAACTAAACATTTTCTAAAATGTGTTGAACTTTGAGATGAAAAGAAACAACCCTTCCATACCGAGGAGCAAATTTAAATTCAAACTTGTTATTCTCTCTGGTCCAGATCGATGGTTTGATCAAAAAGATTCTAGCTGGACCGAGTTCTAAAAAGTTTGATTCAAATCTTCTAATAGAACCCGAAGCAAATGACGAGGACGTCGCGAGGGCCCGACCTCTTTCTATCTTTTACTAACCATGAGAAGTTAGTTCACTCTAAACTCATATATTTTTGTTATTTCTCATATTTCACTATATCCACTTTATAACAATGATTTTCTTTTGCAGTGATGCACCATTGGTTATATGTCTGGCACTGGACAGTGATGCAAAACATGTATTTGGGTCGAGCTTTGTTATAATTAGAAGTTTCGCTTCTCTATGATGTGTTATTGGGACATGTATTCACCGCTCAAGCGGATCCTGTAATTCATCGTGTTTTTGGATGCTGAAGTTCGAACAATCGTGTAAATTTTTACTAAATTTAACTTTGTTATAGCTATAAGGGAGTGGGGCCCAAATTGTATCTTGGCTATCTATTTTCATAATATAACAATAATAATAATTAACAATGATTATGGCTTACAATACTCTAACTAAAAAACAACAATAAATATGAAAATAACTAATACGATGATGGGAATCTCTTACCCTTCGTCATAACTTTTATGGTCGATCACATATAAATATAATTAAAGATTCAGATTAATTTGTAACATATAAAAAACGTGTATCAAAATGATGGTTGTAAAAAGAAATGTATAGTATACTGTATACATATGGACGGTGGGAAACTTCTCGTGTATCATATATGCATGAAACATATTAATGAGTTGTTATGATTTTTTTTTTAATGTGAACAAGTGTTAATCATGATATTTTTAGTATCTATACTATTTCATTTTAACAAATGCTTTCCTATATTACGACTCTTAAAAGAAGGAAAAGTTTTTGATATTATTGCGTCTGTCCCTTTTATCCCTTAATCAAAAGTTTCATAAAATAATTCACATTAGAGTTAAGGTTGAACCATGCTTCTGATGACTAATATGCAACATATGTTTATAATTCAAGTTTTGCCCCTTAATTTGACACTTTCTATCATCTTATATTCAATGAGGACCAGAATACTTGATGGCCCAAAAGTGAAACAAATATTTCTAGTATACAAATGTGCATTGTTAATTAAGGATGTGCTTCACTAAGCATTTGGCCGCGAATTTTGTAAGTTGGACTGAACATAGATAAGTGTCATATTAAATATTATTCGATATTAGAAGTGACTCATAATTGAAGAACTTAGATAAAATCTACTATTAATAAGGGTAACCCTTGTTAGTGACCACTTGTAAGGAGCTCTTGTATGAAAGATGAATATTTTTTATGTAGTTATTGTATTCCTTATTAATTAGAAGTAACGAATCAACATAAATCACTACCATAAAGTTTTATCAATTAGAGATAACTAATATCATATTTCACAAATTTATAACAATTATCGGAAACTTTTCGGTTAAAATTTGAAGGCATGACAACAAATTTATTGAAACAACGTACTGTATCTACAATATGACTAAAAACTATTCTAATCGAACATTTATTTTGAAACGGGTCGGCTCTGTTTAACAATTAAATTTCTTCAAAATGATTATTAGGAAAAGGTTCATCAAATATATGAAGAAAAGAGCTCTATTATTAGGGTATGTATGTAGATATAAGAGCAATATGGTCCCTCGGAAAGGAGCACCAAAGCGCTCCCCTTTTTGGCCCCAACTTGTAGAAGTTTAAGGTTCTTGCACGGGCATATATAATTGTAAATATTATTCTATGGAGATAATTAATTAAACTAATATTTTTTGGAAGAACAAGTATATGAATTCGAGCAAGCAAGAAATAAAAATGTGGATCAAGAATAGATTGAGCTGTCTCCCATCTGGCAAGCTATCAAGAACATAGATAGGGGCCGCTGGAGGCTGGAGTATTGTAGGTCTAAGTGATGAGCATTTGCAATTAAAAACAGCAGTAGCAATAATATAATACTAACAGCTGCTAAGCCCTAATGAATAGAGAGGATTAACTATTATTAAGATAATTTGGGGGGAAATAATGAGGATTGATGAGGTTAATTAAGTGTCCAAAGACATTATAATTGATCCTTGACCCAACTCTAGACTTGTGTGGATACTGTTATGCTGTGATCAATTGCTTCCTGTTTGTTGACTTAACAAATTAGGTAGTAAACAAATTCATCTATACTTTTGTTATTCTTCATTATTTGCTTCAAAGGATGTATTTTTGTTCACCACTTTTTGATGATTTTAGCAAAACCAATTCGTCCAAGTCCTAATGTCTTATCAGTTATCAGGTGCTGCTTTTTTATTAGAAATTGGTGTTATAGTATTGATAGTCGAATAAGTAATACATTTTAATTTTATTTTTTATATGGATGCAGAGCATTTCAATTTTCATTCACAACTAAACGCGACTTAAAGAGTCCTTTACAGTCATACACAAGAAGGTGGTGTATATTCGGAATCAGTAACAGGAAATACATGAAATCCCAAAGGCAGGGAGTGACCACGACTTGCGAAGAAGTCAACACACTTATTTCCTTCTCTATACATATGGGATATCGACAATAACTCCCATTTATTAAAAACCATTCAATATCTTTTTTATTCAATAAATAAAATAACCCATCTTTGTTTACAAAGATTACAAAGTAGATAAATGCCTTAATTATTTCCCTAACCTAAATAAACTAATTTATCATATACATTTTCACTTCTTGTATGCATCCTTGCTTCAATGCAATAACATACTAATTAATCATTAAAAGTAATTCTCCATGAGTTCTAGAAATTTTTTAATAACAAATTTAACTTGTACACTTGGATATGAGTCTATTTTATTACACTATAAATTATCCCTTGTTCCAATCAATATAATAAAATAATAGTTTCCTTGTTAGCTAGGCAATACAAAGAAGATCAAGCTTGAGGTAATAAGTTTAGTGAGGATTGGTGCCACTTGTTGATTCCCAGAGGGGAAAAGGACAAATTCATGTTCTGGTTTCCAGGAAGCAACCCAATTGGTCAACACATAATTGGAGGCTTTGTTTGTTCCCATCCTTTATTATTTTCATTTTTAACTACCTTTGTTCTGATCTGAATTCAACACTTCCCCCAAAGCCAGTAATGCTGTCCACCTTGCTGTTCTTAATTAGATCATCTTGGCGGAATAGGAATCTGACTGAGGGGGCTAATGTGAACCGTGATAATTGGTAGAGGGAGACTATGGCCTTATCGATTATTCTGATTTTTTTTAATTTATCACAAATTTTATACATAATTTCATATATATTTCAAATTTGAGAGAGACTACAGTCTCTCCTAACTTCAACCTAGCTCCTCCACTACTTTAGTTTGCAAAGAACAGACTTTGTCGTGATAATGCATTCTACCACCACTTGGAATGTTGACATCAATGTTGCTTACAATGCATTATAATCAATAATTGTACTCTCTACTATAGTCTATGGTGGCTATCAATTACCGTTCATGAGTTGGTCGGTAACCAAACTAGTAAAATTAGTTAATAATGTTATCCGAGAATTTGTAAGAGAACTTCTAGTCGTATATCACATTTGGTTAGTACATGTTGTGTCAAAGTTACAATTAACCAATCATATAATGTACTCTAAGCAATAAAACATACATTTATTGCTCGGAGTATATTTACAAATTGCATCACAAAATGTACAAGTATACACCAATAACTTTCTCCAGAGCCTCAAACTTATTGAAATTCCCGCCAACACAAACTGGACTTTTGAGAAAGAAGAGAAGGGTCCATACACATTCAGATTCAGGTTTGAAATCAGTAGACCCATATGCATGTTTCAGAAGTGTCTTTATGCAAATATCTGTCTTCGCAGTAACATTGGGCTCTGAAACCTATCCCCGTACGTTAAAACTCTGCCCACCTCCCAACTAAGCAAATCAACAAAAATATTTTGGGATTTTTATCTCAAGGGAGAAGTAGTTGAATAGTGGCATGAAAATCAACATGAAAAACCAAATGAAAGGGACACCAAGGCAAGGCTAGGCTCCAAGACATAGATGTTGGTATGGTGTGCTCTTTGTCATGAAAACTGCGAGCAAACAATAACGAATTGAAGCTGTGATCGGATCACTCTTTTTAGAGTATTATTTGACCTCAATACGAAATGTTAGTAGGAACTAGGAAACAGACTAATCACTTTTATGAGTCCCTACCATAAAAGTCTGGAAGCAGTAATCTTTTGGACTTCTGTGTTTGTGATTTTGAGCAAGAAAACTTGGAAGAAGAAAAAAAAAACGCTGGAAATGAATTCTGGCAGCACCAAACTACTTTGAGCCCCTCATTAGTAAACATAAGTAGTCACTTGATTATTTTTGTCTTTACTAGGATAAACATTAAAACAGGCTCCTCTCAAAAAATTTCACCTCAAAATCGCGAATAGATCGCATACTCACCCGTATCAGAGACCAACCATTCTTTGGTTCGTTGTTTACACTTTACCCAACATATCAGATAGCTAGCCAATAGCGACACCACTAGATTGAAACATTGAAATTGGCAAAGAATGAGCATATGAAAAATGCAAGCAAATCTTCATTAGTAGTCTGGTGACTAGTTAATTAACAGTGTACAATACCCAAATCAAATGTACGTGTCGGTGATCATGTTGTGCCATATCACATACTTTATTTCATTGATTAAGAAGATGATTTGTGCGCGTTAAGGCCATTGAAATGCAGGTTAAAGTTACGCATTAAACAATGACGACGCAGCAGGGACAAAATTAGGGTCAAAGGATGAGCATTAATATTCTTGATAGTAATTAGGGAACAATTTAGCATAGGCAACGTGGTTAATGATGAATGCTTTATACTTTCTTGCCGATTTCACGTGTGAGCCCATTCTCGACTTCCAAAGAATGCCTACTTTTGTTTCATTTTGCATTTCACCTCCACGAAGTAAGCTGAATACTTAGCCAAAAAACTCCCTTTTACTAAATATATGGACTTTATTTGATCATGATATTATTATAGTGAAAAAACTATTTACCAGTTCTCCTCCAAAGAAACAAGTAAAACTCTACTTATCAAGTACACAACATTGATTAGATTTAGAAATTCAAACCAGGAAGAGTTTAGATAAGCAGTTAGCACATCTTCCATCCACCAGTAACCTAATCAACTTTGGATTTGTAATTACTTACTCTTCTATTTTTCAATTAAATGCTTTTATTTAAGGGTGGGAATCAATCGATTCGATTCAAAATATATTGAATCGATGTAGACATGTAGTATCAATACCAAAATCATGTTTGTTTTATTTGGTTCGACTAGATCCGATCGAAACTTAATTCCAGCTCACTTTTTCTTCGTACTTCAAATAATCTATACGTACGAAACTGTATCTATAGTTGATTCACTTCAATCCAAATATCAATTCAACACAATTTAGTGTGGTGTAGACCATCGTTCTCCACCCCAATTTTTTTTTTTTTTTTTTGTAGAAGTTGGAGGAATGCAATGAATGGCAGCCAACCATGCCAGCTACTCTGAAGCCCAGAAAAAAGAAGCCCAATCTCTTGATAGTCCAACCCGCAATGCAGCAAACAGTACACAGCCCAACTTGACTTGGGTCTGGCCCTAATGCAGGACCCTTTTTCTTGTGAGCTAAGAAACAAATAATCGGATAACATAGCTGTAATGTAACAGCTCAATAACTAAAAACAGATGATAAGCCAAGATTCCATAATCTTAGATTAATCGTTATAATACACGATAATTAAAAAAAGTCATTAGAATGGTTCAAAGAAGATATATGGCCAACTTAAATAAGGAAGAAAGTAAGATCACTTTGGGATAATCTTTAATCACTATAATAATTCCATGAAGTACATAATCTGTTAGGGAGATATGATATATCTAAGGAGTAATTATCAAATAAAAACCTGTATTAATCACTTAGACCATAGTGTTAGAATTTAGAAGGCATAAGGATCTTAACTGTGATGAACTAGTAAAAATTAACCAATGTACTCTCTGGCAAAATGGTCGAACCAACAAGTGACAAATATCCAAATCGCCCAAAAAAATGTTGATGCAAGAGGGTAGCCTGAATTTTTGTATGGTGAGCTCAAAATATTTATAAAAATATGTGATAAAAACTATAATATTGTTATTAGCAGTCAAACGATTCAGAACATAACTTTCAATTCATCCTACAATAATAACAATTATGATTCATATACTCAAGGAGAATTAAAGGTAGGTTACAAGTTTCAAGGAGAAAAGTTGGTGAAGAAGAGGAAAAATTAAAAATTAAAATCTGTTATATACAATTGAACAAAATTATATCTAACAAAACTACATGTGCCTTAGTGAAAAAAATGCTAAATATTATTGTTTATGTATCAATTATAATGTAATGATATACAATTGAGCTTTATTTCATTTCAAAAATTAGTTTTAGTTCATTGAAACAAAATAGTAATTAATACTTTCAACTAATTAATATATCTATTTTTACTCAAATCTCCCAAATAAAATGTGTTCCCACTCTTAGATCTATATGATTCTAATCTTAATCCGCCTCAAAGTTGATGTAGTTTTAAGAGGAAAAAGAAAGATGAAACCTTTCATACAAAAATTAGGACTTAACCAAGATTCAAAAACCTACTAGAGGTAAACTATAAACTGAAAAAAAAAACCGGGTTAAAATACTCTGATTAGATCAACTATAAACTGAAATCAATCTTTAACTTCTTATATACATTCTTGATTCTTTCACCAGAAAAAGAAAACTTCTTATATCCATAAGAGGCTTATCTTTGCCAAATTCTCCTGCTAATCTTGTTTACACGATTGATTTATTATCATACTATAATAATTATATTTTTATCATTTGAGATGATGATTATCCTGGCTTACCTATTTTAATTTGTTGGGCTTGGGCACTTCCTCATTGACTTGAAGTCCGTGAAGCATAACTATCGGTTATCGCGATCATAGAAGTGCGGGCGTCACAGCGCTGAAGAAGAGGCAGAAGCAAAAGCAGGCATCTTCCCCTTTTCGTTGCTTCGCAGGTTTTGTCTGGCTTCCACCGAAACAATCTGCGCTTCTCCATCGCGAAGAAAGATCATCGAGAGAGCTCAATCCCGGAAGCAACAACACTAGGTTAGTTAGATCGCCCGATTCCCCCCTGATTTCTATCCATTTCATCATGTGATGATGTCCTTTTAGTTTTAGGCGCACTATCTTTTCACTCTTTTTGTTTGTATTCCACTCAGAGCTGGAGATTTCCTGTCCATAATTTGATTTTTTATCCACTTCGTATCTTTCCCCCTTACCAAGGAAGTAGGAACCCCGTTTAGGGCGCGCGGCTCTCTTTATTTTCTTCCTTCTGTTTTCTCTTCCCCCCTCGTTGCGGGTTTGGGGTTTTTGATTGTTTTGGCCATCTGGGTACCTTTTAATCGTATCTAAGTTTTGAGCTTTTGACGCTGGCATGATGGTTTACGGTTCTTGAGTGGTGGGTTTTTGATTGATTGAGTGTCCTGCGCGCCGAACTGAACTTTCAGTTCGGTAATGGCTCGGTTGTTGATGATTCCTCCTTGCAAAAATTCGTGTTTTCCGAAGACCAGTCTCTTGAGTTTGTTCTCCTCGGCTCCTGTGATTACTCGTAACCCAGTTTCTTGTTCGTTTAATTACACACTGCTTTGATTTATACAAACCGGAATTTGTTCATGAGATGGTTCACTTTTAAATCTCCTTTTCATCGTTGTTTTGTTGATTGTGTTTCGACGACGATTCTTATCATATGGTAGATTTCGCTTCTTGACTGTGATTCTTATCGCTGTTTTCGTTTTGTTCGTTTGCAGCTCCAGGCTACAAGCCGAGCTAGTTGTTTAAGGACTTCTTTGAGAAGTGCATCTAGTCACAGGCAGCTTCTTCGTTCTGTGGTGAGTATAACAATGCTGGACTTCACTTTGGACAAACTTTAACAGTCCATGATTTCGGAGTCTAAATTTGGCTGCTAAAATTGGTGTATACAGGTCTCATTTCAAAGAAATTATAAGTTTCCGCATCCCGGATTATATGTATGTATATCTTCGGATTGGTGTGTTTTTTACATTTGACTTTCATACAGCGTATTTTTAGATTGGTTTTATTGATTAGAGGAATTTTGATAACCGTTTCAGAGTGCTACACAACACAGTCGGAGGCTAATTTGTTCAGTTGCTACAGAACCAATACTCCAGCAGACCAGAGAGGCCAAAATGGATGCACCGAAAGAAATCTTTCTGAAGGATTATAAGTTACCTGATTATTACTTTGAGACGGTATGCTCTAGGTTAAGTTAGAATGTGGATTGCTTAAGACTCTGAATTCTGTTACTGTTGCTATATTGAAAGTGTTTCCTTGATCTTTGATGCTTATATTTGGCGTGATCTCAGGTTGATTTGGGCTTTGCTCTTGGCGAGGAGAAAACACTTGTTAACTCAAAAATAACCGTGTCCCCAAGAGTTGAAGGTGACTATTGTAATCTTGTTATGGCTCATTGGATATGTCAAACGATTGTAGCAAATGTTTCTTCTTCCTAGTTGCAATTACTTTAGGACATGCCATTCATCTATGTTCTTGAATAGGTTCCTCGTCCCCGCTGGTTTTGGATGGGCATGATTTGAAGCTGCTCTCTATTAAAATCAATGGGAACGGACTGAAGGTATTGATAATTTTGTCAAATTATTTGTGCTAAGTTTGTCCTCCAATGTCTTTCTGCCGTGTTTAGTGCTTGGTCTGTTTGCAACTTGCATGAAATGGTACTTATTTATGCTTTAGGCGCACTCTTTTGGTGCTTACCTGCTTTCCTCTTGTGACCATCCAAATCTTGTTGGGTTGCTGCTCGTATTGGTTACTACATTAACTGAAGTTATTCCTTTCTTTATGCTTTCCAGGATGCAGATTTTCAAGTGGATTCCCGCCACTTGACTATCCTGTCACCTCCAAGCGGGGCATTCACTTTGGAAATCATCACTGAGATATATCCTCAGAAGAACACTTCACTAGATGTAAAAACACATTGTATCAGTTTCTTCTATTTTCTACCTTTTTTTATGCTTCTTTCTCTCAGTCTCTTAGTTTCTTCCTGCAGGGACTTTACAAATCAACTGGGAACTTCTGCACTCAATGTGAAGCGGAGGGTTTCCGGAAAATCACATTTTTCCAGGTTAATATTCTGAAGCATCTTTTTTCTTGAAACCTGTTTACAGACTATTCTGACTTCTTTCTTCCTGATTTTGCTAACAGGATCGTCCAGATATAATGGCCAAGTACACATGCCGAATTGAAGCTGATAAGTCACTGTACCCAGTGTTGCTGTCTAATGGAAATCTTTTAGAACAAGGAGAACTCGATGTAAGATTGATGTTTTATAATGCATCATTTCATCTACATAGCGAGTCGAGTAGTTGGTGTCAAGTTCACTTGGTTCTTTTTGCAGGGTGGTAAGCATTATGCTCTTTGGGAAGACCCCTTCAAGAAACCATGTTACTTGTTCGCTTTAGTCGCTGGACAGCTGGAGAGCAGAGATGACACTTTTGTCACCCGATCTGGTCGGAATGTGCAGCTCAGAATCTGGACCCCTGCAGAAGACTTGTCCAAGACTGCACATGCTATGTATTCACTTAAGGCTGCAATGAAATGGGATGAAGATGTCAGAATCTTCCCTCGAGTTTTTGTTTTCCCAGTAGTGAAATTCTTTTGACAATTCTTAAAATGACACTACTATGGAACTGTCTGCAGGTTTTTGGTCTTGAGTATGACCTGGACCTCTTCAATATTGTTGCTGTCCCTGACTTCAACATGTAAGAGATAATGCCTGCTTTCTTTCATTCTTTGATTACTGGTTTTGATGGTGGTTTCTTATACTTTCTGCATGGTAATTGGTGATTGGAAACATTATTAGCCTGTAATTCCTGACTCCGTGATACAATCCTTTTTTTATTATGCACAGGGGGGCTATGGAGAATAAGAGTTTGAATGTACGATTTTCTCTTTTCTGTAGATGCCTTTGTATTTTTCTGAACTAATTTGAACTGACACATGGATCTTTTTTACAAAAGATATTCAATTCCAAGCTTGTCCTGGCGTCTCCCGAGACTGCCACAGATGCAGATTATGCTGCTATTTTGGGTGTTATTGGTCATGAGGTTGGTTGTTCATTTTGACTGCCAAGTTTCTTGTTCTCTTGTATCAGTGGACTAAGTAATTTATTCTGGTCTTTTTGGTTTACAGTATTTCCATAACTGGACAGGCAACAGGTTGGTTTTATCTTCTGGCAGTTCTAATTTCTTAGCATTTCTTCTGTTGTGAAGTATCTGTTTATTTTGGAGCATGGTACAATACTAAACAAGAACACCTGCAGGGTGACTTGTCGAGACTGGTTCCAGCTCAGTTTAAAGGAAGGTCTTACTGTATTCAGAGACCAGGTATAGCCCTCTTCTTTCATCTTTATTTATGCCGTTTTGCTTCATGCTAAATTTGTCCTTTAATCTTCTTGGACTCTCTGTGGTCGATAGGAATTTTCATCTGACCTGGGAAGTCGTCCTGTGAAGAGGATTGCTGATGTTTCTACACTTCGCAATTATCAGTTCCCACAGGTTTTACTTGGTCTTTTGCAGTTGTCATCAAATGCTTTATTTTATATCATTGTTATCATTACTTTTCTTAGCATTAAAGTGCATGCCCTGTAAAAATTCAGGATGCTGGTCCCATGGCGCATCCTGTTAGACCTCATTCTTACATAAAGGTTTGTTGTCTAACTGTTCAGATCTTTGCATTTTGCTTTCTGACACTCAGTTCAGATCTTTGTTATGTGCCATGCTTATGCTCCTCCTTTTCTTGTTTCTTCAGATGGACAATTTCTATACAGGTCAGTTCTTCTGCTTGGTAATGAGACAGTGATAATAAAATGGGGGGAAAAATTCAGTACGTTTGTTGTTTCGTGATGGATTTCTGACTGCTGCCTTTGACTTGCTCATACTTGGTTCTGATTTTCGGATGTCCATCAACTTCTAGTGACGGTATGCTTACTTCATGGTGCTCTGTGTTTACTTCATCTGGTTTTGATGCACGCTTATGATCTAACCATCTTTTATCTGTTTGTCTTCATTGCAGGTGTATGAAAAGGTTTGTTTTCGTCATTCTTGTTTCCCTGTATTATTTTTTTTTTTCCATCTGAACATCAGACGAAGACTAGTGATGGGAGGAAACTGGAATAAATGTTAATGTGTAATAGCATTATTACAGGGTGCTGAAGTTGTCCGGATGTACAAAACCTTGCTGGGAACCCAGGGGTTCAGAAAGGTATGCCTTAAGTAAATGGGTACTAGCGTAATGCCTGTGTATGATTAAACTTGATACTCATCAGAGTACCATATTGCAGGGCATGGATCTTTACTTTAAGAGGCATGATGGTCAAGCTGTAACCTGCGAAGATTTCTTTGCTGCCATGAGGGATGCAAATGGTGCTGATTTTGCGAACTTCTTGTCATGGTACGGGATCTCTATGCTTGCCCATTTCTTTTTTTCTCACTTTTGTTGTTCCATATGCTTAATAATGCTTATGAACTACAGGTATTCCCAAGCTGGTACGCCAACCGTGAAAGTTGCTTCAAGCTATAATGCAGAAGCCAAGACTTTCTCTTTGAAGTTCAGGTGCAAAGGCTAAGAATATAACATAGTAATCAATAATTTTCTATTTCTTTACCCCCCTCCTTTCTTCTGTCTAATGTGAAATACTATGCAGTCAGGAGGTGCCACCTACTCCTGGACAGCCAATCAAAGAACCTATGTTCATTCCTGTGGCATTAGGCATGCTGGACTCGAGCGGGAAGGACTTGCCTCTTACTTCTATCTTTCACGATGGAATGTTGCAGTCAATTTCAAGCAATGGCGAACCAGTCTACAGTACTGTGCTTAGGGTGACCAAGGTTAGTGGAGAATAAACTTGTGGTGAATCTAGTTTCCTTGCCTCTGAACTTTGCCTGTACTTTGCCCTTTGTTAATCTGAGCATTACTCCTTTTCAAGTCCTTGGTAAACTTTCTTTCTTTACTAAGTACCAAGTTAGAGGAATTTTCTAAGATATGTTTCGACTTTCTTACATCTCTAAAATCATGATTTGCCCTGAACCAAAGGAGCATGGTTATTTGTACATGCCAAGAAAACTGAACCCAATCCTTTGCTGAGTGTTATTCAAGTCTGAACATGTAATCACACATTAGGTAGAAATTAGAAGCCCTAATGCTTATAGCCGACCTGAAGTGGCAACTTCTGCTAAATGTGTAGTTTTTTCTTTGAATAAAGTGTTCTCTTATGCAAACGATTTTAATATTTTTTATATGTGCTCGTCTTAACAGAAAGAAGAGGAATTTATTTTCTCCGACATAACCGAAAAACCAGTTCCTTCTCTGTTTCGGGGTTATAGTGCTCCTATCCGTCTTGAAGCCGATCTTTCAGAAGCTGATTTGTTCTTCCTCCTTGCTCATGATTCAGATGAATTCAACCGGTTTGTTCTCTCTAACTGTCACATTTTAACTTTAGCAACTTTTGTGTAGGATGATATTCATTTTTCTTTGTTGTGTTATTAGGTGGGAGGCTGGGCAACTCTTGGCCAGGAACCTGATGCTGACCCTAGTGGCTGATTTCCAACAAAATAAGCCATTGGTTTTGAATCCCAAGTTTGTTCGAGGGCTGAAAAGCATTCTTACTGACTCGTCTTTGGATAAAGTATGGGACGGCAAATATTTTATGTTCTCCAATTCTCCCACACGGAGCAAAATAGCTAACTGTTTCCTGTTTGATTCCTTAGGAATTTATTGCTAAGGCAATTACTCTGCCTGGTGAAGGTGAAATAATGGACATGATGAAAATTGCAGACCCCGATGCTGTTCATGCAGTCCGTTCCTTCATCAGGAAGCAGCTTGCTTCTGAACTGAGAGCTGAACTTCTGACCACTGTATGATTGATAATCCTCTGTTGAGCTTATGAAATATCCACACTTCTTGTGGTCTCTGTGACGATATCTCAATTTGTTCTGTTTTCTTACACAGGTCAAGAACAACAGCAGTTCTGAAGCATATGAGTTTAACCACCCAAACATGGCTAGGAGGGCACTGAAGAACATTGCTCTTGGTCTGTATTGTTTGCCTGACACTTCCCACCTTGCTATCTCGGTTTGTTTTGATAGTGATGTAGATAACTGATGATGTTGGTCATTTCAAAACCCTTTTTGCAGCATATCTGGCTTCACTTCAAGATGAGGAGTCAGCCGCGCTTGCACTCAATGAATACAAGTCTGCCACAAATATGACAGACCAGTTTGCAGCTTTGGCAGCCATAGCTCAGAACCCTGGTAAAACTCGGGATGAAGTGTTGGCTGACTTCTACAGCAAGTGGCAGGATAACTTCTTGGTGAGCAATTGCTGTAGTTGTTGCTTATTATTTAGTGGCTGTTTAGCTCTACGCTAACTTCTCATTTTCCAGGTTGTGAATAAATGGTTCTCCCTTCAAGCCTGGGCAGATATTCCTGGGAATGTGGAGAACGTTCGGAATCTCCTGAATCATCCAGCATTCGATTTACGTAATCCAAACAAGGTAATAGACGCAGGTTAAATGTAATATCATCATCATCCTCGTGTTCATGTTTTCAGAAGAGGGGATTAAACTGAGATTGGTGTTCTTCATTAAACAGGTATATGCTTTGATTGGAGGATTTGCTGGGTCCCCAGTCAACTTCCATGCTAAGGATGGTTCAGGCTACAAGTTCTTGGGTGAGATGGTGGTCCAACTCGACAAAATCAACCCTCAGGTTTGTAATTCGTTATCTTAATGACAGGATTCCTCAGGATCACCACCTTCATGGTTCCTTGCCTAACAAGTTAACATCCCCTGCTTGGGATGGTGGGGTTTACAGGTGGCTTCCCGCATGGTTTCGGCCTTCTCGAGATGGAGGCGATACGATGAGACCAGGCAGAACCTTGCCAAGGTAAAACTGAACCAAACGAGCAGTTAATTGGTGTTGGTTTTCTTGGAGGGATGGCTGAACATGGTCTTTTGTTGTTGTTGGTCTCGTTGCAGGCGCAGTTGGAGATGATAGTGTCTGCCAATGGACTGTCGGAGAATGTCTTCGAGATTGCTTCTAAAAGTTTGGCTGTCTGATCTTTTTGACGACGCAGACCAAATTCCACGGAGATGTTAGAGTTTAAAGAACAATTTGTTTCGTTTGGGAGATGGTGATTCTACTTTGAGTTTTACGCAAGACAAAAGTTTGGTCATGAATTTGGTTTCTGAAGTAATAATGATGAAGTAATAATAGTAGTTAAGCTTTCTTTGGGTTTTCATTGGACCGTCGAGGTTGTTGGCCCATTTCTGTTGATGGGGCCTTGGGCTTTTTAACTATCTGTGGCCCACCTTAGCTCCTATATCTTTCTATGTAGGTAATCCTCCAGTGGGTTCGGTGGGCCCACCTTGACCCACAGTCCTCATCTCGTCAAAAGTTAAAAACTATCAAATTCGAGCTAAATGTCGATGGATAGCACTCTATTGGGATAATCAATAAAATCATGATTTCACCGTATAACTTTCTTTTCATGTATGTCATTTGGTTAAAATCGTCGTAATGAGTATTGTATCATCTATATACTATTCAATATAACACGATCCAAATGTTGAGTTTGGCTGTAACACCATCTGCGATCATGGAGATAATACCGATGGATGATATCACCTTTCAATAATGAACGAAACAAACCCTAATGAAACAAGTTTTGGGTGGGCATGCATAACGTGGACGAATAGAACTTAGTTTGAAATGGGTAATAACAACAACATAAAATGGAAAGAGTAACAAGAATATCAACCCAAATAATGATGTTTACCGAAATTTTATGGCTTTCTCGCACCATTTGAGGCAGAAAAGGGAAGAAGAGTATGGGACACTGCAAAAGTGACTTACCTATAATGTAAACCTAGCTTTATGTTAAAACACTTTGAACCACAACATAATGGAAGTTGACTAGAAAGGTTTGACGTGACATAAGAAGATTTTCCTCTCCTAGCAATAATTGGAGGAGGCAGTGAGCAACAATACGAGAAAACGAGTATGCATTATCTCTTGCCAAATCGAGGATTGTTAAAACTTGCAAAAAGATAAAAAAGAAAACTTAAAGAACTACATGCTATACTATAATTACGATGGGGATTTTGGTGCATATAGCATTGTTCATCATCAAGAATTTTCTTCTTCTCAAAGTAGTTGTAAAAGTTGAAACTAAAAAAATACTGTATCTGTTCATTTTTATCATCATGTCTTACCATTTGAGCCCAGCTTAATTAAAGTGATGTAATATTATGATTGTAACTATCATTATTAGTATATGGGAATGCGAGTTTGGGAGATATGGTGCTATGTTTTAGGTCAAAAGGTAATAAGTAGCCCACCGGTTTCTATTATCATGGTCATTATGATAATATATGCAATCTTATAATGACACTTGTTCAGTCATCTTTCTAATCCTCTTTTTTGACTCGACTCCATCTTTCTTATTCATTTGCTCACCAAAGTAGCTTGTTCATGCTTTTGTTTATTAGAGTGAAGGAACAGCGGCAGAATGCGTACTATCGACAGAGCACTTAGGAGGTTGATAATGAAGTCATAATTACCTCACTTTTTTTTTCATTCATTAACAAGTAGTTTTAAAATATGGTTTCCTTGACAAGTAAGATGTCATACATCAAATACAGATTTGGTCGCGAGTGATCATGCAAACTTCTTTAGACACGTGTCTGTCTATATATCTCGTACAATGTACTTCTTTAATCGTAAACATATTTTACTTCCTCGTTATACTCCTTAAGATGCAGGTGTACTCTTGTAACTTAATAGTCTCATAACTTAGACATAATCATGTTTCAAACATAAAATGGAATTGAAGAGCTCAATCAAATGCTGCTGGACTAGTATAGGGCTATAAAGAATTTGAAACAAATGTATTTCAATTAAGCGTCTTCCTCGCGCACCCTATGATAAAAAAACTTCTTATATATATGACAATTCAACACATACGTAACAGAAAATAGACTACACAATGAAATGATTGGTGGGACATTGGCTCTGGACAAAATTTACTCATCATGCTGATAAAATCATGTCCATGTCTTTGATGCAGTTTGAATGAATCTACAAAAGGGAAGAAATAAGTAAAATTGGGACACAAATGTGTCGACGTTGATAGCCTAGCCTTAGCTAGTCAATGGCAAATCTAACATTTCAGTAACTTAATGATCATCTCAAGGCCGGTTCAAAGGTTGGTTAGAGGGAAACAGAAAACAAAGATGAATTATGAGAGAACCTAAAAGACCCTTTTATGGCATGTGATGGTGGGCTAGGCTGAGGGACGAGAAAAGAAAGGAGAAACGATCGAAGACGAAGAGACCATTTTTTTTTCTAGGGTTTCTAGCTAGAGGAAAGGTGGGTTTGACCAAGTTTCACCCAAGATCAAAGTAACACCCAGATGTGCTCTTAATTTTCCAGTCCATTCACAAGATATCAAATGGCTAATGAACAAATGTATGTGATAGTTTCAACTTTGAAGTATAATTTTCAAATTTTTTTTTTTTTTTTACAGTGGTCTGCTGGGGAGGGGAAATTTCTAGGTTGAAAATTGGTAAAGAGATCGATGGCTGGATAAAACACTTATTCGTAATATAATTTGTGTTGCTTCGAGTGGGTGAATATTGTTAGATGGATAACAAATGCTCACATTTTCTATAGTTAGATCATTGTTCCAAGTTCATTAAAAAAAGTTTAGTGTATAAAGGTTTGTGTACCATTGTACAATTTAAGAAATTTTTTAATTTGAATCAAATGTTGACGTGATTGAGGAAACGTTGGTGACAATCGGAGTTATCTTTGAGATAATTTAGGTTTTCTGATTGTCGAATTGATGCATTGTGATCCATAGATGTATTATGCTAGGCATGTATTGATGGATATGGTGTAATGTAGATTACATCATTTGGCATTTGTTGTTGTATTTTCAATAATCGAAAATGAAAGTCACTTTTCAACGAAAATGTTACTTGTACGCGGTTGTACCCCCTTCTTTTCAATGCATAATGTACTTTTTAAATGACAAAAATGAAACAAAATTGGAAAACTCAACTGAACAAGTCCAACAATCTACTGTAAAAGTTGAGTTGTACAATGATTATTGATCACAAATCAAGCAAATAATATGTGCACTCCTACTCTAAGTGAATAAAAATATAAACGAAAGAAAATAACTCTTAAAAAAGGGGGCCATAAAAATTTCAAAAAACAATCCTAAAAACCAAACCACTTCAGCATCTTGGATTACAGTATTGTCGTAAAAGACAAGACCATATTTAAGAGTTGAATAATTACTTAATTAGGGATTTGCGGTCGTAATTTACATCACAATCATAAGTCAAATCTAGAAACACAAGGTAGATAGATATATGATGGATGGTGGCGGGAAGGTAGGTGGTATCGTGCAAGTTAGTTTACAAAAAGTTTGGCGGGGAAACCGTGGTAGGCCCACGATGAATTATGATGGGGATTAAATTAATGAAAGTGCTCTAGCTAAAGGTCGAACCCTTTTCTCTTTAATCAATAAGCAAATTAAATTAAAATATTTCCATTAGATACAGATATTTTTAGTTTGGATTTTCTGTTGTTTTGATCCAAATGACTGAAATTTCGTTTTCACTTTTCAACAATACTTAAAATTTCATGGCAAATATATATATTTTTTTTAATTTAAGTAGTTCAATTTAAGCGACGACTCTCAACGTATATGGAGAATTCTACTACGGTCTATTTCACATGTGACTAATGCATTTAGTAACTTGGGTGAACTAGAATTTTTTACCAATGACTTTTTTTAATTAAATTGCTCTTATTACGTAGAATTTAGAGATTCATTCGAGTCTAGACTGTCACGAGTTATTGTGGTAAAAAATACATCAGTTAACATTTTATTTTTATTTCAAAATACATCAAAGTAAATGTCATTTTAAAATTCGAGTAAAATGAATAGGACATAGCCCATTACATTTTAATAGAAATATAATAATGCAAATGCAAGAGTCTGCTTCCCTTAATTTATTAGGTGTAGCATACCTTTTTTTTTGGGTGTGTTTTAGCAGTTTATATGACTTCATTGTTTTGATGTGTATTGATATGGCATCTTTTGGCCGTATCAATTGAACTCCATCCGCATGCCCTCTCGTAAGAGTTAAATTCACGAAGGTTTCGACACAATACTTTTTTTAAAAAAACAGAGTGTTTAAAGTGTGTTTTAACTTTTATTTATCAAATTAAGCGAGAAGTACCGATCTCGAGAAGATCATGGACTCATGGTACAACCAATAGAGAATTGCACTATTAAGTGCATCGAAAATGTGGGTTCCCCATAACTAGAGAGTGGCCCAAAGATGCAAGCTAAGTAAATCAGCAACAATATTAGCCTCTCGATACACATGTTGGATCCTAAACCTCCTAGCATAGGGCTAACCACTGGTGGATGTTTGGTACACATGCACAATGAGATTTGGCTATAAAAGAGTCCGTCTTTAGGAGAACTTTTCTAGTTACAAATTCCCATGTAAGTCATAGATCATGCACAATTCTAGCTAGCGCCGCACGGGTAATAAAATCTCATTCAATGTTTCACTGAACAAGCTCTAATGAAGTAACTATCATCACCCCTTACGATGCCACCAATTGTGGTGCTATAAGGAACAATTGATCAATCATTGTTCAAACATGTCCACTCCTATCGCTATGGTCTAATTTCATCTTTCACGAAGTCCCCCCCAGCTGCAAAGACATGGTTCTTCGTCTTGAAAATTGTCTTGATTTGTTGCCCCGATACCTCGCTTGATAAATAAATTATATGTTTTAAATGAATACAAATTATATTTTCATACGAATCACACCTTGACGCATAGAGACTAGAACAAACTTTTTATCAGTAAAAAAACGAATTCGACATTGAGGATTTCTTGCTTTCCTGACATATTTGATATTAGAGGGAAGCCATGCAGATGGATTTGATAATGACACTATCCATTTCATAAGCGATGGAAGCGATCCAGTTTCGAAGACTTCTTTCGGAGGAGTGGGAAGTTAGACTCTCTCATGGTTTTAGAGAGGAAAATTTCTTAGCCGATTGTTTGGCTCATATGTGTTTATATATTGTCCTTTTGGCGCTCATTTTATTTGTGAGCATGACCCTGAAATCCGTAAATGAATTATATATGACATTATGGGATCTCTATATCCTCGACGTATTATTAATGATACGAGGTAGTGATACTCCACACCCATTATCAATAAATAGGGGTGGGATTCGGTAGGTAAACAATTTACCATTTACCGAATTTACCGGTTTCGGTATACCGAAGTTGGCCAAACTGGTTACCGATTACCGATATCGGTTTGTAACCGGTTTACCGATTACCAAATTATCGGTAAACGGTTACAAACCGGTATTACCGAAATACCGTGAGAAGCGATTTCGGGCGGTTTTTCGGTCGGTTTACCGAACCGAATTTCTGGAAGTGGGGTGATGTTGTAATATTTTGATTTTTTTGAGTTGTTTTCATCATTTTTGTAATTAATAATTTATTATTAACTCTTATTTACAATATTTTTGAGGCCTATACTTACATTCATGTATGTAATATTTTATATTTTTGGGGGTAAAGCAACAAAACGCAGCGCAGTACTAGAGAGTAGAGAGGGGGGATTCGGTATCGGTAATACCGATTTACCGTCGGTATTTGCCGATACCATATCCGGTAAACCGACTCCCCCAACTTCCCGCTCGGTTGCCGATACCGCCGGTAAAACGGTAAACCGTTTACCGGATTACCGTTTACCACCCCTATCAATAAAGAAAGGTTTGGGGAGTAATATAGGAATTAAGTAATTAATCAATGATGTAATCTAACATGTATATTTTGATTCTGGGTTTGTTACTGGCCCACGCACGCACTAAGCCCGTAGAAAATTCCAAGTCAGGCTGAGGCTACCAAAGTAGATTATTCTTAAGATCAGAGGAAGTGCACACGTGCAATGTACATACCCAAATCTTTGGACGAATCCCTCCCTCCTCATCCCCATCCACTCGGTATAATTCTCATTCCTTTCTTTAATCTGTCGTTTTTAGCTACTTTCGTACAGCTGACTCAATGCCAAATTTCTAATTTCATCCTTTCACATGTGTAAGATGACGAAGAAATCCACTCATGCAATTTCCTTTCCCACATTTACTGTAAGTAAGATCTGGCAACATAAGACATTTCGATAGAAAATAACATTGATAATATTATTGTTATTATTATTATCAAGGTTAGTCAACGAAAAAATAACTTTGTTATCAAAATCAAACCGAACCGAATACTTTGATTTTGAATGACTTGTGGAGATGAGCTTAAGATAAATTTCAATTATGATGATGTGGATTATAGATAAGTTATGCTTGCTGATAATATCAGCCTTATATTAGTTTTATTTCACGATTCACCAACCATATTATACAATATAAGTATAATAACTTAACCGTAAATCGCCAATTTTCATATAATTCTAAAAATGACAGCAAGGAATTGGAGGTCGTCTCTGTAACACAATAAAAATTAAGTGATGGAAATGTAAACTTAACTCCTTTGGCTTTCTCTCTCTCACTCGTGTATATATATAAAGTCATTGCCGTGTTTGACCTCCGAATTTCCCAGGAGCTCATTTCCAATCCTGCCCCGCAGGAAGTTTTCAGTTTCTTCTTCTTCTTCTCTTCTTCCTCCGCCTTCCTCTACACGCGAACTTCTCTCCAACTCCCATGTAAACAGTAGCGTTAACTCTCTCGCTTAGTTCCCCACCGTCGCCGCTTCCCTCCGATCGCCGGAGCCGGCTCTGAGAGAATAATCCGCCTCGCGCCAAACGGCAACAGACGAAGAGTACGGAGGAACGAAACCGACAACGAGATGAGACGAACTAGTGATAGCAATGGAGGAGGAAGAGGATCTGTCGTAGGTTCCAGAGCTCTCGCTTCCATCAACAACAGCGCCTTGGATACTATCAACGCCGCTGCCAACCGCATCGCCTCCGTCGAGAATCGTCATTCTCAGGAGGCTTCCGCCGCCGCCGCCGCGTCTGCTCAGGTGCTTCTTCTCTTCCTATTTCCACTCTGTTAGTTAATTCATTTTCCAATTGAGCACGGCTTGATCATTTCCAAGATTTCTGTTCGTTGCGATTCTGGTGATTCGGTGATCTCCGTTCGTCCTGATTTCAATCGTCAAACTGAATCGTTTCCTGTATGCATAGAAATGAATTTAGAGCTAGGGATTTCTGGAGAATTTTGTGCAATCGAAATTCGGAAGAAGGAACAATAGGAACTGGAAGTAGAATTGCCTGTAGGTTTCCTTTTTCCCCAAAAGTAGTTTTGACTGTTTCCATACTCAAAAGCTTGCTATTATTAGGTTACTGTTAGCTGTTCAATGTATTGACCATGGCGGCTGTAGAAACCGCTTGGCGTGCTTCAATTGGCCTAGGAAAGTTGAACTTTGTAGTCGACTGTACAGTAGCGCATTCTTTTACCCCTCATTTTCCTGTATTTGATTCACGCTCGATAAGCATCGAAATCGCAGACTAGAAGGATGACGGATCGATGGTTCACTGCCCTAGTCAAATTTAGTTTCCCTTGTACCACTCTGCTCTTCCTGCAAAATAGGTCTCTAATTTGATTGCAAGAGTTGTTTGGAATCTAGCTACTATCTTGAACAAGTCATTGGCATGCCCTTTCTTCTCACAGGTCATACTTGTTTAGATCGCCACTTCTCTCTAATTCTCCACTCCTTAGTAACATTTGTTGCTGTGGTTTGACATATGCAGAAGAAGAAATGGGGAGGCTGCTGGAGCATATACAGCTGCTTCGGGTACCAGAGGAGCAGGCAACGAATTGGACATGCTGTGTTCATCCCTGAACCACGAACTTCTGGTAGTGGAAACCAAGCCCCAACTGTTGAAAACCCTAATCACCAACAACCACCACCACAAGTCGTGCATCCTTTCATGGCACCACCTTCCTCCCCTGCATCTTTCATCCCATCAGAACCTCCTTCTGTCACACAGTCACCGGCTGGTAAAGTCTCCCTCTCCATGTACTCTCCACCCGGACCCTCTTCCATTTTCGCCATCGGCCCGTATGCCCACGAAACCCAGTTGGTCTCACCGCCAGTCTTCTCAACCTTCAACACCGAACCATCAACTGCTCCCTTCACACCTCCACCGGAATCCGTCCACCTCACCAACACACCTTCGTCCCCTGAAGTGCCTTTTGCTCAGCTACTTGAGAGGTTTCCTCTATCCCACTACGAGTTTCAGCAGCGCTATCAGTTCCACCCTGGCAGCCCAGCTGGCCAGCTCATCTCCCCTCGGTCAGGGATTTCGGGTTCAGGGGCTTCGTCTCCTTTCCCTGAGGGTGATTTCCCTGCTGCAGGGTTCCCGTTTATGGAGTTTCGTGGTGGATCATCGCATCAGGGATCTGGAGCGTTGACACCGGACTCTGTGAGGCCAGCAGGATCAAGCAGCAGCAACAACTTTGGTCTTCTAGACCGGCAGTCTTCTGATCTTGCAAGTAGCCATCGGGTCTTCTTCGAGCTGACTGCTGGTGCTCGTCTGACTCCTCGCGAAGAGCCCATTGCAGCATCTTCTCTTAGAACTGCTCTGGAATCCATAGAGAATGGAATGCTGAAAGAAAATCAACAGAAAGAGCCCGTCCATGGTTTCGAGACTCCTGTTGGTGAAACGTCCAATAATGGCACGCCAGAGAAAGCTCCTGATGCCCCAACCCATTTTAGGCATCGGACGATAACATTCGGCTGTTCCAACGATTTCGATTTCGGAAGTTCAGGGAGAGGAGAGCTTGATAGCATTGCCTCACACGTCATTGCATCACATCAAGGACCTGCTGCATCAAGCAACTTTGTTCTAGACCGACAGTCATCTGATCTTGGTGAACTCCCACATCTGGACGGTGGGCGTGAAAAAAACCAAGTTGCGTATCAAAGGGTCTTTTTCGAGTGGACTGCCGACGATCGTTTGAGGTACGAGGAGCCCAAGACGCAGCCGGCATCTTCTGTTGAAACTGCAGCAGAGTGTACAGAAAGTGGAAGCAAACCTGAAACAGAGGAGACATTGTTACACAGTGAGGTCATACATGTTGGTGAAACATCATCCAACGGCGCAGCAGACAAAGCTGGGAAGGAGAAAGCTGAGGAAGGGGCACCACCAACCCATTGTAGGCATCGGACTATAACGCTGGGCTGTGTCAAAGATTTCGACTTTGAAGAAGAGGAAGAAAATCCAGAAGGAGAAGGTACCCAGAAGCCCAACAATGATGGGCCGGAGTGGTGGGCCAATGGGAAGCAGGGGGAGGCTCTTGAGAACTGGTCTTTCTTTCCTGTAGCCCAGCCTGGTACAGTGATCTAGCCTACTACCTTCACTATCTTCCTGCTGCGTTTTGGCCTTTTTGCGCTCGTAACAGTCAAATTTTGGGCTGAAGTCCTGGAAGGGTTATCCTTACCGACTAACTACGTGTAGGCTGCTTTTGAGAGTTTTGCAGGCCCTTTTGTGGCGTGAAACCAATGGCCGGTAGTTATGTTCTTAGTTCTTACCTAAGTCTAAGTATACCATAGATCTTGGTGCACATCTCTTTTCCACTTCCAGTTTAAGCTAGAACAAGTTGTAACGTAGAGTGATGAAATGGAGAAATGGCTTAGACATTTAACATCGTTACGGCTTTTGATATCGATATTATACAAAAATGTCAAAGAAGTGTTTCTCTTCTATGCTCTAGATTCTTCTCTTTATCACATCTAACAAGATTCTTCTATGCTCTAGAATAGACTCTTATATTTGTTGTTTCAAAATGATTACATCAAAGATGGTTAACTCCAACCAATTATCCTGGGCTTTCAAGAGTGGATTGGCTATACTTGAATCATTCTTTGGAGCTTATACTCATTGCATGGTTAGTTGTTTTGTGTTTGACAGAGAGATATGAAAAGAACAGTTGATATCTACTCTATTTACAACCAACAGGGAAGTCGGGATTCACAACGAGAGATTAGATCGACATCCTTATAGAATTGAAGTTGAATCTTGTATGAAAACGGTTGATAGTCTATCATCTTGTTCTGTCACTTTTCAATGTCTGTTTATCATATGATTTACATTTTATAATTTAAAATTAAATATTGAGAAGGCTTACAGCTATGTAGCTCCCCGTTGCTAACACTTCTTAAACTATTAAATAGACAGACTACCTCTGCGTATGTAAATTAACACGACGATTAAGGTTAAAAAATTTGTGGGCAGGGCAGTATAACCAACCTCAACTGTTGACGGAAAATGTTTCTTGCTATTAGAACAAGAAGGTTGACTTTGGGCCCAAAGGAGAAGCGTAAGGCTATTTGGCCTTCAGTAATAATGGGCTTTATGAGCTTTGGGTCTTAATGTAACGTTGTGGGCCAATAGCTCTTTAGTGCAAAGTTGTGAGACGAAACCTTTACAAATGATTCACATGTGAAGTCAAGTTCTCACCATGGAGGTTAATTTATCAACCCGGTTTCAATCTTTGGTCCGGTTGCCAAAGTAGATTAAGGGTTAGTTAGTTACATATGTATAACTTGTTTCAAGGTTCAAAATTTTTTAAATGTTCACATTCAGATAAATATCATTACATCAAAATGAAAAATGTTCATACTTACCACTATACTAAGATCTATTTTTTTTTTAAAATGTTCATATTTGAATCTTAAAATTTAACTCTTAAATCCAACATTCACATGAACCTCAGTAAGAAGGCTGCCAACCAATGCTGGATAATTCATGGTGTAGATACCGTTACTTTACTAAACCCAAGTTCATCTGAGAGCACCATATAATTTTTATTATTCAGGTGTTTGCCTCTTTGCATACACACCGCTGATTGTGAATCTAAATATTTGCCAATACTATTTACTCAATGAACAATGATGTTTACTCTTTCACCTCTATGCTTATTAGTGCAATTATTTGGTCATTCACTTCTAGCACTGAAATGTTTAGTAGAAAATTTAAAGTTATTCTTCGAGGCTGATAATTGTGAATGGTAAGAACCTATGATTTTGATATGTATAATTTTAAATAAAAATTATCAGTAAAGTAAGGAATCTTCTCATTTGACCGTTACAAAAGAAAAGAATCATGGTATAGGCTTCTTTTTTCAAGTTGACGAAACCTGCAATTTGATAGTGTGTTGTTTCATCTGGATCATATCTCAAATTTGCTGCTGCACAACGAATCACGAAAGGGATCCAGAAGAAGGATTTCACATAGATTATTTTATGTTACTCCTCACATGGCTTCTACACATAAAAAGCCCTTTGAAATAAAATAATAGAATTCGGAAAACAACGGAGATACCGCACCTAAAAATTTACAAAGAATACTACTCTTGCTTGCGACTACCAGCCGCCTAACCGAACCTTTGACAGAACGAGATTTAATTCAGCGGCCGGACTTGTAATATTTCCAGAGTTCCAGTTATTATTCTTTGAATGGACCGGATTACGCCTCACGAATCTCGATCGACCGAACTAGCTAGCGAGCTACATCAAACCCAAGTATTTCCACGCCCACGTACCAGGAATCCGGGAAGAGACCCGGCCGGCCGGCCGGCGGTAGGTTAGCTGGTTCGTCTTTTTCGTTGGCGTCAGGGAAGCAACCCCATCGTAGAGTTGCAACTTGCAAATGGATAGTTTCCGAGTATACAATTCTTGTCTTCCCTACCGTCGATGACGAAACAAAAATAAAAGAAGATCCTTTTGGTTAATGGGATTGGGATCCATTCAGAAATGAGGTAGCTGGAGTAGAGAAGACATCACACTCTCCTCTGTTTTTGTCACCTTCACGTATGTTATTATAAGCGGGTAAATGCTACCGTTTGGTCACTGAAATTACGGAATCATTTTATGTTTAGTCAGTAGAAAAAAAATATCAATTTTGGTCACTCAAATTACTGAAACATGTCACATTTAAGTCACTCTCCTGTTAGTTTCCGTCCAACTCCGTTAATGAAGACTTAATCATGTTAGGGTTCCATCTGCAGGTTAATAAAAATTTAAGGTTAAAAAAAGGGAGAGAACCCAACCTTGTCCCTTTAAATTTGCAGCAGAAATCATGGATGAGATCTTTCTCACCCATATGCGGAAGAAATACTTTTTAACAATTTTTTCCCCACCAAGCGTGTTTAATCAAAAAGGCATTTCCCACAGTCGAGCAACAACTAGATAAGTATTTTCCACATGGCCGTTGCCAATGGAATAGGCAAGAAGCAGCCTACCCTTTAGGAAATACATATTAATAAAAAAATCCTCATAAAATAAACCAATGAAGATTTGATAATAAACTAAATAAAGGGTATTCACTAGAAAAAGAGGCAAATGAAGAAAGGCAGAAAGCAAGCATCAATCATGTTTAGTGTGGATTGTTGAACTTAAAAACAGAGTTGTAGTGTAGAGGCTACCAGCCCCCTAAGCAAGCAATGACGACATCAACCGAATTTTTGATAAAATTATATTCAGGGGTCAAACCTCTCCTTCTATAATTATAAATTTGTACATAATAATATTTTTAAACCTTCCTACCCTCACTCATATCCAAGACATTGAATTTGCTTGCTTCTCCTACATTTTTGAACATAATAATTAGATTAAAACGTGATTTTGCTGGTGTCGTATTGATTCATTCGTCAAAGGACTAATGAATGGTTACAAGATTATCATCTTCAAATAACAGAAACTAGTTTTTTACCCGCCCGTTGGGCGGTGCAAATTGATTTATTTTTTATTGTATTATTTTATTTTTTATGATTCATGTATGTTACACTATACATGAAAATTTCAATCTTTTACCTTATTTCATAAGAAGATATTGTTAACCCTTTGTATCTTCTATTTATTAATGAAACACTAATTTTATTAAATTATTTTATGTAAACTATTTTGTGTCTACTATTTTTTATTATTATTTTAGATCCTATGAACATCATGCAATATAAGTTATCCATGTAATTTTGATAGAGCAAGAAATCTCATTAGCATCCACATAATCAATCTTCTGCTTATCCATTTTAGGTTACCTTAGCAATGTTCTAGCATAACCAACCAGAAATAGAACTATCAACTATCATTAATTTATTACAATAATATTTTTAGCAAATTTAACCGCATATAAATATAATTGATATTTAGTAGAGGGCTAAATAATAAATATCCTCTGCAAAACGAATATTTTTTTTACCTAATAACAACATAGACGAATAGTGAAAGTTGCAAACTTCAGTACAACTCAATTCGTTCCATCTTATAAATTCCTCAATCATGAATTAGATTGATGCATCAATCCACGCTAAGAAAACAAACAAATAACATTGCACACTTTAAGAAATTGAAAGAACATCGATATAGACAACCCAATGACCACCACTACCACTTTATTTCTTATTTGTGACCTTTATAAAACTCCACATCCCTTCTATTTATAACCCCCTGCTACTTACTACTTACTGACTATATCATCATTGTAAAGCTAGCTAGTAGCAAGCCACTCATGAACATAATATATATATAAAAACATCCTATGATGGAACATGGTAAGGTGACAATCCTCACAATTTGTTTTCCATTTTAGCATCCGATGAATAATATATAAGAGAAATGCTAGATATCTCGAACTTTTGAGCAAAGAAGAAAAGATTTTTGTTTGTTTTACAGGGCTTGACCCACTCAATTAATTTTATTCTTTTTAATGATGGGTTTTATTTTTAGAGAGCTAATTTATAAGAAAAAAATGTATAGAAACAAACTAAAAGGTTGCATTCATTGTTATTAACTTAAATTTATGTATTATTAATGATAATGACGATTGAAAGTGTTAACATAAGGCACGTCATTTATAATTAGAATTTGCCCACCATGAAAAGATGAGAGCTATCCATGTGCTGATGTGGCAGTAATTTAGTTTTGAATAATACGTAAAGCGAAGATGAAAGACAATGGTAGATCAAGTCGGGCAATTTACAACCCTGCCACCATAATATGAAAGTACTTAAGAAATTGAAAGAAGAGTAGAACCCGACCAGTTAATCACAAGCAACCAAATACCGTTGGAGAAGAGAGGTCAGTTATCAGCTGCGGATCACGGGAGAATAGCGAGTTGTCGATAATACTTGGCTTGGTTTACTTCGTATTTGCAATGATAAGAACTTTTTTGCCAATAGGAACAATATATTACAACTACTCAATTGTTTCTCATCTAATTGCTGCCTCTAGTAACTGACGCAATGAAAAAAACTCTATATGTCTTACCATTTTCCTTACATTTTGATGTATCTATGCATAAAATAGTAGAGAAGAAAACAGAAATGCTAGAAATCTCAAAATTTTGAGTAAATAAGAAAAGAGTTTTGTTTGTTTTATAGGGTTTGACCCAATTTCTATCTTTTATTTTTTCCAATTTCCAATTTTATTTAGATCATTACACTGGAAAATCAATAGAAACAAACCAAAAGATTGCATTCATTGTTATTGACTTAATGCACATTTTAATGATAATAATGATGATTTTAAGTGTAAGGAAAAAATTTATAATTAGAACATGTCCACCATGGAAGAATTAGAGTCATCCATGTGCTTATGTGGCAAAGATTTAGTTTTGAATTCCTATAATATTAAGTAAGGATGATCTGAATCGTCACAAGAATGACAACAAAAGGAAAATATAATTCGCAACTTACAAGGAACGACCTTCTAGTCTAGGTTGGAACAAAAGATGTGAGAGTGGTCATGGGTCATAATTCAGAAGAAGGTTCCAAGAAAATATAATTCCCAGAAAGAGAGGAAATAGCGAATGCCAGTCCACTTTGGGTGGCCGCCAGCAGCCGATTCCCAAATTAATTTTCTCTGCCAATTACTCCTCATTTGGTTTGATTAGTCATTAGTTTATATGAATTTTGTCAAGCACCTGGCTCCCTTCTCGTCTCTCGATGCTTACGATTACGAAAGAGTATGATTGGGGCCCCCGTCAACAAACAACCTTTGTATCTTCCCTTTCATACTGTCAACAAATCACCATTCCGTCATTTCTCCTAATGAAATAAATCCTCTATGAGATGAAACTCCCCTAAATTTGCTACACATAGACAGATAAATGATTTAAGATGTTTAAACTTAAGCAAACAACTACCAAGCAAATCTGAAAAGTCAAGCATAATATCAACTTGAAGGATTATACTATCATTCAATCTCTTTTAAGAATGTCAAAGACTTTGATAATATAGCACTCCCTCAACAATTGTAACATGAGCAGATATTCCGAGTCACTAACTACAAAGTGGTTCGTATGCCAATAGCATTGGTTGAGGAATTGAGCCTAGTTAAAATTAGGATTGAGTCCAAACAAACAAGCAACTCTCTTCTTGAAATTTGAAATATTTATGGACACTTATGACGATTAGGATTGAATGGCCTCCTACCAACAACGCTTCTCTATTCGTTGCCTAGCACTCGATACTGGGGGTTTGACTTCGTCTCCTGCGCTCGCGGTGCCTCCGAGAAAACCAAGTAGTGTAGCGGGATTTAACCTTGATACCTCACACATTTCAAACCCGAAAGATCACACTCCCGACCAACTCAATTGTGTTACCTTTAACAACATCAATGCAACTTAATTAGAAAACAAACACGAGGATTCACCATACAAAACAGGGTCAATAATATAAGTTTGTGAAACTTTTGTTAAGCCTACATAATTGAGTGACTAAATCAGTCATCTGCTCAATAGAAGGAAAAAGAAAAAAAAAAAAAAAGTTCAACGAACGATTTCCACGTTGGCTGGCAAACTCGGAAATTCAAATGCCTTCTTCTTTGACCAGTTTTCCAGCACTCAATAGTCTCCCACTTTATAAACCAAAAATCCCTTCCAGCAAATTTCCTTTCCCCTCAAAACAGCCCGTAACATCTTCATCCCCTGTTCCAACCACCACCGTGTCCACCTCCTCCGCCCCCTCGCCGTCGGCGCCTCTTCTCCCAAAGTCGCCGGCTTTTCCTATTTCCTTATCTGGGTCGTTGCTATTTTCAGAAGAAAACCAACAGAGATATTTTCTCAGTCAAACAATTGAAATGCCTCCGGCAGCCGCTACGATGTTTTCTCGTCCAGGGGAAACCCCTAATTTCTACAAGATTATGAATCCGGTCTCTGATATCGTCACAATCGACGTCGGTGGCCAAATCTTCCAGACGACCCGGCAGACCTTGAGCCTCGCCGGCCCCAAATCGCTCTTCTGCCACCTCACAGAGTCAACCGGGCTCGCCCCTCGGTTCATCGATCGGGACCCGGAGCTTTTCTCCGTCCTACTTTCCCTCCTCCGCACCGGGAATCTTCCCTCCAAGGCTAAAGCTTTCGACGTCGAGGATTTGGTCGAAGAGTCGAAATTCTACAACATCGAGTCACTTCTCGTCGATGCTTTGTCTCACCATTCTCATTTCGAGGCATTCAATCTCGAGAAATCGCTGCTTTTGCCGCTCAACGGCCGGGATTCGCCGTCCACCGTCGCCACGACGCCGTTGGGGACACTGCACGTCGCTCACGGCAGCAAAATCACGTCGTTCGATTGGTCGCTGCGGAAGAAGGCGACGATTCTCACTCAATTCACAGCGATGGATTCCCTATTGGCCATCTCCCCAAGCTTGGCAGCCGCCGGAGCCACTGATTTCTCCGGATTGCAGATCCTCGACATGGAGAAGGGTTTTGTCAGGGAAACCCTAAACTGGGAAAACGTGACGAAGTCCGGGTCAACGGTTCAAGCAATCGGGTCCTCTCCGGGTCTTCTGTTCTCGAGCTTTGAGTCCAGCCGAAGGAACTCGAATTGCATCATGGTGTACGATTTGCAGACTTTCTCGCCCGTGACGCAGATAGGCCATTACGAGATATTCGGCGCCAATCTTGATTCCGCAATCCCTTCCACGAAATTGCAATGGGTGGAGAGCTACAACGTGGTAATGGCATCCGGGTCACATTCTGGTCCGTCGGGCAGATTGGGTAACATCAAGTTGTGGGATATAAGGTCTGGTAATGTGGTATGGGAATTGAAGGAGAAAGTCGATTGCTTTTCTGATATTACTGTCTCTGATAGCCTTTCTGCAATCTTCAAAGTTGGGGCGAATTCAGGGGAAGTGTCCTATATGGACTTGAGGAAATTGGGTGATGAGGAATCTAGCAAATGGGTTTGTGTTGGCGATGAAAGGAAAGTTGGGAATGTCAGGAAGGAAGGAGTTGGCTGCAAGATTGAAGCTCATGGAAACCAAGTGTTCTGCAGCAAAGAAGGCAATATAGAGCTCTGGTCTGAGATTATGATGGGCAGCCGGAGAGCCAGCGAACGGTTGCCTGACCGAGTGTTTAGGAAGAATTTGATGGGGAGAGTGAAGGACATGGGAGGTGCAAGGATAACCAATCTGGGTTTTGGAGGGAATAAAATGTTTGTTACTCGTAAAGATCAGCAATCTGTTGAGGTCTGGCAGAGTTCTGCCAAGGGATTTTGATATCTTTTGCAAACCTGGTGAAGTCACTGTGTTGGTTTGCTTCTGTACCATATTAGTTGTGTTGTAAAATTCACATTCTTTTCTTGATTGCCTTCGTTTCTTAGATGATTATGATTATGAATCTGTAAATGTGTCATGTAATTCATAAGTGTGTTTATAGATAAGCTAGTTCCTCGAGGCTATGAATAAAATCGTCAGTGAGGAAGTCTCATGAATCTGCAGAACTACTTCATATTCATATAAAATCAGTTACTTTATACGATTTATTTGGCTTTGAAGGTGAGGAACGTGTGCTCTTTGACTCTTTGTCTACTACCTTCTATACCAAACTCTTCATTCAAGACTTTACTGGTATGATTTGGTAGCTTTGTCTGTTAACATGCTGCAATCATCTTTCTTTCAGCAGGGCACTTTGTTTGGTAATTGGACGTTGGTATGAATCTTTCTAGCTCAGAGGCAAAACATAATCTCTTGGCATTGCGTCCTGCAATTAGGTTTGTCATTTGTCCAGCATCCATGGATTGTTGTTACTCCAATTGTAACCTCCTCTTAGTTTGTACACTTTTGAGCTGGGAAGACTCCAAAGGCCGAGACTTGGTATTCATCCCAATATCCTTTGAGAGAATGCCAGTTTGTCTCTTTGGTTGGCATGTCTTTTGTGTAATTGTGACTGTGTCTCCATGCAATCGGTGGTTTGAAACAGACAAGTGGCTTCCTGCCACTGGCTAGAGTCTGTAAGGATAAAATCCAGGAGTCAAGGTGGGAGATGCTTCCTCTTGCCATGAAGTAATCAGATTCCATTTCTTTTAGCAGTCAGAATCATATGCTTTTTTAACTCTTTTGCTGAACCTGTGCTGTTATGTTAATGATTGGTTTCAGCCTATTTCCGGGTTAATGCTGTTGTTTTGTCTGGAATGAACGATGTTCGTAAATGATGCTTTCCTCTTCATACAGATATTGATTCAACCATTTTCCAGGGATGCTGATTCCTTGGCAGGCTAGCACTTACCTTTCCCTCTTCTGATTAAGTTAATCAACTGAATCATGATTTGTCTTTTCAGTACATGGTAATGCCAATATACTACCTTGTATGTTATTTACTTGATTTTTTTCTTAAGCTACATTACTCTTTGGCCGTGCACTTTTTTCAAACAACTCACGATTCTGTGAAATTAATGTTTTTTTTTTTTTTTTTATCACTGGAGTATGTTGTTTTTTCAAACAGTTCTTCCCTCACCTTTTCCATCCGAAATTCATTATCGTGAAACCCACTTCGTGCGAAATTTGCTAGAAATTCTTCTAAATTCGGTTTGCTACCACTCATTTCAAGTAAGATATCATTTTGGGTATTCTTCGAACTTTCGATTCAGTCTATTTCTATGAAATTAAGTATTTTCATAGCGACATATTTTGAATTGGAAAAAATCATTTGAAAAATTACATTATATCAGGGGACACTCAAGTTTCATACTACAGGAGACATTTTTAAGGAATCACTCTTGCTGAGGAATTCCGTACAGTGCGTAGCTGCTGCCGCCACCTCCCTGATTCACAGAACCTACAGCTTGAAAATGAGAGTGTTAGCTGGGTTATTCCTTTAAAATTTGATCTGAGAATGGGGGCTGAGAGTGACAGGGTGCCCTTATTTAATCTATTAACAAGTGTTTTTAGCTCTTTGTCTATTACAGTATTACGAGACCATCGAGACTGTGATTTGGCAGCCAACACCATCGTCCATCGAGAGGATTCACTGTCAAAACAATGTATGATTGTATGGTGGAGCAGAAGTATCAGGAGCTGTCCATTCCACAGAAGACTGTATGGCAGCAACTTAAACCTTACAAGATACGTGTTTCCGTCTGGATGATATATCAGAAGAAGATTTTGACACACGAATCTTTAAAGAAGAAGCTATGTGTTTCCTTAGCAGATGTGTGGTGTGTGTGGCAAGTGAGGAAGATGTGAATCACCTCATTCTTAGGTGCAACATAGTGACTGAAGGGTATCTCGAGGATGATAGCTAAATATCTGCAGGTTACAAATGTTTTAAATCTCGAGACAGCAGACGTGACAGAAGTTATTGCAAATTGACCGCATCAGCAGCCTCAAGGGCCACAGGATTGGTGCACCAAGATTCTTCTAAGCGCGTTTTGTTGGATAATTTGGAAGGAAAGGAACTCACGGATCGGTCCTTTGATGGGAAAGCATCGTCTCCTCAGGTTATCTGCTGCAGAATTGGAAACATGTTTGCACAATGGCTAATTGTAGCAGGGAAAGTGCAAAGACCAATTGTGGAAGAGTGGCTGACCAATTTGCAGAGGAGTTTGCTTCCAATACAAGGACCACAAGAGAGCAGCAGCCTGACCTGTGAAGAGATGTATGGAACTAGCCAAAAAATGCAGATGATATTGTAAATGCGCGTTGAGTCTCTGCTGCATATAAGAATTAAGAAGTGGCTACACTGAAGAAGCTCCCCTGATGGAAGTAGCCTGTCTTGCCTTGATGGGGAATGAGATACAGATGTCTTTGAGAAGAAGAAATGGTAAGGCGGTGTGTGTATGTTACTGTTTTTTGATAATGGTGTGTATGTTACTGTTACATGTTCGTCATTCGATGCTACAGAAAATCATTGGTGATATGCGAAAGTGGCTGGAGGATTGTGGTTATGTGATCATTGGAAATGTTCCTATCTCTGATACAGAGCTTAACGCTAGAGATTGCATGGTCTTTTTGCTGCTCATTTACCAATGCTACTACAGTACTACTGCTGTTGTAAGTGCAGATTGTAAGAGCAGTTTGTGCTGCTCAGGTTCCTAAAATCTTTTTTTGGAAGTAATGATAATAACACTAACCCATCTCTTTACATATTACCATTATAAAGAACATGATGAAGAGTTGATTTGTTCACTTGTTATTATTTCTTCCTGGGCAGCAGAAAGCTCTCTGTTGTCGAAGCTTGATCTGATCTGTCTGCAGATAGTCTTACTTTTCACTGTGAAAATGGCCATGCACTTTCCTCACAGCTTTCACTCTCATTTTGAGTTGTTATGGGAAAACCTAAAAGCTCTGTCCATGTCAAGTAGTGAAGTAGACGGTGTGAGAACTGGCCATTTGCAAATCTGTAGTGTACAACTGTACATGTGTATCTAGTATCTATAGGGCTAAGGTTTTGTAGGTCCTGTATCTAGTATCTTTGATAATATATAAATGACGAAATTGGATTAGAATGGAAATGTGAGTTATCAATCCTCATACCTCTCGCATGCTAAGCGCGAGCCGCTCTATCGTCGGACCTACATCTCCTTGGCCTGAAAGTGGTACCCTCCTAGTCGGTCTTCATAACCCTTCCTTGTTGTGGAAGGAAAAAGGATGTGATGGAACTCACTACATTACTCTACTGAGTGACTTGACTTGGTCCTTCAAACATCCAATTAATGGTTCCAGCCATTTCTGAGGCCTGGAACCTCTTGTCCAATTTGTCTAACTGCATGGGACCAATGACAGTAGCTAGATGATGACTTCTGGTCACCCCAACGAGAATCCTCAACAATAATATGCCAACCGTCAATTGATTGTTTCTGCCATCTGCCATCTTCAGCCTCCATAACTTCATATATTAAGTAACCAGGGACCCATTTTGGACAGTGGTTTGTAGTAATTCGTTGATTTTCGACCGGGAGGATTGTGAAGGCAAAAGAAAGGCCTCTCTGGCCTCTCTGCTCATTTCCACCATTATTGGTGGAGAATGTAGAGCAGCAGAAGTTATTATGCAGCAGAGGGATTGTGAGGGTAATATCAGTCAGAGGGTCAATCTCTTTCTCTCTGTGACTCTCATTCAATATTGTCTACTTCCAAATTAATCATTCTTTCTTGTTGACACCTAAAATTAATTCGACCAGAATTAAATGCCGCATTAATTAGTCTCGGCATTTAAGTCGATACCGCATGTAAAAAACGGTATCGTTGGGAGTCGAGCGGCGTCGCGGAGAACTAAAACGGTACCGCAAGGAAGCTCAGCGGTGCCGCGGTACTGCAAACGACACCGTTTACCGAAAAACAAGAGGGCCGCGCGTGGGTATTGGAGAAGGAGTTTTCTCTAATTAATTATTATTTTTATTCCTTGTTGGATTGGAAGAAGCGGCACCGAGGAGAGCTAAAACGATGCCGCGGAATTAAAAACAGTACCGCGAGGAAGCCCAACGGTACCGCAAGCAAACGACAGTGTTTAATAAAAAACAATGTCGCAAAAGGAAAAACAAACGGAGCCGTTTTGGCGCTAATGATGTCGTTGGTCGTGGACTAGTGAGGGCCAGATTAGTTAATTAATATTTTTAATGACTTTTTAGCACGGTGTCGTTAGTTGAAAACGATGCCGCAAGAAGGAACGACACCGCGGATTTAAAGACGATGCCGCGAGTGGGCCAAACGATGCCGCAGTTGTTAAAACGACAGCGTTAAATTTAAAGCGGCATCGCAAAGTTCAACAGAATCGCAGAAATAGAAAACGATGCTGTTTAATTAAGAACGGCGCCGCGGAGTGAGAGTTTGACAACGTGCCAACAATGATGGCCGGTTTAATTAATATTTTAAGGATCAGGTAAGACGGTGTCGCTTTAGCCGAAAACGACATCGTGGGAGGTCGACACCGTCGCGGTACTGAAACGATGTTGTTTAATTAAAAACAACCTCGCAGTGACGAGAGTTCATCAATGGCGGATTTTGGCTCAGTGACGTTTTGGACCAAGTTGCCACGTGCTCAAGGGGTTTCGCACTCGTGGGAGTTACGCAACAAGGAGGAAGTTGCCTGCACAGTTGACAGGAGTGAAGACGTGGGAGACAAAGGCGCGAAGGCGGTTACTACGACGAGGAGAAGCGCGAAGTATAAAGATTGGGAAGAGAGAGAAGTTCGAGACGGCAAATCAAATCAAAAACTGCACCTACGCAGATTTATCTTTTTCTCTCTAGTTCGTAGAACTTCTCTGTCAAAGACCTCCTTTGCAGAGTCGTAGTAGTCGTAGTAGTCGTAGTCGTAGTTGCGGAGCTCTCCAGAGGAACCTCCATAGGAGTAGAGGTAACGTAACTTAGAACACTCCCGGTTTGGTTTCTCGTTTCTCGTTGAACACCCTCGTTCGAACGTAGTTTGGAGAGGTGGTGAACCGAGTAACGGTTGTTTGATTAGAAGTCAAAGGTGTATTGATCGAATCAACATCGCCGACACCGGCGGTGGATATTTGACAGTCATCTTGGTTTCTGTTTAATCGATCAAATCAACGGCGCCGACATTCGGTGGCGGATATTTGACGATTTTTGCTGACTTTGGGTTTTTGTTTCCTTGAAATCAGAGCGCATTGAACGCACGAGTTTCGCCAACGAAACACTTCTCCATTGCGAATGAGGCAGTAGCCAAGTTGTCGACTGGTCGTGATGCTTGCTTGTTTTCCCCCTTCACCCACTTCTCTAGTAACATGATTAAAAAAAAAAAACCCCCTTCTTCTTCCATAATAGCAGAACAAATGAGAGGGCATTTTGGGTTTCCCCTTTGAAATTCAAAACTTCGACAATTTCGCAACAAACAGCAACAACATGGTCGATCGTTTAAGTGAGTCGTAGTCGTCAGGGTAAAACCAAAAAGGAAAATCCACCTAAATGTTGGAATTAGGGTGTTGACATCAAATTTGTTATAATGGTGCCAACACTAATTAAAGTTAATTAATGATAAACTTTTTTATTTCTTTTGACTTTGTATATTGAAGGCGGTTGACAATTTTTAACTGTTGATATTGAAAGGAGGGAGACGCTTATCATCTTTGCAAATTATCAGAGCACAAGAAGCGCGTGTGACGCTGTCTATTTATTTCTTATTCCGTTTTTAGCTGGCAATGACCACAAGTATCATGAAGTGTACTGGAAAATTCATACAAGAAATACGATAAACCACACCGCAAAAAAAAAAAAAAAAAAGAGTAAAAGTATACCACAAATCACAAAAACAACCCAAAAGCTCGCCACACTACAAATTTCACCAAGCATACCAGAAAACTTATAAAATTAACCACAAGTAACGTGAAGCACACCGATGGACATATGCATGAATAGTATCCCTCTTGGCTCTATTGCCATTTATGGCCAACCCTAGCTACATGCAAGGCAAGCCACCGCCTAAGTATTTCTATATACATACACATACTTTTTTTTTTCTTTCAAACTATACATATACCTATATTGAATGCATGGAAGAGTTCAATAGTACCACGTTCGTATGTGAATTTCGTGGGGAGGGAGCTAAGCTAAGCCGAGCCAGATAGCTTCCTGCCTCACTGTCTCGCACAAGTAGGTGAAGAAGACGATGTCTCATTTATTATCACCGGATAAGTTGTTGACGATCGAGAAAATCAGCAATTCATATTGGTTAATTTCATATGAAAACTCAGATTGATTGGTTCTAGCTAGCGCTTCTCAAAGCTTGTTTCATTTACAACCTTTAAATGATTGAGGATTGGTTTAGATGATGGAATTGAACGAGTTAATTTGACTCAAATATCTTAAAATGATCGAGGTAATTGGGTCAAATTGTATCGTTTGACAACACATAAGATGGATGCACCAATTGGTGAGACAATTTGAATTGTTTTGTTTTACATGAATTTGTAATGGCAGAGGAATTGAGGAAGACATGAGTATTTTGAAATAATTCATCCATTGTTAGATGAGATATTTTCGACACAATTGAGTCAAATTGCTTCATTTTTTTTTACAGCTTTTACATACGTTTCAATCTTGTTTCATTTACAACCTTAAATGACTGAGGATTGGTTTAGATGATGGAATTGAACGAGTTAATTTGGCTCAAATATCTAAAAGTGATTGAGGTAATTGGGTCAAATTGTATCGTTTGACAACACATAAGATGGATGCACCAATTGGTGAGACAATTTGAATTGTTTTGTTTTACATGAATTTGTAATGGCTGAGGAATTGAGGAAGACATGAGTATTTTGAAATGATTCATCAATTGTTAGATGAGATATTTTCGACACAATTAAGTCAAATTGCTTCATTTTTTTTTTAAATCCATCTTCATTTTTTTTTTAAATCCATCTTCCAACTTTTACATACGTTTCAATCTTGTACTATCCTATCGATTTACAAATGGCCAAAAAAAAAAAAATCCAAAACTTCTACTTTTTCTACGAGTTACCTTTTTAAGCATATTCATCTCTTTACTTGCCAAGAATCCCTTACTTACAATTTGCGGTTATTAAATATCAAACACAAAATTCAAACTTTAGTTTAATTGGCATAGCATTATTGATCCATGTGGAAATTGAAGGCGACAACATGCATTGATCAAAGCCCTGCCTGCCACCGGCCGTTTTCAAGTTCCGGTGCCATGCATTTAATGGCCGTTCTTCGTTAAATGCCTATGATACCAAACACCCATTTCCACAATTTCAAACCCTAATTAATACACACACATATATATATATATATATATATTGTAGCTATTAGCTAGTAGCAACTCATAGCAAGTGATCAGTTGATATAATATCTCTCTTTTGCCAACTCCCCGCCTCCTTCGTAATTACATTGCCTCCCTTCTCGTTGAGTTCCTTTCTTCCACTATAAAGAAACCCATCACCTCTCCCTTCCAACCCAACTACTCCATCTTCCTTCACTTTCTCCTCAAACAAACAGATCGACCAAATCAAGTTAAAGTTCGTTTCTTTGCCCACATTTCTCATCTGGGTTCCCCTTCTTTTCCGCCATTTGTACGTAGTGTTCTTCCTTCAGTAACAATGGAAACGACCACAGTTCTAGCCGTTCTGTCCACCGTGGCAGCCTACTTGCTGTGGTGGAAGTTCGTGTCGCGTCAGCTGTCGGGTCCACGTGTCTGGCCCTTACTGGGTAGCCTCCCGGGCCTCATCGCTAACTCCGGCAGAATGCACGACTGGATCACCGACAACCTCGCCGCCGCCGGCGGCACGTACCAGACCTGCATCGCCGGGATCCCCTTCCTGGCCCGGAAGCAAGGCCTCGTGACCGTCACGTGCGATCCAAGGAACGTGGAGCACATCCTGAAAGCCCGGTTCGACAACTACCCCAAGGGCCCCACGTGGCAGTCCGTCTTCCACGACCTCCTCGGGGAAGGCATCTTCAACTCCGACGGCGACACGTGGCTGTTCCAGCGCAAGACCGCCGCGCTGGAATTCACCACCCGGACCCTTCGACAGGCCATGGGCCGGTGGGTGAACCGGGCCATCAAGCACCGGTTCTGCCCCATCCTCGAGTCGGCTCGGCTCAGAGCCGAACCGGTCGACCTCCAGGACCTCCTCCTCCGGCTCACTTTCGACAACATCTGTGGCCTGGCCTTCGGGAAGGACCCGCTCACCTTGTCCCCTGATCTCCCAGAGAACGGGTTCGCGGTGTCCTTCGACCGGGCCACCGAAGCCACGCTCCAACGGTTCATCGTGCCCGAGCCCTTCTGGCAGCTCAGGAAGAGGCTCCGGCTCGGCTTGGAAGCGGACATGAGCCGGAGCCTCCAGCACATGGACAGTTACCTGTCCGACATCATCAACGCGCGCAAGCTCGAGCTGGCAGCAGGCCGGCTCGAGCGGACCGACCACGTGGGAAACCCGCACGATGATTTGTTATCCCGGTTCATGAAGAAAAAGGAATCCTACTCGGAAAAATTCCTCCAGCACGTGGCGCTGAATTTCATCCTGGCTGGACGCGACACGTCATCCAACGCGCTGAGCTGGTTCTTCTGGATGGTGATTCAGAACCCCAGAGTGGAGGAAAAGATCCTCATCGAGATCTGCACCGTCCTGGTAGAGACACGTGGCGAACTATCATCATCCTGGTTCGACGAGCCGCTAGGGTTCGAGGAAGTTGACCGATTGATATACCTCAAGGCGGCACTGTCCGAGACCTTGAGGTTGTACCCGTCGGTCCCGGAGGACTCGAAGCACGTGGTCGCCGACGACGTGCTCCCCACCGGAGTTCATGTTCCGGCGGGATCGGCGGTGACCTACTCGATCTACTCGATGGGCCGGATGAAGTTCATATGGGGAGACGACTGTCGGGAGTTCAGGCCGGAGAGGTGGCTGTCACCGGACGGCACGAAGTTCGAGGCACATGACGCGTACAAGTTCGTGGCGTTCAATGCGGGGCCCAGGATCTGTCTGGGGAAGGACTTGGCGTATTTGCAGATGAAGTCGATCGCGGCGGCGGTGCTGCTCCGACACCGGCTGACGGTGGTCCCGGGACACCGCGTGGAGCAGAAGATGTCGTTGACTTTGTTCATGAAGTATGGTTTGATGGTGGAGGTTGGAGCGAGGGACCTTAGGCCGGTTGTGGAGAAGGTAAAGGCAGTGGCAGTGGCAGTGGCAGTGGAGGGCAGCCCTACAATTAATGGGAGAGTTGCCCTTGAGAAGGGCAATGGTCACGAGGGTGGTACTGCTGATCATCAATTGGCCGCCGCGGTTGCTTGATATATATTTTGATTGTAAAATTATATGTTATATTGGTATTTTTAATTTTATGGCCCTGGTATACGTAAGGATATATGTCAATTTATCGTATGCATTAATGCATGGCAGGAAACTAATTTATGTAGATATATGTAGACGACGGTAATTGTCAAGGGAGAGACCGTCCCCAAAAAAAAAAAAAAAACTGTCAAAGGAGAATAAAAATGAAGTTTATGGGTTATTGATATGTGTGTTATGAATTGTGATTGTGGGTTAATCATCATCACGTTGGTAGTCAAGGTAAAGTTATTATAGATAGATATGCAATGATTATGAGTGAATTCAAGCAATACATTTTCAATGAATTGCATTTTTCTTCAACTCGACCCTGATTAGAAATTGAGAAGTAGTAGTACATTCAAAGATTGGGACCGGATCTTCGAAGATGAGTGACTAATGAGGGATGACAAAATAATCCATCATTGCGGGTATTCAATCGAATCCGATTTGATTTTATCTGAAAAGGTTCAATCACAATAATTTTTTAGCGGGTTTTCTTAATTAAACCCGATAAAGAGGGTAATGTGTATTTTTAAGTATTAACTGAATGTGTGTAGGCATGTGGACCTGTACATGTATGGGTTCTTCAGTGGGTAGTTACCTTGATGTTGAGATGCATGGCAAATAATTAATGCAAGGGCATATGAAATCAACTTTTGTAGCTAGAAAGTGATAATTAACATATACCTACTAAAATGTGGATTAATTGTGATCTCTACGTGGTCTTACATATAAGTCCGTAAGTCTGGCTTTAGATACCCATTGCCCCGATCCGACTTTGCTCAACCCTGAAGGATGGACTAGGTCAGTTTGTCTATAAGGTTAGTCAGAGTGGGGTTATCTTTTGATTCTCTAAGGGTCGAGTAGGGTCGGGTCAACTTAGGGCAGGGGTGGAGCTAGCTTAGTCCTCGGCTCCCCTCCTCCCCCCGAGAATTTTGAAAGTTACGTGTAAAAAGTTTAAGACTATACGTATAAATTAAAAAGAATGTACAAATAACCACTGACATGAGGAATTATAAAAGGAAAACAGATGTAGTCCAGCGAAAGGAAACTATATTTGTGCTCTATTGGGTGCCTAAGCGAGTGTTCGATCCCTTTGGAAAGCAACTTTTATATTTTTCTTTACATTTTTCACTTAAGTAAATGGTCAATTCTTTCACCCTATTTAAAGCTACGGTATACAATTTCCTTTCCCCCTCATATTTTGGTTCATTCAATTTTAATTTAATGTTATATCAATTAAAATTATAAATTCTAAGGTTACTTTCAGATATATAATGAGTACTTTTGGACAATAATATATGTAGAGCTTAACTTTTTAGTTATGAAATCAAAATATACCACACAAAATTGGAATGTGTTGTTAATTTCTTCATATTATTCTAATTTATATTGAATTTAATATGAAAAATATTGTGTGTATAATTAATTTTTTCAAATATTAGTTTATTAGTATTTTTCGTCCTTTATTTTAACCGGATTCCGGCCCCCCCGAAAACTAAATCCTAGATCCGCCCCTGACTTAGGGTATAGTCACTTAATTGTGGTCCTATGATCCATAGCAACAACTAGTAATTTGAATTCTTCATACGTTTGGACATGTGTTTGTAAAGTTTTAAGAGTTTAGGTACTATATCAATTACATGGATAGACAAAAATTTAAGGACTTATTTATTAAAATAAATTTCAAGTACTAAATTGTAAGAAAACTAAATTTTGGTACAAAAATTTAAATTTTCAAACATAAGTTAGATGGGTTGGACCGACCTGCACACTCGACCCGACCCAAGCAATTCAAATGGAGTCAAGGGAAATAGAGCCAGATTGGGTCAGGTTTTTAGCTTGACCCTATAGAACCAAGTATTCTAAGGTATGTAATTCTACAGCCAGGGTTGGATTTGGCCCAATTTCACCCCAATTTCACATGTATGTGAGTTCCTATCCTACTCGATCGTTGTGAGATTTATATAATTTCTGTTACGTACTCCATGAGTATCACTCGAAAATAAAGAGGACATAAACATCATGCATAGCAGTGGATCGATTGAAAATTAGGAAGACGAGTAAAGGAGAATTGACAGACACCTAAATGCGTTTGCCTGTGAGGGTTACGATCGAAGTTTGGGCTCAGCTGAAAGCCCTGGGCTTGTAGCGATGTGGGCATATATAGTAGGATTACGATCACTTGTCCTCGTCCAGAATAAAATTCGGTCGAGAAATTTGAAATCTCTGGAAATTAAAGTTGAAGGGCTTAAGGTACGTAATATTTGAGATTAATTGACACTTAAATGGGAAACGGCGATCCCGCGAAAGCCAATCACCTTAAACTTTAAAGGCTGAATCGATGACTCCTTTATTTATTTCTTTCTTTCTGTTGTTGGGTCTTGGATCGATGAGTTTTGGACGAAAGAGGGTCCATTGTATTGTATGGGAGGAGTCGGCGGTGTGGTTAACTCTCGTCTTCATCGATTTTTTCTTCATGTCGATTTCGATGATGATAAACTGAATCCGTTTCTCTGTAACAATTAATCGTCGGGGTCATTTGGATGAGGAATTGTAACGGATCAATTTAACACAATTGTCTCGTTTTGAGACAATTGCACCAAATTGACTCGTTTGCCAGCAAAAAAATTGGATGGATCAATCTGCCTGAGGTATTTTGAATTGATCCGTTTTGAGTCAATTTCAATTATTTGGGGTGGGGGCAGGTAATTCGAATTGACTCGTTTTAATTGCCTCGTTTATAAAACGAGACAATTGATCAAATTGACTCATTTTTAGATTGATCCATCCAAACGACCCCGGAGATCAATTCTTTCAATCTTTCAAGCTCTTTGTTTTCTACTCGATTGTAGCCCGCCAGACAAACCCTTTTAGGTGTCAATTCTCATTTACTCATCTTGCTTTTGAAAGTCCTCGGTAAACCATACTACTTCTCATTTATGGTTCTAAATCGGCTGCCATGCATGATGTTTATGTCCTCTTTATTTTGGAGTGATATTAATGCCTTAACCACCACAAATATAACAAATTCTCCTCAAATGCTAATGGGGTATAAAACGAAATCATATAAATCTCACAACGATCGAGTAGGACAAACAACTCACATTCATGTAAAACGACAATTAATTCTCATCTTTAAGTAAATAGATATTAATCATCATTTTGTTATGGTGGAACTGGTTTTTGATATGATATAAAAAATTTCTTACAATGTCAACGTGCCAATGTTCTGTATTTTTAAGTTAAGACAATATTTGTGGAAAGTGAGAAAGAATGAGAAATATTTGGGTCCACAAGATAATTATAAATACTTGGACGATATGGGTGGTTGAAGTGTTAAACCAAGTGAGTCAAAGTCATAGTTGTGGCCAATATTCATGTGGTTCAATGTGACAATTGTAAATATAAAAAAAATCACACCATACCCATTACTCTATTTGTCGGGTTTGAGGAAAACCCACCCAAAAGTTATATCGATATAATTTTTGCCGATAAAATCCAATCGAGTTCAATTGTATACCCACAATGATGAATTGTTTTGTCTCTCTAATTAGTTAGGTACTCACCTTCACTCCAATAAAGGATCCATTACTCGTAGAAATTTTAAATTAAAAAAAAGTCTCATATTTAGGGATAACTATTTTGACCTTATATTATTTTAATAAAAATTAATTATGATTTTAGTATTTTGTCTGTCTCATAATTTAGCAACAATGAAATTATAAATAAGTGAGAATCTCAATTTTTTAAATAATTTAACTATACTGATCATATTATATATTGTTAAATTTTTATATTTTTAATGAAAAAATTTTACAATAAATTTTCTTTTAAATTACATATTCATATAAATCGACTTGTCCCGACTCGTGTCCTATAATAAATTAACCGACCTGCCACAAGTCGAATACAGATACCAAAATACCCGCTCGATCTATCTACGCATTGTCATTCCTAGAAGAAAAATTCCAATTCATTGAAAATGTCTAGTTTAAATTCATTCCTAATCATTTGTAATGTATGGGCATTTCCCTTGTCCAGACAATCATGCATATCTATCGAGAATATCTTTACCTCGATCACCAAAGGTAATGATGATCATTAACCCAAAATCATAACACACATATACTTCATTTTTATTATCATTTGACAATTTTCTTTTTGGGGACGGTCTCTCACTTGACAGTTGACGCCGTCTACATATTGATATATCTACATGCTTAGTTTCCTCCCATGCATGGTAAATGAACATCATATCTTCACGTATCCAGGACCATAAAATAAAATAAAAGACCATATAACATACAATTTTTTTTTACCATTGACAATAAAAACAATCAAGCAACCGCGGCGGCCAATTGATGATCCGTCGTACTCCCCTCGTGACCATTGCCCTTCGCAAGGGCAAATCCCCCATTAATTGTAGGGCTGCCCTCCACTGCCTTTACCTTCTCCACAACCGGCCTAAGGTCCCTCGCTCCAACCTCCACCATCAAACCATACTTCATGAACAAAGTCAACGACATCTTCTGCTCCACGCGGTGCCCCGGGACCAACGTCAGCCGGTGGCGGAGCAGCACCGCCGCCGCGATCGACTTCATCTGTAAATACGCCAGATCCTTCCCCAGGCAGATCCTGGGCCCCGCATTGAACGCCGCGAACTTGTACGCGTCATGTCCCTCGAACTTCGTGCCATCAGGCGACAGCCACCTCTCCGGCTTGAACTCACTACAGTCGTCTCCCCATATGAACTTCATCCGGCCCATGGAGTAAATCGAGTAGGTCACCGCTGATCCTGCCGGAACATGAACTCCGGTGGGGAGCACGTCGTCGGAGACCACGTGCTTAGAGTCCTCTGGGACCGACGGGTACAACCTCAAGGTCTCGGACAGTGTCGCCTTGAGGTACATCAATCGGTCAACTTCATCAAACCCTAGCGGCTCGTCGAACCAGGATGATGACAGTTCGCCACGTGTCTCTACCAGGATGGTGCAGATCTCGAGGAGGATCTTTTCCTCCACTCTGGGGTTCTGAATCACCAGCCAGAAGAACCAGCTCAGCGCGTTGGACGACGTGTCGCGTCCAGCCAGGATGAAATTCAATGCCACGTGCTGGAGGAATTTTTTCGAGTAGGATTCCTTTTTCTTCATGAACCGGGATAACAAATCGTCGTGCGGGTTCCAGTCCCCGGTCCGCTCGAGCCGACCTGTTGCCAGCTCGAGCTTGCGCGTGCTAATGATGTCAGACAGGTAACTGTCCATGTGCTGGAGGCTCCGGCTCATATCGGCTTCCAAGCCGAGTCGGAGCCACTTCCTGAGTTGCCAGAAGGGCTCGGGCACGATAAATCGCTGGAGCGTGGCTTCGGTGGCTTGGTCAAAGGACAGAGCAAACCCATTCTCTGGGAGATCAGAGGATAGGGTGAGCGGGTCCTTCCCGAAGGCCAGGCCGCAGATGTTGTCAAAAGTGAGCCGGAGGAGCAGGTCCTGGAGGTCGACCGGCTCGGCTCGGAGTCGGGCCGACTCGAGGATGGGGCAGAACCGATGCTTAATTGCCCGGTTGACCCACCTGCCCATGGCCTGTCGGAGGGTCCGGGTGGTGAATTCCAGCGCGGCGGTCTTGCGCTGGAACAGCCACGTGTCGCCGTCGGAGTTGAAGATGCCTTCCCCGAGGAGGTCGTGGAAGGCGGCCTGCCACGTGGGGCCCTTGGGGTAGTTGTCGAAACGGGCTTTCAGGATGTGCTCCACGTTCCTTGGATCGCACGTGACGGTCACGAGGCCTTGCTTCCGGGCCAGGAAGGGGATCCCGGCGATGCAGGTCTGGTAGGTGCCGCCGCCGGCGGCGAGGTTGTCGGTGATCCAGTCGTGCATCCTGCCGGAGTTGGCGATAAGGCCCGGGAGGCTGCCCAGTAGGGGCCAGACACGTGGACCCGTAAGCTGACGCGACACGACCTTCCACCACAGCAAGTAGGCTGCCACGGCGGACAGAACGGCCAGAGCTGTGGTCGTTTCCATCGTTACTATATATCGAATAACAAAGGACGAACACTAAAAAATGGCGGAAAAGAAGGGAAACCCAGATGAGAAGTGGCGGCAAAGAAACGAACTTTAGTTCGCGCGCTCGATCTGTTTGTTTCAGGAGAAAGTGAAGGAAGATGATGGAAATGGAGAGGCTTCTTTATAGTGAAAGAATGAACGAAAATGGAGGGAATATAATTAGGCGGGAGGCATTTACGAAACATAAAAAAAGCTGGATTAATTAAGAAAAACGATTTTAATTCTATAATAATAATAGTGGTATTTAATTTCCTTTGCGAATGAACAGATCATTCTAGCTACTGGGGGTTTTGTTTGGTTATGCGATGATCCCAACTATTTTTTTCCGCCGTCTCTCCATTGCGGTCGCGATCGCTGCAGTTCGGAGCATCGCCGATCGCTTTCCGTAAATCACCGACGTACGTACCAAAGGTCGACGTCTTAATTTGCCATTCTCATTCTGTATATATTTACATATACGTAGATGCATGTTTTTTAATACATGATATGTTTAGTTCATCCATGTAACTTGTAGAATAAGATATCTAAGTATAATAATTATGTATATGTCACGTTACACACTACGGGAAAAAGAGTTCGTTGTAAACCCAAAAATGTATTGCTTAAAATTTTAAAAGAGTTGCAACATCTTCTTATCCCAAAACTTTTGCTAGAGTTGAGAGAGCCTACACTCATATTTTAGGGTTTTTATGCCCCGGCCCTCGTCAATATCTTTTATAGGGCTCTTTTTTCTCTCTCGTTTCATTGTAATAATTAGTACCAAATTTATAAGAAAAAGGTTGAGATAGCCTCTCCATTAATGTGCAACTAACATACTAAAAAAAAAAAAATTAGAGATTCATTATTTTTTTTTATAAAGAACTGCAACTATCCATCTATTCCTTCATTACATAATAGAAAGGACATAATTACAACTCTCGGTAGAGGAATGTACCACCAAAGAACATATGGCGAAGCTACAAACTAGGCACTATCTTTCTAGATGTAGTAAAAAGACAAAATTACAAAGCTATAGCTTGAATATAACAAGAGCATTACACACAATCCTAGAAGCTCGACAGATATTGTCAATATCATCATCTTCAAACTCAATATGGTAGTCATTTCCAACTAGGGGCTGAGCTAGAATTTGAAAATCGGAGGAGTCGATTTTTTTACGTATTATCGCAAAAAAAATTTAAAAAAAAATTCATGATAATATAGAGGAATTTTTTATTTTCATAATTGCACAATATTATTTGGGATGATTAGAAGCACTCAAAATATTTCTAAACCTAAAAAAAGATTACTATGGTATGTTCACCAAAATAGGTCAATCACCAAAATAAGTCAAAAAATATTTCCAAACTTAAAAAAATTACCATGATATCTCCCCATCACGAAGGCATTGACATAACATAATGGATGGTCTCTTGACTCCTCTCTGCACCATAGGCACAACGTAACACACGAACTGAATATGTGGTATGTTTCACATAACAGATAATAATGTGAACGGCTATTTGCCGCCAAGCAAATTGCTATTTGCCGCCAACAAAAAAAAAAAAAAAAAATTTTGAATTCAAATTTTGAATTTTCCCTCCCTTCCCTTCCTTTCATTCTATAAATTCGGATACCCATGAACATTTGACTCATTCCAACAAAAACTTCTGTTGACGAGCCCAGTGCCTCCGTCGCCGGCACCGTTCTTCCATCGTCGGCTAACCTCCCGTCGCCCTCAATCGTCGGAAAACAAGTAAGTTTATTTTTTCCGGGCAGTTTTCCAATTTTCCGGCAAGTTTTCCAGTTTTCCGGCGAAAAACAGGGCGGGCCGAAAAAAATTTGCGGCCCGAGCGTCGGCCGGCCGAAAAAAAATTTCGGCCGGTGCGACGGCCGGCCGAAAAATTCTTTCGGCCCGGCGACGCCGCGGCCGCAAATTTTTTTCGGCCGGTCGCCGACCTCGCCGCCAAAAAAATTTCCGGCGGCCGGAGCGTCGGCCGGCCGAAAAAAATTTGCGGCCGCTGCGTCGCCGGGCCGAAAGAAATTCGCGGCCGGCCGTCGCACCGGCCGAAAAATTCTTTCGGCCCGGCGACGCCACGGCCGCAAATTTTTTTCGGCCGGCCGACGCTCCGGCCGCAAATTTCTTTCGGCCCGGCCAGTTTTTGTATTTAATTTAATTTAATACGATAATTAATTAATAAATTAATACTTAATTGGTTAGTAGAAATTAGCAATTAGTGTTAATATTTATTTCAGTTGGTTTATAAATGTTTTTTTTTGTAATAGGCGTTTGAATGTTTAATTACTTAGATTAGTTAATGGAATTTTAATTAATTAAGAATTGATTTAACAATTAATGTTAATATTCAGTACATTAGTTAATAGAAATTTAATTTAATTTTTTTCGGCCCGGCCAGTTTTTGTATTTAATTTAATTTAATACGATAATTAATTAATAAATAAATAAATACTTAATTGGTTAGTAGAAATTAGCAATTAGTGTTAATATTTATTTCAGTTGGTTTATAAATGTTTTTTTTTGTAATAGGCGTTTGAATGTTTAATTACTTAGATTAGTTAATGGAATTTTAATTAATTAAGAATTGATTTAACAATTAATGTTAATATTCAGTACATTAGTTAATAGAAATTTAATTAATTTGTGATTAATTAACAATTGATGTTAATATTACATTAGTTAATAGAAAATTAATTAATTAGTGCGCATCTAAGTATGATATTTTGTAAATTTGTAGATAATTAGATATGGATGATGCGGGTCATGCGGGTGGGGATGAGTTGAATAGATTCAATGGTAGGGTTGTTGATGTATCAGCACGAAGGAAGAATAAGGAGAATAAGCGCTCTCGAGATATTGGACATCAGTCACAGGCAAATTTAGGGGAGGATGAGTTAGAGGCTCCTACTGTAGTTGCTCATTCGGCATCACGGGCGTCTGGTTCCCATGGGAGGAACCAGGGTGCTGCATCCAGAGTGGTCTCGGCTGAGTTTGATGAGGACGATAGTGATGAGGATATCGAGGTCCCTGCACCTACGCGTGGACATGGACGAGTGTCGTCTCGTACGGCAACATCACGTCCTGCTTTGTATAGGGACCGAGCTGGGCGCTTTGTACCACCTGCTCGTCAGGAGACAGAGAGCTCGGGGACTGGACGGAGTAGGGGAGGACGTTCGAGTGGTCCTCCACCGTGGGAGCTTGTTGGTGAGTGTCCTGGTGGACCTACGGATCCTAGCCTCATTAGGAGCTTTCGTGGACACGTTGCCTATGCGCTTTGGACGGGGGCTGGAGATCGAGGGGTCATCAGTTGCTACAGCCGTACATCGGCGGTTGCTTATTTGAGTAGCTACGTGTTTAGTCATGTTGAGGCGGAGAATCTGGTTCAGCAGTCAGGTCTCCAGCACCTGATGTACTCTATGTTCCGCAGGATAGCGATTGACGATGCTTTGATCTCAGCTTTTGTGGAGAGGTGGCAGCCAGACACGAACACCTTCCACTTGCCTTTTGGAGAGATGACGATCCTCCTCCACGATGTTCAGTACTTACTGCAGATTCCTGTTGAGGGACGACTGATGAGTAGGAGTTCTGCGCAGCTTGACCATCCGGAGGCGGGTTTGTGTGCGCTTCTTGGGATGAACTCGGAGCAGTTGAGTGGTCGTACGGAGGTCCCTGGATATAATAATAGGGGTAAGTGGTACGAGAAGGGTGGTTTTCTTGCAGAGATGGCGTCCAGATACTTGCAGAGCCACGGGACACATGTGACAGAGGCGCAGTCGTACTTGTTGTTGTTGTTGGGGTCCACTTTGTTTGTGGACAAGAGTAGAGACAGGGTTCGGTCGGTGGTGAACCTATTTTTGGATGAGTTGGAGGAGTTAGATCAGTATAGTTGGGCGTCAGGTACACTTGCTTGGTTGTACAGATACCTTGGTCAGGCGTCTCGTGCTGGTGCCAGGGGGATGGCTGGTTGTCTCACACTTCTGCAGTGTTGGATCTACGAGTACTTTCCGGGTTTCAGGCCATCTCACTTCGAGCCTGCCGCCGTTGGACCTGATGATGCTTGGGCTTCACGATGGATTGGGCAGCCGGCACCTGGTTCTGTGGCGGATCCCAGTGTGAGGTTGGCGTTCTACCGTCGAGCTCTTGACAGCTTGACCCCTTCTGATGTGTTTTGGACACCTTTCCATCAGAGGCCTCATCAGGCAGTGCGTCGCTCTTTGTACACTGGAGTCATCCGGTTCGCTGACATAGGCGAGTTCTACGATCCAGCCCGTTGCCTCCGACAGTTTGGATATGTTCAGATGGTACCCGCCTGCCCCTTCGCGTCCTCAGCGAGCAGACCGACCAGAGGCACCTGGTGGATATGTCATTCGGATTCCTGAGAGTTTTGATGCTGCATGGGATGCTCTGCTATCCCACATGGTTCATATAGACATGTATTCTCGGCCGTGGACGACGTATCCATATGAGACTACGAGAGACTATCTTGACTGGTTCGTGGCGCACTCTCATTGTAGAGTCCTACGGGATGATGAAGAAGCAGATCGACTTATTGACTCCGCAGCGGTAAGATTTGACCATTATATCGTTACTCTATTATAAATATACTTAGCATGAAACTAAAAATTGTTCTTGTTTCTTTTTTATGCAGCGTGGTCGCGACCTTTTGTACACGTTTGCACCTGCGGTTCGAGCAGCAGCAGGGACCGAGGAGGAGTTTCTTGAGCATTATCGACGAGCCTACAGGGCACTGCACGGAGTGCAGGATGTGTGGACTGAGTACTGGGCTTCTCAGGGACTCCCCCCTCCTCCAGGGGATTTTTAGTTGTTTTGATGTTTCCATGTTTGACTACTTATGTATGTTTGGATCAGATGTTTATGTTTAGACTGCATGTTTCCATGTTTGTGTGTTAGATCGGATGTTTGACTACTTATGTATGTTTGGATCGGATGTTTATGTTTAGACTGCATGTTTCCATGTTTGTGTGTTAGATCGGATGTTTGACTACTTATGTATGTTTGGATCGGATGTTTGTGTTTAGACTGCATGCTTAGGGTCATTAAAGATACAACTAGAACATAATGAAATCAATAAGTTCATAATGACACTAGGGTCATTAAAAATACAACTAGAAAAACAACAACATATAAATAGAGTATTGCAACACTATGCATTGCTCCTACCCCTACCCCTTCCCCTAGCTCTTCGGGGGTCTCTCTGCCGTGCTCGCTGCCGACCACCAAGGCTCGCAAACAAATTCTGTCCAACCTCGAGAATAGCTCCCCACTCCGCCACATTAGGATTTGCGATCCCATTCCAAAGTGGATGCAAAGGGGGTATAGGAAACTGATTCTGGTTGAAGTACAATCGAATGTAGTGGTTGTTCACATAGTGCAGTGATAAGAACATGGTTGGTGGCAAAGTACCTGGGTCCGCATCAATAGGCAATACAGTATAGGCATCATCGTAGCGGTTGGGTAGTGGACGGTTTCCATTATTGACATCAAACACCTGGTATGTGAAGACCATGACTGCGATGTTGTAGATGGTGGCAAACACGAACAAGTCCTCAGAATCCATCCATCGCCCCGGTGGTGCGTGACCCGCCTCGAGCCAATTGATGCGGTCAATGTGAGCTAGTGGACCACCATTATACAAGTTCTCGTACTTCCAAAAATGTTGTTGGATTTCTTGGACAATCGTCGATCTCATGAGCAGATAGTGACTATCATCCACATAAATACAATGAGAAAGTGCCCTAAAACCACAATGGCCATCTGGACTAGGGTTGAAATCGCCTACCAGCAAAGGTCGAACAAACTCTGGAAAAAGCTCATCGATGTAAGGGTAAGAATATTGCCCTGGGGGGCTCTGGGATGAGTAATCTACAAAAATATACCAAACGGTCAAAATTACATGGAAAAAATTTACAAACATAAACCAATTACTACTAGATATTAAACCAATTACTCACCTGTATCATGCTCGTCGGATTCACCTCCACTCGATCGGGATCTGCCTCCACTCGATCGAGATCTGCCTCCACTCGATCGGGATCTGCCTCCACTCGATCGGGATCTGCCTCCACTCGATCGCCCCCTACCTCCACTCGAACCAGGCCCAGTACTCCTCGAACGAGACCGCTCATAATATGAACGAATGCGACTGGTGCTTGTTCTAGGGCGTCCTCTCGGATTCTCATTCACTTCCGGTTCCCTCACATTGTCCTCTGCTGGATGAAGCCCATAGAATAGGGCATCTCTTGCTTGTCTCACTGCTTCAGGACCTCTTTCTTCCACCTCAACAGTAAGACGCCTAAAGTGTTCTCGTTGAAGCTCAATTTCATCACTGACTTGTTGTTGACGTGGGGGGTTTTTATAATCCAAAGTCCGCCAAAATACATGCAACTCTTGAGCATAGAATTGACGTCCTTCTTCCTTAGCTTGAACAATCTGGCAAGCACACTTGAGCCCATGTGTCATCTGAAAATGACACGCACAACTGTCCTTCAACTCCGCCGCCCCATCTAACATCAGTTTGATTGCCTCAGAACTAACGACCCTCCTCAAAAACGTGCACGGAGCCTTAATTGCCCTACTCAGATTGCGGTTCAGTGACTTGTGCAGTTCATTCACCACTTCCAGAAACTGATGTTCCATGTAGTTGTGGTTCTTCGCAAAACAAGTGTCGATCGCTCCTCTACCAGACACAAGGAAAGTCTTGAATGAAGAGTGAGATGACTCAACTCTATTCGAGCTCGTGTTACCAAGATGAAACACATGGTTCGTGTAGCACATTGCCCACATTGTCTGATGAGGCAACCACTCACCTCGCACGTAGTCGACCATTTTTTTGTTCTTCACTGTCCAGACCCTCTCAAACTCATTAATCTTTTGAAGAAAACCTTCATGAGTCCAACTCCATGCAGCTTTGTCGAAATATTTCTTCCATACCGCATGTGCTACCTCTCTTTTTGCAATTCCACCAAGTAACACTTCAAACTTTTGCTTCACACAGTTGTTGACGTGCCATAAACATAGTAGGTGGACAGTATGTGGGAGAGGGAAGACCAAAGGAGTAGAAGCAAGCAAACCACCTTCTTTGTCTGTCACAATGACATTCGGAACCGTATCACCGAGCAACCCTTTAATACATCGCAGCAGCCACTCATATGTTTCCTTTGTTTCCTGCTTAATAATTGCACATGCAATGTTGAAATTCTTCTTCACTGGAGTAACCCCAATAATCTCAACCCATGGCCAGCCGTACCTGTTGGTCTTGTAGGTCGAGTCAATGAGGATGACGTACGGCCATGCATGCAACATCTGAATGGACGTCGGGTGCGCAAAAAACAGATTAGTGAGCACATTATTAGAGTCCTTTTGCAAACAGATATGGTACCCACGATGTTCAGCTCCGTGAAGCGCAAACTGTATCGCATCCATTTCACCCATCTCATCCAATCTTGTCTTGGAATTTATGTTGTACATCTGTTTGATATCATGATGCACACCCCCTTCAGTATTGAGTGTCGTCTTCTGCTGATTTGGTCTCACCCCCGCCTTCCTCATTAATCTTAACCTCTCTTTTTCAGCCTCACTAAACTGTTTGTTGTGTCGGTGATGTTCTGGATACAACACCTTTTCATGGTTGTGAAACCCTCTATTAGCTCCGGTTTCACGACTTGTCACTCCCACCATGACCCATGTGTTTGGACCATCCTTTTGCCATACTTCCTTTATACATATCTGAAACTGGCAACCAGTACCCTTCGAACTAATATTCTCACGCGTCTCCTTCGTAGGGTCTGGTTTATAAGACTTAACGATCCTACTACTTCTGTCGCAATACATACAGAGGGCAGTAACAGGATTCTGTCCAGCAGTATTCGGTTTCCATGATCCTCTAACAATAAAGAACCCACACTGCTGAGCGATTGTTCTTGCAGCTAACTCAGCTAACTCCACACTTGCATAATGGATCCCATTCTCAAATTCATGTGTGTAATCATGATCGGCCGGTAACAACTCTGACATTTTTCCTACAATTACAATATAATATATCAATATTCCTGTGAACCTAAACGCTAATTTCAATTCTTAACCGCTAAATTCAACTCCTAAACTCTAAATTCAATTCTTACACGCTAAATTCAACTCCTAAACTCTAAATTCAACTCCTAAACTCTAAATTCAACTCCTAAAATCGAATTTTTCCGAAAAATTGCAAAAACAGACTGTGAGCCGAAAATTTCCGGTGGCCGGAACCTGGCCGGGCCGAAAATTTCCGGCGGCCGGAACCTGGCCGGGCCGAAAATTTCCGGCGGCCGGAACCTGGCCGGGCCGAAAATTTCCGGTGGCTGGAACCTGGCCGGGCCGAAAATATCTTGCGGCTCAGCCTGGTTCCGGCCGCCGGAATTTTTCGGCTCGGCCAGGTTCCGGCCACCGGAAATTTTCGGCCCGGCCAGGTTCCGGCCGCCGGAAATTTTCGGCCCGGCCAGGTTCCGGCCGCCGGAAATTTTCGGCGCACCGTCTGTTCGTTTCAAATCGTCGGAAAAATTGTTCGAAACTACAAAAAAATTACGCACCTGCTTAGTGATGATTCATTGATGCGTGTACGCAGTATATGTCGAGGATAGGCTTTCCCGATGATTTTCCGGCGACTTTTCCGGCGAGCGTTGAATTTTTCTGATTCAATATGTTCTCTGAAAGTTGGATATGTTGTAGATTGTGAAACTCCTTACCCTACTATGTATATATATACTTATTTTATTTTATTTTTTTGGTTGGCGGCAAATAGCAATTTGGTTGGCGGCAAATAGCAAGCCCCATAATAATATGTATGTTCGCCTTAGCCCGTATCCTCGTGAATATTATCCAACCCAATCCAATTTTAGTGTAAGATAGATATGAATATTGAAATACCCGTCCCGTCCGTTTCATTGGCATCATTTTGCACTATCACACCCCAATTGGTGGTCTTCATCTTCAAAAAGTGATATACAGGAAGAGGCAAATCAAATGTTTGATGCTTATTTAATGGAAACCTTTTTTTTTTTTTACTAACTTGGAAACCTTTAATGATTGGAATTTCTTTGATTTCATCAACCCTTCTTGACCAACTTGATCTTAATATGCTGGACAACACCACACCTGGAGAACATATAAAACGGAAAGCAAAGGAAAGCTATATATGATCGATCTTAATTCCATTGATCGGCACTAAAAACAATTGCCTTTTGCTGTAAACCCCACACTCCACCATAGATGTTATCTTGCTCCTGGTATACTTAGATATATATTTTTCTATAAGTTATGTACGTGGATAAAATAAGCACATGTATGTAAATATAGACAGATGTCACAGAACTAAAAAAATCGTACAAAACTCATCCAAGCTATATTGTTTTCTTAAAAGGAATTTATCTCCCCTATCTCGATACTCAAGGCACGGAACTATAAATATGAGGATGAAACAAACGTATCTTAAAAGAATTCAGCTCCTCTCTCTGGATACTTAAGGTACGGAACTATAAGTATGAAAATAGAACAAAAGTATCTTACGGATGAGCTTCTTTGAGCTCTTTTCTTCATTTTCATTCACGCCACCACCACAGAATTCCAAGCTTAGAGTTTATAGGATTTCATATCGATAAACCTAATTACTTTGATGATATATGCAACATATCTACATCTACATGCAAAATGGGGCCGCGGGTTTATTAGTTTAGTTCAATAAGTCATTGTACTTTGTACATACCAAGGTTGTCAAACCGTTTTAAGTCATTGAGCCGGTAAAGGAAGGAGTTTGAGGTTTAATGGTCTGATTGGAGTTTGGCCGGTTTGAGCCATTTTAGGCGTTTTCTAAATGTATATACAAATAAGGTAGTAATTAAAGATTTAATGACTGAAATGTAATTTATCTTACACATATCTTTCAAAAACTTATTTTTCACAAAATAAATCTACCTAACTTCCATGATCCACCCATCATCTCTCTTCCTTCGTTTCTCTTCCTCTTTTTCTCCTCTCGTCTTCTCCCTCTTTAGGGGTAAGACCGAAAGTTTTCTGAAAGCCATTTTGAAACTCAACTCGAATTAGACTGGATCTAACGAGGGATTCGATAAGGATTTAACAACCTGGTCCATACGAAAAATGGGGCCGTGTATGTCATGATGGTCGACTAAAATGATGAGTGGTAGGTTAGATCATATAGATGGGGGCCCAAGCTTTGGAAAAGCATTCACTTTAGGGTGGATGGTAAATCCAAAAAAGCCCAATGTTGCTTAGCAGTGGAGACTGGAGACCGGAAAGAGTAACAAACTATTGGATATTTGGATTGGTATCTTCGTCCAAGGATGGCAATCAAACTAGGATGGTAATTTGTATCCGTTGGGTTTTATGCGATGCGGTGGGTATTACTAATAGTGTGAGGCGGAACATGAGTATCTAATTTCGATGTGTTTTGATCCGTCTTTTTATTGGCATATTTTATCTCAATTCTTTACTATACACATTCATATTTCTCTTATTTTGACTTTTCTTCAACTAGTTAGACTCAATTATCAGTTATATTATCACAAATTTTCATTCATAAAGTGCTTTCTCCTTCATTTTATCGCAAAAAGTAAAATTTTGTCTGTATTTTGTTCAAATAACATGTAAGAGTGAATCGACCCGTCCTGCCCCGTACGTGCGCGGGTTTACCTGACTTGACCCCAGTAGCGTGGGACGGGACATGAATATTGAGTTACCTCCCCCGCCCCATTACCATCACTAATTCAAACCCACCATAACAGATAACTAATTGTCACTGGCCCAGTCAATATGAAGAATCACGCATTTTGATTGAATATGAAGCTGGTGTAGGTAAAATTCTCAAAATATTTGATGGGAGCCTCCCATCCCATATCCCTACCCACCTCATCAACAAACACATAGATAAAAAAATAAATAAAAGAATTATGGTACCATTCGGCTATAAGAACAAGATATTTGGGCATTATTTATATTCCAAACAAAAGGATCGTAATTCACCATTGAACACTGGAAATGAACAAGAGAATATAAGTCAATCTAAAACACAGACAGAAAATGAGGAAAACAGAAAGAAAACAGGAGGCAAAAAGCACTTCCTGGAACCAGAAAAAATTAGACATAAAAATTAGAAAAAAGAAAGAAAGGAAAACAACAGACCAAAAGCCTATTGCGTTGCGTAAAGCATGGAAATGGAATATTGAGCAACAGCCGTTAAAACGACAAGAAAAAATAAAGTAAGTCAATAAATAAAACTCATTATAAATATAAACAAGTGGAAAAAAAAAAGAAATAATCCCAGTCTGATCTGCTGCAACTCGTCTCACCGCAACTCAATGCTCCCTCGCCTGAGTCGTTGACTCCAAAGCACCAACCTTGCATCACAAAGTCAACCGTCTTTCAATCCAACGGTCAGAATTCGACGTCCTTATGCTTACTTCGGTACAATCATACAACAAGAAGTCCTCCTGGTCTCGCCAATAATTAATTAATTCACTAATTAATGATCAGCATTTTTTTAATTATTTTGTAGCTTAACTTCTCTCTCTGCTTTTCTATTTTTCTTCTTTTCCCTTCTATTTTTTGTTTAATATTTTGGGTGGGTTCTCTTCTTCCTTTGCGTTTGTTCTCTCTGCGACTTTCCAGCTTCTCTGTATCATCTTCGCTGCCTCGTCTGCGGAGAAGCTGACACTTCGAGCTGCGCGTGTCAAGTGAGCCCAGCAAGCAATCCCGCTCAAAGCTTTTCCTCCCTCGCTGCTGTCTCAGCTTCGGATTGTCTCAGCTTCGCTAAAAAAGTACGTACCTTTGAGTGAATTTTGGTGTTTCGAGTGCTTGTTTGTATCATTTCAGGAGATGGGTTCGGAAATTTCTGACCCTTTTGTTCGTCTGCGTGATGGTGTTGATTCCTTTCTTGGTTTCCATTCCCTTTGCGATCTCCTGCTGTAATTTTCTTTTGGTTCCTAGATCTGTTGATGGTGGAGTTTGTCTTTTGGGGTTTGCTTTTCGGCTGGTGGATTGTGGGTTGATTTTGGCTGTGTAAAATGTGAGTTTTTGGAGAAATGGATCTACAATTTGATCAGTTAGTGTTAGAGTGGAGTAGCTACTGGAAGTGGAGGGGATTAGTTGAATTTATGGTTTCAGTGAATTTTTCCATTGACTATGCAGTTTGACTTAGAATGAGAGTTTTGGACTCTTGTAGTGAAAAGGAAAAGAAAATTTGTGATTTCTGCTAGGGTTGTTCAGATTAGTGAAGCGATTACTGGTCAAGCTGAGACTTTCTAGTCATGTAGACTCTTTGGAGTCACTGAAAATAGAAAGTTGATGCATGTTGGTCTATCATACTTGAACTACGAAGAATTGACTATGCAACTACATCATTAGCTGGTAGGAAAAGGAATAAGAGCGTTTGCTGGAACTATATCTGGCATATTATTGTGTAGTATCATAATGCCCAGTGCTAAATTCAGCAGTCTAGTTCAATGATTGTTCTAATCTAGGCCAACATGTGTCAAGCCAAGGGGTCTGGAGACCAATTTTTTCTCACTGTATTTAAAAAAAAAACAGTCTTTCATTAGGTTGCTTAACTAGGTGGAGAATTTATCTTTCAACTGTTGATGGAGATCGGCTTGTCATTAATCTGATGATTTCCTTAAGTCTCTTTTTTCTCATTCTGGAATCTGATTTAACACTTTGGAATTTCTTGTCTCGGCATTTCTATGGAACAATTCATGATTGTCCTGTGGAATCTTGCAGAAAAGACCAAACAAGAGAAGTTTCAATATCTATGTCTTCCATATGTGGCCAGTAAGTTGGGATGGGAGTGAGGGGGTATTTATAATGGAGGAATAAGTGTCGAGTTAAAGGTGGGAGCTGCCTATTCATTTGACAAACATGCCTTGGTGGAGTAAGTCATCATCAAAAGATGAAAAGAAGAGAGCAAACAAGGAAGGTATCATTGATGCAATACACAGGAAATTCAGAAATGCAACCGAGGATAAGAGCAGTGGTGGTAGAACTGCTGGGTACTGGCGACGTGCTAGAGATGTTCTCTCAGAGAGAGGATCTCTTTCCCGAGCCCCATCAAGATCTCCATCACCTTCCACGCAAGTCTCACGGTGCCAAAGTTTTGCAGAAAGACCAGCTCAACCACTTCCTCTTCCTGGTGCAAGAGGTAAAACCGTTGCCCGCTCTCATTCTGGAGTGAGTGGTTCTCCAAAGCCAGGTTCCGATGCAATATCCAAGCATTTGCACTTATTACCCCTTCCAAGGCCTGGGAATGTTTCTAATAGGTTGGACCGGGTAAATGTTGAAGTGGATATAGGCACTGCTTCTGTATCTAGTGATAGTTCAAGTGACAGTGAAGATCAGTCAGATTCACGTCTCCTTAGTCCCTTGACATCAGACTATGAAAATGGGAACAGAACTGCTGCAAATAGCCCTTCTAGGTGAGGACTGCGTTTCCTCTTTAATGTTCTGTTTTTTTTTGGTAGTTTTAGTGTGTAGTCTCTCTGACTTAATTTGTCTGTGGATGGTGCCAAAAGCATGATGCAGAAGGATAGGTCTCTGCTTCTTAGTCGAAAGAACTCAGGCGAGATGTTGAAGCATGCCGACTTTTCACTGAATAACAATCAGAAACCATCTGTATCGTCTAGAAGGGCGCATTTAAGCTCTCATGTACAAAATTTACAGATACCTAACAGAGGTGTACTTTTCAGTGCCCCTGACAGCTCAATGTCGAGTCCATCCAGGAGCCCAATCAGGTTATTTGGAACAGAACAAGTTGTAGTAAATACTGGTTTATTATTACAGGGGAAGAATTATGCAGATGTAGTAGGTTTACTAGGATCTGGGCATTGCTCAAGTCCAGGTTCGGGTTATAATTCTGGGCAAAACTCAATAGGTGGAGATATGTCAGGACAGTTATTCTGGCCAAACAGTAGATGCAGCCCTGAATGCTCCCCAATACCGAGTCCCCGAATGACAAGTCCCGGGCCGAGCTCCAGAATACAGAGTGGGGCTGTGACACCTCAGCATCCACGGGCTGGTGGGGGTTTGGCAGAGTCTCCTAAGGGAAGGCACGAGGACACTAAGAAACAGAGCCATCGATTACCTGTTCCACCAATAACAATCTCTAATACTTGTCCTTTCTCACCTGCTTATTCCGCCGCAACCTCTCCTTCACTACCACGGAGTCCTAATAGGGCAGAAAACCCTACAAGCCCTGGTTCACGCTGGAAGAAGGGCCGTCCATTAGGGCGAGGCACGTTTGGGGATGTGTTTCTTGGATTTAACAGGTCTGTATGACTATGGCCTCAGATCAAGCTCTAAGCATGATGATTGTGGTGCTTGTCATTTCTCATAGATGCTTCTTCAACATTTCACTGATGGAGATTATATTATGTTTACTTAGTGAAAGTGGGGAGATGTGTGCAATGAAGGAAGTAACTCTATTTTCAGATGATGCAAAATCAAGAGAGAGCGCTCAGCAGCTGGGACAAGTAGGGGATGTTTCCTTTTCTTCCTTTCGATTGTCTATGATTCTCTTTTTCTATCTGACTTAAAAACATTGTACTAAATTTTATCTATCTGGCAGGAAATTGCTATGCTGAGTCGCTTAAGGCATCCTAATATAGTGCAGTACTACGGATCTGAAACGGTATATGTTATTTTGAACTTGAAAATCATAAATCTTTCTTTGGAAAGGATGTTTCAACATTGGATTTGACATTCGAGAATTGACTGGCAATCAGTGGTGTTGTTTGTTTTAGCTGAACTTGTTACCTTACATTGAGCAGGTGGATAACAAGCTTTATATTTACTTGGAGTATGTTTCTGGTGGCTCCATTTATAAACTGCTTCAAGATTATGGTGCATTTGGTGAAATAGCCATCCGTACTTACACTCAGCAAATATTATCCGGGCTTGCTTATTTGCATGGTAAAAACACTGTACATAGGTGCGTATCCTTTGTTAGTGGTCTAATGCATAATAATCCCAACTTACAAGTCCTTGGAACATATTTTGCCAACTCATGCATGTTTTCATTTTTTGTGTAGAGACATAAAGGGAGCAAACATTCTGGTGGATCCAAATGGACGTGTCAAAGTGGCAGATTTTGGGATGGCAAAGCATGTAAGAGATATATAGTTTTGATGTATTTGAGTGTATGAAATTGCATATGCAATCTACTTATTTAAAACCAGCATGCACATGGAATGCTGAAGTAGTAGCACTAATAAAAAAACAAATAGAAAAAGCTCAATGGATCAAAGAGATGCAATCTCAAATACATGGGAACACGGAGTATTTGAAAATGAATTTGAGGAAAGTGGGTTTCATTTTGGTGGTTTGGTTGCCTGTGCAAATGCACTGAATTATACAATGGTATTACAAATACAACTCCCAAGTAATAGAATGCAAATTGAATAGCATAGAATCTAGACTAATAACATTCATTTACAGGCCGGTATACCAAACCAAACACACCTTACCTCGTTCTCAGAAATACAAAAATGATGTTATCTTTCCTGACATTGGTTCTCTACTTGGCTGAACTATTCTGCAGATTAGCGGTCAATCATGTCCATTATCATTCAAAGGAAGTCCATACTGGATGGCACCTGAGGTCAGTATCTTATTATTGTCTCCTTATTGTACTTTTATTTTTGCTTACTAATGCTCCAGTTGGTAATTTGTTTCCAAAATTTCTCTAGTTGTTTCAGGTGATTAAGACTTCAAACGGCTGTAATCTTGCCGTTGACATATGGAGCCTGGGGTGCACTGTTTTGGAGATGGCAACTGGAAAACCTCCTTGGAGCCAGTATGAAGGGGTTAGTATAACATGAGCTCAGAATTGCTTGTAGTTATTCCAGATGCTTTAGAAGCGAGGAGCTGATTACCTGACTTTTAACCTTTGCTTGTCTTTTTTCCTCTATGGAAGGTTGCTGCTATGTTTAAGATTGGAAACAGTAGAGAGCTTCCTGCTATTCCGGATCATCTATCAGAAGACGGGAAGGACTTCATTAGGCAATGTCTACAACGGAATCCATTGCATCGCCCAACATCTTCTCAACTCTTAGAGCACCCGTTTGTGAAGAATGCCACACCTCCGGAGAGGCTAATCATGACGGCTGAGGTCACAGAACCGACCACAACTGGAAGATTAATGGTACTCCAATATATTGCCTGCCCGCTGCTGTCTTTGCCTCATTCGATTTGTTTTTTGTCATTGCTTTCCTTGTGGCTAAAATCACTGAACATTTTCATGCTATTGTACTTGTTTTTCCCTGTATTTCAATTATGTCCATGATCATACCCTGGTTCCATTTCATCCAACAAGGTCGCTTTATTTCTCTTGTGGCCGTTGTTTGTCATTAACTGACTACTGGGATGCAATCTTCAATTAGGGCATTGGACATGCGAGAAGCTTTGACACGGAAGCAATTCCTATTCATCAATCTAGAGTCTCAAGAACTGGTTCAGGATTCAGGTTTTCTCCTCTTTCCAGCCTTGCTATGCAGTTATTCTTGTTTGTGTGCTGAGCCTGAGTCTCAAGAATTGGTTGAACAACATTCTTACCGAAACTTGAGATGCACAACCATCATATTTATTTTCTTATCGAACTTATTGAATTTGCGAAACTTGCGAAACTTTGAAATCAAGGGATATTGCCTACAACCAGTAAGTGATGTTTTAAGTTTTTCTTCATTTGTGTGCGCATGCTCTCTCCTAAGCTCCAGTAGCTAAAATGAGAACTCTCAACTGCAACTAGTTGGTTTTTGTTTCATCATATGATAAAGTTGCTGTGTTTCGAACAGTTTCCATAACAATCTTATTCTGTTTCCCATTTTCCAGTGGCGTCCATGCGCCGAGGAACAACTTATCATGCCCAGTTTCCCCTATTGGGAGCCCTCTTCTGTATCCAAGATCACCACAACAACATACGAGTGGAAGGATGTCTCCATCTCCTATATCCAGCCCTCTTACCGCCTCAGGTTCATCCACACCCCTTACAGGTGGCGCCGTCCCATTTCATCATCAATCATGGCAGCCGGCATCTTACATCCATGAAACTCCAAGGTCTCAAACTGGCTTCTACACCGGTAGTAGCAGTAGTACTCCCTATCAGGAACCATCCAACAACCACCCTGATAAGTTCCGAGGTTTGTCTCAAACCTCCCACATGTTCCGGGACATGATTTCAGTAGATAATAATGGTAGTTTTGGGCACCATTTTGGACGATTTGGTCAACACCAGGACCTTGGTGAAGGTCTTCCAACTTCACAGCCTGTGTTGGCTGACCGTGTTTCTCAGCAACTGCTAAGGGATAGTGTTCGGTTAAAGCCATCCCTTGATCTGAATCCTGGCTTCACAATGCATCATCATAGGCATTCCTGAGTAGCAATTTGCAGAGTTTTTATGCTTCTCTTGAGGCTAGAAAATTTCAGAGGCTACAAAGAGCTGGGCAAGGATTTTTAGAACAGGCATTTTGCAGAAGAATCCACTAATTACTTTCAACCCATAACAAAGCGGTGGAAATTCGAACAACTGATAGATGAGAAACAAATTTGCTTACTGAGACCTGACATGTTAGCAGCAGCTCAGATATTATTCGTAGGCGCGATGTAAACAACTGTAAATCTTATAATACACTCTTGAAGAATACAGGAGTCTAGAAAATTTCCTGTCTGAACATGGTGTACTCTTCAATTTGTAACTGTAACCATATCTGGTAGGAAGAAGTACAGCTGCCTCAGTTGAAAGAAAAGAGGCCTGTATATAGAGTTGCTCTGAATTGGGTATATATTATTCATGTTCTTGCCTGATAGATCAAGCTCAAGCTAAATTCCCAATGCTTCTTAGCCAGTTTCATGTCTTTCCCTAGGGAGTTGGGTTCGGCGAAATTACAGTCCATGAAGTGTTTACCAGTAACACCTTACTTGAGGGTGCAGCGCCAGAAAACAGCTTGTAGCAGCTCCCTGTAAAAATGCAAGTTAAAGAGTTGAAGCCAATGGTTCATCAAACAGGGTTTAGCTACTGGAGTTGAAGAATGATGGACCTGTTCAGCATTCTTCAGTGCAAATTTAACAAACACGTTTGCAAGCCCTGCAAAAAACTGGGACTCTCATTAGGGTTCTGCAGAAATTATTACAACTTTTTTTTTAAGAAATTACCGTTCACTACACTGATGCCGCACAAGGTTGGTAACAATAGATCCAGGTTGAAGTGAATTAACAGTGATATTCTATTCACGCCATCTTCCTACAGTAACAAATAGAAAGTGTTTAAGAATTTCTCACCATCTGCAACATATAATATAAGTATATAACTAAGCGAAACATGTAGTTCAAGATTCTGTACCTGGAGATGCCTTGCTAGCTCCTTCCCTTGCAGTATATTTGCAAGCTTCGACTGTCCATAAGCACGCATCCCAAAGTATCTGCAAAATCATAAGAGGGCAACATAGTAAGAGGCTGACAAAAACCGAATCTGAATAAAAACAAACAATATCATCTACTCAGATTCATCGTTAATTTTGTCAAATTTAATTCCTCCTTTGTACATGAAGATATGAGCAAGTGATCCTAGGATGACAATCCTTCCCTCCTTATTGCTTGCATGTGTCGTCTTTTTCATAGTCTCTAGCAACAAGTTAGTCAGTAGGAAATGGCCTGCACAGAAAAACAGTAGTTTTAGACGCATTGACAAACTCAAGAGTATATTCTTGGTACTGGTCAGAAGCACAAGTACCCAAATGGTTTATGGTAAATTGGACCTCAACATTGTCTTCAGAAATTGAGAAAGGACATGCCATAATGCCTGCATTGTTGCTTCAGCGACAAGTAACCCAAAAAGGATTAAGAAAAAACGAACTCACAGTCGCCGTGACCAAATAATCGAGTTTCTGAACTACTAAAGATCAGTTGTCCTGCCTACATGAGAATGATCAGTGGAAGGCCGGTGGAGACATATTCAAAGGCAAATTTTCGAACCGATGCCAACGAGTTGAGATCTAACTTCATGACGTCAAGCTCAATAGTCCTGCCTACATGGCCTGCACAGAAATTCAGATGCAAATTTTTTATGAAGCTAGACGCTGGTTATGAAGCTAGACGTTCAATAACCAGATGCAAATTTGAGATCTAACTTCAAGAACGTCTAGCTTCATAACTAGCGTCGACATTCCTTACAGCCATCACGACTTGAACACCTCGCAGGGCAAGAACTCGGGTCGTCTTCAGCCCAAGGCCACATGATGCTCCTGCATTTTAAACACCAACTTTTCAAACTGATGATTCAGATCAAAGATTCAATCTTTTCCTACTTTCTAAAAGCAAGTTCGAACCAAGATGGAGAAAAACAAACCTGTAACGATGGCAGTGAGGCCAGTGCCATCAATTCCGGTCGTAACAGGGGATTCACCTGTCCTCCCGAAAACCCACATTCCAGAGAGATTCCATTAGTTCATGGTATCATCTTCGCTGTAGTTTTGTATTGGTTGTTGTAATGATAAGTTCAAGGGTGTTTAGTCCATGGTCCCGTAAGGATTCATTTCTGGCATGGATTCTTTTCTTACTTGGGACCTAGCTTTCGTCTGTTGTTTAAATCAGGATCAGTAGCTGCATTTGTATACACTATACAACCGAAGGCAGAAAATTCCTTTCACAGAACCAACCTTCTAATATAGCATCCAGCTCCGAGAAAGTAGAACTTTTGCTATTATTAATCAGGCAAGAAGCTTCCTTCTCCTTCCCTTTCAGCACAGCACTTTAGCCTTACCAAGCACACAAGGGCATTTCATCAAACACCTTCAGGACGTGGAGTTAGAACTTAATTAATCGAACCAACAACAGGAGAATGGAAGGTTATTGCAGCACCAAGTTTGTATTGTTTCTTGTTGATAGTTCAAATGTTACAGGGTCTCTCGTGATTTCTTCCATAACAGGATAAAGGAACCATCTTTCGACAGCAAATAACTGCTACATTTCCAACGCAAACTGGGAAACTAACAGAAAGTTGAAAAAGGGATATATCTCTACTACTGATCCATTAGACTGTGGAGTTTAGGGTCAGGGCTTTGGATTTGGAAGGTGGGGAAGTCTTGTGGGTGGCAATCGCAGCACTGGCTCCTCCGTCTCGATGGGGTCAGATCGGAGAATCTTCACACCATAATCGCCAATTTTCAAACAACAGAAACCCAGAAATCAACCATTTGTCTTGGAATCGAATTGAATAGAAAGAAAAAGGAAGAGACAGAAGCGTTACTGGGTCTTGCAGAGGAGGCTTGGAGTCGTCTTGGGCAGGCCTGAAAGGAGGTTTGGTGTTGCTGTACAGCTTGTTGCTGGCTACGATCACCGGCGATGGAGATGACGAGCTGCCGCCCCCTTTCATGATTTCTGCTTCTGGTCGGTTCCGGTGTTCAGGAAATTTTTAAAGGGGTGTCCTCTTTCAAAAATTAAATTTAATTAAAAATTAAATTAAATAATTCATAAATCAAAAAATATCTGACTAGTGCAAATTTGAACCAAAGACCACAACGTGTTTTCATATTATGAAAAAAAATATAAAATAAACTCGATGTCTACATTGATCACCAAATCTGTATACTCTATTAGACAATAATTCACGAACTGATCGCTATTCGATTTCTAACCTTGTTCCTGATGTAACTCAAACTTGAAAGTCTCTTTCAACTCTGGCGATGTAACTATAAAATCATTTAAAAATAACTCGAATGAGTTTAATTGTTAGGTTTTGAAAAGAGTTGAGAATAAAGAATAGTGTTTTTACTATTATATAATATTTAAAATAGAACAACAAATGAGTTGCAACCTAGAGAATATGTTTAATAATAGTAGTGTCCTAGGTTTGATTAACACAGAGTACCACTTATATATTTTTAATCATACGCAAACTACTACCGCTGACATGATAATCATTTTTCCAAAATTTAAGGGTATCCCGGATAACCAATTATAATTTTTTTATCCATACCAAACTACTATATGAGGTTAAATAATTGTTTTCCCAAATTTTAGAAGTGTCCCGGGACACCACTAAAGGTGCATGTATCCGCCACTGGTTCCGGTGGAGGGGCAGTCGCAAGTTTGTAGCAAAAAGTTATTAGTTTGGGTAAATGTTTATATTTTTATTCAATTTTTTTTCAGTTTGTTTTTATATTTTTTATATTTGACTTAGCAATTTTTTCAGATACTGATTTAGCAATTTTTCAGATTTTTACTATTAGTCAAATATTAACTTTCCGTTAGCAATTTTGTTAGTGATATTGACTTAGCAACATGATACTAATTTAGAAGAGACTCATGAAGGTCAACATTTCAAAATGTTAGTATTTTAACTAAGAAAATAGTTACAAAATTATTAACGATAACATGAAAATGACTAATATTTTGATTCATCATGAAAGATTTGGATAACTAATAAAATTTTAATAGGTTTGGATAATATAAAAAAATCTGAAAAGGATTTGGATAAAAAATAGACATTATCTTATTAATTTGAGTGTTTTAACTTTTACCCACTCTTTCTAAAACAGCACCATACTCGTGGCCGATGGGAAAATTTATTGTGGAGATGTAAATCGGTAGCCTGTTTTTAATTCTATGAAATGGTTGAATCAGGATTAAATTATAATTTTAGTATAAAGTATTATATTGTTGATTTTTTTTATACAATCTCTAGTATCGTATTACAAATCTTGATTTTATCCTTTTCACCCCTAAACTATGCAATTTTTCAGAACAAACTTTTTTGGGGCCATATTTCGAACAACCTTCGTTTTGTTAACCTTTTTTTAGTGAAAATGTTATTTGTTTTCACCTTAGTGAACACCTCTAATTAATGAAGATGTAGCATATCATTGATAAATATATTCAGATTGTTTATAATGAATACCTCTAATAATTATTTCACAAACGTTAATAATATCGAACATAAGAGTTGATAATAATATGATAATAACTGAGATAAAAAATTAATAATGGACCTAAAAATTATCCGACACCATTAAAAAATTCTAGAAACAAATTAAGATTCGTTATTATTTTAAAATATAACACTAATCTCCTAATCCAACTTAACTACTTATTAATCACTAACTACGGGATAAGTTCAGGTCCTTAAGCATAAAAGTTTAAGAAGTTCCTTAAGTGAATTCTGACCATTAGATTAACCTAAGGTAGTTAGGAAATAGTTATTCGTTATTGGGTAGTTAATAATTATTGAGGGTATTTGGGGTAGTATGATTAATTAAAACTAAAAATAATTGGAGAGGAAAATGATTATCGGCCAGCTGTTTTTTTAATTTATTCTATGGATTAGGGTTTTTGTTTTTATTTTCTCACACTTGTCGTCGTCCCCACAAGTAGCTTGCCGCCGGCCATTGCAGCAGCTTCCCATCGTTCTTTTGCCGTTGAGCTCGAGCTTCCCGTCGTCCTCACCAGCAGCTTGTCGTCATCTATTGCAGTAGCTTCCCACCGTTGCTCTCGAGCTTCCCGACGTCATGAAGCATTTTTGGTTGAGCTCGAGCTTCCCGCGCAGAATATGGATTTACGATTTCATAAGTAATGCTTCTTATCTTGAGATATGTTTCGAGTCTGCAATGGTGTAGAGAGAGGAATTGGGATTTGGGAGGCTGGAGGTCTCCACTAGCTATTTCCCAAATTCCCTTACACTGAAACACGAGATTTTGTTTTCATGCTTGAATGGTTAATAATGTAATAGTACTAGCTTTTTACCCAGCCCGTTGGCCGGAGAGTTTCATTTTATCGTTGACATTAATTCAATTTATCTATATGTTTAAACTATTTTAGACCTTCTAAATTTATTATATTTTGTATTGATAAGTGAGTATGTGGTGTGTCTATATATTGAAAATTCTTAATACTTGGCACATTCACTTATAATGTTTGACTTCTCTAATCATAAACCATGTCACAAAGGTATACCACGTTCCATGTACAATTTTTTCTATCTTATATGAATCCACGTTGTTCAGATGAGGACATCTTAGTTAGAGTTTCTTTGTACATATACTTCATTATTGGATATATTTCTTCATCTCAATTAAAAGTTGACACTTTGGATGTTCATGAAGTTTACTATAAGATCTTATTTGTATTTAGTCTCTTATACAATATGTATCAATTGCTAATTTCTGAAATTTAATTTGGACTAACTGAGACTCATTGTCGTTGTTTATATATTATTTTAGAATCTCAATCCAAGATACTCACATACGGATTTTGATCTTAATATGGTGCGTTAATGTATAATTTTACAACTTGTAGAACCTTCGTTTTTTAAAATTCATTTATGTTTGGTATTTGTTTAAAAATAAAAATTTCATTACTTATACTAATATATGCATTTTTTTTGTATGGACACATTTATTGTCAATATATAGCATATATATTAAAAAGAGTTTAATTATTTTTAAGTGTAATTAATACTTGTTTTTTACAGGGATTTGTAAAATGTTAAGAAAATAAGGGATGGAAGTACACATTATAAGTGAGAGAAAAGTTATTCTTACTTATCATCTTCATTTATCCAATGAGGTGATCTATTCTTGCTCCATTGAATTTTTATCAAATTATTTTATTCCGTAAATATATTATTAGTTATGCATGTGTTTGCTAAGAAAGATCATACCGATTATCAACTTCTTTAATCTTGCCTAATTTTCATGTGAATGTTCATGAAGTCTCCTAACGATCTTATGTTAACATATGTCTATCAAGAGACCCAAATTTAGTATATTATATAACAGAGTAAATACATTTTATTAACCAAATCTTTCAAAAAAAAATTCAAAATACTAAGTATTAGCCAAACTTTAACTCCCCGTTGCCATTTTTGTTAGTAATGTTGACTCAACAACATGATGATGAGTTGGAAGAGACACGTGACGGTCTATAATCCAATTTAGTATTTTAATTAAAAAAGAGTTACAAAATTATTAATGATAACAAAAAAATGGTTAATATTTTGACGTGGTACAAAATATTTGGATAATCATTTTTAGTTCGAAAGGTTTGGCTAATAATTTAAAAAAACTGAAAGGTTTAGCTATTTAAATGTTATTTACTCTATATGTATCAATTGCTAAGTTATCTCCTCCCACATTTTGTCAAGACCGCTACTGAAGTTCTATACCAGATCTGCTCTGTCCAATCCTCACCTTTGTCCACCAATTCACGGCCCATATAGTAACATCGCTAGCTGAATTTTAAATTGTCCTCCTACACCATTTCTCACATGCGCCACCAAATTGTTGACATAGTTAGTTTCGTCTACCCGGGTATCTCCACTCTCTATTGCATTTAACACCCGTTATTTGGTTTGCTTTCCTTCACTCAAAATTTCTTCTCCTAACGAAAAATCAAAAGGTAATGGCCTAACACCTACCTAGCATATGACGTAAACTGAAAATTTACTTAATAAGATTTATTCAAATATTTTTTGTTTAAACAATCGCGATACATGTCAGCCTCCAAACATTAGTATACTACTGCTGCACATATATACTACAAAATGTACAGATGAATTATTAAATAAAAAAAAAAGGAAACATTAAATGAAGATAGAGATAGCTACATAAATTGAGCATTAACTTACTTTTGTGTTTGTAAAAAAAAAGTGTCAACCATGATAATTTGTAAATTCTTGAAGTGCTTATGTGGTAACAAACTATTGTTGAATTGCCACAGATAGATAGATAGACAGATATATAGATTTTAAACCTTTATTTGATTAATGTATAGGTCAGTGGTTGATGAACACATGATGTTTAACATACAGTTTAGCAAAGATTCAGCTAACTTTCACATGTATCATTTTTTAATGTATCCCGTATCTCATCTTAAGATATGAAGTCAAGTTCATAAACAATCATACCGAAGTCATTTTGAAAATTTTGATTTATAATCCTTGAAAATTTATTACTCCAAGTTTGAAAATTAAATTTCTTAACATATGACGTAAAACTTCATTAGAGTTTGCTCAATTAACACGATCTAGAGCAAAAATGCAAAATATTAGTAATTTGAACCTAGGATACATTGTAAATTATTGCACCTATGATTCATATGTCTTCACTTAATTAGAATGAATAAGGTTTTTGTTTAAGAAATAGATTTTATTGCTTGGTCAAGTTTCTATTCAAGCGTTTCTTGTTTTCTCTCTTTAATTTCCATCTTTATTTTGTCGCGATAAAATGTTATTATGTATGTGTGTTTGTATAAATTGTTCATTAAAATGTAACATATTTGTATATTATTGTAAAAGTGAGTTAAAAATTTACTTAGTGAGCTTTAATAAGATATTTTTTTGGTTGAGAAAAAAGTTATATGTGTGACTCAAAGACATTAGTCTATTGTTGTGTACATCGATACAATGCAAAAGTAAAAACAAAAACATAAAGGAGGTATTAGAAAAGAAAAATAAATATTAAAAAAGTTAGAGATAATAAATGTAATATATGTCACTTTTCATACATTATTTATTATTGTGTACATTGATATAATACAAAAAAAAAGGATAAAAGAGAAATGAAATATTAAATGAAGAGAGAGATAGCTCCATAAATATATCAATAACTATTTTTCTTTTTGTAAAAATATAGTCCAACTTGGCAATTTGTGAACTCTCCAAGTGCTTAGGTGGCAAACAATTACTTTTGAATTGCCATAATATTATGTATGTATAGATAGATAGATAGATAGATAGCATTGATATGTTTTCACGCTTGAATGGTTAATAATGTAATAGTGTAGTATTGATAAGTACATTAAATTGTTACTAATGATGTAATATATCAATAATAATTCATTTTATAAATGTTGACAGAGTCCTTGATAGAGGTATTGATTGGCTAGTTATGAACATGACGTGAAAGTGTGGATTGTTGTTAATAAAGATGAATTAATGATAATGTTATTTAAAACGACGTTAAAAATGATGTTTTCCATTTAAAGGGTAGGGTGTTATTTTTTGTAAGGTTTTGTTAATTACACACAATATGGTTAATAATCATAAAATTTCATCATTATTTGTGATTTTGCTTGCATTTTCAACGAAGAACAACTTAGTTATCAATATTTTACAATTTATTATTAACCGTTAGAGATTATATTTTAATATTAACATTTTTAAAAAATTTAAACGAAATACAACATTCGTATGGAAGTTTTTGAAGGTATCTGATTCTTAACATTTAGTCCAAACATTATTGATTTTTTTGTGCTTGTTTTGAATGAGATATAATTTCGTTATCAATCATTTGCTTTATCATTCTTAACGGTTTGGTGTTGGGGTATGAATGTTGGTTTGCTTGACTAATGTTTTGCACCTCAATGACCTAATGTTTGCTTGAGTGAATCTCAAGTGTAATATGCCACAAGTGTCGAAGATGTAAAAAATAAGAGTTGTGTTTTATAACCATTGAAAACGACAATATAAAATGGTACTATTTGATCTCAAAACATTAATAATGTCATTTGAAGTCACTGTAAGAGGCCATGGTTAGCTAGTTATGAACGTGAAGTGAATCATTAATAAAAATGTTATAAATTAATGATAATGTGATTCAAACCATTAATTATGATGAGCATCATAATTTCAATAATTCATTCATAGGTGTTAACGATAAAAATTGTAAAGCGTTAGGGATTGAACTAAAATTATTAATAATGTAATCATAAAATATTAATAAGTATATTGAAATCCTTAATAATAATGAAGTGAATCAATAATAATTTATATCATAAATATTGATAATGTCAATGCAAAACGTTAATAATGTAATTGCAAGTCTTGACGGAAAGAGTCAAGGAGAGTGTACATTTTTAATTTCAAATTTCTTTTTTTAAAGCATTAAATATTAATTTCAAATGTCATTAAATATTATTCAATTTTGAATTGCCATATGATTGCATTAAAAGCAGAGGGCAAGCTCGTGGGAGTTAGTTTCCTTTTTAACTAATGATTTTAATTATTGGTAAAATTAATTATTTTCTATAATCTCTTATTTGCCCTTCTAGTTAGTTTTTTTTTTATTGAAGGAGGCAAAAGCCAGGTTATCTAAGAAAAAGAGTAGCCCGCTGGGAACTTAGAAGCACAAGCCTCCAGCTCAGAAAAACAGAGAAACAGGTAGAAGACAAAATCAAAACCAAGAGGGTAAAAACAGAAAACAGCCCAGATTAACACCAACTACGCGGATCCAGTAACAATCCGTCTAGCGAAACTGACCCCCACAAGGTCTTCTCTGATGATCTTCTCTAAGTCGTTTGGCAGTTCTTCTAGTTCATGCGTCCCGAAGGGATAGACGAGACTGTGCTTCGAGAGCCAGTCCGTGACTCTATTCCCTTCGCGGTACGTATGAACTAGCTTCACAATCCAGTCTTGAGCCAACAATCTGCGAATCGAATGAAGAAGAGTAGAATGCGGATAAACATGGTCGGTTCTGTTCTTAATCAGATCAATAGCGAGGGTTGAATCTGTTTCCAGGATTAGAAACTTGTAACCTTTCCTCCAAGTAAGTTGTAGCCCCTGGTGGATGCCCCAGAGTTCAGCAAGAAGAGCAGTACCTTCTCCAATCTTGGAAACGAAGCCGCCGATCCAGTCTCCTTTCTCATCACGCAACGAGCCTCCTGCAGTGGCCATCCCAGGATTACCTTGTGAAGCTCCATCAGTGTTCAGCTTAATCCAACCACGAGGCGGGGGAGACCATCCTATAAGCCGTTCTTCGCGAAGTGGTTTGCTGGTGATGGTTGTCCTGTTTTGAGCATCATGCCATGTCTTCATCCACTCTTTCGCCTTTGTAATAACATAGTTGGTGAGGGTAGCAGACATCAGCCTAGTACCTCTGAAGATGACGTCATTTCTGTGTTTCCAAATGTACCAGCATACAAGGACAAAGAAACCAGCCCAGTCCTCTGTGTCATCCCACTGCTTAGTACCGTCGATGTTCTTCTGCATCCATGTCTCAGAGTCCATGGCGAAGAAAGGCTGTTGGTGGTGGTGAGGGATTACTTTTTCCCAGAATTTCCTAGCAACCGAACAATCCCTGAGACAATGTAAGTTGGTTTCGATCTCCACATGGCACATAGGGCATTTATCATCTTCCGTCAGATGCCGAAATTTCCTGATGTTGTTTGTGGTAAGACGGTTTTTCAGAGCAAGCCAAGAAAAAAGCTTCACCCTTTCTGGAACAGGAAGTCGCCAAATAGTTTTCCACACTTTGGAGTTCTGGTCGTCTGGATTAGGAGTTATAAGTTTGTAGGCAGAGGCTGTGCTGAAACGTCAACTGGCAGCTGGTTTCCAAAAGAGTTGATCTTCCATTTTGGTTAAAGGATCATTGGAGATGGATCTGATCTTGTTAACTACTTGAGGGCGTAGCAGATTCTCCATTTCCTCAATCTTCCAACCCAAGTTGGGGTGCCAATAATCGGCAACCTTCCTTGTCTGCATATCCAAGGGAATCTCTGTTGTCGCCAACTCCAAAAGTGGGACCTGCATTGTCAAGCCAGAAATTAGTGTTTGAACCGTTTTTAATGTTGAAAGCAACACCTTTGCGCAAAAGGGGAGTAGTATGCACATAGCTGCGCCAGGCAAACGAACTTCCCTTTGATCGCGTGAGCATATCAATCCCTTCTTTATCTCGACAATATTTATTCTTCATGATCTCTGTCCAGAGAGATTTCTCCTTCGTTGCTAGCTTCCAAGCACCCTTTGCAAGCATTGCTTGATTCACCTGCCTCGTTGGCCGAATACCCAAGCCACCTTGGTGTCGTGGTCGAGTAATCTCATCCCAAGCCACAACATGGAATCCTGTCTTCCCTTCCTCTTCTCCCCAAATGAACTGGAGACTACACCTGCCCAAGGATTTGCATATATTTGAGGGTAGATACTCTGTAAACATAGGATAGATAGTCATGGAGGAAGTTACCGATTTCACTAGGGTGACCCTGGCCGCCATGGACAGATGTTTGGTTTTCCAGTTCGCGAGTTTTTTCTGGATTTTGAGCACCAATTCTTTGTATCTATTCCTCGTAATTCTGCCATTAATAGCGTGCAAACCCAAGTATCTTCCCAAGTCAGTTGTTAAGGAGATACCAGCTCTTCTACTAAGTTGTTCCGCTTTCTCCTTACGGATATTAGGCGAAATATACAGAACAGATTTGTTGAGGTTAACTTTTTGGCCAGAGCTGCTGCAAAAGTATTCCAAACATCCTCGAATGATATCAATTTGGTTACCCTCTGCCTCTGCAAATAAAACCAAATCGTCAACGAAGAAAAGATGTGACAGCTTGGGGCCATTTTTCGAAAGAGAAAGAGGTTTCAAGATTTTTGTTCAACAGCAAGCTCAATTTTGTGGGCTAATCTCTCCATACAAAGGGCAAAAAGAAAAGGTGAGAGGGGGTCTCCCTGTCTGACGCCTCTGCTAGGAAGAATTGGTTCGGAGAGACTGTCATTCCATTTAATTCTCATCTTATTCCGTTCAACACACTCCATAATTCTGCTGATCCAGGTGCTTGCCATGCCTATCTCCTTGAGCGTATCCCTTATGAAATCCCATCTTAGACGATCGTAAGCTTTCTCAAGATCTATTTTAATCACAAGTCCCCCTTTCAAACCTTTCCTCTTTCTGAGGGAGTGTAGGACTTCTTGGAAGATAACAATGTTGTCAGTTGTTTGTCTTCCTTGGATGAAACCACTCTGAGTTAGGACTACCAATTTCGGCATAAGAGGTTTCAACCTGTTAGTAATGATATTGGTGATGATCTTGAGTGTGACATTGTTTAGGCAGATCGGCCTAAACTGGGCTGGAGATTCCGGGCATTCTACCTTAGGGATCAAGATAATGGTGGAGTTGAAAGTTTCCTCCGGCAGCTCTCCTGTATCGAAGAATTTTGTCACCATCTCAGATAGATTTTTACCCAGGACATGCCAGAATTTCTGATAAAATACTGCCTGTAAACCATCTGAACCTGGCGCTGAAAAGGGTTTCATACCAAAAACTGATAAGTGAGTATTAGTGATGTTAATAGGGTAGTGAAGTTTGCTGATCTCTTCTTGAGATAAATGCGGAAAGCAGTTTTTGGGAAGAAGATCCTCATACTGGTCATTGTCTTGGGTATAAAGGGCGGAATAGAAGTTGAGAACCAAATCGAGCAGTTGATCTTGATTTTCAATCCATATCCCATTTATATCCCGGAGAGTGATGATCTTGTTCCTGCGTTTGCGCCTGGTAGCTTGTTGATGAAAAAAAGAAGTGTTTTGCTCACCAAGCTTAACCCAGTTCTCCTTCGCTCTCTGAAACCATACAAGCTCTTCTTGAGATAGAACTGAGTCTAATTCCTGTTCGAGTTTGATTTGAAGTTTGAGAAGGGCGGGGCTGAAAGTATTGGACAAACGATTGGTTACTCCTTGAAGTCTGGCTAGGAGTCTCCTTTTCTTCTGAGTGATAGAACCGAAAACTTCCTTGCTCCAATTCTGCATAATGGGAGTAATTTCTTTAATGGCTTGATGGAAACCAACATCTTTCTTCCATTTACTAGCGATCAGATCCGGAAACTCTTTGTGCAAGAGCCAGGCATCTTCAAATCTAAAGGGGAATGAGATATTGCTGGCAGGTTGTTGCTGACTGACTACAGTAGAGAGGATTGGTAGATGATCTGAGTGGAATTTAGCCAGATGTTGAATTGTAGTATTAGGAAAGATCGCATTCCACTGTGAGTTACATAAGGACCTGTCAATTCTGCTTGCCTTTCTGGTAGCAAGCGACTCTCCTCTATACCAAGTGAAACGAGGACCATTAAAACCGAGATCTAGGAGTCCTGCTTCATCCATCCAATTGCAGAATTGTTGACAGCGACGAAGATCAGTAGAAGTGGCTGGGCCCATCTTGTCTTCCGGCAGGCCGAAGGCGTTAAAGTCGCCAGTAATAATCCAGGGCAGATTGTGAGATTGACTAGTGCGAATGAGCTGATCCCAGAGATTGAATGGAAACGATATTTGGGGCTACCATACACTGCAGTCAAGAGCCAATGCTGAGAATTGTTGTAAGAGGCTGTGATAGTGATATGTTGCCTGCTGGCTTCTACTAACTCAATCTTGAAATTATTATTCTTCCAAGCCAGCCAGATCCCTCCCGAACGTCCCTCAGCATCTACCCGAAGAATCTCCGCAAAACCCAATCTATGACAAACTGAATCGGCTCTATCCCCACTGATTTGGGGTTCAAGAATGATCAAAAAATCCGGGTGATGAGTGTTGACCAGAAGCTTGATAGCTCTTAAGAACTTCTTACTTCATGCACCACACACATTCCAGGAGAGGATTTTAAAATTTGGGCAAAGAACGATAACAAAAATACAGAGATAAAAGGAGAGAAAGAGAGTCAGAGGAGCAAATCAGCAGGGTTTGATGGAAGTAGAATCCTGCTCCGTCTGAGTCGTGGGATCTTCTACTCGCTCCACCAAATCATTCTCCTTCATCGCGATGTCGGAGTTAGCGAGCTGTCCTAGCGTCGGGGTGTCAATCAATTTCCGCTGGGACTGTGTGAGAAACTCTTCTATGTCGTTCATCGTGACTGGAAATTGGGGTTGTCTTGCTTTTGACATTGAGTCTCTTTTGGGAGGTGAGCGAATTTGCAGAGGCTTTTTAGTGTTTCTGATCGTAACCCCCTTATGTTTCTCTTTCCCAGGGCTTCTATTTGATTGCTTCTTTGGGTAGTGGTGTCTGACGGAAGATTCCCCCAAATTTGGATTAACATTTTCTTTTGGGTGTGTTTCCAGGGGTGGTACCGGGATTACTCGAATGGTGGTATTGGATGGGGAGGGACGTTGTTGAGCTGGGCTACTCTTACTTCCCGATGTCGAGGGATCCTTTGGGCTCGTGGTTGGGCTAGATTTGTTATCCTTGTTCGATTCTGCAGATTGGATTTCCTTTTGGCCCACTACTCTCCACTCCTGTGAAGTAGGGATTTTCTTGTTTCCGTTGGAGTTTACTCCCTCTGAAGACAGCTTACCTTTCCCAATATTTGAGTTACCTTTTTTAGCTCCCTGTATATCCTCCCCTTTCCCTTTGATATCTATTTTGCTTTTTCCCGTTGGGGTCTCTGTCTTTCCTTTAGAAATAGTCGAAATTCTTCCCGAATCCACGCGATTTCCTTGGAGATTGCCACCATTAACGCTTGTTGACTCTGTTCCTTTCCTATTGTGCCGACGAGTTTTCCGGGTGACTTGCATCCATGGACCATAGCCGGCGGGCGGTTCCGGCGAAGTCACCAGAGACACTACTGTTGGATTGGAATCGGGAATCGCGATTATTGCATTGGTGGGGGTAATCATCCTTTCTGGGCATGAAATTTCTTCATGGCCTATGCGACCGCAACCGTAACAGATTGTTGGAAGGTTTTCATAAAGAACCTGTTGCCAGAAGCCATCGAGCCAGATCCGTGTCGGTAGGGGTTTAGACATATCCAATTCCACTGCAATTCGGGCAAACTTCCCCCTTTCCATGTGCTCCGTGTGGTAATCCAGTTTTATCGTTCTTCCAATAAGGTTCCCCAGGGCAAACAAGACCTCCCTATGATAAAAGTGTACTGGTAACTCTGGTAATTGTATCCATGCTCCAACCGATCGATGAGGCTTATCAGAAGTTCGGAAAGAAGGAGACCACTGATGAACTACCAAATAGTGGTCCAGAATCATCCACGGTCCTCCTGTGAGTGCCCTTAAATAATCCTGATCGTTCCCAAAGGTAGCCAAAAAGGTGTTGTTATTCAGATCCATGATTTCCAAAGATCCGATCGGCCTCCATTTCCATCGCAGTTGGGAGCAGAGGTAGGCATATGAGACCGATTTTCCGAGGAGTCGAACTATTAAGGTTCTCTTCCATGGTTGGCAGAGTCTTTCCTTGAAAGCTGAAGAGACCTTGAGAGCTGGTTCCCCTTGGAAGGACTTAGATTCCAAGTCATTGGAGCCACAAAAGTCCATTGAACTGCAGTGGGTTGAGTCGTCGTAGCAGCTTCGGCAAGGGCAGCCTTGAAATTCATTGATTGAGCTTGATTGAGAGGGCTGTTACACTGCATCGGAGAGCTAACTTGTGCAGGTTGGTGGGGGGGGGGGGGGCGGTCCGATGGCGGTTGAGACGAAATTGGAGGAGGGCCTCCGTCGGTCAGAGTTGAGAGCATTTTTCTAAAAACCTCTCTTCAGTATTAACAGACCCTGAAAGTAAGTTAAGTAACAACGCGACTCGTCCCCCGCCCTTCTAGTTAGTTAGACCTCATTCTTCTCTCTCATTCTCTTATTGGCCAGCATAAACTTAAGAAACTCCCTAAGCTTATCTACACTACTTATAATCTACATCTATCTACACATAATATAATACACCGAAGGAAAAAACGGGAGCCCCATTTCAAATTTCCTGCAACGAGAGTGAAAGTAGGAAGGACAAGGAAAAAACGGGAGCCCCATTTCAAATTTCCTGCAACGAGAGTGAAAGTAGGAAGGACATTTTGGTCTTCACAATTACTTTTTTTTATTCATTAAAAAGACACATACTGGGATTCGAACCATGTCCATTTTAAAGAAAAGCAAGGAACATAACCAATCACACTAAGTACATTTGTTGTATCTTTTTAAATCAAAAACATATAATAGCAGGGAGAAAAAACCCCTTCCCCCATTTCGAATTCCCTGCTCCATGAGCGTTTGTAGGAAGGGTAGAATAGGTAGTGTTAATTTTTTTCTCTTTCCTCTGTGGAACGGGCCAACTTACCGTACACATGCGGATTTAAACGGGTTCAGGAGTGTCAATTTTTTTCTTTAAGCCCTTGTATTTCTCCGTGGTGATAAAATATATATGAAAAAGCAAAAACAATACTTCTTTTTATACTAAAAACAAAAATTTAACAATAAACTAATACATGGTATCTAATGGGCTAACCGCTAACCATAAAATAAAAGAGTAGAATGGGCCTGACCTACACCAGATTTGGCCATCAAGTAAAACAAATGAACATAATTGGTTTGACATTCTAAAACAAGCTATTTTCTCTAGCATAATATATATTATTATATTATTTTATATCTTAGTGGCTAAAATATAATGTAGTTTAAAGTTATTTAATGGTTCAACCTCGACCAACCCAATTAGTCCAATTTTTATCATTTCAAATATATATTATATAATTATTTGATATCATAATGATAAAATTATAGTGTATTTTATAGGGAATCGCTTGGTATTTGTTAGTAAAAAACTAAACAGAAAGATCCATTTGGTTATTTTAAACATTAAAATGATCCTAAACATTTTCAGTTTCTTTTGAATTTCTATAGTTTTATTCCCGAATAAGTGATGTGCAAATGGCGAATTGCAGTCATCTATTTTCTTTCACTATTTTTTATTTTCAAATAGAAAGTTTAAAAGTAACGAATAATTAGAATTTTGCATGGTTCGGTCAAACAGGCTGAATTTTGAGTTTTGGCCCGTTTTGATCAAGTCTAATTTATAATCACATGGTTCCCTGATACCCGATAAAAATCTCAATCCAAACCAGTTTGGCAGGTGAGTCCGTGTTTACCACCATTCTCTAGGAATACGACAACGACGGTTCCTATCCCAAATCGTGTTGTTCGTTCTTGATTTCCTTAGATTTTATCATGGCCTGACAAAAACCAGAAAGCACAATGACGACAAGATGAAAGTTTTATAAATCAAATTAATGGTGTTCTTTTTCTGATCTCATGTAATTATATAATGAAGTTGAAGTTTTTCGATGCTATTCAATTTCATTGGTATGTTTTTAATGGTCTAACTTCATGGTTGTACCAACTTTTGATGTACTGTTTATGTTCCAATATATTCACTTTGGTATGATTATTAGGGATATGCTAGGCGATACTCACCATTAGACCAATTTAGCTTAATGGTTGAATCTACGGGTTATACCAATAATTCAATATTCGGCTCATCTCCTCCGACCAACGGGTCGGGTTACAAGCTAGTACATTTTAAAGAGTTTGATTTGTTTCATTTCAAATTTCCTGCAACGAGAGTGAAAGTAGGAAGGGTATTTTCATCTACACAATCAATTTTTTATTTCATATAAAAATATATCAATGCTACGATTTGAACCATGGTCTCTTCCATCAAAGACAAGAATTGTAACCAATAAGACTAGACACATTTGTTATACTTTATTAATACAAAACATAGAGGAAGTTAAAATTATGAAAAACAGAGTAATTTTCTATCACGGTTAGTTAGCCTGCTAAGTCTCCTGTAAGTATTTTGTGGTGTTTGATAATTATATTTTCATATTTTAATAATTAAATTTAAAATTTTTATAACTTATAAATGAAGTATAATCTTAAAATCTCAACATAAATATCATTGGTTGGAATATTGCGCATTGAATTGAAGTGTTCAATGACGACATAAGAGCATTGGTACCATACATTTCAAGAAAAATAAACATGACAAACACCGATACCAATTATCTCGACAGTCTATGCTAAAATTCGAATTTGTTTAATCATTCAATTTGAGTGATAGTTTAATCAAAGCAAGCAAATAATTCACGATTGTGTATGAACAAAAATAAAAACATATGTATTGTATTATGAAAAATGTATTTATTTTAACAATATAAAAAAACAATCAAGACTTCCATATACAACCCTTATTTCAGCATTGTAATTAATGAAACAATTTTTATCAACATGATGCAATGTTCACGCTAAGGTCCAATTATTAATCACCAGTATATAATATTCAGCTTAGTACACTATTTCAATATCCACAGCTAACTATTAACGATTGCTTGCTTTCTGTTTGCGGGTTTAATGTAGTAACACTCTCATGCCTACACTCTAAGCATTTTTTTTCCTTTTTCCAATATTTTTTGCAGTTATTTGTTAAATCAACTATGTTTCTAGCTTTCCATTCCTAATTATTCACTGCTTCCTACCAACTTGTGGGAATGATGAATATTTTTTTCATGTATAATCTATTGACTATGAATGTTGCTTATTACTTAAATTCAACAGTGTCCATGTTATGTTTGATGTCTCCAACATATTCTCACAAGTCACAATTTATCGAAAAAACATCATATCCTGCGATTGATATCATAGTTTTGTCAGGTAAAGTTCAACAAACTCAATCAATATTCGAACTCTTTCAAGTATCTATCTACATGTGAATATGAAGTACTGAGTAGCTAAAACTCTACTTGAGTTAGTACGATCTTTTACAGTATCAAATAAAATTTAATACATGATTATCTTATTACAATTTAGTCATACTAATTGTGCAGTAGGGGACATCTTATCAAAATCGTATTGAAAGACTCCTTGATTGATCAGTTTCAGGATGTAATCAATTATACCAAATAGAAGTGATCGAATTTATAAGATGCTCTCAAAGTTTGCTATAATTATTGAGGTTCAACAACACGTTAATCGTAAGGTGGTCATTGGGCATTTATCTATCTCCTAGCTCGCCTAGACACACTTAGATGTTGTAATGAAAATAGTAATTTTTAATAATGATGAATGAAGTAACAGTTCTGAAGCACTTTTATACTTCAGTTCAAATTATTTAACAATAAGCAAAATAACTCTCAAGTTTATAATTTTTTATACCAAATGGTATAATTAATTCATTTATGAGTTGAAATAGCTAATTATAAGCACTTAAATTTTTAAGTTAAAACTCATATGATCAATTGTTTGACGAAATGGTTTTTATCATAGAGTGGTTCTATCGAGAGAGGTCTCTAAGAAACATGGCTTACTTTATTATTTCTTAGATAGATATAATATATATCTTCATCGTTACTTTTACATTGGATTCAATTTAGTATACTTTTTCGTTTATATAGATTTTTTAATGATTTTTTGGGATATAATATATAATTATTGTATGATGGTGTAGGATATTAGTTCCTCTCATTTTAGGTTCAAATTGATGTGTTTTCCCCTTTATCGTTCCTGTTTGAGCCTAACTGGGTGTAGGAGGGAGACTCGGTAAGATGGGTCAAGGCGAGCAAGCAATGTGGAATTAATCGTTGATAGAAGAATGAAGGAGATTACAGGAAGGGTTGAGAGAGAGATTTTCTAGAGAGAGAAGTCGATAATATTAGAGATAGAGTCTCAAAAATCCGATCCCCTTCACCCACCGCAGTAAATGCCATATTTATAGGCTACAGGGTGGTGGGTGAGTGGTTGAGATACTTGTGGGGGACCACAACATGTGGGGGACAATGACGTGGGCACTGACACGTCAGGGATTTGGGCCATGCTTATACCTAGGACGTGTCAGGGGGCTACTTAGGACTGTACAAAGGGTTCTGATGTGACTACACCTCGGGAAGTAAAAACGACGCTTTCTGCTGCCCCCTAGGTGTAGTTGACATTTCGGTTTTTCCACGTGCGTGTAGCTTGCGTCGCGCTCGAGGATCTGCTCCCGCCTTCCTTCATAACGCTGCGCTAAAGGTCCTCGCGCTGGGCCGTTCTTTTAGTCTTCAGTTGCGTTGCGTTTCGCAGGGCTTGGCGGCATTCGGGGCGGTGTTGGTGCGCTTTATCTGGCGCGGCTAGGTCCGAGTCACATGCCCAACAATTGCCCCCCATCAGGGGGTGTTCCGTGAATACCTCCTGTTTGGATTTCTGCTTGCTTGACTCGGGCCTGCTTGGTCTCGTTGTGCGCATTTCCTTATACTACACACGATTCGTGCGCTTCTGTGGTGTTCTTCTGGTGCGCGCTGCTTGTAATTTGGGGATGCGCGATCGAAGTTGGGCTTGAAGTGAGTTATGCCCATCTTCTTATTCTCGCGCAGTCTCCGCGCGCTTTTTACTCGCGCAATTTCTTGAGTTGCTGTGGTGTACTCCTGGTGCGCGCTGCTTGTAAGTTGGGGATGCGTGATCGAAGTTGGGCTTGAGGTGAGTTATGCCCCCCGGATGGTTGGCGTCTTCTTATTCCCGCGCAGTTTACGTGCACTTTTTACTCGCGCAATTTCCTGAGTTGCGCGCAGTGTTCTCTTCTTGGCCCTGGATGCCTATCCTCGCGTGATTTCCGCGTATTTTTTATTTTTCTTTGTCGCGTGATTTCCGGAGATTTCTTAGTGATTGCGCCCGGCTTTTTAGAGCGCCTTTTTTCACGTGGGTGTGGCATGCCCCCAGGCGATGCGCGGCACTTGTGACGTCATCGGCTAGTACCTACGCCTATTCTAGTTACCTACACCCATGTTAGGTGTCCACGTGCCCTTTAGGGGTTGGTCCACTTTGGCGGCCCTTTTGAATTTCGAAAAAAGAAGCTCTGACGGTTGCGTTTTTCAACGCAACTCCAACCTTTCAGTTTCCTTCCCTCGGGTATAAGTAGTCGTTCTTGAGGGGTTTTGGAACCCACTGCTTATTCCACCCCTTCTTCTCCGTTTCTTCGTTTCCTGTTCTCTGTATATCGAGTTGTTTGAGATTCCTCTCCTTCTTCTACAACCTCTATTCTCAGTTCGTTGTTGTCAAATCAAGGATTTGCTATGGCTAACCTCAACGTCGACGAGATCGAGGTCGTGCAAGGCGAAGAAGGTAATCTCTCCTCTCCTTTTCGTGTCTCTACTGATCCTTCCTTGGATCTCGATGATGGCAACAACGGTGGTGACGGCGGTGATGAGGATCCGGCGACGCCGTCTCATGATGGCGACGGCGATTCGGATCAAGATTATCGTGAATCGTCTGATGCTGATGTGGCAGCGTCGGGGAGTGGGGCGGCCGGACCGAGTGCGCGGGGCGTGTTGATAATTAGGCGCGGTCGTGATGGTGGGCGGTCTGAAGCGCGTGGCAGTTCCGGTGCGCAGTCAGAACCGCACATGATCGCGCGCGTTTCCGAGGCGATTAGTCGCCTAGGGTTTCGCGGCGTGGGTGCGGAGTATAAGGTAATAGACTGGGCGGAGATTTGGGGCGATCAGCCAGCGCCGCGAGACAGTCTCCTCCGGGGACCTGATCACGTCTCAGTCTATGGGCGGAGGGAGGTCACGGATATCGTGCGCGGGTTGGGTTTGCCCCCCAACTGGGAGTACGCGATTCCCTCTACTCGGAGTACCGTTGGTAACTGCCCCGCCGGGTGGTTCGGTGTTTATACCGAGTATTGGGTGATGGGGTTCAAGTTCCCCATCGACCCGTTGTTATGCGCGATTTACGAGCGGCTCGGATGCTCGGTTGGGCGCTTATCTCCTTCGGTCATAATGCACGCCAGCTGTCTCCGCCTTGCGTGTAAGAGACTTAATATTCAGCCGTCCTACGGGCTCTTCCGCAAGATGTACAAGATTAAGGAGCCCACGACCAGGAGTGACTGTCTCTCCATCAGGCGGCGCGATAAGAGGCCTGACGGATTTACCTACGGGTCGCCGAAGTTGAAAAAGACCTGGTTTGAGCGCTTTTTTTACGTGAAGCCGACCCCGGGGGAATGGGCGGGCGCGTATATGGAGGAGCCCACAGAATGGAAGAAGGGCAGCATTAAGGGGTTCGAGCGCGACTTGGGCAAATATGATAATCTGGATGCCGAATATGAAGCGTGCATGAATCACAAGTTTAACCTATATGCAGGCGGAGTCCGCGAAGCTTGCTTGGCCGAACTTTTTGCTGATGGTTAGTTGCGTCCCTTTCCTTATGCATTCTATCATATTAACCGCTCTCTTACGATTTATTGGCGCAGGTGTTGACTTCTCCAGCTTAGTCAGCATGATGTCGGTGGATGACGTGGTCGTCAAACCTCCGCGAGCTTCGCGCGGTGGGAAGAAGAAGTCGAAGGAGAACGCGCCATTGGAGCGCACGAAGAGGAAGGGGGCTGAGCAGCCCTCGGCAGAAGAGAGACCCCGAAAGGAGGCGCGAGTCGAGCCCCGCCCTGAACGGGCAGTTGAGCAGGTGGCGCGACCTGAGCGGAGCGCCGAGCGGGTTGTTGAGCGAGCAAAGCATCAGTTGCCGCTCACAATTGTGGATGCGGGTGATTCTGGTGTGCGCGTCGATGCGGTTCCGTGCACCGAAAGATCCGCAGGTGGAAGTTCTTCTGGAGCTTCCGCCATTAACTACTTCCGCAATGTGCGGATTCACGCTGGTGCTGCGTGCAACAGCGTATCGGTGAATACTGCGCTCCGCGCGTTGGGGCCGAACTTGAGCACCCCTGCGCGGATGGAGAAGTCCGATCCGCTGCAAGATCTGGCTCAAATCCATTTTGCGGTAAGGCTGTTTATTTGTTCTCAATGTGTGAGTTTTGTTTATGAATTTAGCTAAGTCCTGTCGCGCTTGTATGTGTAGGGTTTACTGGCGACCTTCCGAGCCCAGAAAGAGCGTGCCGCTCTTCAATCGAGGATGAAGGCGGACGAGGCAAAGATCGTCCAGCTGGAGGGAAAAGTTGTCGGAGCGAACAACCGCGCCGAGGTGGCCACCAACAAAGCTAATGAAGCGATGGAGGAACTCGGCGTCCTTCAGAGCAGGTTGGCCGCCGACGTGGAAGCGGCGAAGAAGCAGGTGCGGGATGAGGAGCGTTCCGCCATTCGCGCCCAGCTGGAGTCCTCGTACAACGAGAAGCTGAAGCAAGCTCGTGACGAGTTTCAGAAGGAGAAGGTGGACCTGGTGCGCCTTCACAATGTCGCGAAGGCAGAGGCTGTTCGCGCGGCCGAAGTTGCAGCCGTCCGTCAGTTTAAGTCTTCTCCCTCTTTTGGGAAGATTCTGGCGGATGCCATGACTAAGGCAGTGCTAGCTGTTGGAAAGAAGGTGCGGCCAGACAACCCCGGACTCCACTGGGATGCTCGCGAGATGGTCCGACACGTCCAAATGTGGATCGGGCAAAAGCGACCTTTAGAGTCGGACTCCGAGTCGGGCGAGGAGGATGAGGGTGAGGGTGAAGAAGGAGAAGAGCGTCATGATGGGGAGAAGGCTGGGGAAGCGGGCGGAGGTGATGAGGAGCAGGCTGGTGACAATGAGGAGGAGGACGCTGAGCCCTTGGTGCGCCGTAAACAAAGCGGAGGAAAGCGTGACACCGATGGTGCTTAAGTGTAATCGCGCCGGCAGTGTATTGTTTTTTTTTTTTTTTTTATGCTCTCGCTAAGTTTAATCCAAAGAGTTCTTGTTCGTGGCATTTCTTTGGCAACGTGCTTGTTTGGTTGCTGTCGGACTGTGTGAGCGCAAATAGTGCTGGGCTACTGCTAATTGTTGTTCTTGCGAACTAGTTTGGCGCGAATAGTGCTGGACTATTGCTAATTGTTGTTCTTGCGAACTAGTTTGGCGCGAATAGTGTTGGGCTATTGCTAATTGTTGTTCTTGCGAACTAGTTTGGCGCGAATAGTGCTGGACTATTGCTAATTGTTGTTCTTGCGAACTAGTTTGGCGCGAATAGTGCTGGACTATTGCTAATTTTTTTTTGTTCTTGCGAACTAGAATGGTCACGGTGGTGGTGAACTGTTGCTTTGCGAAGTGACCTCTTCCCATTTCCTTGCGGCAAAGCGCAGTAGCATGAAAAATACATATTTAAGTTGCTCGATGATATTTCCTTAGGTTTTGA